CCTAACCCTAACCCTAACCCTAACCCTAACCCTAACCCTAACCCTAACCCTAACCCTAACCCTAACCCTAACCCTAACCCTAACCCTAACCCTAACCCTAACCCTAACCCTAACCCTAAGTAGACCGCGAGCACAGTTCGGGTGAGTCGAGCGTACATCGACAGCAGTGTCTGATCCTTTCGTCCCATCATGCTTTGAGCCCGGATCTGAGTCTACTTTCACCTCTCGACGATCACGCAAGGCGTCTATCGTCTGCCATTCGAGGACACTATATCCTGAGCCCCCCCCGGTCTCACGGGTCATTTCAAAGGTGTTCGGCTCGCAAGGGCAAAAAAGACATGGAGTTCGGCGCATACAGAAGAATTGGTAACATGAGTGGTTCTGAAAGCAAACTAATATACCCTTTTCGTCACATTGCCCGTTGGTGCCAGCAGCCGAGCAGCCGTCACGGTTTGTTGTACGTTCGTCCTCTATACCTATGGCTTTGTGGCGTTTCCAACTTCTCAAGACAACCCCCAAACCCCAAGCACATCGCCGCGTACAACCCTTCCCTCCCTCTCCACCCCCTCCCCCAACTTCTTCACCCGTCTCGCCAGTAACCCAACTGCCAGAGGTCCCAGAATGGTACACAATACGATCGCCCATGTCACGACAAGGAAGATATCAGAACTCTCCCCGGTGTTGGAGGTAGAGGAGGTGAAGATGCCTTTGGATTCGGCGATCGAGGAGATGAGGAATCCGATTTCGCCGCGGGCGACCATTGCGCAGCCGAGGATTGAGGCGGGGTAGAGCGAACGGGGTTTCTTGCCCGGAGACTCGGTGTGAGCAGTTTGCGTCGTCGTCCGGGCCTTTGGAGATGAACGAGATGGTGATTGGCTCGATTCACCAGAAGTGGCTGTATCGGCGGGTGTAATTGTCTGCCGCGATTCGCCGATACATAACGTCCTCTTCAGCTTAGCACACCTTAACATGACTTCCGTCGGCATGCGGGGTAGCGACACGCGAGCAAGCCAAAGCCCGCACACCATCTTCGCGATGCCCATGAGGACCGCGTAGACAACGCCCTTCCAGACAATCGAGCCACGGAACATCTCAGTGATGGGTATCGAGAATCCGATAGACGCGAAGAAGAAGGGGCGTAAGAGTTTCTCGAGGGGTTGTTGGTAGTAGTGTTCGTAGATGTAGCTCCCAGAAAAGGATGGTCCGGGAGATGCTTCACGATTTGACGAAGACGGAGGTGCCGCGTCGTTACTCGGTTCCTTAATCGATAGTTCTGCAGTCTGTGCCGGTGAGTTTACGACTTGTGCTGACGGTTGTGCGATGCGATCCATGCCGTCACTTGCTTTCCGCACCGTAGAGGAGGTCGATGTCGTATCCGGGGTGACCACTTTGAATACTGGATGAGGCACGTCGGCATCCCACCAACTGATCGCAGCACCAGCAATGTACGCCGCGAAGAGATTGGACGTACCGGCATATGCCGTCGCGGCAATACATCCGATCAGAATCAACGTATGAACGACCCACACAACGCTACTCTTCACGAGGACCCGATTGACAAATCCCTGTGGGTATCTCGTGCGATATCCATTCAACCATACCGTAACCGGCTTCGCAACGAACACACATACTAACGGAGCGCAGAAAGCAAACGCGAGCGAGACCAGCAACGGCCTAACAACAGTCACAGCACTGATACTCGCACCGGATGCGCCGCCCAAGTTCGAAATGATCTGTACCATGACAAGGCCCACGACATCATCCATCATCGCCGCACTCGTAAGCACTACCCCAAGTCTCGATTTCGTCAGACCGCTCGAGCTGAGTACCGTGAACGTCGTGCCCAGGCTTGTCGAACATAGCGCCGCACCCGCCGCGAAGGATTGAAGAGGAGTTGCGCCGGTGAGCTTTTGTAGGACGAAGGATATACCCATGGGGAGACCGATTCCCGTGATGGCGACACAGAAGGAGAGGAGGAGGTTCGCTTTCAGGGCTTGGAAAGAGGTTGAGAGCCCACCTGTCAAACGTTAGTTAGCGATCATGCGATCTCTCCCGTGTGGGAAACACTGACCTTCATATACCAAGAGCAACAACCCGAGATATCCCAGCTGCACAATAACCTCCTCCGCTTCGGTCCCGAGCCATTTCGCACCAGGTGTTCCCCATGCAACGCCTAGGAATACCTGACCGAGTAGACCACAGTAAAAACTCCGGTCGAGGACGAAGTTGACGATGTTAAGGAGGAGGATGAAGGAGGATTCGGTGAGGATCATGACGATTCCGGGCTCGTGGTACGATAATGAAGCAGCGTTTGCCATAACGGATAGATTTCAGCCGGGAGATGACATGGAGCTTGAACGAGGTGTAGGGAAAATTCGCGGTTTCGGGGGTCAAATTAAAGTTGCAGTAGCGAGCTCGCGTAAACGCCGGTGGCGCGGCTCAGCCTCGGTCGTGATCGGTCTTTACACAAGTGAGTCAGTGAATCGCTCACCATCTGCTCGTAACTTCAACGGCTTGGAAGCCAGAGCTCTTTACAGTGAGACGGAAAGGGGTTTGCAGTGGTCCTCTGGGGAAGTCTTTAAGTATTCCAAGAGTCACAAGCCGGTTAGGTTTAGGGTTACGGGGCGCTGAGCAGGCGCTGGTGGAGCAGGCGACGCCGTTTACCATACTGTAGTACGTTGTCCTTTCCCTAGCCGTAGAGTTGTCTCCGCCGACGAACGCGTTGACGTTACAGTTTCATATCGGTACTCCAATACCACTTGCCGTTGGTTTCATCACGTGTAGCGGACGTCACCCGGACTCGCCAAGCAAAGGCCTCCGTGGCCAATGTGATTCCTACTGAAGTCGAACTTTTCCTCGCTCGTCATTCCACCTGTTACGGGATTGATAATGCAGCTACCTCGCTTCCTATTAACGAATCCGTCTCCGGGCAGTACCACATTATCGACCTCGCCGGATGCTGCCAGTGTGTCTGTCTTGATCCAGTGTGTGAGCGATCAACAGCCGTCCGTAGTTGAAGTATGGTTCTCTGACGGCAAAGATATTTGGTCCGCACAAGTGATGAATCGCTCGCCTAAGCCTGTTCGTTTGCTCCATCGCCATGGAGGAATGAACGCCGGCGTCGTGAGCAGATATGAAGGCAGTTTGAGCGCTCGTGAGGCCACCGGGGAGTGGACGGTGACCTTTCGGATGGTCTTGTCGGACGGCATGATTGTCTGGGCCGGTTTACCTGGGTCTGACGGTCGAATCGTCCGCCGACGTCCTTTACAGCCGGCCATGGATCTGAATTTATCGACACTGATCCAAACGAGCGGCCGCGTAATCTCCTCCGCAAATTTCATCCAAGACCCAGAGTTCTCTGTCTTCGACATCGAGCTTGGTCCGACTGATACTTTCCGTCTTTCTCACTGCGTCGGTGGAAGGTATTGGTATCCTTCGGACACCTGGTGGTTCACTTCTGCGCAGTTCCACTCTACCGACGACATTGGTCCGCGCGAAGATGTCTGTTGTGTTCTGTATCGACTCACCGACGGGCGTTATGGTATGATCATGCCTTTCGATCCTGATGCCGCAACGGGCACGCACACCTCCGTTCCCGCGCTCACCGTGAAGGAAAACGGTACTTTCGGCGTTCACCGAACTTGTCACGTTCTCCTCGTTGCCTGTTCTCCGGAATACACGGACCAACTGTACGCCCGTTCCTCCATCCACCTCCGTGCTCTCCTCGCCTCTAAACTTCCACTTTCTCCTCTTCCCTCCACGACCTGGCCCTTCTCTCCCACACCCTGCTGGTTCGACCACCTCGATGGTCTAGGCGCTTGTACGTGGGACATGTTCTACCGCGACGTCAACCATCCCTCCGTCATCTCCGCCATCCGTAAAATCCAAGCCTCGGGAACACGATTGCAATACGTGATCCTGGACGACGGATGGCAGCGCACGACGAAATACGGACAACTACAGGACTGGAACACGAATGAGAAGTTTCCGGGAGGGCTTAAAGCTCTGGTAAAGGACGCTGAGGAGGAAGGTGTAAGGAGGTTGATCGTCTGGCATGCGTTGCAAGGGTATTGGTTGGGTGTGGAGGATGGCGAGCGTGTCGATACTCCGGATAAGCTGCGTGAGGTTGCCAGCCCGGATGCAGCGAAAGACCATATCGACGCTCGTATTCCACGAAACGCCGAGCAGTTCTACGACGAAGGTTATGCCACGTTGAGCAAAGCTGGCATCAGCGGCTGCAAAATCGATTGTCAAGCAACCTTAACAACGACGGCCCATGAGCACATCGAGCGCCTCCAACGAGCCGCCTTACACGCTTCTAAACAACATTTCCCTGGCTCACCTCAGGTGAACTGTATGTCCCACGATTTGTCCCTCCTCCACACTCTTCTCGCGACTACGCACCCTTCCAACCCCTACCTCATCCGCGCCTCCGACGATTTCATCCCACATAACTCCTCGTCTCATGCGCCGATGCTGAAACAAAACATCTTGAATTCCGGGTTTATCTCCATGTTTGGCCTCCCGGACTGGGACATGTTTCGCACGCATCTCGGGGAGAGTCCGGAGTGGGTTATGCCCCATCTCCTCTCGCGATTAATCTCGGGCGGGCCAGTGTATGTGTCTGACGACGCTGACAAGCACAACGTCGGACTGATCTCGAAGTGCGAGATTTTGAGTGCGGCAGGACGAATCATTCCGCGTCTCGCGCGCCCAGGCGCCTCGAAGCTGGAGGATGTCGTGCGTGGGGACGACGGTGTGTTTGTTGTGTGGAATACTTGTGGGGATGATGATGCTGTCAAAGTCTGTCTTGTTCTTAACTTGAGCCACGAGACGAAATCATACAAACTTCTTGTGGTGGACGGATACGATTTAGTCCGTGTCTCTTATCCCATCGAGTGGGCCGGTAAACTGGATGACGAGGAAGTGGTCATAAGGCTCACCACAACCAGCCGTGCGGCGGTCATCGAGTATCACAAGCCCCGTTGCTTCCCAGACATACCATTCCGGAGTCTCGGATTGGAAAACGCATGGCTGCCGTCTGCGAGTTTGCTGTGGGAGCACTGCACGGGTCCGGACACCGCATTTTCCGCTGCTTTGCGCGCTGTCGAAGGGAGGTTCGTATTCTACCATGGTGGGAGGTTAATTCATGAACCACTGTGCTCGTATGTGTTGGATGGGAAAGTGGTACGGAAGTGGAAGGCCCGGGTTGAAGCTCGTAGTGACACGACGTGTGTTGTCGTGGTTGATGGGAGCCAGCAGCTATCGAGTGGGCTTGAGAAGGGAACGTATCTAGTAATTAGCGTGGATTCCTCATAGGATAATAATCTCTGCTATGGCCGGCAATGTGTGCGATATACAACCTCGAACGACATCCACGTCGCAGACACTGTTTCTCAATAAGTTTTATCGAGGCATGTCTGCCTCAAATCCAAAAGACTTCCCTTGACAGTATGGCAGGATTAGGGCCTACGCACAAGCCGAGCCATTCTCTCAGGCACGAAGGATAGCCTCAAAGGTCTTCAAAGCGATGGTGAAGGTCGATGGTTGTTTCTCGCTTTCGAATACAGAATTGCACTCCACAGGCTCTGCGGTGTAAGCGGCAGCCTGTTGATCCCACTCGTCTTCTGAGATTAACAAGAACGTTTGAAAGAGTACTTGAAGACTGCATCCTGTCTCAAGCAGCCTGATCCAGGCATAAGCTTGTCGAAGTTTCCACGGATTTATTTATTTTTACTGCACCCACCCCAGTGCCCACAACTGCCGAGCGGGGCTGCACCCCGGCCGCCTCGGACGTCAGCGCAGCTGTCAAGAGCCGCGGCCGTAAACTGGCATTGTATCCTAGGCGATCACTGCACTTGTCTTCGATACATTCTACTCTCACTCACTGCATCGTCATCCAGATCCTAGAACAGTAACTGTTACTTCCAGCTTTTCGGCCGATCCCGCTTTTCCGTCTCACCGCTATGTCCGCTGCCCGCCACTCGAAACATGACCAACTCAATCCTGATGAGCTGGTTCTCGATATAAGTCACGGTACAGAGGCACAGGACGTCATTGCGGCAGCAAAAGCCGGCCTACAACAACACGGCGCCGAAAACGACTTCCACTACACCCAAACCCCCTTCTCGATCGCCTTCCGTGCTCCCTCCTCTCCCTCTCCTTTTCCTTCCGATCCTGCACCTCCGGGCCCCGTCCTCGCCGCCCTTGTTGGCACCTATGAAGTCAACTACCTGCACATCCACCTCCTGCACATCTCATCCGCCCTCCGCCTCCACGGCCTAGGCACACGGCTTATGCAAACCGCCGAACGGGAAGCGCGGGCGAAGGGCTGTGCGGGAATTTATCTGGATACGTTTGGATTCCAGGCGAGGGGGTTTTATGAGGGGTTGGGGTATGAGGTTTGGGGGCAGTTGGAGGGATGGAAGAGGGGTAAGCATGAGGAGGTAGAGGAGACGAGATACTTCTTGAGGAAGATGTTGAAGTAGGACGGAAGACTGAGCGGTGTAAGAGATGGATAGATGAACGATGCAAAGGGATCAAATAGGCGATGACAATTGAGCGATTTCGGAATCGGATAAGGGAGGCCCGAGCGCACCTACATCGGCAATGAAATTGGGTCTAGACGTATGAACTTGTCAGTAGAGCTCAAGTAGGATCGATGGAACGTTTTGAACAATTGAACAATTGATACCCTCCATGGGACATGTCTGAACATGTAACTGTGTTGCATGGAGAACAACATCACAGTTAACGTCAACTCTTGAGCACGACGTGGACATATCAACGGAATACTCTTCCGACGATCCCATGGGTGGATGAATTAAGATGTTTCGGAAGTCTATGTACGTCGACGGATCCGGAGATGAAAAGATTAACAGACAAGACATGCCAGCATCCCAACTTTCCCCCCGGACGCATCACAGAAACCCCCCGATCTCGGGCTTTGACTCATGCTCCCCGTCGTCATCCCCTCCGATCCTTTACCGGCTACCTACCTTATGTATCGCAATCTGATTCTAGCGATCGACAATGCACCCGTATTCTAGCGGTTTACCCATTGTTTCGTGCGGTTCGAGCGCGGGCGCTACACACAGTACACAGCTAGCTATACCAGCTACCCAGCCCCCAGCGCACACTCAAAGCACAGCCAAGCCTCCCATCGCGACCCAATTCATCGTTCCCGCCCAAAACGGTGCGTCGAAGCAACCTCAAGCATGAAAGTGTCTAGAAGGCTTCAAAGCCGCCCAACACTGTAAATAGAGCATATCACAAACCACCACACAGCCAAACAGCTAAAATCACCAATCGACATGGGGGATTGAAGATGTGCTGCAGTAGGTTAAGCCTTGGCGCCCAAACACTCCGATAAGCAAACGCCCGGTCCTGCGAAGGCTGTTGCCTCTTGGCGCAATAAAGTACAATTATAATGCTCGGTATGGCAGGTTGGAGGCCTGACCGTGAAAGTTTAAAGACGTCAATTGGGCACGTACTCGCAGCTTGCGGTTTAATCAGCAACCGGCAGGGTCCATTGACATATCACTACCGATCCCGGTGTTGTGATCGCTTGCCAAGCCAGATCACATCTTGAGTAGCTCTCGGGCTCTCGACCATTCCTTTCTTCACACACTCTTTACGACATACGATCTCTTCATTTTCCTTCATCTAACCACCAAGATATACCCCGCCTTCAACGATGATGCGCCTCTTCACTCTCTTCCTCTTCCTCTTCACCCTCGCTTCCTCGATCACTCTCGCCGCAGCCGAGGACTTCCAATGGAGCGACAACGAAGTCGTCTCACCGGCCCCACGTACCTCCCACCTCCACCACCGCTCCCTCACCAAACGGGCTTGCTCCAACCTCCTCATCGACAACTTCTCCTCTCAATCCCAACTAGACAACCGCAAGAATGACCTCGGTTACAAAACATCCGCCGACGGCACAGCCTCAATCTCCATCTCCTCTTCCTCCTCGAGCAAACTCGTCATCACCCCCTCCTCGTCGAGTTCCTACTTCTACTCCAACACCAAGTGCCAATCGATCAGTGGCTACTCCGCCGTGCAATTCAGCATCGCAGGACCAAGCGGAGCGAGCGTCAAGGTTGCCGTGCGATACTTCGACTCCGCAACATCTTGTGCACCCTACGGAACCTCTGGCTACAAGACCGCATACTACACCGTCACCGGCCTCTCCTCCACCGCCAAACGTGTGACAATCCCCTTCTCCTCTCTCGGCATCACACCCGCCGGCTCCGTCATCTCGAGCGTCTACCTCGAGAACTTCTCCGTCACGGGACGATCATACTCCCTTTGGCAACTTGCCCTGACATGCTCGAGCACCAGCACGAGTACCGGTAAGACCGCGACGTGTACGTCGAGCAGCTCTGGATCATACGGCCTCATCGATGATTTCTCCGCTACCAAGTCGACGAATGACTTGAATTACGCAACGGGCGATGACTCTACCTGCAAGTCCGTCACCGTCCTTGCTTCGTCCAACAAGATCCAGATCGTGCCCGCTTCGACGTCCTCGTCGTATTGGTACTCTGACGTCGGGTGCCAAGCCCTCACCAAGTTCAGCGGGGTTCAGCTGTCGGTGGCTGGACCTAGCGGTGCGAGTGTCCAGGTTGTGGTGTCCTATTATCCATCGAGCAGCTCCTGTTCGACTGGGACTGGAGTGCAGACCGCGACCTACACCGTAAGCGGACTGAGTTCGACGGCGAAGAGGATCAGCATTCCCTTTTCCACTCTTGGTATCGACTCCAACAGTGCCGTCCTCGCTTCGATCCGGTTGAAGAACTTCTCCAGTAAGGGGACGTTCTACCTCTGGAAGCTTGCTTTCACCTGTCCCTCGAGCTCCGCCTCAACCACCTCCGTCGCCAACCTTGGCGGATCAACCGCCGCCGCAGTCGCACAGACTACCACCTCTTCCGCCGCAACAAGCTACACAACGTACACAGCCTCCAACGTCAACGTCCTCCGCGACGCCCAACTCGACGGCTCGATCCGTGCAGTGGGCGTAAACCTCGGCGGAATCCTGCAATACGAAAATTGGCTCTCATCCGGTTCCCCCGTCCAAGCCCTCCTGAACGAACTCGACGACGGTTCCTATTACGCCGAGAAGGGCGAGCTCGTCATCATGCGTGCGTTCCCCAATAATCGTTCGGCTATGGTCACCGCATTTCAACAACACCGTGCCGTATTAACCGAAGCAGATTTCAAACTCATGGCACAGTACGGTATCAACTCCGTCCGCGTCCCGATCAATTGGGGTATCATGCCCGTCAACTCCGGGGGCGGGGATCCAGACGAATGGGCAGATTTCGCGACGGGGTCGTTGTCGGTTTTGGATAAGATCGTTAATACATGGGCACCAAAGTACGGTATCACGGTCTTGTTGAGTATGCACGGGCACAAAGGCACACACGGCGTCGCCGAGCATGCTTCACCCGGTGCTGCGAATCCAGTGGTTTATTGGGACCAATACACCGAAAACCAGCAAAACTCCGTCAACGTCGCCGTATACCTCGCGAAACGGTACCTCTCCTCCCCCGCATTCCTCGGAATCGGGATGATGAACGAACCCGTCAACGTAGCCGAGAGCGTCGTGAGACAGTACTTCCTCGATGCTTATGCCGCCGTCCGTGCTGTTTCGAATTGTTTGTTGGTGTTTGCGCCGATGTTGTGGCAACAGTATCCTTCGAACGGATGGCAGAATTTCCTTAGCCCAAACGATGGGTACTACAACGTCCGGGAAGAATGGCATCCATACTTCTGTTTCCCGCCTGACTGGAGCTCCGCCAACAATTCGGCCCAAATTCTCTCGTACACTGCGAACGAGCTACAGAACGACTGGAACGGTGCTCCCGGTGTCGGCAAGATGGCGACGGAATGGAGTCTCGCCACCCCGAATGCTATGTCCTCGTCGGATTTGACGCAGTTTGCGAAGAACCAGATGAAAGCCTACGACTACGGTGGCGGATTCTACTTCTGGACGTGGAAGTTTTGGGCGGATAATAATAATGATAACTATATCAATGGGTGGAGTTTGAAGAGTTTGTTGACGCATGGGGTGATTACGAAGGCGATGATGCAGGCGGCGTGGTAAAGGGTTACTTACTATTGGATATCCGGGTTAGGTATGGGAAGAATTGGTATGGGGTTTTGGATAGATATCTCACCAAATGGCTGCAGGGAAAAGGAATGTCAGCTTATAATGTTTAGGATAGTAATGCAAATCTAGGGTATTCTAAGGGACCTGGAGTTCTTATTCCACGGGAGTCTCGCGATCTATCTTCATCTGGCTTCGTAAATGGGAGTTCTGGGTTTAGTCAAGGTGGTCGGTTGACGCCGGCGTGTAGAAGAGCAATGATAGAGTAGGTGGATGCAACTTATAACGTCTGGACGCAAAGGTGATAACCGCAGGTAAACGACAGAAAACAGAACCTTATAGCGTGATAGTGCTCGGAAAGGAGATTGTTTCAATCCCCATTGCCACTGCCATTCTACTTCTTCCTCGAGCTCCCCCCAAATAATTTCCCCTTCAACCGATCCGCCAACCCCACATCCGCCTTTCCTTCACACCCTACCTCCTCCGCCTTCTCCTTCCTCTGTCGAATTACCTTCTCCGCTTCGTTTGGCGACTGGTAAAACGGGACTCCCTTATAATGACCGAGATGGCCGCCGTGTTCTTCGTTGAGGGTGGTTAAGGAAACGCGGCGTTGGCGAGGGGAGGAGGACGTGGGGAATTGGCCCTGTGAGGCGTTTGAAGTGGAGTGGGAATGATAGGATCCCTCAGGATGAGTTGAAGTGCTGGAGCCGCCGATGTTTATGGGTGATGTTAAGGCATCTATCGTTCCCGGACTCGATCAGCACTGGCCCACTTCCGTCGTGTAGGAGTGCCCACGTTCGGAGATAGCAAAACCTTCATCTTCAGTCATTCCATTCCCGCTGCTGGAGCCAATATTCCCTTCTCCGCCTCTACCGTGAGAAGTCATCGTTGGAACCACTTTGTTGCCGTTTGAGCTTTTCGCATCCCAGGCCGAACATGCTTTACTTGTATGTTTATTGTAGAATCGCAATTCTTATCCTTATCTCGGCAAATTCTACCCTTGGCTGCCTTATCAGTGAACTTTATGAAGGACGGCCCGATCATTGAGCCGGCGCGGTTATCGAGTCAAAGCTTGGCAATCCCGAGGGAGTCGTGTCACCATAGGTCCAGTTACAAGAACCGGAGTGCGGAGACTTCAGCCAGAATACTCTCTACGTACTCGGGCATCTGAGTCTTTTGTGATCGAGATTTAGGAAGAGTATGAGGACGATGACGCACCAGACTACCGTCTACAGACCTACACTCCCCGGTCCAGCTCAAATTCAGATAGCCTCACTCTTGACCTCCATCTCCCCAACATTCTTGTAAACATCAAACCTCCTCTGCTGCGTAACCGGAATGCCCATCCTAACCTCCTGCATCCGCTCCGGGACCACATCCGCATAAACGATACACTCCTCACACCCCTTCCTTCCCTCCTCATCCCCCAACCCAGCCTTTGCCAAAATCTCGCCATTAGGATCGACAATCGTCGAATACCCCCACGCATGATAGGCATTCGCGTCAGACGTATCCCGCGCCGGCGAACAAACAGCCGTATAAATCTGATTATCCACCGCCCTCGCCCTCACCAACAACTCCCAATGCAACGGTCCCGTCGTCAAATTAAAAGCGCCCGGGTAAACCATCAGAAACGCTCCATTCCTCGCAGCATGCATCGCCATCTCCGGAAACCTGATATCATAGCAAATCCCCACCCCAATCGTTCCGAACTCGGTTGTGAAGGAGGTGAATTTATCACCGCCTGTCAAGACCTCTGACTCTTGGAATCGGATTTTACCGGGGACATCGATGTCGAAGAGGTGGAGTTTGCGGTGTTTGGCGAGGAGTGTGCCGGAGGGGGAGAATGAATAAGAGGTGTTGAAGAGTTTGTCGCCCTCCTTCTCCGGAATAGACCCACCCACCAAATAAACACCACCTTCCTTTGCCATCTCGCTCAGAGCTTTATAGGAGTCCGCGCCCTCTTCGTGTGCTTCCGCATATTTCGGGAAATGCTGAGTCCCATATGGTGAGTTGAAACACTCGGGTAACACCACGATCCGCGCACCGTTCGAGGCGGCTTCAAGGACGTGTTTGCGGGCGCGGGCGAGGTTGGTTGATTTGTCCGCTGTGGTCGCAAGTTGGATCAGGGCGAGACGGACCGTGGACGTGAAGGTCTTTGGAATGAGGTTGAGGGAGGACATATTTGTAGGTTGACGTATGTGTATGGCGTATTCGATCTGTTTGAAATGTTAACAAAGGGCTCAATGCACTTTGAACGGTTACAATTCAGAGACTGCTGTTGCTGCAACGAACGGTTAGCTTCGTACTCTCCGATTGCTGGCAACGGATCACGGCGGGCTCCGGGGTGTTGAGCGGGGAATCACGTGAGCTGCAATCCGGAACGATAACAGGTTATAAATGGAAATCGATGAGTTGCAATTGAAAGGTAGCATGGGAACGGTCCAGCTGCAGAACCCAATTGCAATTGGAGAGTCGTCGATTCAAGCTCAACTAGCCGACTGGCTATCTGCATGTGATGAACCCCAATATACTCACACCCCCACGCGGCGGCCAACGCCCTCGCATGACTCATCCCAACCGCCAAACACCCTTGCATCCCCGGCCCCCTCGTAACCGCCACCAAATCAACCTCGAGCCCATCTGGTCCGCGTATATGCGCGTCGACAGTCTGCCGTATCAGACGCGACAAATTCTGGATGTGGGAGTGTACGGAGACGAGGGGATGGATTCCGCCGTATTGCTCGTGGAGGTGGAGGGAGCGGTGGGTTAGATTTGAGATGATTTTGCAGGGGGAGGTGGGGGTTGGTTGGCGGAGGAGGGCGACACAGGTGTCGTCACAGCTTGTTTCGATTGCGAGGCAGGTTAGGCGCCGTTTTTGTCCGGTGATTTGGAGCGGTGTCCGCGAGCGGAGGGCCCGGAGAATCATTCAGGTTGCCTCAAGTTGGTCTGTGCAACCGTTGTTAGCAAAAGTCAGGTAGATCTCGCTCAAATGATCGCACCCGAAGTCGCTGTTATCAACCGAGGACGTAATCCGAGGATCAGCTGCGAGATTTCTGACGCAAAGTCGTGGATCGCTGGCGAAAGTCCATGGCAGCAGACCTCAGGCTCGAGCTCGGTCTCTTTGGCGGGGAATCACGTGAGATATATGACAGATAGGAAATTCCAATACACCCAAATAAACGTCCCACCGTCTTTGAGTCCAGCTCGAGTTTCGATCTCGCATATTGCAAATCCAAGCGTCTATAGCTACTGCTATCTATTTGTTTTCTCACAGCAACGATCTGCTTGCAGCAGCTCCAGACACCTCCGTCGCCAAACACCCCGACCAATCCTCCTCATCTGCTCTCCGCACAGCTCCCCCATCCCTACAGCCGCTCCAAAAGACCAAACATGCCAAAACGCAAACTCCCCGACGCCCCCACCCCAAACCGCGACCCCCGCATCGCCCGCCGCGAAGCAACCCTCTACGACGCCCTCGCCGATCGCGTAACCGGCAACGGCTTCCAGCCCGCAACCCACAAACGCGCCTCAAAGCCCAAACGCTCCCTACCCGTTCACCCCTCTTCTGCCCTCGATATGTTAGACGGTGCAAGCCGTGATCGAGCCACGACAAGGTTTGGATTGATCGCAAAAAACAACCATCCCCTCCCCCCCGACCTCGTATTACGACACCGAAAATACGCACCCACCATCCCCGTCCCAGACGCGCACGCATCACTCCCCGATCCGGATTTGTTGTTTGCGCTTCACCAATACGCATCCGATTTTTACGACCGGACACGGAATGGCCGGGTTGGGTTGCGTTCGATGGATGAGACTGCACTATTGGCGTTGGGGTGTTTGGTTGAGGAGGAGGTGAGGGGGGTGGTGGGTGCGGGGGCCGGGGTGTTTGTGGAGAGGGGGGTGGGTGACGTTTATGAGGGTATTGGGGAGGGTGGGGGTGGGGGTGGGGGTGGGTTGAGGATTGAGGATGACGAGGAAGAAGTTGGGGAGGAGGACGGCTGGAATGATAGTGGAGATGGTGAGGATGGGGCAGAGGAGGAGGGGTGAGCTCATCAAAAAACCGAACGATGAAGAGCGTCCTTTCCGTCAAACACAACATCTATACACGCCGCTGGAGACGGCAAAAGCAGCACGTTTCGATGATGCCTGCAACGCGCTTTGCAATGCTCCTCATAGTCTGAGCCACGGCCAATTCCAGGGACTCGCCATTATTTACCCTCGAGCAATGGACGACACGCAGGTTGAACGTTATCAGAAAGCATATGCGCAAGGAGCGAGCCATATTGCAATGCTCTTGTTCGGTAACAGGAGATGCTCAACCATCCTCAACTATCCGGCAGATTTATGGAATATCTGCCTCTTGTATATCAGAATTTGCCGGGCTCGCAGCACGCCTCGGGCACCGTATTTCATCAATAGATCAAAAGACCGTGATCCACTTGCATCACCCTTTCCCCATCCTCATTTTCTATCGCTCATACGCGTCTTCGTTTGGGTATATTTGCACTAAACCGCAGCGCACCTCCTTCACCGCATCACCAGCCGTCCTCGTCCTTCAATCACCAACACCCCACCCATGGTCACCGATCCCACATCCACACCTACTCCTCCCCAACAAACTCCCCCATAACCTCAACAACAACCCCCACAGCCTCCAAAAACGCATTAACACTAACCCTCGCCATCCGTGACGAATCACACTCGAACGTAGCCTCCAACACACTCTGCCCCTCCTGTACTCTTGTCGATCGTCGTACTTGATCGGGTTTGATTTCTTCGTCGACGTCGAGGATGCGTTTTGCGTGGGCGGCGAGTTGGGGAGTTGGGAAGGGGATTTGGAGGGTTCTGTGGATCATGGAGGGTCAGTTGTCGTTCGTCAAGAGGGAGGGAGGGAGGGAGAGGGACGTACACGACGTGATCGAGGACCTTCGCTGATGGTGCCATCTCTACTGATCTATGGAGTAAGCGATCGAGGAGGACCGGGTGCGACGCAAGTATTGCATGACTGCAGTGTGCAAGATTCATGTCTACGTTACATCCCGAAATAGGCAATCCAAGCAATCTACACTCACCACCCTGAAACCGTGGCCCGATCGCGAGCGAATATGACATATAGGAGAAATGTTGGAATTACATGGCAAAAAACCCTCACGCTATGAAGGGTATGTACGGCCCAACCAACTCCATCAAGGAGGGTGGCAAACCGCAAGAAATGTCCACATCGAAGATAAAGAAAACTCCCAAAAGTATCCAAGCAAAAGAAATTCTTCCAGATCACTCGTTCCCTCCATATCCCCCTTTCGAAAGGGTATCTGAGGTATCCGCTCACGCTCCCGCTCAGGATCTCTTCTTCTTCCCCGGACTCCCCTCAACGACGTCCACAAGCCCCACCTCCAACTCCGGACTCCCCCTCTTCTTCCCATGATTCGCCCTCTTGTCCGTATCCCGCTTCGGACGAACACACTTCACCTCCATACCAAACCCCTCCGTAAACGGACTCCGCAGCGCCATCCCCATCCCCGTCCCCGTCCTCGATCCCCCTCCTCCCACTCGTCGTGGATAAGTATAAACATACCCCGATTCATTATTGACGGAAGCGGACGAGGGATGCAACAGCGCCCCAGCCGACACGCCCACCCTCAACCGACTCCCCGTCTCCTCTTCCTCCACCACCTGGGTCTTCTTGTACGTCAACGCAGCGAGGTGTAGGAGTCTCCTCCGCGTATCCTTCAAACTGTGCCTCCACCCGTCTCCCTCAAGACCCGAGAGCGAGGAGTGCGATGATGACGGTGCCGCCGTGGGGGGTGAGATGCCGATACCGGAGTCGAGGGGGGATAGAGCTAGGTCGAAATATGCTGGTCTATCTTCCTCTTCAGCTGGGACAGCCATGAATAGGGCCGTGGGGAAGGCTTCCGTGATGGGCGTTTTCAGATCCGTTTCTCCTGTTCGTCTTCTTCTTCGAGTGGAAGTCGAGGAGGATGGGTCGTTGTTATTCGCGAGAGAGGCCGTAGCGCGAGAGGACGAAGAAGAGGAGAGGACCCCCTTCGCGACCCGTGAGACTACCACAGGCGGCGGCATACCCGCCCAAAACGGCGCAATCGAAATCGCGAGTACTGGATTATCGAGATAACTCTGATACGCCTGCACGCACCCCCATTAGCCTCCATTCCCAACACCACAAAGAGTTGGGACAATACCTTGAGCAGCGTAGTATCCTCGTTTTCAGTCCACGTACCCAACTCATCCTCTTCCCGCCCGGGTGTCTCTGTCTCAGTCGTGCGCTCACCCCAGTCACTCGAGACGATACTCACGCTCGAACAACGTCTCTCGCCACCTACTGCGGCGAAATTCGTGATAGGAGGCGTGACGGGGAGACGTGGTGATTGCAGTGAATTGACGTCGAGTGCTCGTCGTTCGAGGGAGAGAGCGGGGAGTATGAGGGAGCGGCGGGTTGAGATTGGCATCTTGACTGATGCTTGGTGTCGTTAAAGTGGTGGTTCTGGGGGTATATGCTATGTCGTTCGCGTTCGTAGTGGTGATAATGAAGTGTATGCTGCGTCGTCGTCTCGTGCTTGTGTTGAATGGCCTTCCAGAAAATGACGACGTCCCCCACCGTCTATATACTCGCTACCCCATACACGTCTACCCGCGACCTCCTTTTACCGGGTCGCCAGCGCTGTACCGCCGTGCCTTTGCCTTGACCCTTTCAAAGCCTGTATCGACTGCAGCAACTGTACCGCGCGCTCGGCCCAACCGCGACCGCACGGTGATTCCGGTCGCGCATGGGACGCACAGATGAAACCGACGACAAAGGAAGGCAACAAAGAACGGTTCATTGGGGGTGAACGGCTGCGACGGATTCGACTCCACGCGAGGATTCTAGATTCTGCAACGGCTGGATGGAGGGGGACAATGGATCGCTATCTCCACGTCTTTTGTCGTACGTTGCGCAATTGCTGCTTCGTTGGCGGGTGCGGCGCCGTGGCAGACAGCCCTGCAGGAGCTGGGAAAGAGATACGTGCTCATAATGGGAACGGCACATCGTACAGGACGCGTCGACGATGCATATGGCGATGGGTGTAGAGTGGCTATGGTGCACAGATCGGAATCGAGAATGGTGCTATCTACCCTATCGTGCCTACCCGTCGGGTAATAATGTCCATGCGCATACCCGCGTCAGTCCGGTATGAGTTCGAGCACTCCACTCTACGTACTCTCCGGGTTTGTGCGCATGCCAAGGCCTGGGATTATCAGATCCCAATTGCTTATTTCCTACCGACGTATGCGTAGCTACCCACGAATCTTCTCTCATAATAGACGCAAGGCAGAAGTGATCCCCGATGCTTGCGCATTCCGATCACAATGCATCACACGGGAATTATGCCGGTGCCCCCTCCTCCTTCCCATCCCATGGCCACCCAGCAGGTGCTGTGCTTCATGTTTTGTTCGTGTCGCACTGTGGTGACAGAACATCCAACGTTAGATACGTGTACGTACGAGTAAGGTATCTAAGATCAATTTACTTACGCGTCGGGAATGGCGCGCGAGATGGGCGGGTATGCGCCACGAGCGGCGTGGGGTCCCGCGGCCCGTTTTGTGAGACTGGGCAGGAAATTGTCCAAGGGAGCTAGGCAGGGGTGGGTTAGTCAGCGTGGGATTATCCGCGGTCGTTGACGGAGGTGGGTAAATGACCAGCTATGGCTCTGGTCGTCAGAGTGAGCGTGTGTAATGTTCCCGGATGCCTGGCATACCAGATACCGCAGGGGATCGATGTCACTGCGTTCTCGTATATGTCAAGGATGTGGACCTATCAATACTTGGCTGGGGTTTGCCGCAGCCCTACTTTGCAGGTGATTATCTTGGCGCTCGTTGTGGTGGTGGTACAGATTTGTTTGATCATTCTGCACGCGTTGGGGAACAACCTTGCATACGGCACACCCGGGTATCGAACAGTGACGGTCGATAACTCTACCCAAGCCGCGATCGCACGTGTACGGCCTATCTCAGTCTCCGCTGGTTAAGTCTCGGGCACTCCACAGAAGATAAAGAACTCTTGGAAAGGAACTTCTCAACGAGCCGAGTGTCTGTTACACAAGAGAGCCCAGGTCGGTGAACTCTGTATGACGTCATCGACCCTCGACATCGAATTCGATCGAGCTCATCGACGGGCTGAAGCCTTGGACGTCCTTCACACCAACACCGCACGCACGGAAAACCCGAACACTCAAAATGGCATCAATCCCCCGTCTCTCAAGATCCATCCTCCTTACCCCCCTCCGCACCTTCACCTCAACCCCCCTCCGCCTCCTCCCAAGCTCCAATCCCACCACCAGCACAAGCGAAGACAAACCCGAACAAACCGGAACACAAAAAGTCGAGGAAGAGGCTGCGAAGGAGGAGGGGTTGAGTGGGGAGGAGAAGGTGGAGAGGGAGTTACCGAATGAGGGGGCGTCATAATCATTTGCATTGAGATGGAAGGGCGAGGGTGAATGAGATTGAGTTGCACTTTACAAGCTTTGCACAAAAACGTCAATCAAGTCAAATTTCTAGCAAATGTAGCCCAAAAGCCCTAAATCCCCAAAATCCAAAAGCCAGACGCCAAAACAAGAATCCTCCACAAAATCTCGGGTATCCTCCCTTCCCTCCCTCTTTTCCATCCTCCTTCACCCCTCGCTTTCGCTCGCTCAAGCCTCCTCAACCTTTGCCTTCTTACTCGCAGGCCCCTCCTCAGCCTCCCCCTCAACCTTCTTCTTCTTCCTCACCAACCCACTCAAATCCTTCACCTCCGGAACTCCCTCCAACGCACTCCTAATCCCACTTCTCAACCCCTCGAGGTCCTTTTCTTCGTCCTCGTTCGAGGGTTCCGTCCTCAACTCTTCCAATTTGGCTTCGAGGTCTTTGAGGTTTTCGCTTAACTGCTTTTTCTTTTCTTCCGAGGAGGAGGAAGAGGAGAGACGGGTTTTGACATTCGCAACCGCAGCAGAGATGTTTTCGATAGCGGCCGCACGCGACCCCTCACCCGACGCGAATTCATACGCCAACCCCAACTTGAAATACGCTTCCGACAAAATCCCCTCCTCCTCGCCATAAAGCGCCTGCTTGTACTCCAAAGCCGAGGTCAAATCCAACACGGCTTGATCGAAATTCTCGCTTTCCAGGCTGACTTCGCCGAGGAGGTCGTAGGTTTCGGCTAAACGCTCGCGGATGGAGCGCGTTGATTCGTCGAATTTGGAGGGGGTGATGTCACCGGGGGTGGTGGTGGGGGTGGAGGAGGTGATGAGGGTTTTGGTGTAGAGGACGCGGGCCAGGTCGAGGAGCTCCCAGGCTTGTTCGAAGTCGTCTTTGGGAGTTTCTTCCTCTTGGTGTTGTTGCTCGCCATCGTCTTTCACCTCCTCGTCATCTTCCTCCTCCTGCTCATCATCATCATCCTCACCCGCACCCGGCGCAGCACCACCAAGCACCTCACTCCGCTCAACTGCAACATGAAACAACGCCCTCCCATACAAAAACAAGACATCCGCATTCTCGACACTTCCTTCGCCGTGTATTTCGGCACTGAGGGCAGCGGCTTCGGCGAATTTGTCGGCGGCTTCGGGGTAGGAGCGGAGGGCGTAGAGTTTTGAGGCTTGGGCGAGGAGGGAGTCGAGGGGGGAGGGAGTGGAGCCGGACTCGGCGGAGGTGGGCAGGGAGGTGTTTTGGGTTGTCATTTTGGGTGTTGTGGGGAGAATGGAGGGATGGGAGAGATGCGCGGTCGAGGTTTGACTTTATACCGCGACGGAGAGGGCAAGTGTCCAATGGATGGGGCGACGCGTCAAAGTGAAGTTTTGGGAAAGGAGTCATTGTAACTATCTTTTTCTTAAATATTAGAATAGTTGGAGACGCGTGCTGTATCGAACGTCTTTGAACGTACACCCGATCACCTGCCGCGCCCGACTGCGCCGCCCATTTTCGACCTCGTGCAAACAATTCTGCCTGGAGCAGCCGTCGGTCTCGAGTCGTCTGTCGATATATTCAAATTGGAGTCGTTATAACAAACAGTCCACCACCCAAACCGCATCCACTCACCTCGCGCACCTCCCCGCACACCGGGTCAACACCACCACCACCACCACCACCACCAAACCTCATACACACCCACACCATGTTCACCCGCTCCCTAAACTACCGCCAACGCTCCCGTCTAACAGCCTCACTCTTCGGCACAACAGCCCTCCTCGCATTCCTCGTCGTCGCGGCACCGTCAATTCTTCCATGTCCCGCACGCAAGGTACAGAGGACTGGGTTTAGGGGGGTGAAGGGGGAGGGGGCAGAGATGGAGGGGAAGAGGGTTGTTGTCTTGGAGAGGGAGGGGTAGGTTCGGTGAGGAGTGGGAAGCAGGAGACGGCTCCTCGGTGTTGTATGGATTGCCGAGCAAATTTGAAGGAGTAGGAGTGGGGCGGTATTGCATTGTGTGACCTCAAGTGCTGAGGATCACTGCCATTCAACGTCAGGGATGAGAATATCATGGTGACGCACGTCTCAATCTAAGTCCGAGACGAAAAGGCCGCAAACGTCGGCCGAATGATCTCTAGGAGCATCGGTATGGGACCCGGCTTCAAGCATATATACCCTATAAGAAGCGCATCGATAACATTCTTTCCACGCGCTTTTGAATCAAATGGAAGTGAAGGTACCTTATACTTTCTTTTTGCCTTTACCTATAGAATATAACTAGACCCGTATCGACCGTCTTTTGGAGTTTGGTAGACAGCTCGGCCGCGGGTGTGACAGCTCAGACGCTGAACTCTCGGGGCGGGCTGCAACCCTCCCTTGGCGACCCATTACGCGCCTCCTGTGTGCTTCATCGTGCCGTTCAGATGTCTCCCATGTGTCGTGCGTACCTCTGGTAGCTGCTGCTGTGCGGGTCCGACGTGCTCAGCTCCACCCCTCGACGCGTGCGTGCCAGGGCAGCCATTTGCGGTCCCATTCTATGCTCATTCTCTCGTCCATCCACTCAAATCAACTCCACATCCCCACTCACAACCCACTTCCGAACCGCACTCCACCTCAAAATATAAATCGCCCCACCCCTCAACTCAACCATCTCCTCCTCCCCTCCCTCCCCCTTCGCTCCCGTCTTGACACCCAACACATCCCCATCACCCCCCTCCACATCGCGTTTAACACGCACGAAAACCGCACTATCGAGATCGGGGGTTTCGATCATGCTGATACCAGCCGTGTTATCGTCCAAATTCTGGAGTTGTGGGTCGAGGGCGGAGAGGAATGAGGAGCGGTAGTGGTGCGTGAGGAGTGCGAGGTGTTTTTGTGCGTATTGCTTTTCGGTGCGGGAGAGGCGCGTTACGAGGTCTTGGGTGCGGAGGATGTGGAGGGGATAGCGATCGATCTTGTGGAGTCGTGCGCGGAGGTAGGATCGTACGAGCCATTTGACACGCTCCAGCTCTGTTTGCATCAATACGACTTTGAAACCTCCTCCTCCGTGGCCTTCGGCTTGTTCACTCATCGCTTCCTCGACTCTCATGATCATATCCTGTACCCGCCCCATGACTCTATCCAGCACTTCTGTCTCGAAGGGCAATAACTCTGGTGAGAGTCGTTCTGAGATGAAGGATTGGGTTAAGGCGTTTATGTCGGCTGTTGACGAGGGGGCGGAGGCGGGAGGGCGGTCGGCGAGGATATCGGAGAGGGAGAAGCCGAGGTCTGCGTCAGTCATTGTACGAGAGAATCTGTGTATGTCTGGTGCGTATGAGGAGGTCGAGGAGGCCCCGACTGAACGTCAGGCGGCGGGTGCAGGGGCAGGGGTTTAGGTTTTGGGCTCGTTCACCGTAGCTACCGTATAGGATAGATTCCCCAAATTCACGTTCGGGTTCAGAAAGAGGTAAGTCTCTAGTATTGTTGGAGATCCTTTATGGTTTCGTCAGCGTACTTCAGTACCAGCGGTGTTTGCCATTCTCTGAGAACTGCACTTGCAGTTCGCTATGGTACGCACGCCCCGACGGGCATCGTCCGCCATCACGTCTTGTCGCCCAGGTGGCGGCAAGCCGATGTTCGAAAGCTCTTGAAACTCGCTGAGCGCTACAGCTAGTAAATCTGATTTCTTCCAGGCTGTATGGTGGTGACTTAACTATAGGATCAGCTACAAGAAATCGATCGGGTTGAGAAGACCCGTGCTCTTCATCCCGTCATATGCGGAAGTGAAACGGCTCACATGATCGAACGTACATTCCCTCCAACCTTATTACGCTATGAAGCGCTACGGATTATCAATCACGCGCACTTTGTCCGTCAGAAGGCTTGTTGCGGGAGTTGACGACGGCAACGCCTGCCCAGAGAATCCCCGCGAGAAGAGATGAGCTTGACCTGACCGTGGGAGGATGTTGACGCTGAACGTATACTGACTCCCGGTTGCGTTCTGACTGAAGTAAGAGGGTCTGCAGGCCGTAGCCTACGACTGTGAGTTTCTGCTTCGCCAACGTCGGGCCGCAACTTAGGCTTACCCCGGAAACCTTCCGGAAAATAGAGTGTTTCCTCGATACGGATACGGTTGTGCGGAAGGCTTAGCAATCGAAGCTCGCACAGTCACGCGGTTGATTGTCGGTTGAGCGGTACGTTACGAAAGTGTAGGGCTTGTGCCGCAATCCACATGCCCCGGCCATGGCCTTGAATGAGGCTCCTTTACTTTCAACTTGCTGTTCAGGCAGGAGCTGCAATGTATAAACTCGTTCATGAGAATAACCGGAGCTACCCGCTAGGATGGTATTCTTCCAGGCGTTCTAAGACCTCCGACACGTGGAACATTACTGACCTTACAAATGTATTTCAGACAACTGCCGGTGGGAAGTTTCCATGACGTGGCGAACACGACGAGTTGGTTTGAAGGCTAGGCCCTTCATCGCTGGGGAGGACTGTGGTTACTCATACTTCCAGGTATATCCTTGATATTGACGATTGGTCTGGTCTTGTGGGCACAAATCGCTGGAAGGAAGGTCGATTTGCCTGCTGCGAGGGATTTGTCAGTCGGCGAAATTGTTGCCGTCTCACAAACGCCGGATGTTCAAAGATCGGGGTATGGCAGTGATACGAAAGCAAGGAAGTCTTTCTTGGAACGTCCTTTCACTTTCGCTATGAACTGCCCTGGTGCGTATGGTGTCTTTCAATCCAACGAAGTGAAGCGTTCTTATGGCCCACAGTCGGCTGTACATTTTTCAAACGCTAAACGCACGGAAGAACAAGAGAATTATCCTTTGCATTAAGTTTGGACAGCGAGGCGTCGGAGGAATTGTGGAAGCTGGAAAGAGTACTTGCTATCGTTTATTGTTTATCGATCGTACGCAAATAACAAATGATATCTTGATCGAGAATCGAATTTCGAGCTCCACTCCCACGGTACCGGTCGCTCAGCCGCACGCCCCATGGTCGGATGCTCAACGATCAGGCAATAAGTAACGACCAATAATGCAACTTAATCATTGCCGGTATGTCTGATATGGGCGGCAGTACAAACCGCGAACGAAAGCCCCTTGCGCATGCCAGGTCTAGGTTGCACCTCCGCTGATCATGAGACCCAAGTTGAGATTGCACAACCTGGGCAATACCGAAGAAAACGACCTCAAGTTGAATGTATGCAAGGATCAAAAAGGGTTGTGGACAATGCACACCGCCATCCACCGAGATCGTTTGTATGACATCATGCCCCACCCCCGGTTTCGACCCCGCAGAGGATCCTCGACGTCGCCAAGGTCGCAACCCTAATTGCAATCACCATGTCTGATCCCAAATCCTCAGACTACATGAACGGCTCCTGTTTCTGCGGCCTTATTAAATGGAAGGCCGACGTCTCGAAGATCACACTCTCCGCCTACTGCCACTGCACATTCTGTCAACGAACCACCGGCGGCCCTTACGTTCACACCACGCACCATCCCTCCTCCTCCATCTCCTTCACCGGTCTTGAGCACGCTCAATCATCCGAATGGAAGCCTAGAAAACACAAGAAGCGCTGTGGGGAGTGCGGTGCGCCGTTTGCTTCTTACTCAATGGATCGGGAAAACTGGAGTGTGTGGAGTAGTGGGTGGCAACGGGATCACGATGGGATGATCATTGGTTGGGAACGGATCCGGCCTACATGTCATCAGTTTGCGGGGACGATGCAGATGAGTGTGAAGGAGTTGGGAGAATTACCGGTTTATGAGGGGTATGAGGGGAAGAGTAAGCGGTTGGACCAGAATTGACAAGTAGTTGTATGAAGAGGATATGTGATAAAACTAACAATAAGACCGGTTTGGTGGAGCATCTTGGTGTACCGGTTGTGTTGAGGTTGGAATCCGTCAACATCTCAGAGCGTGAGAAATCTTCCGTTTCTGCCCCTGGTCGCATCATCATGTCCATGGGCTGCACAATGAAGTTACTCAATTACAAAGATTATGTTCTTTCACACCTTGCCCTTGGGCAACCCTTAACAAGAACCTTACACCACATCTCCCTGAGATCCGGCGCGAGCATCTCGACGCTCACGACATCCCATCCACACCAGGGGTCAGCTTTTGTCGACATATACGGCCAATGTTTGGGCTTAATCTCATGGATCCTCTGGTCTCCCACGCCAGCCAGGGACTTCGCACTAACCAATGGTAGTTTTCGTACTCCATTGAATTGTGGGAGGAACAACATCGCTTTTACACGACTCTTCAGACCTCTCAGTCCGTCTTCAGAAACCGTCTCGAACATATCATTCGCGAAACTCTCGGAGCGTCCGCATATTTTCCACTCCGCTTCTGAGGGGCGTTTGCCCAATATCCACGTTTCTTCAATCATAGTCACCGGCGGCATGGGCGGCAGAGGTGGAGGGGGAGGACGGAGGGCATTGGCTAGGGACACGAGCCCTGGAAGATTGAAATAATCCGCCTCGGCGATCACCGCCTCTATGACCACCAGGTCCGAGGGAACGATGAGTCGACCACGTCGGAGGTAGGTCAACACAACCCTGAAAATCTCAGGATCCGCATCGATAAAAAGTGCCTCCTCCACGCTCTTTCCTCTGTTCTGGCTCAGTGAGCTGGAGGTGGAGGAGGTGGTCTGAGACGAGGGAGGAGAGGAACCAAACGTAAGGAGTTTCGCAAGGAATGAGGAGGGGTGCGAAAGAAGTGTGGCTCTTGTTGTTGCGAAGGGCGTGCCACCCACGTTGAGGTACAGAGGCTCGTTATCCGTGCTTGTGCTTGTGGTGTCAGAAGTTGCCGTTGTTGTGAGATTCGGAGACATGGTCGACGTCCAGCGTGCGAAATATGATCGATTCTGAATGAACTTGACTGAAGTGGACGGATTTTAGAACAAAGCTTAATCGTCAATGAAGGCTGAGCAACGTATTTATAACTGACGTTGACTCCCTTGGACATGTGCCAGGGCCTCTTGAACTTGTGACCTTTCTCTCGCATAGAGCGGCCCGTAGTACTCGTACATCTCGCTGCTTCTTGTCCTGTCCTGCTCTACATGACTGCAAGTGGTTCGACACGTTGAGATGATCCACTGATGTTCAATGGCTATAACTAAAGCTACTATAACTCCTCAAACCTACTCCATAAACCCACAAAACAATTACAAACGAAAACCCCATTCCAAAACACACTCTGCTCAGTCTGCTCACTCTCAATAATTTCAATTCAATTCAATCAAACCTCACACCCCATCCTGACCCACTCCGTATCAACCGCCGCCGCACCCAGGCCTCCAGCCCCACCCTCAACCTCCCTCTCAAAGCCGGCCCACATCATACCCCTAACAACCTCCGCACACTCCATATCCATGCCGTGCGTGTGTGCATGACGCGGGACCCAGACAACGAGCCTCTCGCACGCATTTTGTTCGGCGAAGTCGAGCAACGCAGTGAGAGTTGAACGGAGGGGTGTGAGGGAAAAGAGGTGGGAGAGGGGTGTCGAACGAGGAAGGAGAACAGTAAGCTCTTTCGATTCGGTGGTGGAGGCGGAGGAGGAACGGGAGGTGTGGGTTGTGGTGGTGATTATGGCGTGAAGGACGGGGGATGAGAGTGTCGGGAGATAGATCTCGAGGTTTTGGTGGTGCGTGGTAACAGTACGACCACGATGCGCGATGACATCTCCGCTGGTAGAGCTGGTGATGCTGGATGCGCTCGTTCCGTACAAATGGCCATTATCGGTATCGACGGGTGGTGTCGGCGGAAGCTGTCCGCCGACGATGTGGCCATGTATGCGCCCATTCCCGGGCGCAGTGCCGGAGCCGTGTGCTGGATTGTCTTTACTCTCCTCCCCAGCTCCGTCAAACGCACCACCCTCCACCGGCGGTGTCGGTGGCACGGCGTTGGTGTTGGTGCTCGTTGTTGGCACCGGTTGATTGAGTATTCGTATCGACGGCATGATAATTATTACTTAAACTCGAATTCAATTGATTAGAATAGGAATTGGAGATGTTGACGGTAGTGGAAGTGCTCGATTGAGTGTGATTGCGGAGTGTGGAGAGGGGGTAAGCTGCCATTCAAAGTTTCAGACGAAGACTGGTTGTTGTTGTCGGGATCGAAAGGCGGGTTGATGCTCTTCGATTCGAGTGATGAACGGTGTACTCGGTGCTCTGTTGGATGGAGGACTGGTCGTTCGATGGGGGTGTATGCTGTCCTGGCGGAGTCAGGGAGGCTTTAATCAACTGTGGCGAAGCATGGGGCGCAGCACGTCTGGTAGATTCGGTCGGCCCGGGGCGGCCGAGTTGCAGATGACCAAAAAGTGGACCCTGTAACGAAGACTCCTTCACAAAACAATGGCTTCTCTACGCCGGCCTCTACTCTCCCTGAGCCGTCTCCGACAGAGACCATGCATCCAGCAGTCAATAAGATCCTACAGCTTCCACCCATCCCCAGATCCAGCCGGTGCTCCTGCTCCCTCCGGCACTGCACCCACCTCAATTGCAGATATTCCTCGACCAAAAGCAACACTACATACACTCCGCCAACTTTACAAAAGGAAAATCCCAATCGCCACGATTACAGCACATGACTTTCCATCCGCACTTGCTGCAGATCAAGCTGGCACGGATCTGATCCTTGTTGGTGACTCATTGGCAATGGTCGCGTTGGGGTACACCTCGACAAATCAGGTCACCATGGAGGATATGATTCATCATTCAAGAGCTGTGGTCAGGGGTACGAAGTCGGCGTATGTTGTTGCGGATTTGCCGTTTGGGACGTATGAGGCTTCGCCGGAAGATGCTGTGCGGAATGCTGTGCGACTGATAAGGGAAGGAGGTGTGGAGGCTGTCAAGTTGGAGGGAGGAAAGGAGATGGCAGTGACGATTGAGAGGTTGACAACGGTGGGGATTCCAGTATTGGGACATATCGGGTTGCTGCCACAAAGACAAGCAGCGTTGGGTGGATTCAGGGTACAAGGAAAGACGGCAGCGAGTGCGGCACAGCTGTTGGAGGATGCGCTGGCACTCGAGAAGGCTGGCTGTTTTGCCTTGGTCCTGGAAGCTATGCCAGCCGAGATTGCTGAAATCATCACGAAACGCATCACCATCCCAACAATCGGTATTGGTGCTGGATCAGCGTGTTCAGGACAGGTTCTTGTACAACTTGACATGCTCGGCGCATTTGAGCGGTTCGTACCAAAGTTTGTGAAGCAGTATGAGTCAATAGGAGTGAAGACGAGACAAGCAATTGGGAAGTATATTGAGGAAGTGAAGGCTAGGAGCTTTCCTGCAATGGAGCATACATACCCGATAAAACCGGAGGAGTTGGAGAAGTTCAAGGCAAAGGTTGGGAGCGATTAAACGGAACGGTCTGCCCGCGCAGCATTATTCAATTGCAAGGGCCAATTGGGTGATACAGTACAATATATATGGATGTCGGAAGTGCAGTGAGAACGTGCAATGCTCACAACCAGCTGGAGAAAAGAGGAGGATATGAGAAATGGAGATAGTCTAATAGCATATACCTGCAAATACCAAACCTGAAATCATCATACAAAACCGTGAGATTTCCCGCCTGCATCACCTAGGCAACGCCGGCGAGTGTCTATGACAAGTCGCTCATGAAGTCGTGCGACATTTGATAATTTAATTCTCGAAAGGAAGCACTTGTGTCGTTATTATGGCTGCTGGCAGGCCTATACGCATCGGATGTTCGCAACTCCGGTGGCGCTGCAGCTCCTCGTATAGCTCTCTGAATAGCAATACCTCATCAATCTACCAAGAAACCCATCATGTCATACCCCTAATACCTCTCGATCTCATTCCTCAATGGATCAACCCTAACACTCCTCTTCACCGCAACAGTCCTCACCCCCCTCCCTCTCTTCTCCCCAGCACTCCCACCCCACGGCCACCCAACCAACCCCAGCGGCCCCGGAACCTCATACTTCAACACCCCCCTAACAACCAACTCAAACGGATGCTTGATAACCCTCTCCCACCTCCCCTTCCTCTCTTTCTCTTTCTCGCTTTTCTCCTCGTCACTTTCTCTTCTCGTACTATTCCCGAGACCGCCGGGGTCGGAGAGGTGGAGGGTTGAGATTGAGGTTGTTGTTTTGGAGGTGTTGCGCGTGACGAGGAGGAGTGGGTCGAATGTGAGGGCGGTATCGAGTGTCGTGCAGGAGCCGAGTAGCATCGTTTCGGAATCTTCGGGTGGCATTGGGTCTGTGCCGTGATCGTGGTGTCCTGGATCCGGATCCCATGGCCATCCGAGAAATGCTGCTCGTTCCTCCTCTCGTTCGTAGAGGTCGTCGCTGACGTACGCACTCTTCGCGAACAACGCCAAATCGACATCAAGCACACTCAACCCCACCAAATTTCTATTCGTCCCCTCCACGACGAGATCCATCATCAACTCGTCCTCACTCACAAGTACACTCACAATCCCTGTAATCGCAACATTTCGTAACTCCCTCGTCGTAACCACCGTGGCGCCGACCAAGCAGATCGCCAACACCACTAAGCCCACACACAACCCCACCAGCGTCGAGCGCGTACGTTTGAGATAGCGCTGAGACGCCGCATACCGCCGCCGCGAAGACGAAAGAAGCGGGTTTTGTTCATCATCCCCGTCTTCGCCATCATACGCAGACCACCCACTCGTCGCCGCATCAGTCAACCCCGTCACCCTCCTACTTCCCTGACTAAACATCCGTTGTCGAGGACTATGTGGTCGACTACTCGGAAAGTACGAAACAGGCAACCTCAACGAATGATAACTCGGTTTATATGCTGGTCCCCGCGGGTGGTTGTGAGCGTGGTATGATGATGGTCCGGCGCCTGGTATGATGGGGCCTTCGTCGGACATGATTGCGGCGCGGGAGGAGTGGTTGGGGTTGGTGTCGTAGAAGGGGTAGTCGTCTCCATCCAGTGGTTCCCGAGTGAATTTCATACTGCGACGTCCGCTGATTCCAGTCCTGCTTGAAACGATCGATTGTAAACTCGGTGTCCGCGCTAATACCCCCGGATGCGGGATATGCTGCTGGCCATGGTGCTGATGCTGCTGTTGGCTCTCATAGACGAAATCTTCATCTTCGTCAGAGGAGGATATTGCGGACGCAATCTTGTGTGCGAAGATATCCGCTTTCGTCGTATTCGCCGAATTGGGAGGGTTATGATGCCCATGCGCCATCCTCTTCTTCACTCTTGTCGCAGACGGCCGAATCGTGTCCGTGCTCGGCTTCGTCTTGACCCCCATCGTAGCAGCCGAACCCAACACAGCCGACCTTGGCGGCGGCGGTACAGGTTCCGTCTCGACGATCATACTTCGTGTAGGCACAGAGGTTGGTGCCGCCGGTGCCGTCCGTCTCGTCAATAACCCAACTCTCGCCCCAGAGCCGTGATGACCCGCCCCAATGCCAGCACCCTCTGAGCCTGATTTGTATCCTGATTCTGATTCGGAGGTTTCGGTTATTTGACGCAGATGTCGGTCGGTGAGGGAGCCTGCATTGGAGGATGCGGCGGAGGGGAGGGAGGGGGAGGATGTTTCGGTGACTTTTATTGGGGGTGGGATGAGAGGTGGGGCGGAGAGAGTTCCGGTTGGTGTTGTTTCTGAGGGTGGTTCGGATGTTTCAGAAACGGAGATCGATGGACGGTCGTCCGACATCGCAAGATTGTTGAAGAACGGTGCTTGAAAGTGGGTTCGTGTCGTCTGAACCTCACCCAACTGTATGGTTGTATGCTACCCAATCCCAGTCCAAACAGTAGTGAACGTAGTGATGGTTGGGAAATCCCAGGGGGAGGTCGTAGAACCAAGGCTCAAGCTAGGACAGCGAACGCAACCTCCGGTATAGCGATACCGGTATCAAAATGTCAACGAAACGGGCGGGAACGATGTTCAGCGTCACTCAGAACAAAATGAGCAAGGCTGTAGACCGTCGATTAGACGACAATGGCAACCCCTTGGCTCTGTCAGTCTGTTTGGTGCTGTGTTGTGCTTGGCTGCAGCCATTACAGTATGGGGCATGACCAATGCACCGTTATGCTGAATTACATGAAAGTGCAGATGTTGCAGCTCGTATTATACCTACATTGAGATTTTATTCTGAAGGAAGATATCTCCTCTTTTCTTCTGTTTGGTCCAGTTCATTTCCAGGTCGTCTCTCCCAAGAAATGTCGCTACGCGGTTGCCTGCAACGCGACTCGACCAGACCCAGGAAGAGAACAACAACAACACCAACCAACCACAACCAGTCAGTCAGACCAGCCCAGGAGAAGGATATCAATTGCAGGAGCGTAAGGACGTGACAAAGACCGCTTCTACGGTCACTTTGCCACCAACATCCACTACCTGGACTGCTGCGCATCCTTGCGACAGACCCACCATCAACAAACATCCAACTTCGGTGTCTTCGAAGCTCCGGCAGCACAATACAATCACCGCGTCGCTCTTTACCCCCAGTTTCTCTGATACTATATAACTTCTGGCCTTCTCGAACGAAAGCCGATGAATAACCAACCATTCAACGACTTCGACTCACCACGCAAAATCCATCGCTCACCATCACACCCTACGGAAACCACCACCTCAACGACCGCATCCTCCGCGGCCGCATCATCATTCGCTATCCCGTTCCCACCTAGCGAAAAACGCTCTTTACTCCGCGCACGCCGAAAGACACTCGCTTCCAGCCCAACGACGCAGTACACTCCTTCCGCACAACACCGCGTCCCGTTGGCCGACACCACCAACACGTCCGCACATCGGAGAATCCATACGACTGACGCCTCCCCATCCCGCGAAATCCTCAACGGATCTCCACCACCACTACACAGTCTAAGCCTCATGAAACGCTCCGACGGCGTGTTGAATCTCGACGAAGCCTCCCTCGGCTCGCCACTCGCGAAACGGAATCCGAGGGAGCGGACGCACAGTGGGACACCCAAACGCGCTCTTTCCCGCTCCTCACACCATGGACCCCCCTCACACCGTTCCAATGCCTCACTCACAAACTCGCACTCAGCCGGAGGAGGAGGTGGCGGGTTCCAGTTCGCGACCCCCGGCACGCCCGTAAACGGCCTCAACAAAATCCGCCGAACGATAAGTGTGGATAATTTGGGTGGAGGACCAGGTGGGCTCAATATGCACCGTGATTCACCGTTTGGTACTCCGGCGGGTCTGGGGAATCCGAGTATTCATCCACATACGCGGCAGAAGGCGTCGATGAGGGGACCGCATCCGTTGAGTCATGGGGAGTCGATGGTACCCAATTCTCCGGCTCCTCCGGCGTTGGAGGGGACTCCGTTCGCTTCTTCGGCTTCCCGACATCCACAGGCGCAGAACATCAATATCCCCGTACCGAAGCCGGCACCACCAAAGTTCCCGACATTGGATTTCCAGACACCGCAGAATTACAAACTCGTCAAACCACTGCAGACCGCGTTCATGAGTACTGGTTTGCTGAGTAAACGTGGGATCAATACGAGTACGAGGAGTGTCGGTGGGGCAGGGATGCCGGATACGCCGGTCAAGAAGCCGGTGTTTGGGGTTGTGCAGCAGCAGCAAGTGGGTGGGCAAGTGGGGCAGGGATTGAGCCCGTTCGTCAGTCACCATCAGAAACAGCTTCCGGCGGGGCAGAGTCCCTTTGGGTCCTTGGGTGCGAGTTCTGTGGAATGCAGTCCTACTGTTCATAATCGATATCAGTTGCGTGAGCCGCTCGTGATGAACGAGAGTGAAGACGAAGATGAGGATGAAGACATGATGGACCTCGGCCTCGGCGACGCGAGTTTTGGGACGGCGGGAAATGAAACGGAAAGTAGTATGACGATGGATTTTCCGCCTACGCCGACGAAACTCGTACATGGGGGTGCTGCAGGGGGGAGGTTGGTACCGAGTAAGTTGGGGACGAGTATCAGCCCGCAGCGACGACCGAGTTTGGGGTTGACATTGCCAATTTCCAGGCCGGCGATGGGGGAGAAGGGTATGGGAGGTAGGGAGGAGGATCGGGGGTTAGTGACGCCGGATGGGAGGAGTCATGGGAGTGGGTTTGGGCTCGTTCCGTTGGATGCGAGTCGACTTTCTATCTCCACCACGCCGACGCATCATCATCATGGACACGGGCTGGGGCTCAGCGTGACGAGTCCACCGCATACACCGGCGAGTACGACGGCGCGGATGAAGGGTATTCTGGATACGCGGTTTACGAATGTGGAGTTGATGGGCGAGGGTGAATTTAGCGAGGTTTATTCCGTACAGGAGCGGGATGATGGAGGCTTCGTGAAGTATGCGGTCAAGAAGACCAAATACCCCTTCATCGGGCCCAAAGACCGAGCGCGGCGGTTGGAGGAGGTGGAGATATTGAAGTTGTTGGGGGAACACGAACACATTGTCACGCTAATTGATTCGTGGGAGCAGGCTGGACATCTGTATATCCAGACCGAGTTGTGCGAGAATGGGAGTTTGGATGTGTTTTTGCAGGAGCAGGGGAGGATTGCGCGGTTGGATGAGTTTCGGGTGTGGAAGGTTTTGACGGAGTTGGCGTTGGGGTTGAAGCATATCCATGATATGGGTGTGTTGCATCTTGACCTCAAGCCCGCCAACGTCTTCATTACCTTTGAGGGTACGTTGAAGATTGGGGATTTTGGGATGGCGACACGCTGGCCGGCTGAGAGGGGTGTGGAGAGGGAGGGGGATAGGGAGTATATCGCGCCTGAGGTGTTGAGTTATCAGCAGTACGATAAACCCGCCGACGTCTTTTCGCTGGGTTTGATCATGCTCGAGATTGCCGCAAACATCGTGCTACCTGATAACGGTCTCCCATGGCAGAAACTCCGGAGTGGTGATTTAAGCGACGCACCCAAGCTTTCCTTCTCGGATACGGAGTCTACCGCGGATTCGGGACCGAACGAGCCCCTCATCAGACCGGGCGATGAGCCATATCGGCCCAAATTCTTCGAGATGGGGTTGGATCGGATTGTGAGGTGGATGTTGAGTCCGGAGCCGAGGGAGAGGCCGACGATTGGGGATGTGCTTGGGACGATGGAGGTGCAATGGGTTGAGGGACGGCGGAAGGCTGGTGCGGTGATTTACGAGGGAGAGTATGGACCTTCTGGGGAGGAGGGGGTTCAGGAAGGTAGGGGAAAGGTTGGCGAGGAGGAGGATTGGAGGATGGAACTGTGAGGAATATTGTGGGATAGGTCGGGCATTTGCGGTATATCATCGGGTGTTGGAGAGATTGAGTAGGGTCTTCTTCTTGTTTGGATAGTTACTAGGTAGTTCTTGCTGCTCTGTTTTGTATTGCGGTTGCATGGTTTGGAGCTTTTGGGTATTATTAGGGATTTCGGGGTTAGCGATATCGATTCTTTTTTCAGTTGGGATGGATCGGCGGTAGTGAGAGGTAGTACTTGAGGAATATACGGTTTCAAAGTCATGGCGATGACCTTCGATCAATATGATGCGTCTCGCAATTGAAGCCGTTTACATGTATTCGATGTGAGGTACTGTAGCTGGGGGATACAGTACGTCGTCCTGCTGGTTACTGCACGTATGTACCCGTCATTGCACAACGTTCCAACATCCAAAAAGTGATCGTTGCCCAATACACCCCTTTCGATAGCCGAGAATTGCAGCACTGGGTACGGTGATATTCCAAGTGTATGGCTTTGGCTTGCTAACGCGGTTACGGCATAGGGTATCCACCCATCGTCCCTCCCACGAAAACTCAGACGCCGTTCAACTCATATCCGATCAAGTGCCCCACGGCGACACCAGCAGCGAAATAGCAAGCAATCATGAACAGAGTACCAAGGACAGCATACAATCTCGGAACCCGATCATTCTATTCCCATACTCACCCTTCAACACCGTTCTACACACCCCAACAGCAAGACATCTTATCAAGAGCACTGAAGCATGTCCCAGAGCATGGGTTTACTCCCGAGTCTCTGAGTATGGCTGCGCGTGAGGCTGGATACCTTGACATTACCCATGCCCTCTTCCCCAAGGGTGCCTGGTCTATTGCAGAGTACCATATGGTTACCGAGCGTGAGCGTTTGAAGGGGCACTTACCAGCTCTGGAGGAAGAGAAAGGTGTTGGGAGAAAGATCAGGAGGCTATGTGTGGAGAGGCTGAAGGCAAACAAGGATGTTATTGGACATTGGCAAGAAGCTCTGGCGCTCATGGCCCTGCCAAGGAATGCGCCAGGATCAATGGCCGAATTGGCTAAACTTGCGGATGAGATGTGGTATCTGACTGGAGATCCAAGTGTGGACATGAATTGGTATACCAAACGAGCGAGCTTGGCAAGTGTTTATGCCACCACAGAGGTCTATATGACACAAGATACATCGGCTGACTTTGCCAACACATGGGCATTCCTTGACCGCAGATTAGGGGATGTGCAAACGCTTGGCAAAGGAGTGGGCAATGTCACGGAGTATATCAGTTTCACAGCACACTCCATCGGGAATATCTTGAACTCCCGGGGAATGAGATTGTAAGGAACGAGTGATGCGGACGCAGCTTTAGAGCTGGTCGAGGAGGTATCCGAGAAGACAAAGAGCAAATTTATATGAGTACTATCTGAAACGAACGGGATCTGGAAGAAGTCAGTAGGAGAAACGCGTGCAAGCGTGCGGATGCTGGCTGAATTCGAAGAAACGCCGCGAACTGAATCCAAGTGCGTTTGAGCCGGGACCCTAGCCATAGAAATGAGGATCAAAACATATAGCTCAGTAGCTACAAGAATTCTTGTTTCATAGCCCATACTTTTTCGGTCTGTTCCATAACCTTTCCCAATCCGTACAAACCAAAACAAACGCGTATACGTATACTGTATTGAGCTCGGTTCGTTTGAGCTCGGTTCGTTTGAGCTCGGTTCGTTTGAGCTCGGACCGCCAAAGCGCACAGACAGACCTCTCCACCATAGTTCTTGAAAATACTCGAAGGACAATGAGATGAACGCACCACCTCAGCCCGCGCGTCCCACGAGTCCCCGGAGACTCCCAGATGCGGAGTTGACGGTCACCTGGGGCTGATTATTATAGGTATTGACTTGGATCACCTTCGTGCTTGGGATAGGCGGGATATTCGATGTCTGGGATTGGGTACTTTATGGCTCGGTATGTGCTATGTTTATCTACTCGAGGCTTGAGTCTTCAAGCTAATCTGGTGTCGGTGTACAGATATCTGGAGGGGATGTTGCGGTGAAGGATGTTTGGCCATGGGGGTTCCCCGTGGATCGGTATTGGACGCATCTGGTGGTGTTGACGGGTGTGGTTGTGTGGGTCTGGGTGGTCGTCAATTGGCTTGGGATGAAGTATTACACGAGGTCTCGAGGCTGCAATTGTATGGCGATGGAATTGGAGTGGATAGCATTCGGTCTTTTCATTTTCATTCTCGTGTTCGCGTAGGGTGACATTGGCCTCAAACCGCCGCAGCAAGTTAGCAGCAAGCACATCTCTCGGGGATTCCTGAGAACTGTAGACACGACCGGATTAAGTCGTCCTAACTCCAGTTACTGGGAATCCAACGTCGTGGAGGGCCGCGTTCCGTGGCTCCTCCGTCGCGGTCGACGAGAGCTTCCCGCTCTCAACCTTTCCTACACCAAAGTCCAGAGACCAAGGACACCAGCACCTCCCTCCCTCCAGCGGTAGACCATCAGAGGGTTGGTCGCAGCAAATAACAATGGAGACAATCGTTATCCTCTCCGGTCCAATCCGAATCAGAACCACCTCGACGCAACCACCAACCACACCCGAAGATGCCCCGTCCATGTCACGCTCCACCTCCCTCCCCATTCCAGACTCCACATCCTCGAAGGTCGACCAATCCCAACCGTTCCGCTCCCTCCGCATCAAGAAATCCTCCGCAGCGATCCTCGCCCGTTCATCCGTCCTCGCCGACAATCTCGCACGCGACGCAGCATTCACCCCACCACGACACCCCCTCAGCACCCGCGACCGGGATCGCGTAACAAGCGGCCCAGGCCTCCTTGAACGGTCAGGGAAATTGGAGGAATCGTTGAAACGAGATGCAAAGACACCCCCGAAACCACGGAAACCGGCACTGATCAGTGCAGTGAAACCCCTCGCTCTCGAGGACGATATAAAGGACAGATTAGCACGCGCGGTCAGCGGGAGTCTAGAACTGAAACAGAAAGCGGAAAAGGAAAGGGAGAAGACGGAGCAGGAACGATTCGTGGAGACTGTGGAGGAGAAATCGAAGAATTGGATCGTGAGGCGGGAAGCGTTACCCGTACCCAAGAAAGTGTCGATACCGTCGTTTTTGCAACAATGGGATCAGGCATTTCAGTCACAGACGCAGCAACAACCATCACAGCCTGTTTCGCCGGTGGAGTCTGCGGCTTCTACCACGACCTCCTCATCGACTCGCACACTGAAGGATTATACCGCATTTATCCCGATTCCAGAGGAAGAGGCACCAGCACCACAGGTCCGGGCAGCACCGAAGAAGGTGTTACGTGTGGTGCCGTATGCGAATGTGAACGTGTCGACTGGAGTGGATGGCATCAGAAGGGAAAGGGAGAGAGAGGTTAGGAGTGTTAGTGAGGGGAGTTCGAGGGTTAGAGATCTCGCGGCGAGGTTTGCTAGGATTGGAAGTGAGTAAAGACCGGGGTTCCCTGCGTGTGAAGGGTTGTTTGGTTTTCTGAACGCCGACAAGGACAGGTGAGGACTATGGGGTCGTGTGGACTATGGGAGTTTGGTTTCGTTTTGTTTTGAATATCCTTAATGGTAACGAAACTGCGCTTGCTTTTGGTAAGCATGAATTGAGCGTTTCTTTCAACTATCCTTGGATGAACTTGCAAAGGCCAGCTACCCAACCATTACACGCGACGGAGTGTTATGCTGTCGCGATCATCATCCGACATAAAGGCATGGATGGAAAAGGGGGTGAGGACAGCGTGAGATGCTATAACGGTATATTTTGTTACTGGTGATCCTCTCCCTATCGTACCAACTTCTATGCAATCCGCGCGACTTCCATCATTCGTCTCGTCGAGGATACGTATCGTACTCCATGCTATTCCATCCCACACGGCCCGTGCACACCTTCCAATTCTTCCATGTCGGCCCGCACGCACAGTTCGGTACTCTCGCTCGGCTCGCTAAGCTTCATCCAACGCCATCAAAGTATGCACGACCCACTCATAACTCATCCAACTCGCCGCCATGCTCGGCACAACCTTCAACACATTCGGCCCCAACCCCTTATAAAACCCCTTCACCCCCTCCTTCCTCCAAATCGTCCGCACCGCATCGCCCAACCCGGTATACCCATACTCGATCCCCTTCATCGTGTTCACCTGGAATCGTCGTCGTAGGACGTCGGCGGGGTATGTGATTGTCTGCGCTACTCCACCTGCAATCGCGCCCGACAGGAGTTTTTCGGAGGCAGAGGGTTGGGAGCCGTCCGGGCGGAAGAAGGAGCGGAGGTGTTCGTAGACGGCGAAGTTGAGGCCGACGTAGGGTGCTACGCCGAGGGTTGTTGGGACGATTCCGCGGTAGAGGCCGCGGATTCCGCCTTCGTTGCGGTAGATTTGTTTCATGGTCGTTGTCATACCCGGTAATTTTGCCGTTCCCCTCACGAGTTCGAGGGAGGGGATTGATGCGGATGCGATGGAGATACGCGTCCGTGTGATATCAAGCGGATACGTCGCAGCAACACTCACAACCCCCGCCAACCCACCCGCCGTCAATCGTCTAATCGTATCCAACTCCCTCTCCCCCTCCTCCAACATCCCCTTCTTAAATACGTTGTAACTCCAGAACTGAACGGCGCTATACGGCGCAATCCTGATACAGTTCGTCCAGTTTCCGCGCATGTAGCCTCGCCAACCTTCTTCACGCCACATTTTTGCGAGGGTTGGAAACATGCCTTGGTAGGAGTTTCCGGTTGCGGGGCCTTGGACTTGGAAGAGGATTTTCATGCGTTCGACGGGGGAGACGATTGTGCGGGAAACTGCGCCGGCTACGCCGCCGGCGAGGAAGGATGCGACTTGGGGTTGTGCAATAAACTGGATCACTGCGCTCTTCTCCTGTACCGGTGCCTCGACTCCATATCCATCGGCGGTAGTCGTCGTCGGTGCTGCTGGTGGTTGTGTCGGAGCCATTGTGTGAGATTGATTGAGAGTGAATGAACGTCGTACCACTATCGAAACGGAGAAGCAAAAAGCGACGGGAATGAATGGTCCATAGACCGGGGGGATCCTGATCCTTTTGTTTTTTCCCTTCCCGGGAATCGCCGGAGTGCCGTACGTCGACGACCCCAGTCCACCAGCCACAGCCGCGCCGTATACCGGCCTCGCTGTCACCGCCAACAACATTGAACGAACATTCAAACGGCATTCGCCCCATCAATTCGCCATGACTCGTGCAGAACGTCTGCTCAGAAACTTTTTTGTTGCTGCGGTGCTCTACATCGGCGTCTTCCTTGGCTACATCCCTGCACCGAAGTCATTGGAGGAGATTTGGTTGTACGTGCCGTTCTTGGTCGTGGTTTCGTTTGGATTGGTATGTTATACGTCGCCTGCCTGGGTAGGCGGGAGGGAGATGGACGCCTGGGCAACGCAATTGCCCGTCAGCACAACTGTGACCATAGCAACTAACTAACTGTGCGCACAGTGGTGTCTTTACACTCTCGTTTACGGTGTTTTGACGTTCCAGGACAAGGAAGCGGATTTCAAAGAGCTCGTTAAGGTATGTCTGAAGATGGTAAACTGTCTCACTGTGACGCTTACCTTGATACCGCAGGAAATCGAAACTGCAAAGGCAGATCTGAGGACGAAGGGTGTTACGGTTGACTGATTTGGCAGCAAGGTGTTATACTATACTGGCGAGACCTCCTACTTTTTGGATATAATTGATGATGCATTGCAATTCCGTACGATGTAATCCCTTCCCCTCCATGATGACGCAAGCGGGGGTCGTACACGTGCACCTGCATCTACGACCAACACCAACACCAACACCAACAATCCAAACTCGAAAATTCATGATGATGGAGATAGATGCTCCTGCTCCACGAGCAGCCCCTTTGGGTAGCCGACCCCATCGAGTATGTTCTTCAGAAGCTGATGGGTCCATTACAGTGTGCCCAAGTTGCAGCAAAGACTCTTATGTGAATCCACATCTTGAGCTTCTCATCAATCCAGAATGTTATCATAAACTGTGGCTTCAGACCAGCTGTGAAGGCTTGAATCAGTGCTAACGATTTTACAGGTGTACATCTTGTATTGACAGCCTCTTCACCCTCGGTCCAGCACCATGTCCCCTCTGCGGCAAAATCCTCCGCAAGAACAAGTTTCGGAAGCAGACGTTCGAAGACATCACTGTTGAGCGGGAACTCGACATTCGAAAACGAGTAGCAAAGATTTACAACCGACGGCCTGAGGAATTCGACTCGTTACGTGCCTACAACGATTATCTGGAGGAATACGAGATCGACGTCTTCAATCTGGTGAATGGGATCGACATACAGGAAACCGAGGCCAAGTTGGAGAAATATGCCGGGTCAAATAGGAAGGAAATTGCGGCGAATGCGGCGAGGGCGGTTAGTGAGGCTCAGGCATTGCAGCAACAAGAAGCTGCACGGAAGGTAGCGGCGAAGGAGGCGAGACAACAAGCGCTCCTGGACGAGGAAGAAGAAAGGCGGGAAAAGGCTGAGGATGAGGCGGGATTGTTGAAGGCATTGGCAGCGGCTGGTAATGAGAAGGATTCAGCACGGATTGTGAAAGCGCATGAACAGCGTGTCGCGCATCGTGCTCAACTCAGGGCACAGAGACGAAGAGAGCGTGATGAGGCATTGGCGGCACAGTTCACTGATATGCCTGCTTTCGGTGCTCCAAGACCCAAAATCGAGGAAGAGGATGATACGCCGTTTGATCCTCTTGGTGGTGAGGGGATGTCGAGTGCGATGTATGTCGTGCAGAGCAATTATGATGACATCAAGTCTATGGAGATCGTGCGAAATCCTGAGGCAGTTGCGAGTGGGTTTAATGTCACGGAGGTGTTTCGGAAAGCGCTGTTCAGTGCTTTTGCTGGGTTGGGGTGTGATGTTGGTGCTGAAACCGAGGCGAGGGAGGCCCTGGATGGTGATGTGAAGATGCAAAATGCGGTTGTGGCATGACATGAATAGAGGCATATCAGCCGACGGCTAAACATGGTCCCGGTTGCGTTTCTCGGTTCGGATTACTTCATATGGATATCCGGCATATTTTTAACAATGTGATTCATACGGCGTTATCAGGACTAGATGCGTGAGAGATTGCTTGCCAGCTATAAAACTTGTGCTAAAAAGGCTAGGTATCCCCGCTCGATGTAAAGCCCCGTAGTAACTTAGAACAGCTCGTCCACAACTGCCGGTTTAGGATGCCTTACGGTTACTTTCGATCAGCCAATGACGTAGGCGTCGAACCCTCATGGATAATCCCTCACTAAACCCAAACATCAAACTTCAAATGCACTGGTCTGGTAGGGCAGGCTCGGTTCCCTCAACCAGAGGCGCCAGGTCTGCCGGCTGAACATGTTCACCCTCCCCTTGTACACTGGTCTCCGGAGCATCCACCTTCACCTCCTCCTCCTCCTCCTCCTCCTCCTCCTCTTCACTCGAACTATCCTCCTCCGAAGACGAATCGTCAGATGACGACGTCTCCACAACCTCTTCCTCTTTGAAAGTCTTTCCAGCGCCGGCGCCGGCAACTCCAGGGACAGGAGCATCATCCGCCATACCTGCGATATACGCCAAATCATCCTTGACGAGACTTTTGACTACATCGGCCATATCGACCACATCCTCCGCCCTCGGTTCTTCTTCTCTCTCGGTCCTCGGCTGACGGATTTCTTGTGGGTGTTCGTCATGTTGTGGTTTTGGGACGAGTGTGAATTGGGGTGGGACTTCCCGTGCGACGACGATGGTGGGGAACTCGAGGACGGTACAGTTGCGGAGGTTATCTTTGAAGTTCTGTTCTGGGTCCAGCTGGATGTATGCCTCTGCTCTGGCGGGGGAGTTGACGTCTCGCAGTAGATAGTGTAAAGCAAAGGGTGCGTCTTCCGAGAAATGCGCCGTTAACGCCTCTTGCTCTAACTGCTTCGCCGCGGCTTCGGAAAGGATCTCTGTATCCGGAACCCGGTCATCCAAGATCCTGATTTCTTGCCCGGTGGATTGTGTGAGAAAGATCCACTCGATAGTCCAACTCAACACCTTTCTCTTCTGGTTCCAGCTTGTTTTGTTTTCTCGCGCTCGTTTCATTCCTTGTGGTGCTAGGACTTGTCGGACGCCGTTCCGAGTGACTTGTTTCCTTGTTTGTTGGCTCGAGAATGCGAAGCGGCCGCTGGAGTCGGGTTGAGAGGTGGTGGTGCGGGCGGCATTGTCGAGTGTGCGTTCGATGCCGGTGAGGTAGTTATAGTCAAGGTCGAGAGACAGGGGTGTTTGGAGGTCTGTCCGTTTTCGGAATTCAGTTGGATCGCGTTCTATGTCCCCATTATCAGCTTCACAGCCTTGTCAGAAGTGTGGATAGGAGACATACCTCCACTGCAGGACTTTTGAACTTTGTGCCGTTTGGAGCACGGGAGAGAACATGTTTTCAGTTTACATCGTGGGCAGGTATATTTCGATGGCCCGACATGACAGATCGCACACAACTTGGTCGTCAACAGGGTTTCTTCCATCCTTGATCCTTCCCTTGCTTTGCCTTGTCCTTCGACTTCCCGACATGGAATGTACGAGTGGCTGAGTCGTACGTGCACCGCCACACGGACCGGCCGTGTTCAAAAGGGAGTTCGCTCCTCCAACTGACCCAACCACCCCGACCCACCCCAAGTCCAGTAATCCAACACCTCCAATCTCCTTCAGTCGTACTTGACTGCTGTAATCCTATTTGGCATACAGCCCCATTTCTCGCACTGAACAAGAAAGTGCATTCCGTTGCCTTGTGTTAGACAAGCCTGTGTTTTCTCGAGTGGCGATTGTGGAACGAGAAGCCTGAAACTTTTGTTGTGTGAAAGTGTTGGTTGAGCAAGAGGCTATAGCCCAGTATTGAGAATTGAAAAGAGTTGTTTGAATCACGATCACGAAGAAGTGAACGCACAGTGTGTCCTTGTTGCAGTTATTGCCTAGAGACATCGTTTTATCGTCCTCGAGACTTCCATCGAACCAGCGTACATCGACAAATCAACAAACGAGAAGCAGAAGCAGATACGAAAGATGAGTTCAGCAGTTTACTACCAGTTCAAGTCGCAGAAAGAACCGTCGCGTATCTCGTTCGACGGAACCGGTATTTCCGTCTTTGATTTGAAACGCGAGATCATCACCATCAACAAACTCGGCTCCGGTACAGATTTCGATTTAGCGATTTATCACGCGAACACGAATGAAGGTTCGCAAGGTTCTCCGACACTGGGGTCGATGGGGGTTGCTAACAGTCGGGGTATAGAATACAAAGATGACACTACCATCATTCCACGCTCGACGAGTGTCATCGCACGCCGTCTCCCAGCCTCAAAGTTCGGTAAGGGAACAGCTGCACGCTACGTAACCGGCCGAGCCCCTACAACCTCAAACTCCCGCGTCGAATCCTTCTCCAACTCCAAGAAACCCCACGCCACCTCCTCTACCTCAGCGTCCGCTCCCTCCGCGACGACATTGTCTGCGGTGGGTGTAGCCGCATCCGGAAATGAAGAAGACATGATCAAAGCCATGTTTGCAGCCTCCTCCGCGCAATGGAACGAGACTCTTGACCAAATGTCGCAACAAACGGCTATCCACAAAGCCCGCCCTGGAGCCAACAATGCGCCCGTCCCGGATCGTCCACCCCCCGTTGGGTATATCTGCTACCGATGCGGAGAGAAGGGACATTGGATCCAAGCTTGTCCCACGAATGCGGATCCGAATTATGATGGGAAGCCGAGGGTGAAGCGAACGACGGGTATCCCTCGAAGTTTCCTAAAGACAGTCGCTAAGCCTCTTCCTGGCGGTGACGGTGACGACACCGAAGAAGGCAAAGGTGGCGTCATGGTCAACTCGGAAGGCGAATACGTCGTCGCGGTCGCGGACTCAAAGTCATGGGAGAAATATCAAGCTCGCGCTACTGCTTCGACGAAAACCTCGGATCGTCCGGTATCGGAGGAGTTGGCGTGTAAGTTGTGTAAGAAGGTCGCGAAGGCTGCGGTTAGGTTCCCGTGTTGCAAGTGTCTTGCGTGCGAGGAGTGTGCGCAGGAGGCGTTATTGGGGAGTGACTTTGTGTGTCCGAATGAGGCGTGTAAGACTCCGGAAGTGTTGTTGGAGGGGTTGGAGGTTGATGAGGAGATCCGGGGAAAGGTTGAGGAGTGGATCAAGGAGGGGGAGAAAGAGAAGGAGACGTCAAAATCGCCCAGTGGAACACCCAAGACCGAAAACGCCGTTGCTAACCCGAAGAAGAGAGCGGCGGAAGATGATGTGGAGGAAACACCCGAAATCCAGACAGAGGGCGTTCAATCCGACCAATCAGCCGCCGCTGCTCAAGCACATGCACAAGGACGCGCCTACGACCCACGATACCCCGCCCCACCACCCGGGTTCCACGAGTCAGGGGGTATGGTGCCCACGATGGATGGTATGCCCCCTATGCCTATGCCACCTATGCCCATGCCCGGAATGATGGGAATGCCGGGGATGCCAGGTATGCCTGCTATGCCATTCAATCCGATGATGATGGGTATGGGCATGCCCGGGATGCCAGGTATGCCCATGCCGCCGATGGGCATGAATCCGATGATGATGCAGCAGATGATGATGGGGATGCCCGGGATGCCGGGTATGCCGGGGATGGGAATGGGAATGGGAATGGGAATGGGTAATATGGGTGGACAGGGGATGGGAGGACAAGGGATGGGGAGGGGACCTGGGTTTGGGCAGGGGCCTGTGAAGAGGCCGAGGAGGGAGTAAGTGTGGGGAAGGTGAGGGAAGTTGAACGATTAGCATTATTGAATGACAAACCGTTTTACGTATTCTGCTGTTTACACTTCGATCAGCAAGTCAAATCGAAGCGTGAGAACTTTTGTAGGCGGACCGTCCCACAACCAAGTACGGCTGTCATCTCTTTCCTGCGAATTAGGAGCAAGAATAAGGCCGAATAGAATGTAGTCCTACAATCTCCGCCTTCTCTGCAACGAGCTCAGTCTTGACGTCACCTTCCCGTTTGAGCCTTGATTGAAATCACGCGGTAACAAAATCCGCTGGAGCTCCCCACCAGGATTTCAGTCCTCCAACATCCTGACGGCACCTGGGGTTAATCGTATCCATCAAAGGAATTCAAGATGCCTATCGGATCAAGCTTCACCTCCTTCCTCGCTTCCGCCCGGTTCATGCCCCAATCCCGCCGTCGTGGATCCGATTCATCCACCACTACCACCTCCTCGCTCGACTCAAACGATACACAAGCCACCGTATCTACGACATGCTCTGTCCGCCGTCCCCGTCCTTCGCCTCCTTCCCGTACAAACTCCAACGAGGGCCCCAGCGCAGGTCGCGGCGGTCGACGTGGAGGAGGTGGTGGTGGAGGTGCACGAGATCCGATCCTATGTTGTTCGACCTGCCACACGCACCTAACCCTCACCTCCTCTACCCTCTCAAAAGCCTTCCGCGGACGATACGGTCCCGCCCTCTTAACTTCCACCCTGACAAACATCACACTCTCTCCACCCCGCTCACGACACTTGTTGACGGGGGTGCATGTCGTTAGGGATGCGATGTGTGGGGGATGTGGGGGCGTTGTTGGGTGGAAGTATATCGAGGCTCCTGGGGGTGGGGAGCAGGGGTATAAGGTTGGGAGGTATGTGGTTGAGGGTGGGAGGGTTGTGAAGGAGAATGGGTGGGGTGAAGGGAGTGATAGTGACGATGATGGAGATGAGGAAAGCTTGTGGAGTGAGGACGGAAGTGATATTGACATCAGGGATTTGGTTGCGTGAAGTGCTTTCGATAATCGTGGGAATTGTTGTGTACGTGAACGAAAGAGGTTGGGAATGTATTGGGAGCTTTTTGGAAGGCCTATCTGGCCATGGTTTTATTTTTGACTGTTTTGACTGTTTTGTGGGCTTATAGGGCGTTCTTACCGTTGCTAATAATGGCTTGATCTGATCTGGAGGGGTTTCTCAGTACTTACCGGTAGTGCTGTCTTTTGGCGTTGGCTTTCTATTTTTGGTACATAATGATAGGAATGGATTTTGATGTCCTTGCTCGATACCTTACGATCTCATGACTCTGTCGTCTACTTGTCCGTGGCAGAAGTATCGGTACCCGTGCGAACAGCCAGCTGTGGATGCCCGAGGTCAATAAAGAACAGAACAATCTTCACAACTACCCTATAACTAAAGCTAATACCAACATCATCTGTAAACCGAGAAACCATGAACAATAACACGTCCATAACCAATGTCGACGTAACGAACGTAAATCAAAAAACAAACGCTAACACAAAACCAAAACCGCGGTATCCTTACCCATTACCTGCATTTCCTCTTTCCTCATCACGGTAACCCACTCGAGCCAAGTTCTTAGGCAAGAACGGCCTCCTCGCTCTCCTCCTCCCCCAATCCCTGCACACCAACCTCAAACAACCTCTCCTTAGCCCTAATCTCAATCCCACCATACGGCTCCTCCTGCTTAACCTTAATAACATCCTTCGTCGCCAACACAAGAACCTCAAAGAACATCTTGACTGCATCAGCGCGACTCTGTCCAGTCGTCATCTGCTCGAAATCAACGACCTCCTTCGCATCAGCCTCGGCTTCGGGCCGAAATTCGGAACGGAGGTATTGGATGGCCTTGACGGTATTCCGCGACACCACGCCGGGTTGCGTGGCTTCAGGCAGAGCCGCCTCACCAAGGTTGGGTTCATCCTCAAACAAACCCGTCATCTCGGCAGGCTGGTATGGATCCTCCGCGCCCAAGACCGGCTCATCAAACTCCAGCACCTGCGGTTCCTCAACCCCGAAACCCAACTCTTCTTCCTCGCCGGGTGCCAAGGCCTGTGGTTCATCCTCCAAGGGCGCCGCTTCCTGCATCTGTACGTCCTCCATGGCCTCGAACCCGGGTTCGTCAAGACGCGCTTCCTTCCTCGAAGGTTCTTCCTCCTCCTCGGGTTGGATAGCTCCACCCTCCTCCCTCCGTCTCTTCATGCCCCTAACGAAATCAGGACTCAACAACCCTGCAAGATCGGGGTGCACGCCCTGTTGTCTCCACACACTCCATCCACCTTGCTGACCCAACACCAAGCTCAACATGACAGGGTCACGAGGCAAGAGCGTTGTCGCATCAGGCGGGAGAAGAGTGGATGATGGGTCACGCAGATGAGCCTTGAGCTGTGCCTGGGTAAGCTCGGTCTTCGCGTCGATTTGAACCTTCAATTGTCTTCGAGGAGCAGCATGACGCGCCTCCTCGGCTTGCTCTTGTTCCTCGACGACGGGAGTAGCGAGTCTGAACTCCTCCTCCGCCTCAGCTGCTCTAGGTGTACGCTCGCCTTCCTCAAGCAAGGGACTTCCAGCCCTAGGCGTCCTCTCACCCTCAGCCTCCTCCTGTAGGCCAGTCGTCAGCTCACCGAAATCCAGACCCGGAATCTCGATATCGGCACCAATCCCCAACTCATCGTCGAACGCAAGCGCAGGCTGCTCCTCCGCCCCGAACTCAAGCGTGGTCTTCTCCCCAGCAGGCTCGGGACTGACTTCACGACTGATGATAGTCGGTGCATCACGTCCCATCTCGACGGAGATGGAGGTGTCTTTAGGTGCGCCAGCGGCGGCAGTGGAGAAATCCAACCCAAGGTCAAGTTCCATCTGAGTGTGAGGGTCAAGAGACCCGAGTTCCATTGGATCCTCACCAAGGAGGAGGTGCGAAGTATCAGGCGCGTTAAGGCCGTACTCAATCGAGATGTCTTCTTCTCTCAACGTGATATCCGCCGCTCTACTCGTGTTCGCACCGAGATTCGCAGTGACAGTTCCATCCAAGAAGGACAAATCCGCCGTCGGCATAAGCAAATCAAGCTCAGTGATGACATCGGGGAGAGTGAGCGTCGTATGCGCTTCCGCCTGTGTCGACAAATTCAAATCCACATTTCCAGGCCTGAACGCCATCTTGATCCTTCCCATCGCTTCCTGCGCGTCTTCCAAGAGATACCGTGCTTTGCGGCTGTAAATTCGGACGACACCCAACAACAACTGACCGGAGAGACGGAGAGCCATGGGCGCAGTGGAGTCAGTGTCGGAGATGAGGGAAGAGACGGAGGATGGAATATTGGTGGTTGTGATCTGGGGTTTCGTTAGGCGGCGTTCCATGTGTGCTGCCAGCCAGATACGTGCAAGCGGACCCTTGCGGGTAAGAAGGGATTCTGCGTAGAACTGGGATCATTGTTAGTGAAGGGTCCTTTAGGGTGGCAAGAAGATGAACAAACCATTATGAAGTATGTGTAGCAAGTAGCGGATTAGGTTAGTTCAGCAAAAGGGAAATCGACGCGCACAGCGCTTGAGTTGTCTTCCTTCTCGGTGTGTATGCGAACCCGACAAACGACCAGCGATTCGAGCTCTCGTTCACTTGCGATCGGACAGAAAAACTCACAGACCGTGACTGATCTGCGTTTCCAAAAAGCTAATAGAGTGTATGCGATCGGTTTCGTAACTTTTCGAGTGGGATAACGCGTCGAGATCAATGGTGGTTTCTTCGTGAAGGATGCGATTCGCGTCGACATTTGAGGTGTGCAGCGCGGTGCAGCGCGTGAGGAGTCGCGTTCTATGGGCGGTCTATGATCTGCGCTTTGACAATGAAGGTGCACTGTGGTCAGCATCCGCGGATAAGACAGTAAGACGGTCTGATCTTATCACTAAAGCGGATGATACTGCTTTGGAACATCCCGACTTTGTCCAGGACATCTTGGTGACACCCACTGGATCTTGGGCAGTAACCGCATGTCGTGATGAGGAAGTAAGAGTATTCGATATTGGCAGCGGTTCACTAGTGAAGGTGATCAAAGGGCATTACGATGAAGTATCGGCGCAGGCAATGTGGGGAAACATGCTTGCGAGTGCAAGTTTGGATGGAACCATCAGGCAGTGGTCCATGGTGAAGCCGATGTGCGAGCAATGAAGAAGGTTGTCTGGGAAGAGGAGGATGTTGAGGAATAGGACAAGCCAGCAACAGGGCTAACTGCGGAACAAGAGGCTGAATTGGCCGAGTTGATGGGTGGTGACGACGATCTTTGATTAGATCTCTGGGGTACAAGTGGCCTCACAACCAGCGCAAGACAGACAACATAGACCGGCAGAAGAGCCTTGGGCCTTACACATGAGAAAGTGAGTTCTTGGCGAAGGAGCGTTTACGTCTGCTGGTCAGGTTTCAAAACGTTAAGCCGGCCCGTGGAACTCGAGACAGGAGCCAGAGCCCATGAACGGGCAGTGGCGAATAGACATGCTCTTGATTTTCCATATCATGTTCAAAAATGCATTACAACTCATACTTATGTACATTTGCCGAGGTATGACTTCATCGCCAATCGTCCCGTGGGGCTCATTAATTAACGTGTGGACCGGGCCGTACCGGGCCTCCACCGAGCCCTTCAAATCCCAATTGAAAGCTCCCCCTCAACTGATCTGCCAAGCCAACACCTCGTCTATATAACCTCACTGACTCATCCCTCGTAAGGCTCCATCAAATCAGATCAAACGAAGAACCATGTCATACAACTACAACCAAGGTCCCGGCTACGGTAATCCCTACGGCCACGGCGCTCCTCCACCTCCACAGCCCCCGCAGCACCAGCAGCCCTATGGATATGGTGCTCCCCCGCCCGTACCGCTTCATCCGAATCAATACGGCGGTCCTCCTCCACACAGTCCGCAGCCATGCTATGGTGCTCCAGCACCGCCGGCGCCCTATGGCTCGCACAGTCCAGGATATCCTCCGGTTCCAGCTCAAGCACCATATGGTGCGCCTTCGCCGATACCCGGACCATACGGACACTCCCCAGCGCCTGCTCCATACGGTGCTCCCCCTCCTCCTGCTCAACTATATGGCGGCGGTGGTGGTTACCATTCTCCCTCCCCCTACGGCAATCCCCAGGGAAGCTGGAACCCCGAATCCACCATCCAAACCATCCGCAAAGCAACAAAAGGCTTCGGCACAGACGAAGCCGCTCTCATCGCCGCCCTCGCACCCTTAACCCCTCACCAAATGTCCATCCTCGTCCGCGCATTCGAATCGCAGGTCGGGAAACCGCTCATGAAGGTCATCGAGAGCGAGACGAGTAGTAGGGGTTATTTCCAGTTTGGGTTACGTGGGTTGGTGTTGGGGCCTGTTGCGTGGGAAGCGTGGTTGTTGCATCGGGCGTGTAGTGGACCTGGGACGAAAGAGGTTACGTTGACGGAGTTGTTGTTGGGAAGGACTGATGAGGAGATATTTGCGCTTAAAGCCGAGTATGAGCGGCAGTTTCGGAAACCGGTGGATAAAGCCATTCGGGGCGAGTTGAGTATGAAGACGGAGAGGTTTTTCAATATGGCGCTCGCTGCTGGGAGAGCGCCTGCGCATGTCCCGATCGACCACAATCAAGTCACGAATGATGCGCATACGTGTCATAACGGAATGCACGGGCTCGGCACAGACGAAATCCCCATCTGTGGGATCTTCTCCACCCGCTCCCTCCCGCACCTCTCCGCTCTCGCCCAAACCTACCAATCCCTCTACCGCCGTCCCCTCCTCTCCGCGATCCAGTCCGATTTCTCCGGACACATGCGTGACGGCTTAGTCCAAATCCTCGCGATGGCACTTAACCCCGCTGCGCGGAAAGCGGAATTATTGGAGGCTGCGATGGCGGGGGCGGGGACGAAGGATGAGTTGTTGTGTATGAGGGTTATCAGGGGGCGGTGGGGTGTTGATGGGGTACCGTGGGAGAGGGTGAAGGGGGAGTATGCGAGGATGTATGGGAAGAGTTTGGTAGGGAGGGTTAAGGGGGATACGAGTGGGGATTATGAGAGGTTGATGGTTGCGATTATTGGGAATTAGGAAAGTTGCGTATGCTGCGGGAGCTCGAGTATGATTATGATTATGGTTAGTATACCTCTACGAACATGCTTGTAACCTCTTAAGATTGAGTTCCATCCTCAGACTTGATGCCGTCATCTCAGCACGCGTTATCGATTTCATACCTGGGCGCGGCTCGCGGGTATACGTACGCCTCGTTGTATAAGCTGAAGGACTCGGAGGAGATAGACAGCGTTACGTACTACCTTTACTACGATACGCGTACACCTCGACGAATACTATAGCTATGCCAACGCCGTTCGCTCCACCAACCTGCAACCTCGTCGGCCCCTTCGCGCTGCTAATCCAATGCCTTCTTGCCTTCCTCGCATTCCTCGCCCTCCTCCTCAAACGCCAACGCGAACCACGCCGTTCACGACGACCGTTGAGGATTTGGATGTTCGATGTGGGAAAACAGGCTTTTGGAGCGGGTGTCGTGCATGGTGTTAATTTGGGCGTGAGTATTCTGGGTGTAGGGGGGTTTGAGGAGGGTGCGGGCGGTGGAGGGGGAGGGGGAGGTGGGGGCGAGGATGATGGTGATCCGTGTGTGTGGTAAGTCCTTGTGAGACGGGGTGTGAGGTACGAGGACGAGGGCTAATGGGGTGTTGGGTGTGTAGGTACTTCTTCAACGTCGCGGTGGATACGACGATCGGGGTACCGATTTTGTATGTGATTTTGACGGCTTTGACGTCGTTTACGGTCTACCTCGGCATTCACGGCACCATCAGCGGGCAATACTCACCTCCCTCCACCACCTCCACCACAACTAAGCGCAAATCCCGATGGTCATGGTGGTTCAAACAAACCGCACTCTACGCCCTTTCTCTTCTCCTCATGAAAGTCTTGATATTCGTGGTCTTTGCGACACTACCGGGGTTGGTGGAGGCATTGGAAGAATTGGGAGAAGTGTTGTTGAGGTGGACGAGGGGGTATCCGAGGGTCGAGGAGGGGTTTGTGTTGTTTGTGTTTCCGCTAGTGATGAATGTTTTGCAGGCTTGGTTGAGTGAGTACTCCATCCTTCCCTTCTTTCTTGTCATTTTACTCTTTCGTGGTCGTGGCTACGCGTACGGGGGAGCTGAGATGAGGGGATGAGTTGACATGACAGAAGCTAATTTGTGGGACATAGTTGATAATATTGTCAAGTCTAAGGATGTGGAGGGGGATGAGGACGCTGACAGCGAAAGTGAAAGCACGTTGGTCAGGCCTCGCCGACATGGTTACCGTTCTTATCAGTCTATTCGAGTTGTTGAAGATAACGACGAGGACAGTTCATTGGATAGGCCTATCAAAGGAGCTAAAGAAGATGGCGACGAGGACACGGATGATAACGTGTACGACACAGCCGCAGGGCAGCGCAAGATCAAGATAAGCGCCGTTCGCCGGGGGAGCAGCGGACTGAGAAGCGAGATTCCAGATGGGACGATTAGACGGGGAAGTCTGGAGCGATTATAGAAATATAAGATCTCTTGGATTATTATTTTTGCGGGATTACAGCATGTGGCTCTCTGATTTGTCACTCAGCGCCCCCCCCCCCCCCCAACCAACCCAGCGCTTGAGGTGCCGCACCGCGGAAGTCACACGCCAACACCACCCTAAATTTATTCATCATTGAATCTCGTCACCAAGGACTCTCCAGCACCTCTACACCTAAACAACTATACACAAAATGTCTGGACAGGCTGTTGCTGATATCGGTTTGATCGGTTTGGCCGTTATGGGTCAGAACTTGATCCTTAACATGGCTGACCACGGATTCACCGGTGCGTTTTTCCCTGATCTTGATCCGATCCGATTTGATCTCATACTGATCTGTTGATCTCCAGTCTGTGCCTACAACCGTACCACCTCCAAGGTCGACGCTTTCCTTGACAACGAGGCCAAGGGCAAGGCCATCGTCGGTGCTCACTCCATCGAGGAGCTCTGCTCCAAGCTCAAGCGCCCAAGGCGTGTCATGCTCCTCGTCAAGGCCGGTGCCGCCGTCGACTCCTTCATCGAGCAGCTCTTGCCTTTCCTCGAGAAGGGTGACATCATCATCGACGGTGGTAACTCCCACTACCCCGACACCAACCGTCGCTGCGACTACCTCGCCGAGAAGGGCATCTTGTTCGTTGGTTCCGGTGTCTCTGGTGGTGAGGAGGGTGCCCGTACCGGTCCTTCCCTCATGCCCGGTGGTGCCAAGGACGCTTGGCCTCACTTGAAGGATATCTTCCAGTCTTGCGCTGCCCAGACTGACGGCGAGCCCTGTTGTGACTGGGTCGGTGACCAGGGTGCTGGACACTACGTCAAGATGGTTCACAACGGTATTGAGTACGGAGACATGCAGCTCATCTGTGAGGCTTACGACATGTTGAAGCGTGGTGTTGGATTGACCAACCAGGAGATCGCTGACGTCTTCGAGAAGTGGAACAACGGTGTCCTCGACTCTTTCTTGATCGAGATCACCCGCGACATCTTGAAGTTCACTGACGACGATGGTACTCCCCTCGTTGAGAAGATCATGGACACCGCTGGTCAGAAGGGTACCGGTAAGTGGACCGCCATCAACGCTTTGGACCTCGGTATGCCCGTCACCCTCATCGGTGAGGCTGTCTTCTCCCGTTGTTTGTCCTCCATCCGCGAGGAGCGTGGCCGCGCTTCCGAGCGCCTCGCCGGTCCCGTCATCGACAAGTTCTCCGGTGACAAGGCCAAGATCATCGACCAGATGGAGCAGGCCCTCTACGCTTCCAAGATTATCTCCTACGCCCAGGGTTTCATGCTCATGCGTGAGGCCGCCAAGGCTTACGGCTGGACCCTCAACAACGCCGGTATTGCCCTCATGTGGCGCGGTGGATGTATCATCCGTTCCGCCTTCTTGGGTGACATCACCAACGCCTACAAAAAGAACGCCGACCTCGAGAACCTCCTCTTCGACGACTTCTTCCACGCTGCCATCGAGAAGGCTCAGCCCTCTTGGCGCCAGGTCGTTGCTCAGGGTGCTTTGTGGGGTATCCCCACCCCTGCTTTCTCCACTGCTTTGTCCTTCTTCGACGGATACAGGGCTAAGCGTCTCCCTGCTAACTTGTTGCAGGCTCAGCGTGACTACTTCGGTGCCCACACCTTCCGTATCTTGCCTGAGTTCGCTTCCGAGAAGTACCCCATTGACACCGACATCCACGTCAACTGGACCGGACGTGGTGGTAACGTCTCTGCCTCTACCTACGATGCTTAAGCATGTCGCTTTGGCTGCGTAGTCTTTGATTGCGAGAGATAGGGTTGGGGTTGTAAGATGGGAAGAAGTATGATTAGAAGGAGATGGATGGGGTTGTAGGCTTTTCTTGATTGTGAAGACGTGTTGAGTACGGTTTGCTTATGTGGAACGCTTAGTGGGAAAGAAAAGAAAAAATCTTAACAAATATACGCTTTTTGTACTGTACTATCTGCTTTATTGACATTCCATCCATCGTCCATATCGTTAAGGTTGAGGTCGGTTTGGTCGGCCGCTGCAGCCGCCATATACAGTACGGTATACCAACTAACGTCGCAACGGACCCTTAATACCGTAACGCATACACCCGTACACAAACACCAAACCTTACTTATCGCAGCTGTCCATCGGACTCGATAGAGAGCAAGATGTCGGCACTACCAGCAAGTAAGCAAAACACAGCTTCCGCAACTGCCAGCATGGCTCCCCAATCGTCTACAGCCCTAACCATGGCTGCTGGGCGTTCGATCACCCCCGAAGACGGTACGTCCAAGCACATGCATATCTGCAACGCACATCATGGCGAGAAATTTCCCGTTGCTGGTGTTGTCCCCTTTGAGCCTTTCTTCTCGTCCTGCGTATGTGAGGGAGGATTGTGTGCAGTTTGCTAACATTGGTGGTGGTATGGAATAGCCCATGACACGGGGTTTGTCGAACCGCTAAACCCGAACCGCAATACGCTTCACCCGCACCCGGAAGCAGAGACTGCACCACATGAAGAGCTTGATCCGGAGGTGTTGAAGGGGTATGACGAGGCGGAAGACAGGGATGGTGGGAAGGTTGGTTTTGGGAAGAAGATTAGGGGGGAGATTAAGGTGATTGAGGGGAAGGTTTTGAGGAATAGGGAGTTGGTTGAGGAGGGGAGGGCGATGAAGAGAGGGGAAGCATGAGGAGTGCCTCAGATGGAGGGGAAGGGGTTTCTTGCTGGCGAGAATTGCAAGAGAGCGAGAGGGAGGGTGTATGCTATCCCAGCCGCCGGCGTTCTATGTGTTTCTATCGTTGATAATTCTAATGTCCTATTCACTTCGGTCGGGATCGTGTCTGTTCTGTATCCACAACACAAGGCTGGTTGTATGCACCGAAATCGATATCCATGACACACTTTCGAGTTCTTGAATCGGGGGGAAGAGGTGTTTGCACGACAAGACTGAGAAGGGTCCTACCAAACTCTAGACGATGAATAGAATGAAAGGAATGATCGTCTTGTCCAATTATTCCAAGTATTCCTCCTCAGCTGAATGACCCATATCGGAGGTGTATGGCGATTATGTCCAGTGCTGCACTCCAGCGCGACTCAATGCGGCCCACCCGTCATACGAAAGCGTACGAAGGAACGACCCAACACAACTCCATCTAACTGGCCTTCGACTGGAAGGAAGGGAGATTTTCACTCAGCGACCATCTACCAACGATTGTCAAGTCCCAGGGGGTTACTTGACGAAAAGAATAGAGGGCATTAAGGGAGGCAAAGCGACACTGGGGTGATCGCGGTCCGTGTAAGTTGGATACAAACGGATATCGGGACCGACGACATCGAGACTGAGCGAACTACAAAGTACAGCAAACGACATACGAGAGTTGAGGTATATAGAGGAGGAAGCCTAGGAGGAGAGCATTGTATCGGCATACAACACGACTATCATACAACAATGTCAACACCACCACCACCAACAGGAGGAGGCTGGCGCTCCTACCTCCCCACCCTCCCCTCCCTCTCCAACGCAAGCATACAATCCCAACTACTCACATACACCCTCAAACGTGCACTTGGAACATTCCTCCTATCATCCAACGACGAGGAGGAGGTGCGGAGACTGGAGGTGGAGATGAGTGGTGGTGGAAGAGTTGAACTGAGGAATGTCAAGCTAGACGTCGATGCGATTCTGGGACGGATACCGATGCCGTTACCGGTGAAGTTGTTGGAGGCTAGAGCAGATTTGGTGAGTTTGACGCCAGCGCTGACGGGCACGAGGATTGAGCTATCTGGACTTCGGGTGCGTGGAGCGCCACTTCCGCCAGCATCTACGCCTACTGCGAGTCCGAACGTGAGTGTATCGTTCTCGACGAGCTCGCTGGCTGAGAGCCTCATCCCCGCCGACACGGAGTTAGAGGAGTCCTTGGAGCTTCCACCATCGATTGATGTCGAGTCTGAGGGTGGTCTGAACGGATTGTTGAAGAAGGCAATCGAGACCGTACTCGGTGGACTCGAGGTCAAAATCGTAGATACGGAGCTCCGGATCGAATTGCCAACTGAGGGACGTGAGTGGAAAGAGGAGGTCGTGCTACACCTAAACGAAGTACTCTATGCCGCACCCACATCCACCTTCGAAGTCCGAGGTATCTCTGCCTACGCATTCCACGACGCTATCCCATCTGAGTCATCCCTTACTGGTGCGGAGACGGCAGAGGTCATTGAAAGGATTATTCAATCTCGGTCACAGTCGGTGTTGAGCAGACCGGGGTTAAGCAGTCGACAAGCGTCATTTTCTAGTGACGTGAGTGATGTGAGTGCGTATAGTGACTTCAGTTGGGAGGGAGGAGGAGGGAGGGATATCCCGGATGATTTGTTTCAGAGTATGGTGTTCTCGAGGGAGGAGGGCCAGAGTTTGTACCTTTCTGCTATTTCTGAACGGGTTAGGCAGTCCGCGATGCAGCCATCGAGAGTGGGGATGGGGTCGACGGCTTATCAGTCCATGATGGAGCCTTCTGCGACGTATGAGAGTGCGGTTGAATTTGAGTCTGAGGTTCGGGAGGAGGACCAGGGGGAGAAAGATCAGGGGGAGAGGGAGAGGAGTGTTACACCGACGAACTCGAGCACGACGACTACGACAGTCGGCGAGGGTGGGGGCGCGGAGAGACGGAGCATGCAATTCCTCCGCATCGACGGCTCCACAACGATCTCCCTTCCCACCTCCGCGAGTATCGATATCTCCCTCCCTCCAACCACCCTTAAAATCGATACGACAGACGACCTCGCTACAATCATGGAAGTCATTTCGGGGATTGTATCTGCGTTCGTACCTACGCCGGAGAGGGAGGAGGGGGTTGTTGGGGTTAAGGTTGGGTGTGGACGTCTCGTGTTGGAGGTTGGTGGTGCTGCCGAGAGCGTGGCTGTGGTTTTGAGGGGTGTGAGGGGGGAGGTGGGGGAGAGTGGGATGGAGTTCAGGGTGGGCAGTGTTGGTATGGGCGAGATGCTTGAGGTTGGGAATGGGCCTGATGGGGCTGCTGTAACTGGCTCTTACATACCTAAGGCTGGATGGCGCTTGGCGATTGGCGGTATCTGTACGGCTTTCGGTCTCAAGGAGACTCTAGCTGCTGTGAAGACTTGGACCACGAAAGCCCTCGAAGGGTGGAATCGTGGAAAGCACGAAGACGAACTCGTTAAGGCTCGGGAAAAGCTGTATGAGGGTTTCCGGCCCCGAAGGCAGATTCAGGCTGTGAAGAAGAGGAGGGATTGCAGGAGAAGGGAGGAGAGGGGCCCGGGGACGCGGGTGGTGGTGGGCGTTCCGTGGGTTGAGGTCAAAGTGGTGGACTTGGATGTGAAAGCTCGCGTGGAGGGGGTTGAGATTGAAGTCAACCAATGGGGTGTTGTCTCTTTCCGCGTTAACGATGGGGTCGTGGGTGACCTCGCTACTGCGATGGAACCTATTACGCTTGGGAGGGTAGAGGTCAAGTTCAGTGCGGATGGGGATGTGGAGGTGGAGGATGATTTGACCACCGTCTCGTTTGATTCTACGAGCGAGAAAGGAGCGGAGGATGAAGTGGACGTTAGCCTGGAGAAAGCGAGGGACAGGTATGCGGAGCATGTGCAGGGGTGGATGTGCAAAGTCGAAGTTGCTGGTGTTGATGTCAAGGTGGACAAGCGTGTCGTTGACTGGGTTAGATCTCTTGCGGGGCGTGCAAGTGGTGTTGTGGGAAGGCAGTTTTCGTCGGATGCGGTAGAGCAGCAGGCTGGGGATGGTGGGGCGTTGCATTGGGGTGTTCGTGAGGATGTTGACGTCAGTATCGAGCTCGGCAACGGTGATGATATGTCCTTCGTCCTTCGTCATCCCGAGGGTTTGGTTGTCGTTGGTGGAGAGCGTGGCACGCTGGCGTTCGTCGAGGTTGCGAATATGAGTTTCGAGTATGGTGAAGAAGTCATCCTCGGCAGGTCTGGAGCTAGGCGGACGGGGAGTGCGGCTGCGCTTCTTGCGGGTCGTGTGGTTCTTTCCGAAAGTAGGGGCGTTGAGGCGAAGCTTGAGTTGAGAGGTGCGGTCGTTGAGTATAGGGTCGATATGCCTTGGATCGCAGTGCTTGCTGAGGTCTTTGCGGAGGAGGCTGGACCTACGATGTCGACCCCGCGACCAGCGTCTGCGCTTGCGTTGGATGTGATCTTACTGGACTGTGCCGTGGCTTTGAATCCACTCTGTGCTCCAAGCAAAGCCATTCTCTGCATTGCCGAAGCCCACGTTTCTGGCGGCACGAACTCGGCATCCCCGGATATCTGCCTCGATACCGAGGTCCGGAAGGCGTCGTTGTTGTTGATTGATGATGTCGCCAATCTGGCTTCGAGTCCGAAACGTGGTCTCGCACCGGCTGATTGCTTGGCTTGGGGAAAGAGTCTTGGGTATGTTTTTGTTGCGTCTATTACCAGTGTGAAGGCTGGTTTGGCGGTGCGCGATGAAGGAAAGAGGATTGAAGTCGATGTCACGAATCATTTGCTGTTGCTGGAGTCCTGCGCGGATTCGACGCAGACATTGATTGAACTGATCAACTGCTTGAAGCCGGAGGCAGTGGAAAGTACAGAGCTGAGATACCGGACGAACTCGAACTCTGGGGATGCGGAGCTGATTGATATGCTCGCTTCTGTGGATGAATCTGCATTTGGACCTCGTCTTGTCATGGATGAGAAGGTGGCCATCAACTTGCCTGACGACGATGTGATCCTAGATGATGTACCGACGAACCTAACGTTCGTCGAGAGTTATTATGCTAGGTCACATACATCACCAGAGGGAAGCTCGATGCAGCCAAGTGAAGACTCTTTGCTGGGTGAATCCTCCAAACCGCTTGGGAAGGGCCGCAAAGGTGCATACGAAGCCTTCGATGAGAGGGTCAGGATGTTGGATGAAGAGCCGATTGACATGGTTGAGGATCACTTCAGGACAAGCGCCCATTCCGATGATAGCACAGAAAGCATCGAGGCCGGACCCCTTCGCCTTAAGGTTCACGACTTCAATATCCTCTGGAACCTCCACGATGGATATGATTGGGCAAAGACCCGGGATGCTATCGAACGTGCTGTGCACAATGTCGAGGTGAAAGCCTTTGAAGCCCAGAAGAAGCAGAAGGACAGGGCCTACGAGGAGCTGGATGAACCCGAGGAGATTGGTGATTTCTTGTTTAACTCCATCTACGTGGGGATTCCCCCGAACCAGGATCCGAGGTCTCTGTCGAGACACATCGGGCATGTTGGAGACGAAGCGAGTGAGACGACGAGTCAGGCGTCTGGGTCGACTACTACGTACCGTCCACGTAGGACATCGTCGAGCAGCACGATCCGTACGCTAAAGCACGGACGAAAGCAGTTGAAGCTTTTCAGGTCTCGCCGTCATCGCGTGCAAATCGACATCCGCGGTATTGGCGCAGATGTTCTCGTCATGTCTCCTGACTCCGGCGAAGTTCTCAACCGCATTCATCTTACTGTTCGGGACTTCGAGGTCATTGACAATGTTCCTACGTCGACATGGAAGAAATTTGTGACGTATTTGCATGATGCGGGTGCGAGGGAGACGAACTCCAATATGCTCGAGGTGGAGTTTATGAATGTGAAGCCGGTTGCGACGTTGACTGCGTCGGAGATTGTGGCGAAGGTGAGGGTGGCACCCTTGAGGTTGCATGTGGACCAGGATACGCTGGATCTGTTGACGAGGTTCTTTGAGTTCAAGAATGAGGCTGCATTAAACGCCCGTGCTGCGCCTGCTGAGGTTGCTTTTATCCAAAGGTTCGAGGTGTTTTCAGTTCCGGTGAAGCTGGACTACAAGCCGAAGAACGTCGATTACGCGTCTTTAAGGTCTGGTCGGACCACGGAGTTCATGAACTTCTTCGTCTTGGAGGAGTCGGAGATGATTTTGCGTCACTCGGTTCTATACGGTATCCCGGGTTTTTCGCGCTTGGGACAGACGTTGAATGATATCTGGATGCCGGATATCAAGTCGACGCAGTTGATTGATGTCGTTGCTGGTGTTGGGCCCGTCCGCGCAATCGTGAATCTTGGTGGTGGGTTGAAGGATTTGGTCATGCTCCCCATTGCCGAACACAAGAAAGATGGTCGGATCGGGCGGAGTGTCGGAAAAGGCGTCGTCGCATTCGCCAAGACGACTACGTCCGAAGCAATCAAGTTGGGAGCGAAGCTGGCGGTGGGAACGCAGGTTATGTTACAGCATGCAGAGGAGATGTTGTCCTCTCCGCAGAGTCCGCCGGCGAATGACCATGATGAGTCAGATTCGGATGAGGGAGAGGCCGTGCCGCGGGTTGTATCGCATTATGCGAACCCGCCGACGAATGTTATGCAGGGTGTGCAGAGAGCGTACACCTCCCTGGCTCAGAATCTTGGTGCAGCGCGCACGACGTTGCTGTCGTTACCGGGCGAAATCGCTGAGAGGGGAAGTGCTCAGGGCGCCGCCGAAGCCGTTGCAAAAGCCATACCGGTTGCGGTGTTGAAAACATTGGGAGGCACGAGCGAGGCAGTCGGTGGTTTGTTGATGGGATTGAGGAACGGTATGAGGGAGGAAGGATGGGAGAGGAGTTTGCAGGACAAGTACAAGAGGGGTTCGGCTGAGCGTTAAGGATTGAGTTTGTCATTTTGGTAACGTTTCATGGCGATGGCGACGGGATATACGGTACATTCAGAACATGGGATTTCATTACAGGGGGGTTTGTGTTTTTGCTATAGGCTTGGTTGGGCGTTACTATCATTATCTAAATTACTTTCGAGTTTTCTGACGACGAGTTTTTGCACGCGTTGTCGTCGTACCCACCGGATTAGGACCGTGGGAATCCCAGCTCCAGCAATCGGCAACCAATGATGACAACACAATTGCTACTATCGACTACAAAACCAGGTAAACCCCAAGCGATCGTACTCGCATCCTTTTAAGATTTTGAATCAGTAATCTTGGCACCTTCATGCTTCATAAATTTCGTAAATAACGCCAGAACGCCAAATGAACGTGATCCGCAACACTTCCCTCCAACAGCGCCTATTTCTCACACATCCGTTTTCCGATCAATAACGTTACCACCCCATGCCCTCCCCTCACCGCACCTCATCCCACACGAACTCCTGGGCGACATCGTTCCTTAGCATTATCCCTTGGCTAATATAATTCCTACGCAACCTTTTTACAACTTCTATGCCTTCCCCTGCGACGTCCCAGGCGTCGTACTTTGCACACCAAACCCCTCCCTAACCTCCCCCTCCCCTCCCTCTCCCCCAACATCAACAAACATCCCCACCAACCCCTCCACAACGCCCCTCATCCTCTCCACCCTCACCATGCCCCCAGCTCCAACTTTCGCCAAATCGTTACGGAGAGCAAAGATTGCGGCATGCTTTGTGGTGGAGTACATCATCTTGTAGTCGGGGTGCTGGGAGGTGATGGAGTGCATACGCATTGTTGTTAGGACTTGGCGTTTTAGGTCGGATTCGAAGCGTTTTGGGAGCGGTGTTTCGGTCGTCGTGGTTGTATTCGAAGGCACGGCAGGTACGGGAGTTTGATCGTGGGTTGGTGGAGGGAGTGCAATCACGTTTTCTTCTCGTTTGATTCTCGACAGCCCCGACGGCTCCTTTTTCAGACCCACGGGAACGGGAGGAGGAGCAGGACTCAACGACGACCGTCTCGATAACCCAGCGAGTCGTTCAAGCGGCGCCCCACGCTTCCGTTTCCGGTTCAGTACCTCATCGAACTTCGATAACGTACTAGTCCTCCTCCCATCATCTTGAGCGATCCATCTCGCATTCGGTGATGGGGGGGGAGGGGCGTCCGGGTCTGGTTTGATGGGGGTGTAGGATGGGGGGATGATTGAGCGGGGTGTTGGACGCAGGGCTCGTGCGTATATCATCGTCGTTCTTGACGATCCGCTCGAGGAGGCGTATAGGAGTATCATGGATGGGGACTGTACTTCCGCAGAGGCGGAGGGTGATGCCGGGATCGAGAAGAGGAGAGCGTGAGGGTGGGTTTCGGTGTCGGCGTCGGCGCAGAGAGCTGAGGCGAGGAATGAAGCGGTTTCAGTGGATGCTGTTTGTCTGTACGCTCGTATTAGTGGCACTCTTGAAGGGAAAAGAGCGGAAGTGGACGCACATTCGCCATGTTGGTCCTGTGAACATCCAGAACGGGACATTGGATAGCTCAAGAACAGCGACGAATTTGGCACGCCGGACGGATAGGCCTGGTGGTTCGTCAGTGTGTTGTTCAGATGTCCCGGTGATCATGGATTTCGGATCAGAATTGCTGAACCGGACATCTGTAGACACCCCGTAAGCACATCATCCAACACGGCCTCTAAGGGGGAAGGGAACAACCATCAAGAATGCCCGAGCCATCGTACGGGTATCCCGCCATGTCCATCGCCGCTCTCCACGAACTTGCCTGCTCCGAAGTCATATCCTTCGTACGATACGCGTCGCAATCTCTTTGCCAGTTGGGGTTACTCAGGCACCGCGAGAGTCTACGTTACACTGCACCTCCCCCCGATTTCCCAACCCTCCAGCTGGATAGACATTACCATATTTTAGATCTTAATACTGCCTCGGAAACATCAAGAACGCCATCTACCAAATCATCAAACTCTGCATCCACGCTATCAGCGTTTTCGTCCTGCAGCAACTTGTCCCTCAATTTTCTTCAACAACCCTCTCAGCCCAACTCCCTTCTCGCAGTTCTGCTCCAACCAACCCTCCATCCCCTCCCTAACCCCTCTGACCTCCTCCAAAATCGGCAACGCAGTGCCTCGTCCAGCTTCGGTCGCGACTTGCACAGGGTTAAGTAATACCTCAAAAAGGCGACTCCACAACTCCTGTTGCTGGTATCGTTTGTAGGATTTGGTGATACGGTAGTGTTTCCGTCCGATGCCCACGGATTCCGCCATAGTCTCGATGTAAGACCCGAACAGGAGTGAGTGTGCGATTGCTGCAACCCCGTGGTAATCAACCTGATAAGTCCATGGCCGCGCCTCCCTCATCTCCGCACAATCCATCGCATCAGTCTCCCAATCCGCAATAAACTGTACTCCCTCCCCAAAGACCTTCATATCAATCCCACGACCGAAATCAATGAGCGTAACACCCTTCAAATTCCAGCCGCGAGAGCCGTCGCGGCGGTAGGCTGGGGAAGTGATCTCGCCAGACTCGAGACGGAGGAGACAGTTGTCGGGTTTGAGGTCGCCGTGGATGACTCCTTTTGCGTGGAGGCCTTCGACGGCGCGCAATAGTTCTACTGTGAAGAACATTGCGAGGATCTCGTCCATCGCACCGCCCTCGCCACCTCTGAACAGATTAACCAAATCCAACATGGTGCCTTGATTATGGTATTCGAGCAACAAGTATCCTTCATCGGCGAAGGCATGGAATTCTTTTGCATGGACGATGGATTCGTTGGCGCGGGAAACACCAAGACGGCGAGATGCGGCGCGGAAGATGTAGAATTCCCAGGGACTGGGAGGTCGCTCAACCTTCATGGCGATCAACTCCCCCGCATCTGACTCAACCAAATAGACGGGCGCAAAAGCACCTTCGCCAAGCTTCTTCTTCACGTGCCAGACCGTACCGGCCAATTCGACTGAACATGGCTTTCCGGCCTTAAGGGCGCGTCCGATAGTATCAGTCTTTCCTGCTTCATGTGCAGCCATCTCACCGTGGTACCCCTGGAAGGTCTCAGGACCGTACTTCAACCCACCATAGATCTGCTGACGAATACCTTCGTCCATAGGGTTGCAGACCGTCTCCTTCACGATCGGTCCTTCCTCAACCACTGGCGCATCCTTCTTCACTCCCAACACGGGTTTCTTCGCGGCTAACGGAGCACGCCTCGGTGGTGGCAGCTCGACCATCGGCGATGACATAGGCTCATCCTCTTGAGAGTAAGCGGCGAGTGGAGTTTGCGGCACAACGGGAGCGAGAGGAGCGCGTCTGACTGTGCTCTGGGCGAATTCCCGAGGCGTCTCGACGATGGGTGTCATGAGGTTGAACGGGACACCACTGAATCCCCTTGGTTGCGTCGGCATGGGTGCCTGCTGCTGAGGAGTAGCCGGAACGGCCATCTTCGGCGGAGGCAATTGTGCGTTCTCATTTTCGTCTTGGAAGACAGGCGGTGCGGGTGGAGGTAGTTCCGGTGCGGGTTGTTGCTGTAAAGTGACGGTGGGATCGACAAATATGTCCAACTTCTTCATCGGTGTCACGAGGTCATCCTCTTCCCTCTCGTCACCTTCCACATCTTCGTCAGAGTCAGACTCGCTGTCACCATCTTCACCCGCAAGCACAACCTCAGACATGATCTCCGCAGCAGGTGTGTCTCCCATGTCCTCATCCTCGTCCTCGTCGCTGTCCTCTTCGCTATCGTCCGATTCTTCCCTCTCACAGCGCAACGGCGCGTTGAAGAGGTCAAGTACATCGTCCATGGCAGCCTTAGTATTGATCGTCGGGGATGCACATTTGATCACCTTTCGTCGTGGCGCATCCTCATCCTTCAGGGGTGTTTGAGCGATGGCAATGGAAAACTCTCGCGGAGCAGCCTTCGGAGTAAGCTCCAGCTCTGCAGCGGCCTCCTCCTCTCGCTTCCTCTGCTCTTCAGCGGCAATGCGGGCAGCTTCTTCCTGACGAGCTTTCCCCTCAGCGGCGAGTCTAGCAGCTTCTTCTCGTGCCTGTTGCTCAGCGGCCAGCCTCGCCTCCCCTTCCTTCTTTCTTCTCTCTTCCTCAGCCTTTTTAGCGGCTTCCTCTTGCGCCCTCCGTCTCAACTCTTCCTCCTGTCGTACTTTCTCTTCTGCGGCGCGTCTAGCTTCCTCCGCTGCCTTTCCGCCGCCAGATTCTTCCTCATTAGCCCTTTTAACGAGCTGCTTCGCATTAAGGCCGCGACTCTTCGCCCTCACCTCTGCAAAGGAATATTCCTCTTCTTCCTCACCATCCGCGTAGATCGCACAATAATGTACCTGGACTTTCATCTGCTTGCCATTGGCCACAGAATAGAAGGGCTTGTACGCAGGCAGACTCTTCATGAACGCGTCATCCTCAACCTCATCAGTGTAGATAGCGCCCGCAAGCGAAGATGTAGGGACAGCAGTGCTTGACTTCAGTGTCTGTCCAGCCCAGGTAGTTGATTTGACGCCGTTCTCCTTCTTACGCGCTTCGAGAGTTCCGAGAGAACCCCAAGCGGAAGCTCCGGCTGCAGGCATATATTCATCCTCCCCCGGTCCATCAGCAAAGACATCCAATTTTGCGCTCTGTCTTTCAAGCCCTGTCAACTCCTGCTCAGTACCAAGCCCTCCTGTCTCACCACCTAGTGCGGGTCTCACGACCTCGCCGGCAACTCCTTCAGATTTTCCATTACCACCAGCCGCTTGTCTCGCCTGAAAGTGGGAGTACGTCCGTTGCAATCTCTCCACCGGTCGAGCCCGACGAGCAATTCCCATGACAAACACGTCATTCGCCTGCTTGCTCCTCCCAATACTCTCCAAATACCCCGCATACTCCTCGTAAAACATCGCCAAATCCAAGCCAACTCTGTTCTTGAACAGGTATGCGTACACTTCCCGAGGCGAATCAGAGTATCTGGTATAATCACACCACAACCGAAGATACCGTGGGTCGTTGAGGTATTGACTCCATGATTCGCCCTCGAACGCCTTTGTTGCTCGCTCCAACACGTTCACCAGACCAGACTCGCTGGATTGTCCGGCAGGGTATGAAGCCTGAATCCACTTGACGTATCGAACCCAGATATCCAGTGGATCATCCACCTCTAGCGCTATTTCCAGCTCTTGCTCGAACGATGCCCGTTGTTGTTGACGCTCATCTGGTTTCTGGCCGAATGCCTTCCGTAGGTTGGTTGCTCTGTGTCCGTTGAGCTTTGGTTCAATGTTTTCCTTCTGTGTCTCGATGGCTGCGAAATCAATGGGATCCGACATAGTCGAGACGAAGAATCGAATGAATGTATTTTATGAATAGAACGACTGAACGCCGGTCGAGTGAATGCCGTTCTGGTTGTTGAAAGTGGTTGTCGTCGTTGCTGTTGAGTTGAAGATCGACTCAACTCTTTGTTTTGATTCGGCCAGATTTGGGCAGCGTCAACAAATGCGCCCGGAATGAAAACCCCATAGCAACCAACACGGATCCTCGCAAGATACTTAACTGAAGTGAAGACAATACATCTTTTACGTCTTTAATCTGTCACGATTGGGAACGGTTGACGTAGCTTCCCTGGAGGTTGATGACGTTGCAAGAAGCTTCGTCATTCTGCTGCTATATCGATATCCTCCAAATGTTCATTCTACCCATATGCATCTAATCTCTCTTCTCCACATGCGACCAAACCTCAATCCTCTTCCCCTCTCCACCTCCAACAATCCCCATCTCTCCTCCATCAACCCCAAACATCTTCCCCTCCTCCCTCGGCCTAAGCACATGAATCGCCCCCTTCATAGCCCTAACATCCCACACCCTAACCGTTCCATCATGCGAAGCACTGTTAACACCATAGGATTGTCCATTTTGACAAACGGAGACGACCATACCGGTGTGTCCGGTGAGAGAACCGGCGTTCGTGGTTGCGGCACCGGCGCGGGGGTCGATGAGGGTGATTGTGCGGGATGCGGTTCCGGCTGCGAGAAGGTGGAGGGAGGGGAGTGCGCAGAGGGAGAGGAGGGGGTGGGAGGTTGGGGTGATGGTTGACAACAATGTCGCGGTGGGGAGATCATAGGTTCGGACGCTGTGGTCCCATGAGGCGGTGTATGCCAACTCTGATGACTCGGGAGCGAAGATGGTCGCGGACAGTGGTGAGGGGTTGGCCCCGGATGAGGTCTCGGACTGAGTGAGAGTGAGGAGAGGAGAGTAGGATGGTGCTTGAGGAGCGGACTTTGCGGTTCTTCGGCGCTTGCGTTGGGCACCGGTGTCCTCATCCTCCGAAGCCTCGTTCTGTTCTGCCGTGTTGAGGGAGTAGAAGTTCAACACACCGTCGGCTCCAGCGGACAGTACGTTGTTACCCGCCACTGCCAAATCCTCAATCGCCGCAGAATGTCCCTTGAACCGTCCCAGACATCGTGCCTCAGCCGCACCGTCCTCACCAGCGACCTCCTGCGCGTCCCACTCCCATAATCTGACGGTGCGGTCCATACCCGCCGTCACGAATCGCCCCTCATCAACCCACTTCACGCTCTTCAACGGCGCATCAACCGCACTCGTCGCGCAGACGACATCTCCACTCATATTCCAAACACGCGCAATACCATCGTAGGCACCAGACAACACCAACTTCTCGCGGACATGTACGCTGCCGACCCAATCGGGGTGTTCATACGACGCCAAATGTGACGGAGGGAGAACGGCGCGGATATATTCAATTTCCACCACAGTTTCCCTGCTCAACCCATTCTGAGTCAAGTAATCATCAAGCGATGTCCTCAAAAATGATCCATTGATCAAGAAGTCGAAAGGGGTGGGGGTGTCGGTGTCGAGCAAGTGGTTAATGACTTCGGACAATCCGTAACGCTTCAGGGTCGTCGGAACGAGGATTGGTGCCGTCGGGACAGCAACGTCCGCATGACGGGTGGTGAAGCGGACCTGGACTTGGGATTGAGGATCGCTGGTTTGATCGGACATTATTTGCTTCTGCTTTCGACCACCGCCTGCCTACGTCCAAAAAAGTCGGCGATATGAGCGTGGCGCGTGCAGCACCAGCCACGAGCGGTGCGCACCTTCGCACTCGATGAGCTCGACACCGCGAAACACGACTCCTCCATTCTCCTCTTGATCCCACCCCAACAATGGCATCCTTCCCTCCCCTCAAGAACAACCTCATCCTCCGCGCAGCCCGTGGCGAAAAGGTCGAACGTCCTCCCATGTGGGTCATGCGCCAAGCCGGTCGCTACCTCCCCGAATACCACAAAGTCCGTGCTGGCCACGACTTTTTCGAAATGTGCCGGACCCCCGAAATCGCTTCCACGATCACCCTCCAACCTATCGAGAGATATGAGGATCTCGATGCTGCCATTATCTTTTCGGATATCTTGGTGATTCCGCAGGCGATGGGGATGGTTGTCGAGATGGTTGAGAAGAAGGGACCGCATTTTCCTGAGCCGTTGGAGACGCCGGAGGATTTGGCGAAGTTGAAGAGACTTGGGGAGGGGTGTGATGTGAAGAAGGAGCTTGGATATGTGTTTGAGGCACTTACCCTCACCCGACAAAAACTTGCTGGACGAGTGCCCTTGCTCGGATTCATCGGTGCCCCATGGACACTGATGGCCTACATGATCGAAGGCGGCGGCAGCAAGACTTTCACAAAGGCAAAGTCATGGCTGTTCAAGTACCCCGAAGACTCCCAGAAACTGTTGCAAGACATCACCGACGTCGCGGTCGAGTTCTTGGCACAACAAGTCGTCGCCGGTGCACAGATGGTCCAGGTCTTTGATTCGTGGGCAGGAGAGCTGAGTCCGGTTGAGTTCGCGGAGTTCTCCTTACCGTACCTCCGACAAATCTCAAAGCGTGTCCCGGAGCGGTTGGCGGAGTTGGGACAGGAGCAGGTGCCAATGACCGTGTTCGCGAAGGGTGCGTGGTACGCTCTTGATGCTCTCTGCGATTCTGGGTACAATGTCGTTGGACTCGACTGGACCCACGACCCTGCTGAGGCAAGGAAGATCGCAAATGGTCGTGTCACCCTGCAAGGAAACATGGACCCGAACGTGTTGTATGGTGGAAAGGAGGCAATTGACAAGGCTGTCAAGAGGATCGTCGAGGGCTTTGGTGGTGGTAAACAGGGGTATATTGTCAACTTGGGTCATGGAGTCACGCCTGGTGTCAAACCCGAGGACTTGGGCTTCTTCTTGAGGAAGAACCACGAGTATGGATCTGCATAGATGATCTAGAGGATTGTATAGTATGTATTCTTACAGATATCCCTTTCCAAAAATTCCAAGACTCATTCTACTCGTACATCTGCTATGTTTTCTAGGCCTAAGCTTTGGTGATATTGGCGTCTTCCAAGATCAAGACCGGTTTTTCGACAGCCTTTTCGCTCTCCAACAACTGGTGAATCTTCCTCAAGTTTTCAACAGTGAACTTGTAAGGGGTCAAGGTCCCCGTGGGAAGGCAGTGCTTATGACAGCGAAGGAAGGAAGAGGAGTACGAACCTTGAGCTTATTTCAACTGGGGGCAGGTATTGTATTACTATTACAAAAACAAAAAACCATCCATCATAACATACTTGACTTTCTCTCGTCATTCTAACCGTCTCTATCATTACCTCATCACAATGTTCCTCCTTTTCGCGTATCGTACACTCCACCAATTATGCTTCGGGCATCATCACTTCTCACAGCCCATCCGTTGTACGTCACTCCTCGTCTTGTTCTCTCTTCAAAAATGCGCAAACGCCTGCACAGCAGCAACATCAACCACATCAACCACCAGACTCCTCCTAACCCAACTATCCCTCATCCCCTCAATCTGCCCCCGAATCCTCTCCCTTGCCTCCTCTTCTCCCTCAAACATCTCCGGATGCTCCGGTAAGCCGCTCAACCACCTCCTCACACCCTCTCCTCCCGGTCTCTGTGCCTGGAGAGGGATGTACTCAGAGGCACGACAATGACGCCCGTCGGGGAGTTTGGGGAGTTGGTAGGTGCGGAGGGCTTGGGCCTGGGTGTTGACGGGGTTCAGGATGGGCTCGGCGAGGGAGGGGGGAAAGTCAGGGCGGAGGAAAGGGGTGAAGGGGTCGAGGAGGAGGTGGGATGTGGGTGTCGTGATGCGGTACGGAGCGGGGATCGCGGGGCGCGAGGAGCTCGGGGTTCGTTTTAGCAGACGCGGCGGTTTGGTATCGCTTGCAATTGTTTGTTGAATATTCTTTGTGCTTTCCTCACGATCACGTAGCTTGCCTTTCTGCGGTTGATGACCACTGAGTTGGGTAGCCTGACCTTCAATGGGCGCAGTGCGTGTATCAGACTTCGCCCGAGACCACCGACGCTTATTCGGAGGCCGAATAACATTAGCATGCGGCGCAGGCGTAACCGGCGTAGGATGCGGCGTAGCAACATGCACCGGCCTCGCCTCAACAGCAGTGGGGTCAGACGACGCATTCACCCCCGGCGGCTCAGCAGTCACCCGGTTCTGGACCACCGTAACACCCGTATTCGTGTTCGTCCAGTCTTCTTCGAACAGACGTACGATAGGCCTCAAACTGTCGCTGATCCGGGAAAGCCTCCAGAGCTTCTTCTTGTCCTTGACCGAGGTAGAAGCGACGTTCGATGTCATATTGGCTCAGCTGTCGGAAGAGAGGGACGTAGTCGCGGACGAAGACGTAGAAAACCAAAAGAAAGACGGCCCAGGAGATGAAGAGGAGGGTGAAGAGAAGAGTACAGATGAAGAAGAAGTAGCAGACGAGTTCGGCGGCGGTGAGAAGCCGTGGGTAACGACGTAAGCCTGAATAAATTAGTCGGCGGAGAAGAGCCGTTGGAGAAGCCAGCGGCAGAGTAAAACAGAGAAGAGAGGATGAATAGAGCAATGTCAAACAGTACGATGAATCCGGCAACAAAACAAAACGAGTTGACGGGTTGTATGCGTGATGACACTAATTGTACAGCAGTACTCCAGCTGGCCTCGAGTTCCGTGTGATGCTGAATCTCAAAATGAGCCAAAATGTAGCTTGGATAGCCTGATTCTTCTGTTGAAACAATATAAAAAGAATCCTCTTTTCTCTTGACATAACTTCACCCAACCCCTGATCTGACCATTTCACCGGGCATACGTACGACATCTCGGACGCTCCACCCTTCATCCTTCGCAGTCCTTACCCTCCCCCCTCCACAGCTGCCCACCATGAGCTACCAATCCGGCCGCCAACAATTCAACCGCCTCATGCAAACCATCGGCCAACAGACCGGTGGCTCCTCCCCCAGAGGAACCTTCCTCGGCTCCGGCCTCCTAATCGGCGGCGTCATCGCCGCAACCGCCATCAACTCCTCCCTCTTCAACGTCGACGGAGGCCACCGCGCAATCAAATACACCCGCCTCGGCGGTATCTCCGACAGAATCTACGCCGAAGGCACACACATCATGCTCCCCTGGTTCGAAACACCCATCACCTACGACGTCCGCGCCAAACCCCGGAATGTCGCTTCGTTGACTGGAACGAAGGATTTGCAGATGGTTAATATCACGTGCCGTGTTCTTTCTCGTCCGGATACGGGGGCGTTGCCGATGATTTATAGGACGCTTGGGACGGATTATGATGAGAGGGTTTTGCCGTCGTTGATTAATGAGGTGCTCAAGAGTGTTGTTGCGCAATTCAACGCGAGTCAGCTCATCACGCAGCGTGAGAAGGTCTCCCGTATGGTCCGCGAGGCACTCATTGTGAGGGCCGCTCGTTTCAATATTTTGTTGGACGACGTCTCCCTCACCCACGTCCAATTCTCCCCCGAATTCACCGCCGCGGTCGAATCCAAACAAATCGCGCAACAAGAAGCCCAGCGCGCTGCATTCGTCGTCGACCGCGCACGACAGGACAAAGCTGCCGCAGTCGTCCGAGCTCAGGGTGAGGCGCAGAGTGCGGTGTTGATTGGAGAAGCGATTAAGAATAAACCTGGGTTTGTAGAGTTGAGGAAGATTCAGACTGCGAGGGAGATTGCGCAGACGTTGAGTGAGGGGGGGAATAGGATTGTGCTTGATAGTGGGAGTTTGATGATGAATATTGGGGCGGAGGTTAATCATGAGCCGACGAAGAAGAGGTAAATGCTGTCATTGAGAGTGAGTTGCAGTTGAGTTCGAGTGGGTGTGTAAGATTTAAACTGTAGCATTTGTTTCTATGAAAAACTCATCTCACGATGCCTTCCTTTGCCCAGCTGATATACCGTATACCGTATACTCGTCAGTATGCCCAGGCACAGGCAGTGAGCTGTTGTTGGTCGGTCAGCGCGCGACGCAGCAAAACACCATCCACTTGCAACTGACCGCAACGTCAAGCCAAGTCAATTGAGTAATACAAGCGCAATGGACGGCGATATCGAGCTCGCTCCAACCCTCTCAAACATCCACCACGCCCCAACACCCTCCCAATCCTTCTCAGCCCTCTCCGTCCACGAAACCCTCGACCGCCTCCACACCTCCCCAACCCACGGCCTCTCTCCCTCCGATGCTCGCTCCCGTCTGTCCCTCCACGGCCCCAACGAATTCGAAGAAGAAGAAAAAGACCCACTATGGAAGAAGTTTTTAGGTGGCTTCACGGAGCAACCACTCATTTTGCTGTTGATGGCGAGTTCGGGGGTTAGTCTCGTCGTGGGGAATGTCGATGATGCGGTGAGTATCGTCGTTGCAGTGATGATTGTTACGACGGTTGGGTTTGTGCAGGAACAGAGGTCTGAGAAGTCGTTGGAGTCGTTGTCGAAGTTGGTGCCGCATTATGCTCAACTCATTCGGTCCACTGACTCCGAAGGTCTTGCGGGGCCGGCTCCGACGACGGTGTCGGCAAGCACCCTCGTACCGGGTGATTTGGTGACGTTTTCGACGGGTGATAGGATCCCGGCTGATGTGAGGCTATTGGAAGCGGTGCATTTGGAAATCGATGAATCGAACCTTACGGGCGAAAACGAACCCTGCCTAAAATCCACCCCAGAAGTCCGGTCGCACAACCACCATGAAGACCCCAACCACGGCCCCGCAATAACCGAGAGAAAAAACATCGCATTCATGGGGACCCTCGTCCGCAACGGCCATGGCCGGGGCGTCGTCGTCGGCACCGGAAAAGAGACGGAAATTGGTGCGGTGTTTAGCATGATCTCCACAACCCAAAAACCCAAAACCCCCCTCCAAAACAACATGGACGCCCTCGGCTCCCAATTATCCTACCTCTCCTTCCTCCTCATCGGCCTCATCCTCCTCCTCGGTCTCCTTCAAGGCCGCCCCTGGCTCGATATGTTCACTATCGGAGTTTCCCTCGCCGTCGCGGCCATCCCGGAGGGTCTCCCACTCGTGGTTACGGTGACGCTTGCGTTGGGGGTGCTGAGGATGGCGGAGAAGAAGGCGATAGTGAGGAAGTTGGTTAGTGTTGAGACGCTGGGGAGTGTTAATGTTGTTTGTAGTGATAAGACGGGGACGTTGACGGAGAATCATATGACGGTCACTAAACTCTGGACTGTCGATCCTGCCAATCTTTCTCCTGTCCAAGTCAAAGAGGAGAATGGAGCGGCGGCGGGGGTCGCGGTGAAGAATTTGTTGAGGGTGGGGAGTTTGTGCAATAACGCCCACACCGCCGACCTCGGCCACTTTGTCGGCCAAGCAACCGATGTCGCACTCCTCGAAGTCCTCGCAAAATACGGTATGGAAGACCCCCGTTCCCTCGTCAAACGCGTCCACGAAACCCCCTTCAACTCGGAACGAAAATGGATGTCGGTCGCGGTCAAAGCGGGGGATGAGAAGACTGTTACGGTGTGTGTCAAGGGCGCACTCGAGGCGATTTTGGGGAGGAGTGAGGGGTGGATGAACAAAGATGGGAGGATTGAGAAGATTACGGAGCCTGTGAAAAAGCAAATTGTGAGTGTTTCGCATGGGATGGCGGAGGAGGGATTGAGGGTCTTGGCTATGGCTAGTAGGACCTCTAATTCGGAGAGGGCGGCGGATGAGGGTGAGCTTACGGGATTGTGTTTTGCGGGTTTGGTGGGGATGTACGACCCCCCCCGCCGCGACATCGAGCGCTCGATCTCAAAGCTGTTAAAAGGCGGCGTCAAAGTCATCATGATCACCGGCGACTCCGAAACAACAGCCGTATCCATCGCGAAACGCCTCGGCATGCAAATCGGTAGCGACCACGTTAATGAGAAGGGACAACATGAGAGTGTGTTACGGGGTTCCGATATCGAGAAGATGAGTGAGAGAGAGTTGGAGGAGGTGATGGGGCGGGTTGTTGTTTGTGCGCGGACGACGCCGAGGCACAAGATGAAGATTATTCGAGCGCTACAGTCGAGGGGGGATATTGTTGCGATGACGGGGGATGGGGTTAATGATGCCCCCGCGCTCAAACTGGCGAATATTGGGATTAGTATGGGGAAGAGTGGAACGGATGTCGCGAAGGAGGCTGCGGATATGGTGTTGACCGACGACTCCTTCGAAACGATCCTAGGCGCAATCGAGGAAGGAAAAGGAATCTTCTCGAATATCCAGAACTTCATCACGTTTCAGCTGTCGACATCTATCGCGGCACTCTCGTTGGTTGCGTTGGCTACGTTGTTTGGGTTGCCGAATCCGTTGAACGCTATGCAGATTTTGTGGATTAATATTTTGATGGATGGGCCTCCGGCGCAGAGTTTGGGTGTGGAGCCTGTTGATCCGGACGTGATGAATCGGCCGCCGCGAGCGAGGGATGCGCAGATTATTACGAGGAAGTTGATTGGGAGGGTTCTTACGGCGGCGGGGTTGATGGTTGCGGGAACGATGGCGATATATGTGTTGGAGATGACGGATGGACACGTTACTGCGCGCGACACGACGATGACATTCACCTGTTTTGTGTTGTTCGATATGTTTAACGCACTCACATGCCGTTCCCCAACCCGCTCCGTCCGTCAATTCGGACTCACGTCGAACAAAGCATTCAATTTCGCGGTCGTGGCGTCGTTGTTGGGACAACTCGCCGTCGTGTACGTTCCGTTCTTTCAGCGGATTTTCCAGACGGAAGCGTTGGGGTTGAGTGATTTGGGGTTGTTGGTGGTTATTGCGAGTAGCGTGTTGTGGGTTGATGAGATTCGGAAGTGGATGGGGAGGAGGGACGCGGCGATGAGTTCGGGAAATGGGTATAGCGATGAAGTCTGACTTGGTGGTGTTGCGACGGAGCTATAGAAAGAGAAAATGGGGGTTGGGGTTTAGATACGGTAGAGAGGTAGTTAGGATGTACTTTTGCATTGGGGGTGGATTAGACGATGAGCAATTGATGGTGATTAGTGACGTCTGTGAACAAATGAAACTGTAATCCTTCAGTTGATGAGGGCCTATCCACCCGGAGTGTGCCGGCGTGGACACTGATTCAGCGATAGTCATGGACAGTACACGTGTGATCACAGTAAGATTATCATTGGTGTTATTCGATATGCCGAACACAAACAACCCGACCCATCCCATCCCATTCCAAGCAAAGCAATAATAAACTCCGTTTGCCCAAATATAAAACTCCGTCCGACGAACCCAACCCAACCCAAATCGGCATCCCAACAGACAACATGCAAGCCGAGAGGCTCCGTAGAGGTACCAGCCTCGATTCCATTCCAATCAAACAATCCATCACTCCAGCATGAAGAGGACGACAAAGAGTGACGTCGTCGTAGCAGCTCGCCATTGACTGACGTCAATGACTCTACTCCTCCTCCTTCGGACTCCCCTCCCCCCCAACATCCCCAACCCTCCCCACAATCTCCTCCAAAAAATCAAACATCTCCGTCTCCATAACAGCCTGCTTCATATGCCCCACCGTAACCCTCTTCGCACCCCTCTCCCTCGTCTTCGCCGTCGACGCCAAGATGATTTGTTGCATAAAGAGCTCGAGGGCGCGGGAGATGACGATGGGGGTGACTTGAGCGACCTTTCCGACGTCTTCGTCTGCCTGCATTATCTTTTTGATGCGAGCGACTGGGAATTTTGTTTTGTAGGCTTTGGAGGCAGCCATCGTAGCGATGTCGAGGTGGGCAGCGACTCGCTCGGCCTTTTATTTAATCAGCGGCCATCCATCAGGCGCGCGTTGGGTGCTGGCCGAACGCTGGGGCCTAACCCGGTTACGGGGCGTGTAACGTAGACATCACACCACACCCCTCCTCCCTATACGCCGCTGTTTGTTGGATAGGGACGATGGCAAAGACACGACGACGCAGTATGAAAGCAAAGACACCGCAAACTGCGAACGCGCCGACGGATCGGGGGGACAAGGAGGCGTATGTTGTGAAGGCTATCCTCGACGCGAAACTCGTGGGCGGGAAAGTGCACGTCCTCGTTGACTGGGAAGGGTACGGGCCTGATGGAAGGACGTGGGAGCCAGAGGAGGACTTGCTTGGTGCGGAGGACGCGTTGGAGGAGTTTAAGCGGTTGCACCCAGAACTGCTGGGGATGGCCACGGTTGCGGGTGGCGCGACGGGGAAGAGGAAGAAGGGAGAACATGAGGAGGGCGCTGTTGTGCAAAGTAGGGTGGTTGAGGAGGTAACTTCAGGGAGCACGCGACCGTCAAAACGCGCAAAGAAACCCACGGACGCGGTACCCGTACAGACTGAACCACAACTATGGCCTCCACGCGAACGAGCAGCATCGCGTGCACCAACCACTCAACAAGGAGTGCCGGAGTCACAGAGACGACCACGACGAAAGTCCACTGCGCCGCCTTCTATCGCACGCGATCCCTCATCAGCACCAGCACCAGCAGTGCCAGCAGCTGCCGTGATAGAGATCGCATCACAACCGGCATCCTTCCTCCGCCTTTCACAGCCTACACCCCCACCTACAATCCTCCCTCGCTCTCCCCCCGTACAACCCCAACCCCGACCCGCACCCTCCGCACCAGCACTAATCGCCGCCTCGACTCTCGCCTCCGCCTCCGGCTCCAGTACGGACCCGGTACCACTCCTAACCCCTCTCTCCGAATGGGCGGCAAAATACAGTATCGGGATCGCGGCGATGGCGGAGTTGGTTAGTGTGTTGCATATGGGTGGGGTGCGGATTATGGAGCCGGTTGTGCGTGCGAAGGCTTCGGACGCGCCATCGCGGGGATTAGACGAAGTACGAGAGGCACTTGGAACAGGGGATGCGGGTGAAGGGGCACGAGGGGTGGATGAGGAGGGAGTGAATGTTGGACCCGAGGAGGGTTATGGTGACGATGACGACGCAGTGGGCGAACCAGACGACGACAGCGAACCTCCACCCACCGACACTGACGCTATCCCCACCCGCAAAATCGGCAACCTAATCCTCTACCCCGCCACAAGCCGTCCCACCACATCATCCTCCCGCCGCCCTCCTAACCACCCCTCGCGCTCATTCACCCCCCGTGACATATCCCCTGCACCCCCCACCGCTAAGGTAATTCTATTAGAGGGAGATATGTCCAAACGCATGAAAATCTGTCGCTGTAATTATTGTTTATTTGACACGAGGGGTGTTGGGAAAGTTATTGAGGAGGGGGTTTGGGAGGAGCATAGGAAGAGGTCGGAGGGGTATCAGGGGCGATCTTCAGCGCCGTCGGACAATGTTGGGGCGATTGGAGGGCCAGAGAAGTTGATTACGTGTTTTTGTAGGGTTTGTGCGGGGAAGGATGTTGATCAACGGATGTATCAGGAACATTGGGCGGTGACGATGAGAGCTGCGGGACAACAGAGTCCTGAGGTAAGGTTGCCTGGGGTTAGTGAGGTTGAGGGAGTGGGACTCGGAGTCGGAGTCGGAGGTGGGACACAGCCAGTCGACTTGGGCTCTGGCCAGACAGAGACGCCCAATGCAATGTCGAACCCCACCGATGCGACGGTGTCAGGGTCAGCCTCGGCACAAGACCCCCTCCACGAAGAATACCTCATCTTCCGCAAATACTGCCGCAAAATCCACCGCGATATATGTCCCCAAGGCCTCCGCTGGTCAGAAACACCGCCCCAGCTTCGACAAACTGCGATTTATATGGTGTTGGCGGCGTGGGGTGCGGAGGGGTGGAGGAAGATGTGTGTTGATGTGCGGTATGCCGGAAAGATTTTGGGACAGGTGGCGGATAACCGGGCACCGAAGGATAGGGCGGTTGTGAGGGATGGGGGGAGGTTGTATGGGGAGGAACTGGAGGGGGTGGGTGAGGCGGGAGTGGCGAGTGTGGGTGCTGGAGGTGGAAGTAGGGAGGGGCAGCGAGATGCTACCGGTGGAGTGTCGGTTGGGCAACCAGCGCAGCTTTTGGGGACGCCGACGCCTGCGCAGCACAAGGCACGACAGCATCAGCGACAACCGAGTTTGCTTGGCCATGGACCCACTCCAGGGATGGCATCGGCAGGCGCAGGTGGTCCTACGTCGCAGTCGCCTATGTTGCAGCAGCCGCAGCCCCAGGTTGCGACAAACCGACGGCCGTCATCTTCGGAACAACGACAGCAGCAAGGGTCGTCGCAGAACTCCAGTGTACCGCCTCTCAGTCACGGTACTGCTCCTCTTGTTCAGCAATTCCGGCAACAAGAGCATCAGCAACAGCAGCGGCAGCAGGTGAATGGATCGCAGCAACAGTTGCCTCAGAACGGACAGCAGCATCTCCCACAAATGCAACCACCTTTCCAGTATCAGTCTTCGCCGTATGGCATGATGAATTCGAATTCGGGGTCGGGTATGCCGCCTCGGCCGACGTTGCCGGTGCCGCATCCGGCTTCGTTTACGCAGTTTCACGGTGGAAACTCGAGCTCCGCGGGTGCACAGAGTTCTCCAGTACCGACATTACATCTGCCGAACTCGAAAAGTGATCGGTTGGATACGCCGGTTTTGCAGCAGCAGGCTACTGCTCCACGACGGACTGAACAGTCTAGTGCGCAACAGCAGAACCGTATGCAGCAACCTGAGTCTCACGCGACCATCCAGCAAATCCAGACACCTCGATCACAACCTCCCGGCCGAGACACTCCTACAGACAACCATAAACGCGTCCCCTGCCTCTGCACGAAATGCCGCGGCAAACTCGTACACCCCGCAACAGAACGCAGACATCGACAAGCCACGGCAGATATGAGTAAACTGCTAGCGAGTCGGGTGAGATGCTTTTGTGGGGAGTGTAGGAAGATGTCGCTGGGTGGGGTGTTGGTTGAGAGGTTTGTGGAGGTGCAGCATCGGGCTGCTGAGCAACTAGCTGAGCAACGAGGGCAGGTCTCGGAGCAGGATTAGGGAATGAGGGTGGTAGTCAAGCATGGACGTTTTTCTGGGGCGTTAGATTAGGTATGCCGTAGTATAGGTATGTAGTAATAATTATTCATAAGCGCGTATTCCATATCAACTTTCCCACGCCTTCTTACACTCTATATTATCCGGCTTGGTCGAGTAAGAGAGTTCATCACAGTGAAGCTTTCATAAATAAGACTATGGACTTCCTGGCACCACTGAACGATATACTTTATCTGGGGACATTTTTTCACACCGATCGTGATATTACCTTCCCTTATGATTATCTATCCCAAAACTGCAGCTGTCCTCTGCTTCTTCTAATCATAATCTCAAAGCATATCCTCCCCTACACCAAACAAACACTATCAACACACCCATACCCAGCCGCAACCCCCCCCTCCTCACTTTCCACCCCCTTCGTCCTCAACAACCACCCCGCCTCCCGATTAACCCTCAACCCTCCCTCATTCTCCGCCGCATCCCACAACGCAACACCATAAACACCCAACTCACCTACAACCCCTCCCTCCAGCAATTCTCCCCCGCGCACAATGGTGTTTCGTGCTGCGGGAGGCTCAATGAGCTCCATGAGGATGTAGGCATCGAAATGTGCGTCCGAGGGGAGGGAGTTGAGGAATGTGGGGATTTTGGTGCGGTAGATGTTGTTCCCCCCGCCTTCTCGTTGGGGTTTTAGGACGTATTTTTCGGGGTTTTGGAGGGCTAGGTGGCGACCGAGTTTGCCGGGTTGGGAGTGGGCGTCCATGGGGTACAGCGCGGTGAAGGTCCGTCGTAGTCTGGAAATTAGGTTAGAGTAGGAGGATGGGAAGAAGTATTCGAGTTGATTGGGCTCCGCAAGTCGTTGTTGGACTTTTTTGGCGCCGGCGAGGTGGGTGATGAGGGTTGGACACTTGATCGCCATACTCCTCTCCAACATCTCTCGTGCGTCCCATTCGGTTTGGGTGGGAAAATCTGTTGGGGCGTAGCCCGCGCGGAAATATACTGTGCTTACTTCCACGGTCGTACCTGATGGGTGTGGGATGGTGAGAACGGAGGTGGAGGGAGAGATGTGAGCGAGGGAGTGGAGTTCGGCAAGGGTGTGGCGGAGGACTGGGGTAGAGTGGGTTTTGAGGAGGGTGTATTCGAGCCAGCGCTGGTCGAAGGCGTTGCGTTCGCCGGGTTGTACGACGAAGAGGATCACGACGTTATTTTTCTTTTGTTTGCGTTGTTGGGCGAGGTAGGCTTCATGCGCTGCAGCGAGGCCTGCTGCGAGTTCGTCGAGTGCCGGATTCGCCGGCAATGCGTCCATGTTGAGGGCGGGGGATGAAGGGAACGCGCCAATACTGAAGAGATGACGATGGAGATCGGAGACGCGGGTCGAGAGTGCACCGAAGGAGGATGAGACGGTGTTGAACTCGACCTGCTTGATACTCACTTCCTCATCGCCCTCTGCCTGATGCAAGAGGTAATCCGAGCGGAAGAGTCCGAGGGAGAGGGATTGTGCGAAGCCTGAGGCACGGAGTTTGAGGTGCATGGCCCATAGACGCTCCATGAACTCGTCGACGCCTTTTAGGGACTCCATCACCTCGCCCAACCATTTCTCGTCCCTACTCACACGGACGTACAACTCGTTGTACATTTCCTGGACATCTCTGGCTTCCATCCACGCTTCCCGCGGGAATAGGGACGGGAAGAGGGTCACGGGTGCCGCGGTCGCGAGGGTGTTGGAGGGGTTTGTGGGCGCGAGGGAATCGGCGGGACGAACAACGAGGCCGTGAGCGAGGGCGTAGTCGGTCAGGGAGGAGTGGAGGTACTGTTTCTGGGCCTCGGTGAGGGAGGGGGGGTAGGCCATGCTGTACGATCTGGATCAATGGATCAACGGGGACTGACTTGGTGGTGAGTTTGGTCTGGCAGTACCCGCCGCCCTGGCTAAAACTTTAATCCAGCGTACGCTCGGCGGTAGGAACTTTATCGTCCTCGAGACTTGAAGATTTTTTAAGTTGATCCGTTGATCTACAACCTTCATGGACACTCGAACACTCGGTATCCTCGGCGGCGGTCAGCTGGGCCGTATGCTCGTTGAATCCGCCCACAGACTCAACATCAAAACCCTCCTCCTCGACGCTCCCGGCGCTCCCGCAAAGCAAATCAACGCCCTCCATGACCACATCGACGGTTCCTTCAAAGACGCCGCAAAGATCAAGGAGCTTTCCCAGCGCTGCGACGTCATCACTACCGAGATCGAGCACGTCGATGCAGCTCCGTTGGCGGAACTCGAGAAGCAGGGATTCGAGGTTTGGCCGTCGAGTGCTACGATTATCACGATTCAGGATAAGTACGTCCAGCACAAACACCTCGCCGAACACGACCTTCCTCTGCCATACTTCATTCCGATCGACACCCCAACCACCGAGGCTCTCGAGAAGACTGGCGCAGAGCTCGGATACCCTTACATGCTCAAATCCCGTACCATGGCCTACGACGGTCGCGGAAACTACGCGGTCAAGTCCTCCACCGATATTCCTGCCGCTCTGGAAGCATTGGGCGACAAACCCCTCTACGCGGAAAAATGGTGCGAATTCACCCGCGAGTTGGCGGTGATGGTGGTTCGTGGTAAGGATGGTCAGGTGGCTTCATACCCCGCCGTCGAGACCGTACAGGAAAACTCAATTTGTAAATACGTTTACGCTCCTGCACGGAACCTCTCCTCCGAGCTCCAATCCGCTGCGCAAAAGTTGGCACGTGAGGCGATTGCTTGTCTCCCTACCGGCGCTGTCGGTATTTTCGGAGTCGAGATGTTTGAGCTGCCGGGTGGTAAGCTTCTCTTGAATGAGATCGCGCCCCGTCCTCACAATTCCGGTCACTACACCCTCTCCGCCTGCGAAATCTCTCAATTCGAGGCGCATATTCGGGCTGTTATGGGGTTGCCACTTCCAGAGACGATTGGAGAGATGAAGGTGCAGCATTGTGTCATGTACAACCTCCTCGGTGAGGAAACGATCGATGTAGCGAAGAACTCACTCAGCGTCGAGGGCGCCTCAGTCTACCTCTACGGCAAAGCAGAGATGAAAAAGGGCAGAAAGATGGGCCATATCAACATCGTCGGCTCAACCCCCGCCGAAGTCGACGAGCGTCTCGCGCGTGTACTCGGAAAGAAGGAGCCAAAGCGCACCCCCGTGGTCGGAATCATCATGGGCTCAGACTCGGATTTACCCACGATGCGCCCCGCCGCCGAGTTCCTCACAAAATTCGATATCCCGTTCGAGTTGACGATCGTTTCTGCCCACCGGACTCCGGAGCGTATGTTCACCTACGCACAAACCGCCTCCGCCCGTGGTCTCCAAGTCATCATCGCCGGCGCAGGCGGGGCTGCGCATCTCCCCGGTATGGTAGCCGCACTGACCCCACTTCCCGTCATCGGTGTCCCCGTCCGTGGGTCTGTTCTCGATGGTGTGGATAGTTTGCATAGTATCGTACAGATGCCGAGGGGTATTCCGGTTGCTACTGTGGCGATTGGGAATAGTACTAATGCGGGGTTGTTGGCGGTTAGGATGGTTGGGATGGGAGATTTGAGGGTTAGGGAGAAGATGGAGGGGTTTATGAGGGCGCAGAGGGAGGAGGTTGAGGGGAAGATTGAGGTGCTTGAGAAAGTTGGGTGGGAGGAGTATGGGTTGAAGAAGTGAGATGATAGAATGGTGTGATGGTAGGGAAGATTTGCTCTAGAGTAGGTTTTTATGGGTAATTGATCATACGTTTTGCATTGAAATTTGTCCGCTCATGAACTGATAGTTTGGCGAGGTGAGCTTGCAAGGACGAAATTGCCGAAAGTAGGCAACACACCTGAACGACGACGCAACTTCGCTTGTGAACGGGCATATTTATGATTATAGCCATCCTATGCAAAGCTCTCCTCTCCTGCTCCACCCTCCTTCAGATCCAGTACTTCAACCGTACCGCTTCCCTTCGTATCCAGTCTAATCATCTCATTCAAATCCTTCAACAACCCCGGCTCAATAAGCCCAACCCACTCCCACTCCTCCCCAACCTCCTCGTCCTCCTTCTCCGCACCCTGCATCTCCGCCATCTTCGGCCTAATCTTCTTCGCATCTTTCCCATCTGCGACGATTCGGACACGCATACGTGCACGCTTGATATCGAGACCACCTTTCGTTGCTAGAGCAGAGATCGCGGCGGACATTTGCGCTTTGACGGGTCTGGTTGGGTGGAGTGAGAATCCGGATGCTTTTATCGCTTTTTCGAGCATGGAGGGGGGGTAGGGTCTCGATGTTCGTGGGTCGATACATGATTCTGAGAGGAGGTGTACGAGGTTTTGGACGCCTGCTTCTTGGTTCGCCGAGCGTTCTTTGTCACCGACTTGCATTTCTCCCTTCTTCAAGATTTCTGCCACGCACTCCTCCACATTCTCCGTCTTGAAGCACTTTTTGAGGTCTTCGGATGAGGCGACTTGGCCTTTCGATACGTTCATGAAGACATTGCTGATTTGGAGGACTTCATCTAGGTTCTTTTCAGTGCCGGAGCGGTATTCTTGAACTTTGTTTTTATAGCAGGCGATCTCGAATCTCTTGCCGCCTTTTCGGAGGCGGACGATAGAGACGTTCGTAAGCTTGATTTGGCCGGAGGGTTGGAAGATGCCCATGATCTTTTGGAGGTAATTGTCGTCGTGCTGGTCTGATCGACTTAGAAGATCTCGGCCTGCTGTTGACGTGTGGCGGTGCACGGCGTGTAACGTAGACACCACTTCTGCCACCTCTTCGAAATGCCTGTTACGTGTGACGCGAACGATTTCGCCTATATCAAAGCTTCGACACTCTCTTCCAATGGCCGGCAATTCACCGACGAGTTTGGGCGTACGCTGTCCTTGAGGGGCTTGAATGTCGGTGGAGACACAAAACTGCCCTCTTCCGTTTCGTCTGATGGGAAGTTATCGTTCGTTGGGCGTCCGTTTCCGTTGGAGGAGGCGAGGCAGAGGTTGGAGCAGATGAAAGCGTGGGGGGTGGGGATGTTACGGTGGTTGGTCACCTGGGAAGCTCTGGAGCACCGAGCGCCTGGTATCTATGATGATGACTACGTCAGTTACCTCATTGCCGTTTTGAAGATCGCTAAGAATTTGGGACTTCTTGTTTTCATTGACATTCATCAGGATGTGTGGAGTCGGCATTCGGGCGGTTCGGGCGCTCCGGAGTGGACGTTTGAGTTGGCTGGGTTGGACGTGACGAAACTGAGGGAGACGCATGCGGCTAGTTTGTTGTCGGAGGAGGAGAAGGGGGAGTTGGGGGCGGACGCGGGGCCGAGCGGACGGTTGTGGCCGACAAATTATTCGAAGTTTGCAGTGGGGACGATGTTCACGCTGTTCTTTGCCGGGTCGACATTTGCGCCGTCTTTTGAGCATCCGAAGTTCCCAGGAGAGAACATCCAGGATATCTTGCAAAAGTACTATATTGCTGCGTTGTCGCATCTTGCACGCAGGTTGAAGAAGGCGAAGTTGACAAATGTTGTTGGATGGGATTTGATGAACGAACCGCATCATGGATGGATTGGGCTGAAGGATTTGAGGAGGTATAATGAGGATAAGGAGTTGCATCTTGGAGCTATGCCCACTGCCGTTGAGGGGATGTATCTCGCTGCTGGTATTCCCATGTCCGTTCCATATTATGAACGGAGCTGGCCACACCCGACTCGTAAGACAGGAACGAGGCTGATGAACAAGGAGGGTGTCTCGGTATGGAAGGAGGAGCGGAAGGATATCTGGAGAGCAGAGGGAGTGTGGGATGTTAACGGTACCGGTACCCCAAGTTTGCTGAAGCCTACATACTTCACCAAAGATCCTCGCAACCGCGCCGAAATCGACTTTAGGCGTGACTTCTATGCTCCGTTTGTTCAAAAGCTTACTATAGAGCTGCGCTCGATCTTGGGGCTAGATACCTGGATCTTCCTCGAGCCCGTCCCGAACGAGTCTCCCAAGTGGATCATGCCAAACGATGGGTTGGGGAAGGTCTGTTATGCACCTCATTGGTACGACCTTCGCGTACTTTTCGAAAAGGAGTTCTCACCAAAGGTCTCCTTTAATGTACAAGCGTTGTCAAACGGTTCCCGGAATTTATTGGCACATACCTATCTCGGCCTGAACGGCCTTCTGAAGAACTACACCACACAGTTCAAGACTTTCGTGGATGACTTACGACACTTCCCTATCAACACTCCAGTCCTAATAGGCGAGACAGGTGTCCCGTTTGACCAGAATGACCGACATGGGTACAAGACAGGCGACTGGACCTTGCCTAGTCAACAGCTTGAGGCGATGCTGGGCGCCATGGAGAAGAATTTAATCTTGAATTATACGTTGTGGACGTACTCCGCCGGGAATAACGGACCGGAGACAGCTGGTGATAAATGGAATCTAGAGGATTTGAGTTTGATCTCACAGCATTCTTCCGTCAAGGATTTGAATGGAGGAGCGCACGAAGGAATCTACGACAACTTGAGAGTGACCGACGTCTTCATTCGTCCTTACGCACCTAAGGTCGCTGGAGAAGTGAAGGAAATGATCTGGGATCCGAAGAAGAAACTGTTCAAGCTGGTATTCATGCCAAACGTAGTGAAGGACGAGGAAGACTACGGCCGAAGAATCACGGAAATCTTCATCCCTCGTATCCACTTCCCCAAGGGATTGAAACTGATAGAGCGAGCTGGCAAGGAAAAGAAGATTGTCCTCGAGCCGAAGATCAAGTACGGTGATATCACGGAAGACCAGACTGTCTACTATATGCATGAAGTTGGACAAGACCTGGTGACGCTGGAGTTCAGCGATCCAGAGCATGAGGTGGAGGAAAAGAGCGCGGTGTCGTGGACTTTGATCTTGACATTGATGTTGCCTCTTTTGGTTCTGCTTTTGGCATTGGGGTCTAGGAAAGGATACTTAGAATAGTCGGTACATGCGTAGATGTGTTCAAGTGCACACGTCCAGACCCTCACGGTGGGTCGTTCAGACATGCACAGAAGAAGCCCTGAAAGAAGATAGAAATACACCAGATTGTTCCGAAGACTTTCAGATCAGAAGGTAATTCTCACGACTTGTTTCGTCCGTGATGACTTACCCTCATTAACACGTCGCGTCGAACCAGTTGACGCGTAATTTATGGAGGCGACCGAGACGGCAGCACGTAGACTCACCCACCAACACCCTATAGCATACAGATATGGCCGACTCACTATCCGTCGGTGCTCTCAGAGCGATTTATGATGATACTCCCGAATCAGCAAATCACCAGACCCCTCTCCTCCAGGTCCTCCAGGTCAAGGAGCTCAACTCCTCCGGCCCCACTGCACCAAAACGCTTCCGTCTCGTCCTCTCCGACTCGGTCAACTTTGTCCAATCCATGGCTGCTACTCAACTGAATGACCAAGTTGCTGCTATCCAGCGAGGAATGTTCGTCAGGCTGAACCAGTTCACCTGCAACACCATGAAGGACCGCAAGATCTTCATTGTCTTGGGATTGGAGATTGTGGTGGAGCTCGGCATTCAGGAGAAGATCGGAAATCCGCAACCTCTCAATGAGACGGCTGCACAGCCTGCTGCTCCTCAACAACCCCCGACCTCCAATGCTACGACCTTTTACGGCAATAAGCCAGCACAGCCGCAAGCTGCTCCCCGCCGTCCTCCGGCCTACAACAACATTCCTCAAGGCCAACCCCCGAACGGACCTATCTACCCTATCGAGGGTCTTTCTCCTTACCAGAACAAGTGGACGATTCGAGCTCGTGTTGCGCACAAGTCCGAGATCAAGCACTACCACAACCAGCGTGGTGAAGGCAAGCTCTTCTCCTGTACTTTCCTCGACGAAACGGGTGAGATCCGTGCTACGGGCTTCAACGACGCAGTGGATCAACTCTATGAGTTGTTGCAGGAGGGAAGTGTGTATATGGTAAGCAAGTGCAGGGTGAATATTGCCAAGAAGCAATTCTCCAATGTGAACAACGAGTATGAGCTTACCTTCGAGCGTGACACCGAGGTTGTCAAATGCGATGATGCAGATGCTATTGTACCACAACTTCGTTTCTCTTTCGTCGAGTTGGGAAGATTACAGGAGGTTGAGAAGGACTCCGTCTGCGACGTTATTGGCATCGTCAAGGACATCGGAGACGTGTCGGAGATGACCTCCAAGACTACCAACAAGCCTTTCTCCAAGCGTGAAATCACCCTGGTCGATGCCTCAAATTACTCCGTCCGCGTCACGCTCTGGGGTAACACCGCTGCAACCTTCAACGCTCCTCTCGAGTCCGTTCTCGCTTTCAAGGGGGTCAAGGTCTCTGACTTTGGTGGAAGAAGTTTGAGTATGAACGGTCCCGCCACAATGAACCTTAACCCCGACATCCCCGAAGCCCACCAACTCAAGGGCTGGTACGACTCTCAAGGCCGCACCATCTCCTTCTCCTCCCACGCCAATTCATCCTCCCTCGGTGCCGCCACCGGCCGCTCCAAGGACCCTCTCAAGACTCTCGCACAAATTAAGGATGAGAACATCGGTATGGGCGAGGTTCCCGAGTACTTCTCCGCCAAAGCCACTATTGTCTTCATCAAGCAAGAAAACGTCTCTTACCCTGCTTGTCAGTCTCCAGACTGTAACAAGAAGGTCCTCGAGGATACCGAAGGCCAATGGCGATGCGAGAAGTGCGACAAGTCCTGGCCTGCACCACAGTGGAGATACATTATGACCCTGTCCGTCAACGACCACACCGGCCAAGCCTGGTTCTCAACCTTCGACGACGTTGGCCATCAGATCCTTGGTGTCACTGCTACGGACCTGCACAACATGAAAGAGGAGGACGAGATCCGCGCTGGCGAGGTTTTCTCGGAGGCGAACTGTAGGACGTGGATCTTTAGGTGTAGGGCGAAGCAGGATAACTTTGGTGGACAGGTGAGGATGAGGTACAGTGTTATGAATGCTACGCCGGTTGATTATCGTGCTGGTGCGAAGGAGTTGATGGATGTTATCAAGTCTTACGGTGCCTAGATAGTGGGGGTGTAACGTTATTAGTATTTGGTTGAGAAAACCGTATTACAATTCCGTGTCACCAGTCAAACTACACAAGACTACCGGTATCAAGAAACCCAGAACGCCAAATAAAACCGCGCCTGCCCTCTGCCATATTCACTTAAACCAACTCCCCATCTCCCTCTTCATACTCGCCTTCATCTTCCTCCTCGCTCCACTCCAAGGTCTCCAGAGCCTGCATAGCCTTCCTCTGCACCTCCTTCAACCCGCTCACTTCCTCAACCCACCCCGGCTCCCTCAAAGCGTTCTCCACAAATTCCCATCCCATGTCGCGGTACATGTTCACGATCTTCGGTGAACACGCAGAGCAGCAATCATATGCTGATCCATGTATGAGTAGCTGCGTCCAATTATTGAGGAACCCGCGGATTTGGTGGGGGATCAGGCCGAGTGGGTGGAGATCATCTTCGGTGGATGACGGAACGGATGATCCTCGAGTGGCCATGCTCGAGGCGGTAGGCGGTGCAGGGGCTGAGGTCCTTTGAGGATGTTGCGTAATGGACACGAGCAACTCGACCGCCAAAGCACTGGCAATACTCGCCAATCCAGGTCGAGTGACAGTACACATCTGATCAAGCGTACGATCCGACAAACTCTGCACAAAACAATCAGTACACCCAGACAACATCACAACATCGTCGAGAGAGCAACTTACATCAACAGGCGCAACCACATCATTACAGAAATAACACCCCAACCTCTCCCCCTCCGGCACCGTCGCGCTCGCCTCCACCTCCTCCGCAACACTATCCTCCACCACACTCGTATCAATCTGGGCCGGTACGCCTTCGCCATGTCTCATGACCACATACGAATCAAAGCCAAGTGCAGCGTTGATGACGATTTTGTTCATCGCTGCGCCCATGAGTGTCGGGAGCCAACGAGACTCGCGCGAGTCCATGAGGAGGAAGATCGCGTCATGTTCGGAGAAGATTCGTTGTAGGGTTTCCCAGTCCGCTCGGGTCTTTTCGACGTCCGTGGGTGGGTGGCCGGGCATAGGAACACCGAGCGACAACCCTGTTGCCTCAACACCTGGGTAAATCTCCTTCAGCGCCTCAGCGGCTCGCTGAGCCTTAGGTCTCCCTCCTCCCTTGCAATCCTCAAACCCGAATAAACTTTGCCTGACGGGATTACTCCAACTCACCCGCCCACTATCCACAAACGTCACCTTCCGCACACCCCACCCCAACAACGTCCTCGCAACACCACACCCAAGCGTCCCAGCACCGAGCAACAGGCAGCGCGTAGCTGAGATCGTAGGTAAATCCAACGAGGGCGCAATCCTCCAACGCATAAGCTTTAAGTTCAAGTCAACCGCGGTAGACGCAAGAGCATGCGGATCCATCATAGGTCCTAGATCGACGCGGCGAGGACGGAGTTTGTTCTGTGTATCGCGCTCCCACCCAGAATGTTTTGGAAGGGCAGGAGGTCGAGTCGCCGTCGTCGAGACGTCGAGGACGAAGGTTGGCGATTGTCCTGAGGACGACCCTGGCTGTTCGCGATAGGATAGGAGTTTGATCCTCGTCACGTTGTACTTCGCTAATACCGCCATCAGGAGGTTCCGGGCTGGCCAGGCAGGCGTAAGTGGTTGTGTCGACGGATCGACGAACGCAACGATCCTCTGTACGGGACACGTCAGCATATCTCAACATTATGAGGATGGGACTATGGTGTGTCGTACCGCACCCTCGGGTGTAACTTTGAAGAACGTCTCCCACTCCTCCAATTTCCCGATTTCCCAGCGAGGTGCACCCCCATAATCCGCCATCTTCATCAGCCAAAACCCTTTTTGGCAAGGCTCGACGCCATCCATCCAGGTTTCTACGACCTCTCTGAGAAAACTCGCTTCGTCCGCACTGAAGGTGTCCACTTTCTCTTTTCTGACCCATGTCGGCTCCGTGTGTAGTACCGGGAAGCAAAACCAGTACGTGAATATATACTTCTTCAGGTCCGCGTAGCAGAGTAATGAAAAGATGGCTAGTATCGAAGGGTCCGTAAGGGGTTCTGAAGAATTGATCGCTGACCATAGCGATTCCGCCGAAGAAGTCAAGAAAGCGTTCTTATCTAACCGCTTAAAGTCCTCAATAGTATTGCAGTTCTTGATGGTCCCTTTCGCTCGACAATAGCCTCCTGATGTCCTGTAAAGAACGATTAGCGTTGGCTCCCTTATCCTCATCATGCAAAGACATACTCTTCATCGGTTCTCAACGCGTTTGGACCAAGCTCTAACCAACAGCTGCCTCCACTCATGCCCTGCTTGTACTGTCCCACAACTTCCCGTGCCGAATCATCAAGACCATCAAGATCGATCTTCTGATTCGACAGAGCGTGCCAGAATGCGGCATCGACGGTGGAGGAGAAAGGAGCGAACAGGACTGGCTGTGACATCTTGATCCTGGAGATACTGACAACTGGTCTGTGGAGCGTAGTGATGAGAGATGAAAGGTTTCGAGCGGAGTGTAGGCGCAGGAAATATATGGGATGAGAGAGTTGATGGGTTACGTGATACGCGCGGGGTATCGATACCCGCATCGGGCAACGCTTGTAACGTATACTTGCGTACCGGACGGCAGACGGTACGACAACACAACAACACCTCCTCGACAATTTCATGAGGAAATCAACAGCAACTTGAATGCCTCGAGCAACCCGTGGAAAGAAAGTCTCATACAGTGAGGACCCACTTGCAGAGGTCTTAGGCGACGAATTGGCGCCAGAACAGCATGTGCACTATGACGACCCAGACGACAATGATTTCGATCAGCAAGGTGCGCCGGAGGAGGAAGATGAGGAAATGGATGATGCAGCATCTACTGAAGACGACGGGGAGGACGGATTCGACGAGGATGATGCAAGCGAGGATGACCGACCCAAGAAGGGCAAGGGGAAGGCCAAAGCAACACCAGCACAAGCGCCAGCGCCTCGGCACACACCAATGGCTTCGCCTAAACCAATCCGCGCAGCAATTAAGCGGAAGGAAACTCCCTCTTCTGCGAAGGTCACGTATGACAACCGCGCCGCTCGCAGCAGACAAAAATCGTTCGCCCTTCCCGATCGTGTCGTGACAATCAACGGCTATCGCCCACTCCAGAATGAACGTATGGAGGAGTTGTATAAATGGTGGATCACCTACTCCATCCGCGTCTGCCGAGAGCTCTGTGCAGATGGTGATAAACTCTGGCCTAAGGTAGCATGGCCAGAGGAGCTCCCATTTGCGCAAGAGACGGCTATGTTGTCCACTGCGGAGGTGGAGATTGAGGGGTCGGGACAGCTACCGTGGACACAGTCCTCGCTTCCATTGTGGCACGGTCCGTTCCAGGATCAGAAACTGACAGAACTATCTCCCTTCCAATCTCTGTCGGTTGAGGAAGACTTCCCTGGTAAGACCGGGTACATTACGAACGCCGCACACTCAATTCAATCCCTCGCATGGCTCCCAAACCGTGCCGGCAACGAAGACCAGATTTTGGCTGTTAGTGGACATCCCGATGTTCATTATGAACCGACATCGGTATTTGAGATATTGCAGGGCAAACAAGTGGGCCATATCCAATTCTTCCGGATTCCGGTTTCAGAGGATCAAGTCCCACGTGAGCCAAAACTAGCATCTGTGGTTTTACACAAGTATGGTGCCGTGTGGAATTTGATATTCTGTCCATACGGTTGCAAATCTGGCTCTCGTGCGGGTCTATTGGGGATGCTTACTGCAGACGCGAAGGTACGGGTATTTGCTACGGAAGAGGAGTGGTTGAAAAAGGAGGAGGGGGAAACAGTCTATATCGACTTGCGAAAGGCTGCGTGGGAGTTTGAGATAGAGAGTGGAGTTAGTGCGTTCAGTTGGGTGTCACACGAGGAAATTGCCGTTGCTGGCAACAATGGTTCCGTGGCTACCTTCTCTTTGACGGATTCGGGTCCATCGCGTACGTTCACTGAAACCCTTGTCGTTGAAGTCAGCTGTGTACGGTGTGCTAATTACGATGAATAGATAACTTACCATTGCAGTTGTTCCCGTTGATGTCTTGTGCTGTACGGGCTATGACTTCTTGTGGACCGAGTTTCCCGCATTTTTTGCAGGTGTATGGGTATGACTGTTCACTAAAGCTGGTGGATCTTCGGGATCCTGTTGTGGAAACGGGAACAGCGCCAAGAGCAAGAAGTACGTCGCAATCCCTCCCATCTCTCATCCTCCATCCATCGAACTGCAGCTAACCAGTGTGTCAAGAAATGTGTTATGCTTCCGTATGGCATGAATACACCCAAGGCGTCCTCAGTGCTGACGACGGTAATGCTGTTGACTGGAAATCTGTCCGTGCATTCTTGAACCACCAACAAGTAACTCAACACCTCGGCTCAGTGACCTCAATCGCCACATCCCTCTCCCACCCCCTCATCCTAATAACCTGTACCGACGGAATCTGCGATATCGTCAATGTCATGAAAAAGACCTTATCAGGACACACTGTGCCTCAATTCCGCCGCCACCTCTTTCAGCTTGACTATGATATCCATACAAAGGAGTTCAGAATGACGGATGGGTGGAAGGCGGAACAGATCAATTTGACGACAAGTACGAGGAAGAAAAAGGGTGCGGCGGGGGAGGAGATGAATGTGGGGACTGCGCCCGCCTTTCTGAAGGAGGTAAATGTGGGGAAGGCCGTGTGGTGTCCGAGTGTAGGGTGTGCGGGGTGGGTTGCTGTTGGGATGAGTTGTGGGTTGCTGAGGATTGAGGATATGAGTAGGGGTGTTGAGGGGGCACCGGAGGAGATTGAGATGCTTGCTTCAGCGCCAATATTTTGAGGGCCGGGAAGTAGTTGATGCACGATAGAGATGCCAATGCCATTGACAAACTATGCTAAACAATACCCTAAAACCCCATTTCATATCCTCGCGATACATTCGTCCACGACGTCAAGAAACCAATTCTCTACCTAGCGTAAGGGTGGAACCCACCCCGTCCCCTCCCACCACCATACATCGCCCCACGTCCACCACGCTGATACCCCATCCCCCTTCCACCCCTGAACCCACCTCTGAACCCTCCTCCCATACCCATTCCGCCCATACCCATCGCAGGTCCCGACGGCGCATTCGCAGGACCAGTGGGCGCGTTGATAGGAATGTCATTACCAGCAGCACCTCCTCCGGCGGGACCAGTGGGAACACCGTCGTAGGGTAGTGGAGCAGAGTTTGAAGCCGCGGCTTGTGCTTGAGCGTCCGTCGTAGGCATAGGCGTACTCTTTCCACCAGGTCCAGTCGGCGTGTATCCAGCCCCAGCCCCACCACTCGGCCCCGTTGGCGCACCCGGAACTCCCTGATTCTGCGGCCTTCCTCCCATAGCACCGCCTGCACAGGCACCCCCCATCTGACCACCCATCATCTGCTGCTGCATCATAGGATTCATCCCGCCCATCATGGGGTTCATCATTCCCTGCTGCATCATCGGGTTCATGCCCCCACCTTGCTGCATCTGCTGCATCGCCAACATATACGCCTGCATTCTCTGGAAATACTGTGCCATCATAGCTGGGTTGGCACCTCCGTACGCCGCATACGGGTTATTATACGCTCCCGCTCCTCCCACCCCCGCACCGAACCCACCAGCGCCCTGCTTAGGCGTCTTCTCCACGGTTCCCTTTGGTTGCGCACGCTTAACCTCAACCTGCTTTCCATTAAGGTTAAGGAATCCGCCACCCTGGGAGACACACTGCTCAACAGCCGCGTCCGTCTCGAAGGTAACGAATCCGAATCCACGAGCCCGACCGGTTTCTTTGTCGATCATGAGGGTTGCGTCGACGACTTTTCCGAATTGGGAGAAGAAGGTGCGGAATTGCTGTTCGGAAGTTTCGGGAGAGACACCGCCGACAAAGATCTTGGATGTCTGGGACTGCTCCTCGCGGGGGATGGCGCGTTTGGGATCAACCTATGGTCACGATATTAGCATCTTGTATACCAGAGTGGAAGAAAGGAGGATAGGAACGTACCCTCTTGCCATCAAGATAATGCTCCTGAGCCACGACCTTATCGACACTCTCCGGGTTCTCAAATGTCAAGAACCCGAATCCACGACTCCTACCGCTGACTCCATCCCTCATCACGGAACAATCCGTAACGGGACCGAATTGTTCAAAGTACTCGCGCATGGATGCTTCGGTCGTTTCCCAGTTGAGACCGCCGATGAACATTTTACTAAGGGAGAAAGGGGATGTTAGCTATTGTCTTGGACGAAAAGCATACTTGTGGTAGGTTTGTGCGTGTTTGTGTTTGTGTTTGTGTTTGCATGTCTTTTGTTTGATCCTGTCTGAAGGGTCTCTGCTCAATAGCGTAATGTATCTCGAGTAGCGTAACCGTAACATAAGAGCTCTCAAAAAAGAGCGAAGAATAGCTAGGCTGTACGTATCGTATCGTATCGTATCGTACGTGTTGTCTCTCGGACGTGTACAACGTGTACAGCTCAACCTGAGCATATAGCTAGCAATAGCAAAAACTAGCTTTGTCTGACTGATGATAGCACGTAACGTAACGTATCGTATCGTGACTAGCCGTAGCTATTCTTCACCCCTCTTTTTGCTTTCTGAAGCTTGTGCGTTTCGAGCGAAGTACAGAACGTAACTAGCTTTGTCTCATAGTTGTAGACCCGCTACCTGCCTCGACTATGGCAGGCGATAAAGTAACACAAGTATGTGCCCAGAAATGAACCATCCGTGTGACTGATATCGAGCATTTAGATGCATGAACCCTCAGCAATGGCCTTCATCCAACTGATACTTGTGGCACTCGCAGCATACATTGCCACGAACTCAACACCCGACCAGACGAACATACACAAACACGCACACACCCCACACAAAGAGAAGGAGAGACTACGTACCCATCATCCTTGTTACTACCGCTTTCCTGGTTAATTCCTCCATTCGCATTACCCATATCCTGATCCTGCTGATCATACCCACTAGCACCAGCATACGGGTTGTATCCCTGCCCTTGTCCATCCCGCGGCATCTCCTGCTGTTGCTGGGTCTGCTGTTCTTGCTGTTGGTTCCAGGCGTATTGGTCATAGGCCGGAGCAGCGCCAGCGGCAATCCTAGGGTCAGTAGCTTTCTCGGCGGCCGGCTCCGCAGACTCGGTAGAGGTCAGCTCTTGCTCAGCGGGCGCTTGAGGTGCAGAGGCGGTTGGAGGAGCAGCAGCGGGAGGCACGACGGGGGCGGACTCGACGGGTTCGGTACCTTCTTCGTCTCCGTAGAGGTCCTTGAAGAGATCTTCGTCGTCGTAGTCTGCCATGTTGAGTGTTCTGGTGTTGTGTTCCGGTGGTTGGTTCGCCGGCGATGTGGGCATGTACAGGGCGCCCCTGAATCCAGGCATCGTGCAGCCCCAGATCACTGTAGCCGAAGCGCTGGTCAACAGCAGCAGCATATACCCCCAACAGCATCCATCATGTCCGGATCAGCTCAGAAGGCCGCTACCCAGTCTGTTGTCCAGCAGTTTACCAGCTGGGTCCGCTCCCCAGACTTCAAGGTTTGCTCTCTGCCCGTTCCCCATCATTGATCTCTGCTAACAATAAATGATAGTCATACCTTTTCTCTACCCATTTCTGGTACGTCGCAACGATAGAAGGGTTGGATGAACAATGATGAACGGAGACTGATCAAGTGTGTAGGGGACCCGTCTCAAATTTCGGTATCCCGCTGGCCGCAATCGCCGATCTGAAGAAGGACCCTGAGATTATTTCTGGGCCTATGACTGGTGCTTTGATCGTCTACTCTGCGACTTTCATGAGATACGGTGCGTCACTGCCCTTCCTTCCTTAAGCTCTCACTTCCGCAGAGTTGGAGTGAATTTTGTGAGTTGCTCGAGCAATGGCTGACTTGTGATTAGCATGGATGGTCCAACCCCGAAACTACCTCCTCCTCGGCTGCCACATCGTCAACGAATCCGCACAAATCACCCAAGGCTACAGATGGCTCGACTACTGGAAGTTCGGCGGTCGTGAGAAGGCTCTCGCCTTGAAGCCCGTCGATGCCGCGAAGGGTGCGATCCAGGATGTGAAGGAGGCTGCGGAGAAGGTTAAGAAGAATCTTTAAGTATGATTAGAAATTGGAGAGGACGAGAGCGGATCTCGGGATATTCTTTGGAGTAGGGTAGGGATTAGGAAGTGTTAATGAAGCTTCCCCACATGTGCGTGCATGACTTTTGACTGGTACTGCGGGAGTGTCGTGGGCGGCGGGGGACTGCGTGTGTTTACTGTAGGCCATGGCACGTACGACCAGCGCATATATTCCCTCAGAGCTCTACACCATACCAGACCAATATGCCAAGTCCGGTGCGCATACATCCGCAATAACCACGTCCTTCTGGATCTGACAACCCTATAGGAAATGATACAGACAGCTCCAGCAACGACACACCCCGGCCCCTCCTTCTTCCGCCCAAAATCCAGCCGCTCACGGACTTCATCAGCCAATGACTCAAATTCGAGCGTAAACACAGTCTACGGCGCATCATACTCCTACACAGATATGCTCGCACACGCCGCAGCAGCATCCTCCTCACGGCCAAACACCCCACCAATCTCCCTCCCCCCACCACGAGAGCCAACGCACCGCGCACCAAGTACCTCACCGACTCGGACGATGAGTAGTCTGAGTTTGAGTAGCCTGTCGCATTCACTACCTAATTCTTCCGCGGGATGGGGTAAGACACGGGGAAGAACGAAGGGGTATAAGGACTTCGTGAAGATGACGGATGATGACTGGGCCGTCGACGACGACGACGATCCCGTCGCACGGAGATTACGACAGGTAAAGAGTATCGAGAATCGACCGCCGTCTTCATCGACTGCGAGGAAGGTTACGTATCCGTCACTACACCCACCCGCTGAAGCGAGCAACACGGAGAAGAAACGGAGTGTGAGCGCCACGAGTGCGGCGACCAGATTGGCGGTTGACAGATACCCATCTGACCCGACACCGGAGATATTGACGCTGAATACGGAGATTTCGAGGGTACGAAAGTTTGAGGCACTCCTGGCGTCTCCGACGGTTAGTTTACCGACCCTCCGCGCACTGGCATGGTCCGGAATTCCGATCCCCGTACGGCCGCAGGTGTGGAAGTTGTTGTTGGGATACGTCCCTCCAACACGCTCACGACGAGAAGAAGTCGAGGCGCGGAAAAGACGAGAATACATTGAGGCTGGCGAGGCTGTGTGGGGGAGTGCGGGCGCGAGGGATGGGAGTAGGGATGGTGGGTGTTTACACCAGATTCGGATTGATGTTCCACGGACGTGTCCCGGAGTCCCGCTATGGGGACTAGAAACGACGCAGCGGAGTTTGGAGCGGATATTGTATCTATGGGCGGTACGGCATCCGGCGTCTGGGTATGTCCAGGGTATCAATGATTTGGTTACGCCGTTTTTCCATGTGTTCTTGGGGGACTACACGGATGCCGATCCCTCAACGTACGATTTGTCCAAGTTGACCCAGCAGCAGCTGTTTGCGCTGGAGGCTGACACGTTCTGGTGTTTATCGACCTTGTTGTCCGGGATCCAGGATAACTACATACATTCCCAACCCGGAATCCTCCGCCAACTCCGCTCGATGAAAGACCTCGTGTCTCGTATCGACGCACCCCTCGCAACACACATCGACTCGCTCGGAATCGAATTCGTCCAATTCGCATTCAGGTGGATGAATTGCCTCCTCATGCGTGAACTTCCCCCGCTCTGTATCATTAGGATGTGGGATACCTATATCTCGGAAGGCGCATCTACGGGGTTTAGGGAGTTCCATGTGTATGTTTGTGCAGCATTTTTGGTGAAGTGGAGCAAGGAGCTGAGGGAGATGGAGTTTGGGGATGCGATGGTTTTCTTGCAGAGATTACCGACTGGGGAGTGGGGGGATAAGGAGGTTGAGTTGGTGTTGAGTGAGGCTTACATGTGGCAGAGTTTGTTCAAGGATGCGGTTGCGCATCTGAGGTGAACTTGAAGTAGAGGGCGTGTTTGGAGGAAGAGGTGCATTCACGGTATTTAATCATAATGAGGAGGATATCATGGAAGGGTTTTCATTGGGTTGATTTGGCGTTCATTACTCATACCTACGTTCTCTACGGGTAGCACGGGACCCACTGGATATCTAAATAATATCAAGCATATATTGACTTCTACTTCATAGCCAGGCATACTCGAACGATCGTTGACAAAGCAAGAACTCCATTTGGTAGGTATATTTGGGTATCGTCTCAATGGGCATCAACAAGCGCCCAAACTCCTAAACCCAATCCTCCCAGTACTCGCTTCAGTTCCTTAGCCACACCATCCTCGAAGTCTAAATCGTCCAGGCCAATGTGCCAAGGAGATACAAGAACTTGTTCCAGCACATATGTCCCACCCAGGACTCTCCGGGCTGACACCGGTGCTATTAGCAGCGTCTTCGCGCACCACTTCTGACCCGGAAAGGAAATAGCAGAGGCATCAAGTACAGACTTGACATCGTCCCAGTTAGTCCCGGCCATGTCACGAGTATTGATAGGCATTGAGCCCAGGAGCCACGTTGGTGGTGTATACGTCTTCCACCAAACCATTGTCCGTTCACCACTCGGGCAGACAGCCAATTGCTGCTTCGCAGCGAGAAGAGTGGGCACAACGCCGCCTTGATGTAGCACGCCCATCAAGATGGCAAGCACAGTGTTGAATATGACCCATGTCGCAAGCCACGTTCTCCAGAATCGACGCCCAGGAAGTGAAGTAATCGAAGACAGGATAAGGGGGACGGCCGGAAGAAGGAAACGTGGTTCTTGATGAGGAAAGATGCTGACAATAGCCACGCCGCTCATGGCGCACCAGAATAATAGACCCAACCTCCTGATCTTCACAAACACCAACACAAGGGCAGGACCAAGCAGGAGGGGCAGGTTTCCCACGAAGTGCGTGTACCGCGCATGGATTCCATGCAAAGCGAGATTTGCGGAGGACGTGTTGTACATGAGGTTATTGAGCGGCGTGATAACGCAACCATCTCGTGCAAAGTAGGCACTGTCGACTAAGATCGCTCCGAATGCCGTTGCGCTGAAAGCAAAACCCGAGGCAGCCAAAAGCGAAGAACGACACAAGAAGCGGGGAATCAGGCTCACAATGGCCGGCAGGAGGAATGCAGGGAATGTGACACGAGTCCAAATGCCGAGAGCTGCCAGCAAGCCAAGTAGAGCGGAATGGGTTGCTGAAGGTCGTGCTCGGAGGCGGAAGCAGAGAACGATGGACCATACCACGAGGATTGTCTCAATGCCATTGCTGAATGTATGAGCCTGATATGTCAGTGTGGTGTATGACGAGGCGTACAACAGTAGGGGAATGGCGGCTGATCCGGGTGCGACAAGATGTGGTATCGCAAGATCTACAAAGCATTGAAATGAGCATGACATTCATGGCTAACAAGCATAGACGTACCAACTCCAAGTGACATTATGAACCAAAGCATTCGAAGTCCGAGCAATGCCAATTGCGTATTGTTGCCCGTCAGGCGGAAGATAGATCCCACAATCGGCCATAGGAGTACAACACTTCGTATTGGCTTCTCGCCCGTCCATTCCCACGTCAGCTGGTCTTCATCGTATCGTGCCCTTGAAGTCAAAGGAGCGACTGTTTGGAAATGCTCGTCTGGGTGGATATATGACGGTGAGAATAAGGCGAATAGAACTCGGATCACGAGCAGGAAGAAGTAGAGCTTTCGCTGCCGGGATGTGAATAGCGAGAGGCCAGAACATGCCTTCATAACATGAGTAGAGTCTTGCTGAATCGAGTGATTGTGAAGCTGTGCCGTCAACTGGAGCTGTCAGGCTTGAGAATGTCGACAAACTACTAAATTGGGCTTCCTGCGGTAACGTAGACACTGGTACCTTTACATTCAGCGTCTCATCTTCCGTCTGAGGGCGAAGATTACGAGAGTTTCTGTTATCTTTTTGTAATCCATTTCTGAGATTATATTACCGGTCCCAGTGCTTGACCCCGCCCTGGAAGCTGTTGCCCAAACACTACGTCGCCGTACAAAGCAAACAAAAGTTCAATAGCAACACCCAGCAACCAACGACACTCGCCTGCAATGTCCAAACGCGGCGCCAAGTCCCAATTGACACAACTAAACGTCGGCCATGGTGGTGATGACAGCGACGTATGGATCACCCTCTTGTCTCTTGTACACAACACACCGAACCAAAACTGATCAATCCGTATAGGACGACACCCCCGATGTTCCCCAGGTAGCCAGTGAAGCCCAGATGGCGAGGCGCAAGATCGCTTTGCCGAAGTCGAGGAGGATGGCGGGTGCGCCTTCTGCGCCTACGCCAGTTGCGAACCCGTTTGCTGCTGTCCCTCAACCTGCTGCCCCCGCTCCCGCCGCTGCGAATCCGTTCGCTGCTCTCAACACTGCAGTACCGGCGCCAGCAGCTCCTGCCGCAAGTAATGCTTTCTCCATCTTGAACCCCGCCCCGAGCTCCTCCGGCGAGCCCAAAGCAAACCCATTCGCTAACCTCCAGACTACGACCCTGGCCGCCTCCGCCCCTCCCGTCCTCGCATCGCCGGTTCAGGAGAACACCAACACCCAGACTGCGGAGCTTACCGGCGAAGACAAGGAGGAATACGAGAGACTACTGAAATTGAGAAGCGTAAACTACGCTTTCCTTGAGGCCATCAAGAAGAGCTACGAGAATGACCCATTTGGAGATTTGAGAAATGTTGGATTCGAGGCGTATGGACGGTTTTACGATGAAGCTGTGGTGAAGAAGGGATCGGACTTTGCGTCTAGGTTGGGTGGGTTCTCTAGTCAACCGGCTCCGGAGGAGAAGAAGGCCGCTTCTACATTCAGTTTTGGAGGCCCTACTGAGGCGCCCAAGGCTTCTTCATTTAGCTTTGGCATCCGTGGCAGCAGTCCCGAGGAGGGGCAGGAGGAGGAGGCACCAAAGCCAGCGGCGAGCGGATTCAGCTTCGGAATGCCCCAAGCCCAGGAGGAGAAGAAGGAGGAGTCTAAGCCCGCTGCTGCGCCCGTCTTCACCTTTAACCCACCATCCAAGAATGACGATAAGCCCATATCCGGATTCACCTTCGGCGCACCCGTCCAGAAGAAGGACGAGAATAAGTCTGCCGTGCCTGGTGGGTTCACTTTCGGCGCCCCTGCTCCTGCTGAGAAGGAGGTAGACGACGAGGACAAGCCCGAATCTGTTTCTTCCGGCTTCGGATTTTCTCCTGTGCAGTCCGAGCAGTCTGAGGAAATGGCCAAGCCTGTCACGCCTTCCTTCGGCTTCGGCGCAGCTGTCGAGAAGAAGGAGGAGGTTGTTCCTAAGCCCTCGGCTGCGCCGGTCTTTAGCTTTGGCGTGAGCTCGGATGAGGCGGAGAAGAAGAAGGACGAGGATAAGCCAGCTGTATCTGCGTTTGGTGGATCTGCGTTCGGTGGATTTGGTGCTGCTGCTCAGGCGGAGGAGAAGAAGGTGGATACTACGCCTCTGTTTGCGTTTGGCGCGCCTGCTGCTACTGAGAAGAAGGAGGAGGAGAAGGAAACTCCCGCTGTGGCTCCCGCTGCCACTGCAGTGTTTAGCTTCGGTGCTGCCCCCTCTACGCCAGCTAAGCCAGCCGCTGCGTCCCCTGCGAGCTTCGCGTGGACTCCGGACCGTGGGATCAAGTTCGGATCCCCTTCCGCTGCTGGCGGTGTGGAAAATAAGGATGAGAAGCCTTCCACCACTCCTGTGTTTGGGTTTAGCAATCCCCTTGCCAGTCCGACTACGTCGTCGTTTGGTGCTGCGCCTGGAGCTTCGGATGCGGAGAAGAAGCCGGCGCCTGCTAGTACTGGGTTTGGATTCGGGTTTGGGGCTGGGACTGGAGCGGCTTCCGTGCCGTCTTTCGGGTCTAAGACGAGCTTTGGGACTACTTCGTTTGGTGGTAGCTCGTTTGGTGCTTCGTCTTTTGGAAGCGCTGCTCCTGCTCCTGCGGCGGGTGCCACGACCGCTCCTGTGTTCTCTTTCTCTGCGCCGACACCGGCGCCGGCTGCGGCTACGGCCGAAGCTGCCAAGGAGGGTGAGGAAGAGGATGCACCCATCTCCGCCGAGGCCCGTACTAACGACGAATTGGTCGACGGAAAGGGCGAGGGCGAGGAGAACGAGGACACAGTCCACTCCGTCCGCGGCAAGATCTTCAAGAAAAACGACGAAGGCGGCTGGTCTGAAATCGGCGTCGGCCTCATCAAAATCAACGTCGACAAAGAAACCAACAAAGCTCGCGTACTGGGTCGCATTCAAGGAAGTGGAAAGTTGATTATCAATGTACGGTTGCAGGCGAGGCTGCCGTATACGTTGTTGAATAAGACGAATATTCAGGTGCCAAGTCCGATCGAGGGAGGCGTTGTGGAGAGTTATTTGATTAGGGTCAAGGCGGAGAATGCTGAGCCGTTGTTGGAGGCGATGAAAGAGCACAAGGGGTCTGAGTAGATTTATGACTATGATCCTTGAGCTGAGGTAATCCACCATATAATTATTTTCACACGGTTTCGTGCCCAGACTTCGTGAGCACTGCGCACTCAGCGCGTGAAGCTGATGAACAATGTATCTCCTGGATTTTCCTCTTCTCTATATGTCTCACTCGTTTTCGCTTACAGCACCTTCGCAATAACCCCCTGAACCCCCCTCAACACATCCACCGGCGTCTTCTGCCCCGCCATGAAATACACAACATTCCCCAACGGCCTCGCCATAACATTCCCACCCTCCAACTCTTCCCACCTCTCCTCCCTCATCCTCGCCAACATGGTTTGTGCCGCACTCGACGCGTAACCGGCTTCCGAAGTCTTCAGTGTAATCGCGAGAACGGAGCCGAGTGCGATGACGCCGTCGACGTTGGGGTGCGAAGAGATGTCGTACACCCAGGATTTGGACCACACGCTCCATGGTGCAGCAGCGTTCTGAGTGGTTGTGGCTGTGGTGGTGTGCGTGTTCCAATCCTCTTTGTGCGCATTCCAGACACCCTCCTCATCCCCACTGTTCATTACCTCCAAACTCGTACAAGCGACCTCGCAACCGACCGCATGTGCCGTGTAACTGTGGCCGTGCAACAACGCATCCTCCTTCTTCCCGCTCAGGAAGGCCTCGAAGATACTTTTTGATGCGCAGGTGGCGGAGAGAGGGAGGAGACCGCCGGTTAGGAGTTTGGCGTAGATGCCGATATCGGGGTGAGTATTGGAGCCGAGGAAGGAGGAAGGGGTAGGCTGGCCGAGGCGGTAGAGACCCGTGAAGACTTCGTCGAAGATAATGGGGAGGCCTGTCCATGCGTTCGAATCGCCTGTCGGGGTAAAGTCACCGGCGGATTTGGGAGATCCGATAGAGAAGAGATTCGTCGATGAGCGAACGGTATCGACCAGTGCGCGTTGGTAAAGCGGATCAACAAACACCATCCCCCCCGCACCCAAAATAATCGGCTCAACAATCATCGCGCCAAATCTCCTTCCATCCCCAATGATCACTTTCTCCAACTCCCCCTTAACCCGCCTACAATACATCTCATACATCTTCCCCCCAACCCGCTTCTCCACATCCATTACCCCCTCCAACCCCTCAAACGTCTCCACCTCTCCACTCGGCTGTCGCACCTCCCACACACCCTTCCTCAATATTACCGTCGGTGGTTTGAACCAGTATCCACGTCCCTTGTGCCACTCAACACTCTCATTAAAGATATTCGACTCGGAACAATCCATCGCGCCCATCGTATCACCGTGGTAATTCCCATCCATACCCAAGACCTCGACATCCTTCTTATCCGTCCACGCATACCTCACCCTCGCTGCCCTCATACCCATCTTGAGAGCGACTTCGACGCCCGTACTCCCGTTATCGCTGTAAAAGACGCGTTGAAAGCGGGGGTTGCGGAGGGTTTGAAGGAGGGAGTCGGCGAGGCGGAGAGCGGGTTCGTGGATGGCGTTTGCGAACATGACGTGTCCGTAGCGGCCTGCGGCGTGGGCTGCGGCGAGTGTTAATTGGGGGTTTGCGTGACCGAGGCCTTGTGTCCACCATGATGCTGACGCGTCGTGGGTTTGTTGCAACAAGTTGGCGGAAGGAGCGGAAGCGGAAGGAGAGAGGGTGGAGAAGAAGTCACCGTGGGCAGAGTCGATGGTGGTAATCTTCCCCGGATCAAGCAACTCAGAATGCTGCGCAAACGGCCACCAAATCCTATCCTGAGCACGCTGTGCCAACGTCTCGAGCGCCTCACGCCTCATCTCATGCGTCTCCTTCAACATCTCCAACGTCCGCTTAATCAACTTGCTCCCTGAAACAACCTCATAATACGCTGCCAACGCTTTTTGATCTTCCGCTGAATCTTCCTGACGTGGTGGCGGTCCGGGCAAAACGATTGTCGGGATCGGTTTCGAGAGGGAAGCGAAGTGGGATTGGAGGTATTCGTGGTTACGGTAGTAGTTGTCTCGGAAGACGAATACGGCATCTGTATCGTACCCGCGGATATGGAGACCTTCGTGGGCAGCGATGGAGGTGGAGATACCGCCGAGGTGGGGGTCCGCGACGAGTATGGTGGGAAGACGGAGGGGACGGTAAAAATCGGCTTGTGGGACGCGGTTGAGGGTGGGTGAGTGAATCCCACCCGCGGTTTCGAGGAAGAATGAGCCGGGTCCGGAGGAGGCGGCCATGTTGAGATAGTTCGAGACTTGCGATAGAACCGAGTGGTCGGACGGCGGTGTCGGCCCCGCGACGAGATGCGGACTTACCGGGTCCGAGTACTGCCACAAACATTTCGGGGTCACGTTTGGTAGATCCCCGGTATATCTCTTCACATGGCTATCATCTGCATCTTTTGCTTCACCGGTCGAGATGGGTTTGAGGTACCATGTCTGTTCTTGCGGGTAGTTGAGTGCGGCTGCGCGGGTGAGGATGGTTGAGATGATTGTCTTTCCGACGTTTGTGTTTGCGCCGTAGATTTGGTGGGTGTTGATGGAGCGGGAAAGGAAGGAGGAGATGCCTGGCATCGTGATTGATGCTTGCTGTTGAAGGATCAATGAATGGAAGGGTTTGTATTATCGGGTTGTAGGCGTCACTCACTCTTCGACACTCGACGTCTGGTGGCGAGTTGCACGTGCAGGCCTGCGTCTTATGTGATTTGACGTCGACCCTCAAAATCCTGAACTCCATCCAAATCAAAATTCAAATCAAAACACAATGTTCACGCGTCAAGCACCTCGTATGTTGACCTCCATCGCCCGTGTCGCCCTCCCCCGCGTCACTATCGCCCGTTCCGCCGTACCCTCGATCACTCGTCCAGCGGCAAGAGCCTACCACGAGAATGTTCTTGATCACTACAATAACCCGCGTAACGTCGGATCATTGCCGAAGGGTGATGTAGATGTTGGAACTGGATTGGTCGGTGCTCCTGGTATGTCCAACCCTCGTCTTTCACATTGCCGAGTACTATCCGGATTAACGGCTTTCTTGTACCAATGCCAAGGAAAGTGTGCTGACATTGACAATCAACAGCTTGTGGAGACGTCATGAAACTCCAGATCCGTGTCGACCCCACCGGCAAGATCTCCGACGTGAAATTCAAGACTTTCGGCTGCGGATCCGCTATCGCCTCCTCCTCCTACGTTACCACCCGTCTCGCTGGTTTGACCCTCGATGAGGCAGCCGCGATCAAGAACACGGAGATTGCGAAGGAGTTGAGTTTGCCGCCGGTCAAGTTGCATTGCTCGATGTTGGCGGAGGATGCGATCAAGGCCGCGATCAAGGATTACCAGAAGAAGAAGAGGCCGACGACGCTTGGTGCTACTGCCTAAATCAATCGTCGAAGGTGTTGAAATTGTCGTTTGGAGAAGATTGTCTGAGTGACGGCGTTTGAGGAGTGTTTGATTATTCCCGAGGAGACGTTTCTTGTTCTTGGTTTTTGTCACTGTTTTCGTTTTGTTATCGCGTGTGATGGGCTTGTTGGTCACCAGGGTCCGTTCGTTTTTGATGGATCGGTCGTATGATATTGGCAATGAAAAACTGGTATTTGTAACCCGCTGTCCTCAGTGCTTCAAAATGCTCTACCCAGACCCAAACCTGGTCGTGGCGTATCCAATGTCCTTGTACCCTTTCATAACGCTACCCCATGCTCTTCAATCATCCTCCGTCAGTCGTCTACTGCAGTGTATAATCACCTCGCCTCAACCTCCCTCCTAATTCCTTTCCTCACCGCTGGACACCACTCAACCCACTGCGCCCTCCTAACCCCCCTCGTACTCCCACCATCAACACTCACCGAACCAGGATTAAACGTCGGACACCCCTCATACGTCACCTCCCACGTCGGTGCACTACAGTCCACGAGGACGAGTGCGGTGGGCATGGGATAGAGACGGAGGGTGTGGTCGAAATCCCATGCGACGGGGCGTGTGGAGAGGGGGAGGGGGGATAGGTGGGATTGGTCTAGGAGGGTGCGAATGAGATTTCTGCAGGCGTCGAAGTCTGTATCCGCCTCCTCCTGATCGTCTTCGGCTTCGGCCATAGTGACGTCGTCCTCTGTTGATGCTGCCGTCTTGAGCACAGCAGGGAATCGTACTTGGTTTCGACGAAGACGGGCGAGGGCGTCATCCCTAAACACCACAACCTCCTGCGTAAACCAACTCAACCTCACGGGATTCGTCGCGAACGTGACGCTCTTGACGGCCCTCCGTACCCGCCCCGTGAAGAACTCGCTGATTTTACCACGAGGGAGCGAGGATGCTCCGCCTCCGCTCGCCGCGCCTGCCCATGGGTCGTTAGGGCCTGGGATAAAGATGAAGTGAGTTTGGACACAGAGGGTCGGGTAGTCTGATAGCAAACGCGCGAGTGCGTCCCAGAGTGATTTGTAGGAGCGGGATTGTCCAGTGTTATGGAAAGGCTGCGAAGTAAACGACCCCGTCAAGACAATAGCTTGCGGTACCCCATTCGTATCGGCGCGCTCTTCGTAGTAAGTGAATAGTGCTGCGAGTGATTTCAGGGTCTGAGGATTATCAAGTGGCGACTCACCCGCAAACACCCACTTTAGGTTCGGAAAGCGGTGTTCGGCGCGGATCATGTGCGACTCAAACTCTTTCTCGAAACCGACGCCAAGGAAGTCGACGTGTCCGAAGTTTTGCATCGAGATCGCACGCTTCTCTATTGGTGGGTGGCCGAGAGAGAGGGGCTGAAAGGTGCCTCGGTTGGTGTAGGTTCCGTCGACGAGGACCATCATGGAGGGGGTGAAGAAGCCGGGTCCGGGGATGGTTTCGCTGAGTTCGAGGAGGACTCTGTCGTCACCGTCCTCGAGCCAGTAACGGCCTTCGGCACCCAATGTCAACATGCCGTAAATCATGAACTCCTGCCCGTGTCTTCCTAGGAGGTTCTTGATGCTTGTGATCTTGTAGTACGAATTCTTCTCCCTTCCTCCCGAGAATGTCGGTGCCTGGAATGCCTCGTTCCGTCCCAGTCTTTGTCGAATGATATCGAAACGTTCCCTCCAGAGTTGTGGGAGGTGGGATGCCAGGGCGATGAGTGCCGGTGGTGTAGATGAAGCTTCGTAATGTCGACGGGCAGCATGGTAAATGTATTTCGGCTGCTTAAATGCATCCACAACAGCAAAATACCGGTTCGGATCGACATCACCTTGTAGCGCGGCTGGTGTCGACGTGGGTGCGTTCGAATTGACCATCGCCGCAAGACGATTTGGCTGTGAGCTGGAAGAGTCCTCCATGCTGACATCCTCCTGCACCGTCAAATCTCGTGCCAGCGAGACAGGCCGTGCCGGGTGTGGTACATCCACAGCTTTGATAACATTCTTCAGCCCATCCGCATTCACAAGTGCATCCCCCTCCGTTCTCTTCCACGCACGCGCAATCTCATCCAACACGAGCTCACCCTTGACTCTCCACTCACTTCCCAACTTCGAGCCAAGGTAGTCCGCCAGACATTGTAGCGCGTCAGATTTCAAAGTCAGGTTATGTTTCTTGGTGAATATCCGGAACGCGGTGGGACGGAGTGCGGAGGGTGGGATGGAGACTGGTAGCGGTAGGGGTGATGCTGGGGTTGGTGTGAGGAAAGGGTCTTGTGAGGATGTAAGGTCGTCGCTTGGAGGACGGTTCTTGGAGCGAAAGAGGGATGCGACGGAGTTTGGGGGCATTGCCGGGACTGCGTTGGGTGTGGGGAGTCGATGGGTGTTTCTGGTGTTTTGGGAGACGCGACTTCCAAATTCAGGGCAAATGCAATCGCGACGCGAATTCGAAGCAGCCGCGATGCGAGAAAGAGGGACAGGGAGTGAATGCTGGCGGAACGAGGCATTCACCGTTCACAGAAGCAGTGCCATCGAGGACAGCTCGTAGGCATTACGCTTGATGTCTCTGCTGCCCTCCTTTGCCCAGTCAAGCACAGCAAACTTACGCATATGCATACACGACCGGCAGTACTCACTTCTCTGGCCATGGGCATTCGCTTATCACACACATATCCTACCCCAGCCAAAAGGGCTCATGAATTGCTATCAGATGATACCCTACGCCCCCTATTCAATGCGGTTGACCCATCCTCCTGCTGTGCGTGAAGATTGCCCATTTATGGGGGGTACCTCAAGTGAACGCCAGCGCCGCGGCGACTCCACAACCCCAGTTGACATCACCGTCGCAAACCAACCTCAAACGCTACAACTACAACACCAGAGTTACAATGTTAATCATCGGGCTAACAGGCGGCATCGCAACAGGCAAATCCACCGTCTCATCCCTCCTCTCCTCACCCCCCAACCCCCTCCCAATCCTCGATGCAGACGTCATCGCCCGCGAAGTAGTTCTCCCCGGCACTCCCGCCTACCGCGCCATCGTCTCCCACTTCTCACCCACCGTCCCGGACCTCCTTGAAGATGATGGGACCCTAAATCGTGCCGCGTTGGGTCGAGCGGTGTTTGGTGAGAGCGAGGACGCAAAGAGGGAGAGAAAGGTCTTGAATGGAATTACGCACCCCGCTGTTAAACGGGCTTTGGTGTGGGGTGTGCTCAAGGCTTGGGTGAGGGGGGAGTGGGCTGTTGTGTTGGATGTACCGTTGTTGTTTGAGGGTGGGTTGGATAAGTTTTGTGGGGCGACGGTATTGGTGGCGTGTGATCTCAAGATACAGAAGGAGAGATTGCTGCAACGGAATCCACATCTGAGTGAGGAGGAGGCGGATCAGCGTATTGCATCACAGCTCTCGCTCGAGGATAAACGCCGACGCGCGAATATCGTGATCGAGAACGACGGATCTCTTGAAGATTTGGAGAGGAGTGTGAGAGGTGTGGTGGAGGCGTTGAAGCCGTGGGGGTTGGTAACGTTGATGGAGTGGTTGATTCCGGGATTTGGGTTGTGGATGGCGGGGAAGGAGTGGTTGATGAGGAATTATTGGAGGGGGGAGCGGAAGGCGAAGTTGTAAACTTGGGAGCTGCGATGCCTTGGGTTTGGTGGGAAGGGAAGAGGAAATGTTCGATATTGGTGGGGGAGGATTGGGGTAGAATGGGATACAGCCGGTACGATAGGGAACGATAGGGAATGAAAGAAACGAAACCGTGTTCCGAAAAATCAGATGCAATATACCATGCTACACACCCAGCCCCATCATTTCTCCCTAACTTAGTAGTTACGCCTATTTGTGTTTGACGCACTAACCTGGAACTTCGAATACACCGGCATAACACCAAACGCCCTCGCCCTCTTAATCGCCCTCGCAACCCTCCTCTGATTCTTCGCACTGATCCCCGTATCGCTCGCCGGCCTAATCCTCCCCATCTCAGTAACGAACGCATTCAAAAGAAACGGATTCTTCCATTCCTTCTCCGGATTCACCCCGAGAGCCTCGATCCGGTCCCTCTTGACCATACCGCGTTTATGGCGCCGATCTAACCTGACTTCTTCCGCCTTTTCGAAGGAGAAGTCACGGGGCTCGTACGTTTGTCCGTAAGAGAATTCGCGTATGGTGTTGCGGCTCAACCTGATGGGTGTTTCGGGGTCGTCTTCTGTGGATTGTTGGGTTGCCCATTTCAATGCATCTGCACCGGAGGTGGACTTCTTGTCCATGGTTGCTTGCCAGTCGAGTTTAGGGGCGGTGGAGGTGGAGGTGGGGTCCGCTGGCTTGTCTTCTTTAATTTGGGAGAGCATGGAGAAGAGGGCATCGGCGGTTTTTTCGTTGGAGGTCGTGTTGCAGACCCGGGCGGAGGTGGAGAAGGTTGCCCGTGAGCAGACGGACTGCACTGATCTTAATGATGAGCGGAACATCCTTGCTGTTATGTGTTTTCTTTGGTGGAGTACTTGGACGTTCACTTGGTCGAAATCTCGAGCACCTGCAGATGCAGCCCCTGCTGTGCCCGGCAGTCCCCACATGTCCCCAAGCTTGAATCCTTCAGATCGGAGTTGTTCTGTATTGTTTTCATTCTTCTGTCACTTCTATCTTTCTCCGATAGCCTTTTCTCGGGTAGATGATCAGATCGCTGCTTATCTAATTAGAATGATTCCCCAACGACTCACCTGCCGGGGAATTCAACTCGAGGAGCGCTCAAGTTGACAACCTCGTGAAAACCAACCCCAAGCACACCTCCTCTTCCACCCAGTTGATCTCGACTCCCCATTCACTCCCTTCCAATCTTTCTTTAAACCAACATACTAGGCACAATGCTCTCCCGTCAGGCTCTCCGCCGGGGCGCTTTCCTCACCAGATCTTTCGCTACGGCTACAACCTCTGGTCCCCTCCCCACCGCCGAGGCCGCAACCCCCGCCGTCAGGAATGACTGGTCCCGCGAGGAGATCCAAGCAATCTACGACCTCCCCCTCATGGACCTCGTCTACAAAGCCGCAACCGTCCACCGCGTCCACCAAGATGCTCGCAAAGTCCAACTCTGCACACTCCACAACATCAAAGAAGGTGGATGCACGGAAGATTGCTCTTACTGCGCCCAATCCTCCCGCTACAAGACGACCGTCAAAGCTAAGAAAATGGCCGATGTGGATGAAGTCCTCGAGGCTGCGAGGAAGGCCAAGGCGAACGGATCGACCCGATTCTGTATGGGTGCGGCTTGGAGGGATATGCGTGGTCGTAAGTCCGGGATGAACAAAATTATCACCATGGTCAAGGAGATTCGGGCAATGGATATGGAAGTCTGCACCACCCTCGGAATGGTCGATAAAGAGCAAGCTGCGTTGTTGCGCGAAGCTGGTCTCACAGCCTATAACCACAACCTCGATACCTCCCGCGAACACTACCCCAACGTCATCACAACCCGCTCCTACGACGAGCGCCTCGCAACTATCAAAGCTGTCCGGGATGCCGGTATTAAAGTCTGTTCGGGTGGAATCGTTGGATTGGGTGAGACTCGCACGGATCGTGTCGGGCTTATCCATGAATTGAGCAACCTCCCAACTCACCCCGAGTCTGTCCCGATTAACGCTCTCGTTCCGATCCCTGGTACTCCGTTGGGCGACATCGAACGTCTCCCTTTCCACGACGTCCTCCGTACCGTCGCGATTGCGCGTATTACCATGCCTCTCACCGTCGTCCGTCTCGCTGCGGGCCGTGTCTCCATGACCGAAGAGCAGCAGGCACTCTGCTTCATGGCGGGTGCGAATGCGGTGTTTACTGGTGAAAGGATGTTGACGACGGGATGTTCGGGATGGGAGGAGGATCATGCTTTGTTGGGGAGGTGGGGAATGAGCGGATTGGGGGCTTTTGAGGGACAGAACATGGTTGGTGAGCCGGGTTATAAGGGACCTGGACAGGAGGAGGCTGTCACTAAGATTCAGGAGTTGAAGGGAGAGGAGGCGGTTGCTGCTGGTGGGTGTGGATCTTCTGGGTGTGGATGTGCTTAGACATTCGTTGACATTTTCATTGCTTATACCTTTTTAACACTTGCATAGTGGGTTATGAAAAAAAAGACATTTATAACATTGCATTCGTTCCATGTTGCTGCTAAAGTCTTGAATCATCTTGAGGCACCAGGCGTGCTCTTCTGTATTCTATCTATGCCTTTCCGTATAGCAACTCACATGTGCATATCCTTGTCTAGCTCATCCCACCCCTCCTCCCCCCACCCCCCAAAACACCCAAACCGATGATTCAACTCCTTCCTCCAATGCAACCCATATGTACTCTCCACCGCTCCCGTCCCCGCCACAGCCCTCCCATACACCAACATCCTAATTCTCGAGTGCACGAGTGCCATACAACACATCACGCATGGCTCGTGTGTGGTGAGGACGATATAGTTTTTACACAAATAGGGTGCGTCTTCGGGGTTGGGGGCGGGGGGGAGGGAGGCGTGGTGGGTTGCGACGGAGGTGATTGCGTTCATGATTGAGTGGTGGAGGGGGTGGGAAGTTGAGTGGCGAGTGTCGTGGGCCGAGCCGACTTCGGTCCATGTTGTTGGATCGATGATGACTGTGGCGATGGGGAGTTCGCCATTCAGTTTTGCCTTGGCGACGAGGTTGTGGAGGGTGTCGTAGTGCGGTTGGAGCTTGTCGAGGGGTGGGAATGCGCTTTGGACTGATCGTGCTGAGTCGGCTTTCAGAACTAGTGGCCATAGCTCGGCCCAGGATATCATCTGCTCCATCGTCAAAGGTGCATGCTTCGATATCTGCCCAATCACCACCGGGAGGTCCAGGTCCTTGGCGGCCAGCATCGCGGTGATTTCCTCGAAAGTATGTGCTTCCGTGCTGCACAGCACGATCTCCAGTTGCATCGGTTTCCTTCCCTTGCTGTCCAGCTGGCCGTCGATCTCCGTCTTCTTTAGTCGTTTGACATGGGAGAGATCGTGTGGATCAACAGCGGATTCCACGATCGTCTTTACCAGCTTCGTGACGACTGGTGTATCCCTCGGTGACATCGTCGCGATATAAACATCAAGTTTCTCCAACGGCCTCGTCTCCAGATGCGACTTGATAAACCGATAGCTCGAAAGATGCGAAAATGCACCATTCGGTTCCGGTGTCGCAATCTCCTCGTTCCCCCGTTTCCGTCCCTTTATTCTTGGTACGGGAGTTTCCGCCTTGATCTTGGTCTCCTCCTTCTCCCCAAACTCTTCCACAACCCACCGACAAAACGCTCCAAACTCCACCCTCCACTCCGCCACCCTCCTATCCCTCTCCTCCTCCGTCTCAAAAGCTGCATGCTGTACGCTCGCCTCAGCCAAAGCCCCGGCTCCTGCCAATCCGAGGCTATCCCACCCCATCAAGCACTGGTAAAATTCCATACTGACACCAGTCTCGCCCTGTCCGAGGATAGCTGGGTCGTCGTTGCTGAGGGTGCAGGTGACGCCGTTTGCTAGAAGGGCTGGGAGGGGGTGTGTAAGGATCGTGGGTGTAAGTCGCAATACCTCGTTTGAGATCGGGCATGACTCGATGCAAATGTTGTTCTTTACACATTCCTGCATGAGAACAGGGTGTTTGTGCAACGAGAACGCGTGCCCGATCCTCTTCGCCCCCAACAACACAGCATCATACAAATTATCGTCCGCGTCCGTCCCCGAGCCAAGGGTTTCGCCGGCGTGGAACATGAAGGGGATATCCAATCCCAATTCCATACACCTGTCTCTGAAAGCCAATAGTTCGGGAATGTAGTCCCTGAGCGGCAACCCTGCATCTTCCTGCCCAACCATGTCGAACCCGGCAATGACGTGCGGCAAAACTTGCTTGACTTTGACACATTCGTCTAAGGAGTCACGCAGTGCTTCGGGGCCGAGGGAGCGGAGGAAACAATAGATTATCCGTGCGCCCCAGAAGTCGGGGTGCGAAGCTTTGAATCGTTGGACTTCCTCGTCGAAGACTCTGGCCAGATCCACGCCAGCCAACATCCCGGCATTTGGATCAGAACGTCCAAAAACCCATCGCACATCCACCCACTTCACTCCATCTTCCAAAAGTCCTTCCAACATCTTCTGCACGTATCGTCGAAAAATCGGTGCATGAAAGATGAGTCCTTCCACAACCAGAAAACATTCCACGAACTTATCCCATACGGTTCTATGGGACCATTGGTGGTGTTGTGCATCTGCGTGGGTAATAGAGGCTTTGGAGGTAAGGAAGTCGGCGAAGGTGGCCCAGGTGTCAGAGGGTTGGAACTGGGCGATGGCGTCGGAGAGGAGGGTGAAGGAGCCGGGACGGTAGTGAGGCGAGTACAGCATTGTCACTGGATGGGCAAGTGTAGTTTTTTGTGCGGTGCGAAACTTGTAGTATCGGAACCTGATTTTGCCTGTATGTAGATCGTCGAGAGTGACGAGAGGTTTGTCCGATTGGAGATATATGTCCCCAAATGGGGTGAGTGTATCCCCATCTTCTTCTCCTTCCTCATCTTCCTCCGACACACCAATTGCGATGCCAAGCAGATCCCGCACTGTAAGTCAATGTCAGTAAGGACTTCAATCCTATCAACAAACACTTTACCTTGCACCATCGCATCTCCATGCGCATGCAACAGCGCTCCCTTTGGCAGCCTCTTGACGATCTCCCACAGCTTCGTTTCTCGAATACGCTCTTTCGCAAAACCGAATGGCATTCCAGGATAAAGTTCATCGTTTCCGCCTCCACCCTCAGCTCCGGAGTTTGACCAAACTTTCTCGGCCTCCTCCTTCCGAATCTTGTCGAAAATGGCGCATGCTTGCTGTTCAACTGGACTCAACGAAGATCTGAAGAGCGCGTCGGATTTGAAATCAGCAGCCTCCTCGATCAATCCCTTTCTCCTATCTTTATAAGCTTTCAACCTGTCATTCCCGTCGTTCATGATGTCGCATCTTCGTTACCTCGGTCTCCATCGTTCGTACGGTTGCGCCACCCGTGCCACACTTCCAGCTGCATGCCATACCGACCGAAAAGTCGTACACCCGACAAGAAACAAGAAATAGAAGTCAGGATGTCGTTCGTTCCCAAAGCTGCTTTCAAGCCTGGCAACTTCGTCCACTACGTCAACGCGCGAGTTCTCCGCGATGCCAAGAATCGTCAGGCGGCTGCGGAGGCGGAGCCTATGAGACAGGCGTTGAGATGTACGTTCGATCCCTCCGCCCCACATCGCTACATTGCACAATCGGATAACTAATATTTATCCAAGATATTGTCCGCAACACCAGTCTTCCCCCCCGTGCCCGCGCCCAGGCCCAGCTCCAACTCTCCAACATGCCTTCAGAGACCAGAATGACCAAAGTCGTGGACAGATGTATTGTTTCTGGTAAAGGACGTGGTATTTTCAGGAAGTTCAAGATGTCAAGGTTCCAGTTCAGGATGCATGCGTTGAGGGGAGAGTTGCCCGGTGTTAAGAAGGCGGTGTGGTAGAAGAGAGGGGGAGAGGGGGAGGAGTAGACGAAAAGCGTGTCCTGCATACAGGAAGACACCTTGAAGAGAGGGCAGGGAGACAAAACGGAAAACAGCTAAGGCGTTGGATCGTTTGAACAGCTGGCTGTACGATAAGAAATGAAAAAAACATGTCATACCATTTACCCCTTTGCATCGCTCCATTTGCGACGAACGTGAAGATCCCGACTCTAGGAGCATAGCGAAATCTGTCAAACAATTTATCGGCAGTTCCAAACATGTTCGGTGGGACTTCATTTCAGTGACGTCGATAACCCACGGCCGATACCGGTAGCCCTGCTTCCCAAAAAAAGAGCGCGAACCCCGTCGCGTCGTGCAGCTTTGGATCGCACTCAACACCCCTCTTACAAGACGATCCGTCTACCAAACAACTGCAATCATGTCTGATCTTCTCGAAGGCTACACCTGGCCCAACCGCCACCTCATGGTCTCCAAGAAGGCCTCCGAACAAATCGAGGCCCTCCTCCAACAATCCGATAATCGCAACCCTGATTTTCACGACATGTATGTCTACAACGACTTCCACGGTTATGGCGTCTGCCATCTGATCGTCTCCGAACTCAAAAAGATTCACAAAGCCCTCTCGGGGAAGGAGCAGGATATCGATGAAGCGTGGATCTTGTTGGAGAGCTTGGTGGTCCTTATGGAGACGGAGAGTGGATGGAGTATGGTGGATGACCCTGATTTGCCGTATGGGATCGTTAGTGTTCTCTGCTCTGCCATCATGACCGTTGTCAACGCGTTGAAGGAGCAGGGAAAGTTCAACAGGGAGTCTATCCCCAACGTCGAACATGTGTTGAGGACTGCGTACTTCTGCGGGCCATTGGAGGACTTCGATGGTGGTCCGGGCGAGAACTGGTTGAACGCCATCATTTTCCTCAAGGAGATCAAGAAGATCGTGAGGGAGGAGTTGGAGCCTACTGACGAAGTAAAGGAGCAGGAGAAGAAGTGGTATGAGGCCTGGAAAACGGCTCTGAATGAGAAGACTAGGAAGGCGATTGAGAAGGCAGAAGAGGAGGATGGGGACGAGGATGAAGGAAATCGCGAAGACGAATGGTACCTCTCCGGCGACGAAGCCGACGCACCGGCTCCCAAAGCAGCCACATTCAAGTTCACGACCTGGTATAACAAACTCCAGAAACACCTCAAGGAAGTACCCGTCTACCCCCTCCGTGGACCCCCCGAATGGGATCTGACAAAGTGGACCAAGGAGGAGAGGGCGCCGTTTGCGTTCGGTGCTGGGATGGACTCCGAGGATGAGTCTGGCGAGGAGGATTTGGCGGATTTGCCGGGGGGTGTGAAGGAGTTGTTGGAGGAGTTGGCGAAGAGAGGACAGATGGATGCAGAGGATTTCAGTGGTGAGGATGATGAGGACGAGGAAGACGAGGAGGAAGAGGAGGAGGAGAGGCCGCAGAAGAGGCAGAAGCAGAGTGGTGGGCAAGCAAAGGGGAAGCAGCCGGCGAAGAACCAGCCGAAGGCTAACCAGCCGAAGGCTAACCAGCCGAAGGCTAACCAGCCGAAGGCTAACCAGCCGAAAGGCAACCAGCAAAAGGGTGGTCAGCAGAAGGGCGGCCCAAAGAAGGGACCCGGAAACCGACCGAAGGGCAAGCCGCCCGGTGCCGCCAAGGGTAAGGGAAAGAAGTAGTTCAGTTGAAGGGGCATGTACGATATCTAAGCAACCGTGCGATATGTAATTTGTTTGACGTTTGTCCTTAAACCAATTCGTTCACCCGCTCACTCGTGCACGCTGCACCCCCGAAAGCGCGCTGCATCACCGACGTCGACATCGCCATACGGTGAACCTTATTTCAACCCTCGACTCAAATCGCGATAGGGGCCCAGCAGGTAGCAACACTGGAGTCGCGAACATAGACAGTTGAAGCTACACCTATCTATCTCCACTCCTTCGCTACCCACACCCCCCGCAACAATGGACCCGCGTTCCCGATCTCTTACCAACCTAGAATGGGTCATCGGACTTCGGTGCGTCTGGTCGCACATTATTCCTCTTTGCTTTGGAACTGATAGATTTCGGCCTATAGGATGAAAGTCACCACGCTCATTGACGAAACTATCGAAGGAACCCTCTACGCTTACTGCCCCATCACAAACACCGTCACTCTCTCCTCCTCTGCCGAATCGACAGGAGCAGCAGATTACCGCATCCTCAAAGTCTCGTTCCTAACCAATATCCAAGTCCTCGAAACCCCAACACAAAGCACCAATTTCACGAACGCACCCGGCCCCGAACTTGCACCGGTAAACCTCCAAACAATCGATGCTCGCATCAACAAAGTCATCACCAAAAAGCCCTCTGTACCACCCGGCGTGGGCCGCGAAGGTGTCGAGATCTTTGAGGCGCTAACAAAGACGCTACCATGTCGATGGCAGGGAACCGCGATCGTGGTGTTGGACGAGGTTATGGTCGAATCACCATATACCGCGGAGACGTGTAAGAGTATTGAAGAGAGGGGTGGAGGGAATGGATATAGTTTGAAGAGAGTGAAGATGATCGTGGAGGGGGAGAGACGGAGGTTGTTTGGGGAGAGTGAGAGGAAGGGAGGGTAACTTACAATATGCTGGGAATGACCTGAGGGGTATCTATGCCGGCGCACGAAGGGCTTGGCCAAAATGAACTCGGATATACCAGAAGAATGCATTGTCTTCATGCCATCCATGCCCCTCTCATGGCCCATTCGTCTCAGGCTCAACCAAAGCCTCCGCCAAATACCTCCCCAACCCATCCGCCTTCGCCTTCAAAATCCCCTCCTCCGCTCCCTTTCCTCCAATCAAACACACGAGCAGTTGCTCATGTACCGCATTCCTCTCACTATCAACATCGACTTTGACGATCATGAGAGTTCCCATCTGTACAGGCGCCTCATTAGTTAATGTCGAGATAGAGTAAAAAAAAAGACGGGCTTACCTCGGCTTCTACACAAACCCATCGCGTCCCAGCGCCGTGTTCGTCAGCACCCACGCTTCTCCATCGTCCGGCTATGCCGTTACTCTCACTCCCTCCACTACTTCCTGACCCAGGCCTCGACCCAGATTCCTGCTCACCAAGTACTTCCCCAACAACCCCACTCCTCCCAAGCACATCATAATCCTGCCAAATCGCACTCGCAAGCGCAGCTTGTGTCCTGGCCTCTTTCGCCGCTGCAGCCGTCGTTGGTTTGGGTTTTGATGCGTATGCTAGTAGCGAGCCGGAGGCTGTGAAGAGGCTGTACGCAACGACAAGAGTTAGCGAGAGCAAGGGAGGTAATAAGGATGAGGGACGGACAGAGCGGATGAGACGGTTGTGGAAAGGGATTGTTCCAGGAGGGCTTGTAGTCTTTTTGGCTTCAGCATGGTGGGTGAACGGTTGGTGTAGTGTTTTGGTCGTTACGTAGGACTGGGCTCGCTATCGATATGGGGATGCAAGTCGATGCACGGGCATGCCGTCCCATGGGGGCCCAAGAAAGACCAGCAGGGTATTGTACGTACAATTGGACAAACGACAGACATTCCTCTATTCATGCATATTCTATTCAAGCAACGATAGCAAAAGCAAAAAGCCATGAATGTCCAATGGTCCTTCTCTCTCTCGGATTCCTCCCTCCTGTTCCCTCTCCCTCTCCTATATCCCTTTCCTTCGACCTCCCTCCGTAGCCACCCAAGGGTCGCGTAAGGAGTTCCTCCTACTCCAACCTTAACCAGAAATTAACCCCAACAGCCAAAGCCAACACAAAACACAACCCCCCCGGACCAATCCAATCATCATAATCAACCGCCTTCCTCCTCCTCACCGCCCCCGCCCTCCACAAAAACATCACCGCTGAATAGACGATCGCGAGCGCAGAGACGGCAGTGAATCCAATCGCTGCCGTGACACCCGCACTGTCACCGAAGTTGAGGAGGCCTGCGGCGATGGCACCGAGGAGGATGGAGAATTCCATCCAGGAGAGGAAGGTGCGTTCGAGTGCGAATTGGACCTTGGGCTCGACACGCACTGGGACTGCGATTTTTTTGCCGCGGGGGGCGCGGAAGGTGCGGGCGTACGTAACGGCCGTCCGAGGATCCTGTTCGGGTTCTTTGCGGAGGATGTGTTCCTTGACATAAGTCTTGACCGTGACCAACCACTGTCTCAACCCCTCTCCGGCTCGATGCCGTCTTTCCCGCGCTGCGCGTCCAGAGTTGTGTTGACGGCGTTCAAGGAGGGGAGTATGCTCCGTCTCCTCCTCCCCAGGCGCAGGATACCGGCCTTCAGGCAGACCACGCTCGACCCTCTCCTCCTCATCCATGAGGTTACCATCATGCCCATCATCCGTTGTCTCTGTCGTAGTATTCGCCTCACTCCCCCCACCCGCCCCCGCCGGCCTCTCAATTCCAAACCGATGACTAACCGGCTTGCGGATATCCACATCCATTTGACAATACCAAAACGGTAAAAGCTCAACATGGTCATACAACAACATCGCCGTCCCGTGGATGAACTTGGAGAACTTGGGGACGGGTTCGACGAGATGGGAAGCGACGAGTTGTCGGATCCATTCGGGGGGTTCCTGGCCGAGTTGGGTTTGGAGTTTGACTTCGAGGACGGCGTAGGGGAAGCGTTCGACTTCTGTGTCGGGGAGTTGGGAGAAGGGCCAGTCGATGCCGATGTCCGTGCGGCGCCAGTTACCGGATGTGCGGTCCTGGCCGTCGAAGTTGTCTTCGCGGGTCATAGCCAACTCGGTATCCAAAGAAATACGAACTCGGGCATCGCCGGGGAGTTGGAAGGCTGTGCGGTTGTAGAAGGAGCGGACGACGGGGCGGTATTTCTTCGTGATAACAGAATACTGTACCTCACGCGCCAATTGCTCCAACTGTCGAATTTCCTTCTCATCCTTCCCCTGTGCCCTCATCTTCTCGAACACCTTCTCAACGGGGTACTCCCCCTTCAAATACGCATTCAAATTTTTTTCCTTGATCGCAAACCGCGCCTTGACCGATTTCTCCCCCGTCCAATCCTCGCGATGCGTCTTCCTCTCCACAAAGATCGTGTTAGCGTCCATCCCACCATACCACCTCATCCGAATCGCCTCCGCTCCCTCACTCTTCTCCAATCGTCCAGTGTAGAGCTCGAGATCCTCATTATCATAATAGATAGAACTAATCGCACTGTCCGCCTTCGAAAACTCTTTGTTTGGGTTAAAGACCAGAACGGGGAGATGTTTGAGGATAATGAGTTTGAGCTCCGTCACGTTTTGTGGGTGAACCCAATACTTCGTCGTCTGCCTCACGAAATTCTGCTGACTCCCTCCTGCGGACGCGTCGCCCTTGACGGGATTCCCCCGCGTACGGACAACGTCGTACAACTTTGACAAATGCACAATTTGCGCATCATAGTTTTCCTTGAAAAAGGGCTTTGCGTTCAACCGAGCGGCGAAAATGGGTTTGAGACGGAAGTGTGTTTGTTTATCGTGCTTCTTGATGATTTTTTGGAAAGCGGTGTAATTCAGCGTCGAGAAATTCGCCAAATCGTGGACGTCGGCGATGATATCACTCAACTCCTGCTCGAGCTCAATGAACTCATCTTCGCCCACACCTCCCTCACTCTGCGCCGCCGCAACGGCCTTATCGACATCCGCCTCAGTCATCCTTATCCGTCTCTCAATCTCCTTGGCTTTTACCTGTTGAAACGTGTAGACTTTGTCGAGTTCCCCCTCGAGCTCGTGCACGAATGCGGCTTCGTCGTCATCGGTCCATTGGTTGTTGTTGTTTCCGAGACGTTCTTTGATGAAGAATTTGAGGGAGTCGTACTCGACGTATTGGAAGCGGTATTCCTTGTTGAGGGTGAGCTGTGGTGGGGTGTTAGCTTGCGTGTATCGTCTATGTAGATCGTAGGAGGGTCGACAGTCGACAGGCTCTGAGACAAGCTGTCCCATCGCCATCGTGACCATGCTCGATGGAACATACCTTGAGCTGTTGACCAAACTTCATCCTTTCAACACCTGTATAGAAGACAGTGACAAAAGCTCGGACGATATCGAGGCAACAATTGACGAGGATGTTCTCCTTTTTCTTCCCTCTTTCCCTTTAACCCTGCGTGAATGCACTTGTCCCACAAATGGCTCAAAACCTTAATTGAGGGATTTTGGCCGCACTTGTCGCCGGTAACTCTCACAGCACGTCACGATACAGAAATATCTCTGCCAGTCCGGATGTTCGCGGGATGTATGCGTCAATGCTCGAGGTGGTGAATGCTGGCAAGCTTCGACGGACAGCTGGATGACGTTGAGGGGAGCCAGAACAGTAGTAGTATTCGCCACACTAGCCACACCTGACGTAGGCCCGCACTGCGCAATTGAATCTGTTGGAGGTAACCTTATAAGCGTGTAAATCGTCTGATGGACGTCACAATGCTCGAAGCGACCACTAGATGCCCGCATGTCTTGACTCATGCCCTCCATACGCCTGGTGCTTTCCAGACGGTCCACAGGGAGGAGTGTACGCTGTGCTTTGACTCTCAGGTACCCCACACACCCTTCTTTGTCTGCGTAACAGTCGTGATCTAATTGCTTTTCAAGGATGACGCAGAGGGAATCGACGTCTGCCTGGACTGCTTCGCCTCTGGCTGTGTCGGTGAGCGGAACCATGCCGCAATCCACCACCAACGCACCCAACACCCACTTTACCTCAATATCCGCCGAACGCCTAAACCGAAGCCGAGTAGAGACGGAGAAGGCGAGCCTCCGAGCAAGATTAGTAAGCTCGCAATTCCGGCGGAAAGTGATGCGACGAACTATGATTTGCATACTTCCGTGAGGTGCTACGCATGTGAGGGGAGGGAGGTTGATATGGCACAGGGCAACCTTCCGTTGGTTGTAGATGGGGTCATGTCCTCCATGGACGTATCACAGAAGAATGAGGTCAAGGCATGGGAGATGGAGCTCACGCCATGTGAGCATACATTGTGTTTGAACCAGCAACCAGTCACCGCCGCACACCAGATTACACAATGCAACAACTGCGACCTGAAGGAGAATCTGTGGATGTGTCTCGAATGCGGTAATCTCGGCTGCGGCCGCTCACAATTCGGGTCGACCGTGGGCGGAAACGGCCATGGCGTCGCGCATTTCGAGGGGACAATGCATCCAGTCTCTGTCAAGTTGGGCAGTTTGACAGCAGAGGGAACGGCCGATATTTATTGTTACCTGTGTAATGAGGAACGTGTTGATCTGGAGTTGAAGGCGCATTTGGCGCACTGGGGGATTAATATTGCGGAGGCGGTCAAGACGGAGAAGAGTTTGACAGAGATGGTAGTGAACTTTGCACGTTTCCCCAGCATGGATCTTGCTAATAGTTGATTACAGCAACTCGAGCAGAATTTGAAGTGGGAGTTTTCGATGACCACCTCCGATGGACATTCTCTGCAGCCGCTCTTTGGGCCATCGCTTACTGGGCTCAAGAACCTCGGAAACTCGTGTTACATTAACTCTACTCTGCAGTGTCTCTTCAACATCCCGGCATTCCAGGAACGCTATCTCCCAGGTTTCAAACAGCACCCATACGAATGCCCCAAACAAGATTCCGGAGAGTGTATGGATTGTCAAATGGGAAAGGTGGCAGATGGATTGTTGAGTGGGAGGTACTCAGTGCTTTGGAAACCGGAGATCAAGGGCGCGGATGAAGATCAACAACAGGAAGTCCCTCATCAAAAGGGGTTGGCGCCGGGGATGTTGAAGGCACTTGTGGGGAAGGGACATGAGGAGTTCTCGACAATGAGACAACAGGTAACTCAATGTCCCGGTATGATGTATGTCATGCTAATGCGAAATTGAATTACAGGACGCATTCGAGTTCTTTTTGCACCTCATGAAACTCGTCGCGCGTAGCCAGCACCCCGCAAACACGACGGACCCAACCTCTGCATTCCGTTTCGAGCTTGAACAGCGGTTGGAGTGCCTCTCGTGTCACCGTGTCCGGTACCGTACTGATGAACAGGATAACCTCTCTCTCGCCGTCCCCGTCCGGCAAATCCCCTCCGAAGACGGCGCAGACCCGAAGTTCGAGGCAGTCACGCTGGAGGAGTGTCTTGATATCTTCACAGCGGACGAGATGATCGAGTACACCTGTAAAGCCTGCGGCGGGAAAGATGGTGCGAAGAAGAGTGTTGGGTTTAAGACGTTCCCGGAGGTGTTGGTCGTCAATGCGAGGAGGTTTGAAGTCGTTAATTGGGTTCCGATGAAGAGAGGTAGGTTAAGTCGTATACGATGTGGTTGTGTGCTGATTTTGGACCTACAGATGTTCCGGTTATCGTGTCCGATGCTGCATTTTCGTTGGATAAGTATGCTGCGAAGGGTCAACAGCCTGATGAGACTCTCTTGCCGGAGGATTCGGAGGAGGAGAAGGCGAAGAAGGAGAGACCTGTCGCGAATGAGGCTGCGCTTTCACAGCTTGAGGCCATGGGATTCCCCCGCGTCCGCTCCGAGAAGGCGTTGTTCGCGACCGGCAACTCAGACCCTGAAGTCGCGATGAACTGGCTCTTTGCGCACATGGACGACCCCGACATTGACGATCCTATTGCTGACGATGACGCCGCAGCTGGAGGTGCCGGTGCAGGTGCAGGTGCGGAGGTCGATGAAGCCAGTGTAGCAATGATTGTGGATATGGGATTCTCCGTCGCGCAGGGAAAGAAGGCACTCAAAGAGACCGGAGGCGATATGGAACGAGCCGTCGAATGGCTCTTCTCGCACCCTGACGATGTCGGGGAAGTTGAGTCGTCCACCTCTTCCTCTGCTCCTGCCGACAGCAACAAAGTACCAGCCGGACGGGAGGGCCCAGCGAGCTTCAAATTGGATGGGATTTGCTGTCATAAGGGTGCGAGTATCCACGCTGGTCACTACATCGCTTTGGCGAAAAAGAAGGTCCAGGGAGACGCAGGCGAGGAGGAGGCGTGGGTCTTGTTTAATGATGAGAAGGTTGTTAGGGCTGGGGAGGAGAATGTGCAGGAGGGAAAGAGGTTTGCGTATGTGTATTTCTTCAGGAGGGCGTGATCATGCATGGGTATGTTGTGTGAGGTTCAGAGAGGATGGTAGATGTGGGTAGAGGTGAAGGCGTTGTGTGTGTGTGTGTGTGGGTGCATGAACGATGCGAGTACGAGTATCAAAATACCAGTTATTCTTGTTTTGTTGCTATCCAAATAAAGGGCTCCATGGTTATCTGGGTCCAGACCTACGAGTCTTCTCGCGATCGCGGTCTGCTTACACAGCCCCATCGCCATGACCGTCAACAACCCCACATTGAATCTCTCAAAAGGATGATACGTACCGAAACTTCTCCGGGAGTACCCAAATGGCTTGAACCCGTCGTGCCGTCTACGTGCGGCACAGCTACCCTTCCACGCTCTTACCCGCCGTATGTCGTGCGCAGTACGGCCTACGGGGAGAATGGCAACGGCGGGAAACCAGTACATTTAGGTACCTAGACGGTTCGACCGCGGCGTACGGCGTCCACCTCGGTTCCAATTCATATCATCTCTGGAAGATCTCGCTCCGTACCAAGGGAAGGGTACAGACGCAATTGCGATCGATATCGGCATCTGCTTCCCCTCCCCCTCCCCGACTCCGACCCCACCCCCGCTGTATTGGCACACCACTATGAGACGTCCGCTGATCATATGGATGACAAACCTCAAACATCCTCGAAGCTCCGCTTACTGTACCTCCACACAATCGCAACCGCACCAATTGGTCTCGCGGCTGGGCCGCGAACCTGCATTGACATCTGTAAGCAACCGCTTCGACCTGTCCATTTTTTTTTCTCCTAGCCTGACTGAAGGAGACTTTTTCGTATTCTTCACCCCTGGTCGAAGCTTCGAAGTTTCATTTTTGTGCGGGTGTGTACACGTGGGTCGTGGAGAGTCGGGACATGTGTTCAGCGTCTGGGTCTGGGCTGAGATTCTCCACCTTTGCGCGTGTCAGTCCATATCGTGGGGATCGATGAAACTTGAGATTTAGAGGTGATTTGCGAAATCTAGTCAATGGAGCCGGAGGAAATCATCTTCGTGCGAATACTCATCCTGGTGTGTACCCGGATTGCTGGTTGCTGGAGGGGAGGCTGGTTACCTTCATGGAGATGGGAGACCCGGATTGCAGGGACTGGACTACTGAAACTTGCGCGTGGCCAGTTGTGAGCGCAAGCTTGGAAGGATCTGCATTGTGCCGCTCGAGCTCGCGACCGACGGGATTCTTACAACTGCTACCGTATTCCTGCCCTACAAAGCACGACCATCGACAGGGATCCTCGTGCACAGACTCGTCCAGCAAACGCGCACGGACCACTCACTCGTATACCGGCACGTATACTGGCCACGCGCGCGCACCCAAGCATCGCGCTAACTCCATCCACAGTTATAATTATGCAACGGTCTCGCCAGCCCTTTCAACATTGCCTGATCCGGCCGCCTTCGAGACACTCTTGCTCCAGATCCTATGGGGACTCGGCCGCTGGACTGCTGGGTGGCGCCAGCGTCGGTATGCTGGGAGGAAGCGTCGATGAGGAGGGTTGGGTCTTGCGTTTGAAGGAGAGGAAGATCCTCTTTTGGGATCGAGGCCCTAGGAGAAATATTGGCCACGTTTTCTTTCGAGGAACGACAGGATTCGATCACTGAGCACTTCGATCAGCAGAGCGGATTTTTGTGAGGCAACGGCAGGTGGATACGCACAAAGGATCCACGAACGTCACGCCGGCGACAATCTCGACTCCACCACCAAGACTCGGCTTAATTTGGGCTTTCATTTCAGGAGGTGGCAGTCAACGACCAGGGTCGGAAGTCACTCAGCTATAACCCAGGACTCGTCCTACCTTTCTTCACCTTTACTTCAACCACACTTACACACCACCAGCACCCGCAATTGCAATTGCAATTGAGAGGACAGCTTTTGAGTGCGATGACCAGTGTCGACTACAACCACCAACGCCGCTCAACCCTCCACCTACCCTCCCTTTCCCTCTCCTCCTCCTCCTCCTCCTCCTCACCTGCACCCTCACCCCACAACTCGCCCTCAACACTCAACCCAGACATCAACTACTACCCTACCTCCAGCTCTTACAATCATAACATGGTCGCTAGAGGCTACAGAAATAGTAGTTCGGCAGCGAGCTCGAAATTCCTTCCCAGTCCTATAAGCCCGACGTTTGGAGGACACATCAGCCCGTTAAGTCCGACGGGGACGTTTGGGGTTAAGGAGGCGTGTTATCTCGGACGTGGGTCGCAGGCTTCGACAATGTATACCGGCACCTCGCTTTCGCATTCCTTGGTCGAGATCACCGAGGACTCCGTTTCGCCCAGATCCCAGAAGATTTCGCAGAGAGTCTCGCTTGGAGCCGTGGCAGGGAGTGGACCAAACGTCGTCCCTGTCGGTGCAGGAATCGGGAGAGTAGGCATGCTGAGGCAAAGAAGAGAAAGCAAGTTCTCAGATTACGACACAGAGGAGGAGAGATCTGTGCGGCATTCGTATGTCACGACCACGTCCACCGACGATACCGACAATGAACTCGATGCTGGATGTCTAGATGCGGAAGATGCGGAGGACTTGGAAGACGTGGGGTGGGATGCACAGGCTTTGCTTCAGTGCTTGAGGAGACAGAGTCTCCAAATCCGACAATTGCAGAAAGAAATGCGCGTCCTCGAACGCCGAGTCGCATCCGTCGACCTGTCATCCTCCACCGCCGCCGCCGCCGGCGCCCTTTCTACTCGTGATGCGTCATTCGGAAGTGGACACCTCTGCATGTCCGCCTACTCCCACGGGGGATCAATGAGCGTTGAGGTGGACAGCCCGGTTGTAAGGGAGAGGAGACCAACGCTGCCGCCTAGCCCACCGCAGAGTGCGCATGACCTCAAGCTGCGCCAATTACCACTGTCTCAAGGTAACTTCTTGACGATGGATTCGGAGGTGGAGGATGTCGAGGAGGAGCAGGAGCCGGTTATTCCCCCGCCTCCATTGCCGCCGCATCGTGCGTCCATTGCCAACGGGCTCATGTTACCTCCTGCTAGGAGTGGGAGTATCTCGATTGCGTTCCCGGTGCCGCAGAGGGGCAGTATCGCAATCCCATCTGTGAGCAGGGATAGGATGTCGAGCGTGGCCTTGGGGAGGGAGAGAATGGGCAGTGTGGTGAGTAGAGCGATGTCCATCGTCTCGGCTGTACGTGCCGCGAGCGAGTATCAGGGTTCGGAGTATGAATACTCTGTTTCGCCTGGGACGGACGTCGCTGGTATTGGCGCATGGTTTGAGAGGGAGGAGGTGAGGGAGGAGGAGCAGGAGGAGGAAAGGGAGTTTAATAGGGATGGGTGGTGGGAGAGTCAGGTCAAGGGTGCGTATTGGGATGGGGAGAGTGTTAGTCCCAGGAGTTCGTTTGGATGTTAAACCTTTCGTATGGAGTCATGTTGTGATTCAGCGAGTACAGTTCTTTACGACGAGGGACTGCTGGAAGGTATCTCGGATATGGATATGGAGTTTTGTCGATTACAGTTTATACTCCGAAGGTTAATAGAAGCTGGTCTTTTACTACATACGGCACGCGTGCCCAGACCGTCGACAAAACACCTTTGAAGAATGCAACGCACCAGGGATACCGCGAATCCACCCTTGATAGCAGGACTCATGACATCTATGATTCCTACGCTCAATTGGCACGCATTCGCAAGCAGCCATACACAGGCCTCGGAAGTGGGTGCCTAAGCTCCCTAAACAGTAAAATCGGCTCACTCAATAGCCATGACACTCAAACCATTGCAGTTCTATAAGTATTCGAGGACTTCAACCAGTTTGTCAGCTTCCTGTGCAGGTCGGCAGAAGTTGCCGTCCCCCCCGCGCGCAACTGCATCCGCTCACCTCCGAGAAATGACGTTCCTCCTACAGAACTCAAAATCCAGATCAACTCCAACAAATAACCATAACCATGTCTACCATGAAAGCAGTCGACGTCAAGGACGGAAAGGGGTATTTTGATTCCAGGGATGATCGGATCAATCGCTGACTGTTTGCGAATCAGTCCCAAGGAGAACCTCCACATCACCGATATCGAAAAGCCTGAGCCCAAGGAGGGTCAAGTCCTCGTCAAGGTAAGCTCCTCCCTCTCCTTTTTCGATGACTAGGGGCTTAGTTGATCATAGGTCAAAGCATTCGGCCTGAACCGTATGGACATCCTCCAACGCGAAGGAAAATACCCCCTCCCGCCCCAAGCCGGCCCAATCCTCGGCGTCGAATTCGCCGGCGACATCGTCGACCTTCACTCCTCCGTCTCCTCCTTCAAGAAGGGTGATAAAGTCTTTGGACTGGCGTATGGCGGGGCGTATGCCGAGTACATCGCTGTGAGTGCGAAGATGATTATGCACATTCCTGATGAGTTGAATTATATCAAGGCGGCGGGAATTCCGGAGGTGTGGTTCACGGCTACGCAAGCGCTGCATATGGTTGGGGAGGTTAAGAAGGGAGATGTGGTGCTTATCCATGCTGGTGCTTCTGGTGTTGGGTTGGCTGCTATCCAGCTCGCGAAGGCGGCTGGAGCGAGTAAGGTCTTCGCCACGGCTGGAACGGACGATAAGTGTCGTCTTGTCGAGAAGTTGGGCGCGACGAGGGGTATCAACTACAAGACTGAGGACTTTGCCGAGGTGGTGCTGGAGGAGACGAAGGATTCGCAGACACCCGGTGCGAACTTCATCTTGGAGTTCATTGGGAAGGATTATTGGGCGAAGAACATGAAGGCTGCTGCACGGGACGCACAAATAGTTTTCCTGGCCTTTATGTCTGGCAATATCATTCCCGATGCTGATATCGGACCCATCCTCTACAAGAGGCTGAACATCCGGGGAAGTACGCTTCGCAGTCGTGATGCGGAGTATCAGGGCAAGTTGCGTGACCGTGTATGGGAATTCGCAGTCCCGAAGATCAAGACGGGTGAGTTTGACGTTGTTATTGACAAAGTGTTTGGATGGGAGGATATTCAGGAAGCGCACCACAGGATGGAGTCGAACTCGAGTGGCGGTGGGAAGATTATTTGCACGATTGACGCCTAGACCACTTCTCCAAATACCTCAAATAAGAATCATTATTTTTTCCTCTATCATACATTTCCCCGATTTCGGGCAAGTTTATTTAGCATCAGGCTGAGCTTTGACGTAGGCAATGGCCTCGGCAACAGTAGTGAGAGCATCAGCGTCCTTATCCGGCAACTCAATAGAGAACTCCTCCTCAATAGCCATAACGACCTCAACAACATCCAAAGAGTCCAAACCCAAGTCCTTGGCGAAGCTTGCGGAGGGGGTGACCTACACACATCTCGTTAATCCTATTCTCTTCTCTCGTGTCCTCATCATCTGAGGCGTGGGTGCTTGGTGCTGGTTGCATACCTTGGTAGGGTCCTGGACCTTGCCAAACTCCCTCAAAATGTCGAGGATACGGGTCTCGACATCAGGGCCGGCGGAGGCGTAGAAACGCTGGGCGGCGGCGATACGGAGAGCGGGGGAGGCACGGGCGGCGGTACGGACAGAGCCGAGGAGGTTGAGAGAGGTACGGAGAGACATTATGGACTATGAGCAGTCAGCAACAATGCGTCCACAGAGATCAATCGTACGGGAGAGCATACCTGTTTGTAATGGCGATCTATGTGAGTGTTGAGTCGGTATTCGAACCCGCAAGCGACAAGCACCGGTCCCTCGCGCGCCACCCGTGCCACAATCTGCCTGTGCTCGGCTTGGGAAAAAAGTTGGAAGCTGGGGTTAAAGTCTGTCATCACGACTTTTGCTATTCAAAATGGGTTCTAAGAGAAAGATTGAAGAAGTTGATGCTGTTGTTGCAGAGGGTGCTGCGCCGGTGAAGGCCGAGAAGAAGGACAAGAAGGACAAGAAGGAGAAGAAGGAAAGGAAGGAAAAGAAGAGTAAGGAGGCGAAGGAGGATCAGGAGAGCAAGAAGCCCAAGTCTGAGAAGAAGGCGAAGAAGGAGACCACCGAGGACAAGCCCGCCAAGAAGTCCAAGAACGAGGTGAAGTCCGAGGAGGTTGAGGAGTCATCCGGCCCGACCCCTTACCAGGAGCACCCCGACCTCGCCAACGTCTCCCAGTCCACCATCGAGGAGTTCTACAAGGAGCACCGCATCACTCTCAACGCCCAGAGAGCCTTGAAGCCCCTCACCTCCTTCTCCTACCTCCGCGTCGACCCCAAGATCAAGTCCGGTCTTTCGAAGTTCAAGGATCCTACGCCTATCCAGGCTATGTCATGGCCCTACCTCTTTGCTGGGTCTGACGCGATCGGTATTGCCGAGACTGGTTCTGGAAAGACCTTGGCCTTCGGTGTCCCCGGTATGCAGCACATCTTCAACTTGCCCGATAGCCGTGGTGTGAGGATGTTGGTCGTTTCGCCTACGCGTGAGTTGGCGATGCAGACCGCAGAGAACTTGACGAACTTGGGAGATGCGTGTGGTATCAAGGTCGCATGTTTGTACGGTGGTGTCTCTAAGCACAGTCAGGTGCAAGAGTTGAAGAGGGCTTCCATTGTGGTTGGCACACCTGGACGTTTGTTGGATATGATCAATGAGGGCGCTTGTGATGTTTCCAAGGTCAGTTTCTTGGTTTTGGATGAGGCGGATCGTATGTTGGACAAGGGATTCGAGGAGGATATCAGGAAGATCATCACTGCTACTCCTACGGAGGGTCGTCAGACTGTCATGTTCTCTGCTACTTGGCCCGAGGAGGTTAGGAAGCTTGCGAACACCTTTATGACCAACCCCACCAAGATCACGATCGGTTCCGACGACCTCGCTGCGTCGCAGAGTGTCACCCAGCTCGTCGAGGTTCTCGAGGACTCCCGTGCGAAGTCCCAGCGTTTGGTGCAGTTGTTGAAGCAGTACCAGTCCGGTGCCAAGAAGAACGACAGAATCCTTATCTTCGCGCTCTACAAGAAGGAGGCGTCGAGGGTTGAGAACGACTTGAAGTACAAGGGATTCAACGTCGCTGCTATCCACGGTGACATGCAGCAGCACGCCCGTACCGCCGCTTTGGAAGAGTTCAAGTCTGGTCGTTGCCCGTTGTTGGTCGCCACCGATGTCGCCGCTCGTGGTCTTGACATTCCCGCTGTCGAGCTTGTCATTAACCTTACCTTCCCTCTCACCATCGAGGACTACGTTCACCGTATTGGACGCACAGGACGTGGTGGCCGTTCTGGTATTGCTATTACTATGTTCACCAAGGAGGACAAGCAGCACTCTGGATCTCTCATTAACGTCTTGAAGGCTGCTGGACAGGAGGTGCCTGAGGAGTTGATGGCGTTCGGAACTACGGTTAAGAAGAAGCCGCACTCTGCGTATGGTGCTTTCTTCAAGGAGGATGATGGTTCGATGAAGAAGGCTACCAAGATCACCTTCGATTAGAGTGTCAGGTGGTTAGAAAAGTTGAACTGGGACGGAGTAAATTGAATATAGCTACATATATAGCTGGATACCCTTGGGAATATATGCGGATTTATCTCATTCTGGCTCGGAGTCATCGAGGTCGACACCTTGCTCTTCTGCTTCTCGTGCAATTTGGACGAAGCGTTCTCGTTCTTCTGGCGTCAGTCTCTGCCACATCTCTTCAAAGGATGCTTCATCTACAGTGAATGATTAGTTTTGTCCCTTCAGCATTGGGCTGTACTCACCTAGGTCAAGCCCTTCCAATCTCAATTTCAAATCTGTGTTGTCGGATTCTTCCTCATCTTCCAAGCCTTCTCCGTCGCCTTCTTCTCTCAGAATCTCTTGCAGTTCTTCATCCGCTACACCTTGATCCTCCTCGAACCTCTTCAGGACATCAAGCATACTCCGCTTCTGCTCATCATCGACCTTCTTGTTCTTAATCTCCTCAATCAGACTGGTCTTATAGAAATCTTCTGAACATTCCGCATGTCTCTCCCCTTTATAACACGCCAATGAACAGTACGGAATTGCACAGCGAGGACATGTGTATTTTGCAAAGTGACGATTGCACAACAGGCAGATCGACGGGTCTATTGACGGTACTGTCACCGGTTCATTCTCTGCTGCAATTTCCGATGCGATATCGAGGACCTCGACCATTGCTGACAAGCAGCTCCTGGGGGTCCGGTCCCTAGTAACGTAGACATCTCGAACGGTGGCTCGTGCCGGAGCACCGCCACATGACTTTCGAATTACCGGTAAGCAACCCAAGAATAATCCGTGAGGCAGGACATCAGGAGTTTGTGCTTGAAGCTTTACGGTCTCTATACGAAGCCGAGTGACTTTTCAATCGGGTCGTTGACCATATCTCCGGAGTTTTGACGTTCTGCCGGAATGCGGTCACGGAATTTGGCGACGGTCTTGAGGTCTAGGACTGTGTCCGCACAAGCAGTTCAGTACGTTCAGGCACGGTTGATATCCTCAATACACTCAACAGCACGGCCGGTGGCCTCGCGCACCTCTTACGTGTCCGCTCCAGTCTCAGTACAATGCCGGCCGCTCTCATTCAAGTTCTGGGAGAGACCTCAGGGAAAGAAAAGTCCACCACCTCCAGCCGAGCTTCCGTCGGTAAATGCTGCAATGACCAAGGCGAACTTAATTGGACGCCAAATCACAATCATGGATCATACAAGTCGGGAGCACCTGCGAAAACTACAGAACTTATACGAGCAATACAAAGTCCAGAAGCAGTTCGCACCATCTCCAGGGATCAAACTCCGACAGATCCTCAAAGTTTTAGAGAAATCCAAGGTACGTGGGCATGTAGAATTCGGAAAGAAGGTATTTGAAGAATTGATGTCGTATTGGGGTTTGGCATATACCAAGGAGGATTGCGCCGCTTTGCTGAAGCTGTATTCTCGGCAGGGTATGGCAAAGGAGGCTTTGCAGTTGTTAAGGAATCCACCTGCTACGGCCGATGGACCACTGGGATCGGCGGAATGGCGGTTCGCGCTGGATGCCGTTGCTCGGGAAGGAAACAAGGAAGACCTTCACGCCCTCTGGGAAGAAATGCGAGGGAAGGGCATCGCTCAGTTCACGGACGCTTATAATATTTACATCACATGTCTGGGCGAGACGAAACAGAACGAGGAGATCTGGCACTTGTACGAGACGATGCTCGAAAAAGGACCAGTACCTGATGCGGAGACGTATGCGTTGTTAATAATGCAGTGTATCGACAACGACAATATGGAGAAGGCGAAGGAGATGATGGCGGGGCTTCTGAGCGTGAGCGAACACATTGACAAGATCAATGAGAACTGCCGAAATGCAACACTCGCTTATCAGCTTTGGGAAGGTGTGACCATGGACGCAATTCGTGGAGCTTTGAAGTCGATGAAGGATGATGGGCTTCAGCCTACCACGAGGACAATTAATACGCTTTTGCGGACGTCATATAACAAGCAGACTCAGATAACGCCGGAGCAGCTCTGGAATCTCTTTGCGGAGCAGAAGATTGAGCCGGATGGCGACAGTGCCGGATACACGATGAAGGCGTTGGTCCGTAGAGGTGACACGGGAGGTGCATTGCAGATTTACAACGATATGAGAAGAAACGCAGAATGGACAGAGACCGTACTGAACGCGACCGCTTTGCTCCTACAAGCGCTCGCGAAGGCACCATCTCCAGACATCGAAACTATCTCGTCCATCCTGAAAGACATCCTGGAGGCACGAAAGAAGCTGTCGACGATTACGCTACAGGCCTTGTTGATGGTGTATCTACGAGCGGAGGACTACGACTCCTGGGAAATTTTGTGTCAAAAGTACGACCTCGCACGAAAAGACTCGCCGATACCGGTTAAATTCTTTGTGGACTACCTGACTGATTCGGAGACGCCACTTCACATCGCGTGGGACGGATACCAAAACCTTCATAAAGTCTTCCGTGACTACTTCACCCGTCCAGACCGCGTCGCCCTCATGAACTGCTTCATCGGGCACCGACGCGCGGATATGGCGTCTCGTGTCTTCTTCGACATGCGTGACACCCCACTCGAATGGGACAACAAGACATGCACCCAAATTCTCGCCGGAATTGGTCAATTGCGGGATATCCAAGCGTTGGAATTGGTCCACACACAGTTGAAGATGGACATCCATATCGATCCTGACGTGATTCTGTTGAGTGCACTCATGAACGCCTACAACCACTGCGGGATGCCCAATACCGCACACAAATTTTGGCTACAGATTTGTGCACACCCAGACGGTCCCACAACCGGTTCCGTCAGTATCATCCTGGATACTTTTGGCCATTCCTCGAACCCGAACGCGTACAAACGCGGACAGCAAATTTGGCAAGAGTTGAAAGCGCAGGGGTTCGAGTTTGATCTGCGGTGTTATGCGACGTATGTGGAGTTGCAGGCTCGACATAACCGGTTTGCTCAGGCTATGGATGTAGTGAGGGGGATGATTGCGGATGGGATTAGGCCGGATGAGGTCGTTATTGGGACGCTTTATAATACGATGAGGCAGGATAGGAAGGCGGAGGTTGAGCTGTGGGCGAAGGAGAATGTGCCGGAGGTTTGGGAGAAGCTGTTAGAGAGGACTGGGGTGGCCATTAAGAATGAGAGGGTTTGGTGAAAGATTTGCATAGCAATAGCATCTTCGGCATAGCAAAAGTTCATTTGCATACCCTACATCAGAGGACTAACCGGTAGTCACAACTCGTGTTGCCATGGTACACAGCAGCAATATATAGATATCTATAATCTTACACCTCTATTCCCAACCTCGCAATGCGAAACCTAGTTTCCGAAAACCTTGACACGCTCCTCCACAGGCTGGTACTCCTTGGGTCCAGGCTCACCTCCGGGCTTACCGAAGGGCATCTGAGCAACGAGGGACCAGAGCTCGGGGATACCCCACTCGCCCTTGATCTTCTCGTCGATGAGGGGGTTGTAGTGCTGGAGGGAGGCACCGAGGCCTTCCTGCTCGAGGGCGGTCCAAATGGTGAGTTGGAGCATACCTAGGTGATGGTTGTTAGTAATGGAGGATGGAGGGCTGAATTAAAGGGTACGTACCAGAGGTGTGCTGAGCCCAAGTAGGGAAGCGATCAGCGTAGGTAGGCAAGTTCTTCTGCAACTCCTGCACAGGAATCTGATCCTCAAAGAACAAGATCGTTCCATATCCATTCTGGAAACCATTGATCCTCTGCTCAGTCGCAGGGAACTGGTCCTCGGGAACAATGGACTTCAAGACATCCTTGGTGAAGTCCCAGACTTTCTTGTGCTCGTCCTTGAGGAGGACGACGACGCGGGAAGACTGGGAGTTGAAGGAGGAGGGGACGTGCTTCACGGCGTGGGAGACGATCTCCTGGATGCGGGAGTCGGGGATGGTAGATTCGGGGGTGATTTGGTAGTAGGTGCGGCGGGACTCGATGGCGGAGAGGAAGGCGTTGGCGTTAGACATCTTGGATGTTGAGGTGGAGAAGTGTTGTCTGAAGGGACCGACGACGAAAGGTTTTGTAGTTCTGGTGACGAGGCGGGCAATGGAAGCTGGGCGGATCAAGTACATGCTGAGGGAGGACTTAGTCAGGGATCACGTCAGGCTTTGGATATAGGAATGTCAAGATTGTTGTTATGGTTGTGCTTAGTAAGGCCTTTGCGACTTTACTAAGAATCAAGTCATCGCCGCCGAAGAATCCGCGCCCGAGAGGTCGGAATCCGCGGCAAGTGTTGCACCGGTGCCGGCGCACGGACCTGGGACGCGATTTATGTAGCTGGCTGCCGAACCAGATCTTCTTGGAAGTTATTCAGATGCAAAATGCAACGATCACTGTTGATCAACACCTCACTCTCAGCTTCCAACCCGTCTTCGAGATCCTGGCAGCTACGAGGAAACAACTCGCCAGCAAAATCGACAATGCAGCCCAGATCTGTCCATAAAGATACCCTCCATCATCGCTCGTCAGCAATGCACCTCCTAACGGCGGTCCAGATAAACACGCAAACGAAACGACCGTGAACACCATACCCATATGCACCCCTCTCTTCTTCGGATCACTCGACAGCGAGGACAATGTCGCAGGGAACAGCGACTGAATTCCAGCCGCGAACGTCCCATACATCGCCGCCCAAGCATAAACTCCAGCCTTCGAGTGCACACCAGGCCACCCAAACAACATCACCGACACAATACCCGTAAATGGCAACAACATATTCAACGGCCCAATCCACCTATCCGCAACGAAATTCGGTATAATACGCCCGGGCAACCCAATCCCATTCATGATGATCAACAAATCAATTGAATCTTGATACGCGAACCCTAATTCCGATCGCGCGAAAGAGCCGATGTAATAGAATGCGAAATAGATGCCCCAGAAGGAGAAGAACATGCCGATGGCGTAGAGGGTGTAGGATGGGTTTCTGAAGGCGTCCCAGTCGATGATCGGGCCGAAGGGGCGGGGTGGGAGGCGGGGACGCATGAAGAAGGCGACGATGATGGTGTTGAAGACCATGATGAAACCGAGGGTTCGGATTGCCCAGCCCACACCCGCCGTGGGGAGGAGTTGTCGAACGATGATGGGGAAGACGACACCACCCGTCGCGGAACCAGATGCGGCAATCCCGATTGCGACCGACCTGTTGCGGAGGAAGTACGTACTCGCCAATGCCACAGCGGGACAGAAGAGCAACCCACTCCCAATCCCGGTACACACACCCTGACTCAACAACAAACTCCAGTACGTCCCACTAACACTCGCCGTAAACACCCCCACAAGCTGCAATACACTCCCAACCCCAAACGTATACCAAAAATACCCTGCATCCAGCAATTGCCCCGAAAATGTTCCGATGAAGAAGAGGAGAAAGATTTGGATGGAGCCGACCCAGGAGATGGTGGAGGGGGGTTGGTCAAGGGTTTGGGAATAGTAGGTTTGGAAGGCGCCGAAGGAGTTGATGTAGCCCCAGGTGTTGAAGATCACGAGGTGGGCCATAAGGGCTTGGGTCCACGCTTTGAGGCCGCCGTCGGGGGGTGGACCTGGGTCGATGGTTGTTGTTGTTGAAGTACGGGCGAGTTCGAGGATTCCTGGTTGTACTGACCCTTTCGATTCCATGCCGTCGGTGTAGAAACCTTTCTCGTTCGCCATTGTTGGAGCAGCAGAGATCTCTTGGTTTTCAAGGTCTGATTCGCGATACCGTTCAACGTCCATCTCGTTCTCCATTGTCAAAGTACTCGTTGATCCCGCCATCGTAAATGGCTATGACCGCTACGTCTTCCCTTTTAACAAACACGTCCGACTCGAGTCATCATAATTTGTCGGGTCCTTCGCATAAGCTTTGTCTTGCGGGGATGCGCGGATGAGTCGTGCCGGGTTGTCGAGTGGGGCCCCGCTGAGATGAACCTGTCGGCTAGCAGCGGGAACTTTTCTGGTCGTCCCGTCTGGCCTATCTACTTGATACACCTTTTAAGAAGTCAATTGCAGAGATCATAGGTGTTTTACTTCGTAATCCTAGTACGTCATCCCCAAAACTCCTTCTTCAAAGCCTTCGCATCCAAGTTGGCCCTCTTATTCATCGCAACAAAATACCCCTCCCGACTCGTCTTCCTACTCGCATCCGGCTTCTCTCTCTCAACTTTTTCGAAAACTTTCTTGAGTCGATCTTCGAATGCGGGGGCTTCGTCTCCGTCGAAGAACTTGCAGATGAAGTGGCCGCCGGTGGTGAGGGCGTCGAGACAGAAAACAAGGGCGGCATCGCACAGATCCTAAACGTCCTCAATTAATTAGCACCCGAGTCGAAGTAAAGGAAGAGAGAGGAGAAGAGGGGATCCGCACCATCGAGGCACCGTGGTCGGCGACGGTAAGACCGGTCGTGTTCGCCATCCTAAAGTAGGGCTGTTTCAGACTATGGGGCACACCTTGATATAGGGGCAAGGGCTCGGACATATCACTCAACACAACATTCACCGTAAAAATGTCCTCCCGATGTGCACTCCCCTCCGCCAAATGCGCCTCCCCCAATTCTGGACTTTGAACATGCCCCCCCGGACTTGCTCGTCCGTTTGCGCCGTTAGCGAAGAACTCTTTGGCGGCGATTTGTGCTCGGCGGGAGAGGAAGTTTGCTTGCATTGCTGAGGCGCCTGCTGGGGGTTGGGCGGGGATTACATCGATTCCTAGGACGCTGCCGCCTGGGCGGGTTTTGGCGACGGCTACTTGGGTCCAGGAGCCTGGGGCGAAGCCGAGGTCGACGACGGTAATTCCTGGTCTGAGGAATTTATGGGCGTCGTTCATCTGTGTTCACTTAAGCATCAAAAGACTGAACCCTGTGGGAAGGAAGGGTAGGAGGATGGGCGGCACTGACCTCGATGAGTTTGAAGGCGGCGCGGGATTTGTATTGTTTGAGTTTTGCTTCGATATTATAGGGATCCCTTCCTTGTCGTTGTAACCACTGCTTTGAGCTTCCGCTTTTTCCCTTGTCAAGAATGATTCTGGTAGCATGGAAGGCGCGGTGCTGTTGGTGTTGGCAGGATCGTGCTGGGGTTGTGAAAAGCTGTCGAAACAGTGAGGTAAGCAGCCGTGAAGAGTTCATCGCTGTTGCTATTGGAATTGGGCGGATGGAGGGGTTGGGGTTGGCGAGATGAAGTTCGGTCGGATTGTAACGACGATTTCGTAGTCTCGCAGTTACCCTTTTCGGTACTGCAATTAATCAGAATATTAATTGAAGTTCGTACATAGCCCAGGGACGTCATCCACCTCCCACCTCCTCCTCCCAATCCAATCCTCCATTACCGTCTCAATCACAAGAGCAATGATGGATTCAATCCTCGATAAGGCTCTAAGCCGCGACCACTCACGCAAATACTTCAAAGAGGCCCTCCTTCCAGCGCTTAAGTCTGCCTCGAGACCCGTGCTTGCCAACAACGCGAGTGGAGGGAAAGATCCTCTACAAATTCTGAGAGAGGATGTACACAGTCTTGCATACCTCTTTGTCTTGTAAGCATCGCCGCTGACCTATTGATTGAGGTAGCTAATGACTGCCTACAGAAATGCACGATGTCAAGAAGCGAACGAGGCACAATCTCTCTGGCCACGCATCCAACAATTCCTCCAAAACTTCGATGAACACCAACTCTACCTCGCCACCGATACATTTCTAGCATTCATCACCACTATCTCCCGCCACATCCCTCCCGCCGATCTCCTCGACCCGCTGCATGGCGCTCTGCTACGCTGGCAAGGCCGTGGAGCTGGGGTACACAAGTTGACGCCTGTCCACCCCCTTTACTTACGTCAATGTTCCCTCGCCAACGCCTTTGACCGCGCCTTGGAAACACTAGGAAGACACTACGAACCCGATACAGCGCTGGAATGCACGTACCATACCCCGATGTTGTACAATTTGTACGCCGCACATATTTATATGCAATTGGGACGGTACGCGGATGCGTTGAATAGGTTGAGTTACGTCGTTACGCATCCAGGGAGTTCCTGCTCCACCCTCCAAATCTGCGCCTACAAGCGCTGGTCCCTCCTCCACCTCATCGTTAACGGCAAACCCGGTACACTCCCTAAGCTCGTGAGTCGAGCAGCGGAGAGGGCGTTTAAGGCGTTAGCGGGGCCGGGAACGGCGTACGGCGAGGTTCTAGCAAATTTTGGGAGTAATGGAGGGAAGGGTTTGAGGACGGTTAGTGAGAAGTGGATGGGTGTGTTTAGGGAGGATGGGAATGAGAATTTGGTGAGGTTGGTTAGTAGGGCGGGGATTTGGGCGCATGTCCGCGGGTTAGGGGAGGTTTATGGAAGACTGAGTCTTGAGAGTGCGGTGCAGAGGGTTGTTGGCAGGCAGGAGGATGGGGAGGAGTATAGGGTGAGGGTCAGGAAGGAAATTGAGGGGATGGTTGAGAGGGGGGACGTCAATGCCAGAGTTGAGGGCGATACGTTGGTGTTTGAGGATGCGTCTAAGGTGGTACAGGAGGAAGAGTTGGTGGCACAGGTTGCGAGGATCAAGGCGTTGAATAAGGAATTGGGGATGTTGGAGAGGGAGGTGGGGAGTTCGAAGGCGTATTTGAAAGTTGTTGTTGAGGGGAGTGGACATGGGCCCGGAGGGAGTGGGATGCAGATGATGGGTGGAGGCCGCAGGTTTGAGGATGCGCTTCGGGAGGGTGCGAAGGGGGAGATGATGGATTTGATGGAGGAGGAGATGATGGGGATGAGCGGGGGTGGTAATTGGGCTTGATGCGGATTACAAGAAGGCCTCCATACACTGCCATTGCAATTGCTATCGCCATCACAATCGATTGCCCCCTATTACCCTTCCCTCTATGTTTTTTTGAGTTGTCCCGATCCTTTGCGATTGGGACGTCATTATCGAGATAGGCGTGGCTTCGATTTCACGTGTCAGATCGGCCGATTCACACCGCTCTCCGCTGTAGCGACGCGTACGATGATTACTTAAGGAGAGCATACATCCCCAGGAATTTGGCAAGGAGGTCAATTGCTCATCAACATGTCTGGAAAGAAGGTCATTATCAGTGCGTCTGTTCTACATTTCTCAATTGACCGGGGTGAATGCTAATGAGTACTTGCATAGTCGGTGCCGGAGTCGGCGGAACCGCAACAGCTGCTCGATTGGCTCAATCGGGCTTCGACGTAACCGTCATCGAGAAAAACGATTTCTCCGGTGGTCGGTGTTCCCTCATCTACGACGAAGACGGCCACCGCTTCGATCGTGGTCCCTCGCTCTACCTCATGCCTAAATGCTTCGAAGAGACGTTCGAGGATTTAGGTGAGAAAGTTGAGGATTGGTTGGAGTTGAGACGGTGTGATCCAAATTATCGGGTACATTTTCATGATGGCGAGTGTATTGAGTTGAGTAGTGATTTGGCGAGGATGAAGACGGAGGTGGAGAGGTTCGAGGGGGTGGATGGGTATGCGCGGTTTCTCGATTTCGTGAAGGAGGTCAGCTGTTCCGAGTTGTATTGCTGTGTGACTATGCTAACTGGACGCTGACAGTCTCATTATCACTACGAGCTTTCTATCTCGCACGTCCTTCACACCAACTTTACATCCCTCAGCAAACTACTCAAACCCTCCTACCTCCTCCTCGCATTTCGTCTGCACATTCTCAACAAGCTCTACGGCCGTGCTGCGAAATACTTCTGGTCCGAGCGTTTACGTCGGGCGTTTACCTTCCAGACGATGTATATGGGAATGTCCCCATTCGATGCGCCAGCGACGTACAACCTCCTTCAGTATACCGAGTTGGCCGAGGGCATCTTCTACCCCGTTGGAGGGTTCAATAAAGTCGTGCAAAGTCTCGAGGAACTGGCAAAGAGAAGCGGAGCAAAATTCCGTTACTCTGCCCCGGTCGCCAAAATCGACATCGACTCCAAGACCAAGAAGGCTAACGGCGTCATCCTCGACTCCGGCGAATGCATCTCTGCAGACATCGTCATCTGCAACGCAGACCTAATCTACACCTACAACAAGCTCCTCCCTTCAACACCCTACGCAACAAAACTCTCCGACAAAAACCTTACTTCAAGTTCCATCTCGTTTTATTGGAGTATGAAGCAGGTTGTGCCGGAGTTGGATGCGCATAACATCTTCTTGGCGGAGAAGTACAAGGATTCGTTTGATGATATCTTTAAGAGGAAGACGTTGCCCGAGGAGGCGTCGTTTTATGTCAATGTCCCATCGAGGATGGATAAGACGGCTGCTCCCGAGGGGCGAGACACTATCGTGGTCTTGGTGCCCACGGGTTACATCGACACGAACAATCCTCAGAATTATGAGACACTCGTCACCAAGGCACGTGCACAAGTCCTCGAAGTCCTCGAAACCCGCCTCGGCATCCCGAACTTCAAAGACCTCATCCTCCGCGAACGTACCTCCACCCCCCTCGACTGGCAAAACGACTTCAACCTCCACCGCGGCTCAATCCTCGGCCTATCCCACGATATCTTCCAAGTTCTCTATTTCCGTCCATCGACCAAGCATGCGGAGTATAAGAACTTGTATTTCGTGGGAGCGAGTACGCAGCCTGGGACGGGCGTTCCGATAGTGCTTTGTGGAGCGAGGATGGTTAGTGAGCAGGTTTGTGGGGATTATGAGGTTAGGGCTAGGTGGCTAGAGGGGAAGAAGAAGGAGGTTAGAAGTGGGTTGGACAGGATCAATAAGCCGGGTATTAGTTTGACGAGCATTGCGGTGTTTGTTGCGTTGATTGCGATGTTACTGGTTTGGTTGGGGGTTTTGCAGGTGTAGATCATGGCCGTGGGATGTTTGGATGTGTCGATGGACTGAAGAGTGTGAACCCACATAGGACCTCGAGAGGGTGCGCTTGAAAGATAGTGTACGTATACGACTAAACCTAGAATACGATGATACCATTTTTCTTGCATATATTTTACTGCATCGTCGCTGAACTCCAGAGTGCGTGTTAGGATCATTTGCTCTGTCCCTTCGAGTGCGCCCCATCATCTCATATGTGGATGTCATAGATCAATCCCATGTATTTTTGGTATAGAAAGTCATCAATATGCTAGATAATCCCGTGTTTTGTTCGTCCTTGTTCAGCTTCTGTCTAAAGCAACAACTTGAAGGGATATCCTCCGTTCTTGATCTTGAACACGTGCATCAAGAAACTGAACATCAGAAGGATAACACCGGTCCAAACCCAGATAGCCACGCTCTGTCTCTGCGGCGCCAACATCCTCGGAGCTTGAATCGCGAGCGCAACAGTCGAGAATGCGAGAACTCCGTAGACGACCATGACAATCTGGGTCTCCATCCCGAACTGGTTCTGGAAACCACCGGCGATGTAGGAGACGCCGCCGTTTCCGTCAGGGACCACGTATGGCGTCTTGCGGATCTGGTTAAACATGTGCCCCGAGACGAAGAGGAGGACGAGGAAGAGCGTGATTCCGGTCCAGAGTCTCTTGGATTGGATGATGGGGATGAGGTAGCGGTAGGAGAGCTTGAGCGCGGTGAGGGTTGCGAGGAGGGCGAAGACTGTAGTGACGATCTTTGCGTAGTTGAGGGGGCGGACGAGGGTAATTGGGGAGCGCTTCAGAGTGGAGGAGAGGAAGCGGACGATTGCATCTGCGGTTGGGCCACTGCAATCAAAAATATTAGCTGTCGCCCCGAGGGGAGCAATGATGGACAGGTAACTCACGCATGGAGCATGTCGTGAACGGTGGGCTCATCTGGGTTGGTCTTGGCAAGGTCTCCCGTTGTGGGGTGGAAGATGTAGATGTTGGGTGCGGTGGTGAGCTGCAGACGCTGGAAGATGCTCTTGCCGTTTAAGAAATCCAGACGGGTGAGGTAGACTTTTTCTGATGGGTCAAAAAACTTCTTGCCCTTGTTCGCCTTTTGCAATGAAGACGCGACGAGTGCGTATTCGGGATCGATCTCACTATTGTGGCATGTCTCGTCAGCTTACCGAGCGTGATCCATCCGTGGCGTTTCACTTACCGACACATGTTACAGCTGAACTGCGGAGCGGTAGCAGTCAAAAGAACAGCGACACTGTAACTTCTTGGCCCGCTCGTGATCTCGTTATACAATTGGTCATCCAGATCGATCAGCCCCTTGTGCTTGGCGGCCAGTGCATCGAATTTAGCGATGTGAGCGTCGGAGGCCGAGGCAATTGAGAAGAGAGCCGAAGCGCCGACTGCAATTGCGGTGGTGAGGATCGAGAACCGCATTTTTCGGTGAGTTGTCGCGGTCGTCGTTGGTCGTGGGTGCCATCGGTACGTACAGCTGGCCATACTTGGCGGTCGTGACGGCAGTGCACATGACTACTTGGACTTGTAGTTACAGGGACAGCAATAGCATACATAGGTATTTATAATTATACTTGTGATTCTCATTCATACAGCCCCTCGTCTTCCGCCAGGTTTTTGGTCTTTGTTTACTTGTTTACTTCCCCACAGTCGTAAAGTCAATTCGCAAGACCCTGAACGAAGGCCCACGCTCGCCATGGCTCCTTCAATGTCGCCAGAGGACTTCGAGGTATTTCATGATGTTTTTACTGCTAGGACTGTGCTAATCCAAAGGCAGGCGAAGCTCTCCCTTGCAGATCAGCTTGCCCGTTACAACGCAGCCGTCGCAAACACCAAGCAGCTCACACTCACAGAAGAGAAGCGCCAGCTTTCTGTCAAGATCTCGATCCTGGAGACGGAAAGGAAAGACCTTACAGACCAAGTCAAGTGGATTGGTAGCGATGCTAAGGAATCTGAGGCTCAAGTCGAGAGAACTTTGAAGAAAGCTAATAAGCTCGAGGCGCAATTGCTCGAGTTGAGGAAGGAACGCGATGACTTGGTTGGGATGGTAAAGGAGAATAAGGGCAGCATCAAAGGCTTGGAGACTCAGGTGGACGAACTCCGTCAAGGCAATGAAGCTATGGGCAAGCTCTCTGCGGAGAAAGACAAGATTTCGAAGCAGGTCGACAAGTTGCAGGCTGAGATTGACAACCTTGCGCCCATCAAGTCCGAGCATGCTACTCTCACCCGCGAACTCAAGAATCTCCGTGCTCAGCTTGACTCTGCTGGGGAATCGACTTCGCTAGCCGACCAGCTCGCTGCGGAGAAGACCGCATTGACCCGTCAGGTCAACCGTCTACAGGCCGAGGTGGAGGGTTTGACCAAGGCCGCGGAAGAAAGCGACAAGATCTTGGCAGAGAAACTTGCTTTGGCTAGACAAGTGAGAAGGTTGGAGGTTGAACTGCAGGATGCTAGAGAGAACGCAAGTGTACCGGTCAGCTCCGCTGGAAAGGATGGTAAGGAGGAGGTCCAGGCGTTGAGAGACCAGCTTAAGGAGGCCAAGATTAAGATCAAGGAGCTGAAGGCGGAGCTCAAGGAAGCCAGGGCACAGGTAGCGGAGGTTGAAGAGGACCAGAATGAGCAAACTGGCGAGGCTGTGACCGCACTTGAGAAAGCCAAAGCGAAGATTAAGGAGTTGAGGGTTGAGCTTAAGGAGGCTAAGGCTCAGGGCAAGCAAAATGAGGATGGTGAAGACGTTGCGGCACTCAAGGAAGAAATTGAAGAGCTCAAGGCAAAGCTCAAGGAAGCGTCTAAGGCCAAAAAGACTTCTGGTGCTGCAGATACCTCTGCTCTTGACAAGGAAATCAAGGAGCTCAAGGTCAAACTTGACAAGCAGGCTAAGGAGACCGAGAAGGCTAAGGCCGACCTCAACAAGGAGCGCGAGACTTGGGCTAAGAAACAAGCTACCCTTGAAGCCCGTCTTGATGTCGCCAAGTCTAAGGTTGCTGCCGGTGGCAAGAGCAAGAAGAAGGTCGCTGAGCCAACCGACGAACCCCTCCCGTTGTCGCCCATCAAGGCTACGCCACAGCCGAAGGAGAAGGCGCCGAAGCTTGGACCTAAGAATAAGCAACCTGTCTTGTCCAACTTCTCAACCACTCCGTTCTTGAAGAGGAAGGCGAGTGTGCTCGGTACTGATGAGCAGCCGCCTACGTCCATGTTTGTCGCTGGGCCGTCTTCGGGTCGTGCTCTGCCCACGAGTGCTCCCGCTTCTGAGGCCAGCACACCTGCCCCCGCACCCACAGCAAGCGAGAAGCCTGTCAGTGAAGCGCCGAAATCTACTGCGGCTGCCACGAGCGAGGCTACATCCGCCGGCGGCTCCGACAAACCCAAGAAGAAGAAGAGAAAGCTCGGTGCCTCAGGGGCGTCTAAGCCCGCCTTCGACGAGCCATCACAGCCTCTCACACTTACGCAAGAACTCTCGCTTCCGCCCAAAGTCAGCTTCTCGACTGGTGGTAAGGGATTGAGCGTGCCGGGTGCAGGTGCAGGCGAGGGTGCAAAGAAGGGTGCGAAGCCGTTGAGGATTATTAGTCCGCTTAAGCAGAGGAATGCTACGGTTGGGAAGATTGCGGCTGGGTTTACGATTGGGAAGAAGTAAGAATTATTCTAATGAGTTTAATCATAATCTGATATTGATCTATTCTTCGTGTTGGGGTATTTCGTACTTGCAATTGAGCTCTAGAGGATGATGGCTAACCGTGAGAACATGTCCAAGAACAGTACTCTGGTATATTATCGGGTAATGACAGATGAGGTTATGCTAATGATCTGATATAGCATCTGCAAAAGGACACAATCCAACACCGCAACCTAATCCGAACCATCACCTATCGTACACTTGCCTTGTCAAGATCGTCGTCACCTACACATTACTGTGCATAGGAGAAATATCCTCCTGGTGCAACACATTGCCCTTCTCGCTGGCATACCCCGGCATCTCCATCTGCTCACTGCCCAGTCCCTTCATCGCAGCATCCAACCCAATTTCCCTATTAATCCTCTCCTGCCTCTCCCGATCCTGACTCGAAATCCCACTCTTATCCTGAAACAACAAATCCATCTCCTCCAACGTCAAACTCTTCGTCTCAGGCACGAGGAACAAAACATACATCGCTCCCAAAAACGTCAACGAACCAAAGAAGATGTAGGTGCCGAACCGCATGTGCGTTAGCATGGTGGGCGTGACTTGTCCAACGATGAAGTTGTTCATCCAGTTCGAGGAGGCGCCGAGGGAGATTCCCTTTGAGCGGACGCCGAGGGGGAAGACTTCTGCGACGACGATCCAGGCGCAGGGACCCCAAGAGTAACCGAAGTGGATGACGAATAGCCAGACCATTACGACGGCGCCCCAGCCTGCGCCGGTGTGGGCGGGCCAGTTGTCTTCGTAGAGTCCGGAGAGGATAGCGATGATGAGATGACAGGACGCCATTCCGAGGGCGCCGATGACGAGGACTGGTTTACGGCCGAGAGAGTCGATCCAGATTACGGCCGGGATTGTGGCGAGGAACATTGCAATTCCGACGACGCCGGTTGCGAGGAGGGAGATGGTGTTTCCGCTGAGACCAAGGTTCTGGAAGATTGTGGGTGCGTAATAGAGGACTGCGTTGATTCCGGTCCATTGTTGAAAGAACATGATCAAACAGGCGACTGCGACTCGACGGAAAAGGGAGCGAGTGGTGATGAGGGAGAGGTATCCGTACATCTCGAGCTTGAGGTTCGAAATCCAATCGCCGCCCTGGAGATTCGGGAACATCTCTCTCTGAGTCTCTTTTTCAAACATGGATTGGGCTTTGACTTCGAGGAATTCGATCCTAATCAACTCATTGGTGGGAGGGAGACCACGGACACGGCAAAGGACTTGGAGAGCTTCTTCTTCGCGGCCTTGGTTCATGAGCCAGCGAGGGGAGAAGGGCATGAAGATCATTCCCACGCCAAGCACCAAGGCGGGAGCGAGTTGGAGAGCGAGAGGGACACGCCATGAGGCCTCAGACTGGGTAGATCCGGTACCACCGATGTAGTTCGTACCATAATCTATCCAGAATGAAATCAAGATACCGAAACAGATCGAGAGTTGTTGGAGTGCGACGAGTGAGCCACGGACCTCGGGTGGAGCGAGTTCGGCGTTGTACATCGGTACTGCCATCGACAGGGATCCGACACCCATACCCGTAATGAAACGTCCGCCCATGATTGCTTGGGGACCTTGAGCAGCGGCTTGTACGATGACACCAATACAGAAGATGATGGTCGCGCCGATAATCGACCTCTTTCTCCCGATCTGCTCAGAGATGTACCCGTTGAACAAGGCACCAAAGTACGCTCCAAGCTCGAGGATAGCCGTCAACCACCCCTTCTTCCCAGAATCCGTGACGTATGATCCCATCTTTGCGCCAAAGGACGGCATGGTCAACACGCCGGAGAAGACACCCTGGTTGTATCCGTACAGGAGACCACCAAAGGATGCAAAGATTGCGATTGCGAAGACGCGGCGGTTGTGGATGAGGCCGCGGAGACCGGAGGGGCCGGCGAGTGCCATACGACGGGCATGGAGGCCTTCGTCGGCTATGACTGCGGAGTGGCCTGCGAGGGCGGGCATTTCGAATGTTGAATGTTGTTTGTTGGTGTAGGGTTTGATCTTGGAGGAGGAGGAGGAGAGGCGGAGGGTTTTATAGGGAATGACGTGCGACTGATTTACCCGGTCGAACGCAACGACTTGTCCACGTTACATCAATTGCGGATTGTGTTTTTTTGCGGGGTTAACGTTGCCCGTGGGGAACTTTAGCCGCTCGTCTGATTTAGCCGGTTGGGTGAACATGTGCGTGCTGCATGAGGGCTGCGTGCGACGGCGAAACACTCGGCAAACGCGGCAATTGCAACGGCTGTCCAACTGATGATTCAGAAATGTTATTTTGGGTAAACGGGAAGGCCGGAGAGTGCGGGGTATGAGATGATTGAACTCTCCATCTCGCTTACCGGCCGGCCGGTTAAAGACCAGAGCATTGAAGCGTGTGCCTCCAACGTTGAAGCTCGATCAGGTGGTCAGCAGTTGTAACCAATGCGCCGGCGGTACAGAGACTCCGTTGCAAGTTCATCTTGGGTAAATCAGTGCAAGCCGCTTCCATTTGTCCAGCTACCTTGAGAGTGAGGGTGGGAAAGTTGGGTAATGCGTCGATGTGGTGTGTCCTGTGCAGTCGAGGTAGCCCAACTCCTCTAGCTGGTCGCAATTTACCCCCGCCCCCAGGCTGCTGGTGCTACACATCTCTTGGCTATCGGGATGCCGCGATAACTCGTGTACAGCATATATTGTCTTGCAATCTCTTGCCGTCGTTCGTCTGATTGCTCTTCGATTGCCAGGCAAACCACCATCCTCACCCTCTTCCTTTAGGAACTGCCTTGCAACTGTTAACGGTGAATGTCTGTTGTGGATCTTGTGTTCGAGGCGAATTCAACGTATGGGTCTTGCCCTTTTCGGGATGTAACGTAGACTCGGTAGCACGAAGAAGCCAGCCCCAGGTTTATGTTTCCCACGGTACCTATACGGGTAGCTAGACTACGGCAGTGGCATGTTCAAGTCCTGGAGCACGCTTTAATTGACTGGTAGTAACTAAGTAGTAGGTATCCGGATGCTTTGGTGTTGTCTGAAACTGGATTATCGACTACAGCCGCTCAAAGGACAGACCGCAGCAAGAGCGCTCCTACACAGACATACACAATCCAACCATATGTATGGAGAGTGCATGCATACGGCAGCATTTAGCAAGCTCTGACTCATTCAAATGGCTGGTTATGTTGTGTTTCGCGATATAACAGACGGATGGATAACTCATTATCGAGACCGTGCACCTGCACATCATCGACACAAATAATATGGCTCAGACATTTCATCAGGTTATGCAGGGTATATTGGTCGTACTATGGAACCTTTTGTCGTACAATACCTCCTTTAAGCGGTCTTCTCCGCATCGGCAACAGCAGCCTTTGCGGCCTCCAGCTCCGCGGTGCCCTCGAAAGCCGGATCGCCGCTTGCCTGTACCAATCGTTAGTGATCCCATTCAGATCAAATGTTAAAGGAGGGTAGGAAGGACACACGATCAGTTGCTTGAGATCCTCAACGGCTGTCTCGAGTCGCTTTTGGGTTTCGGGGACCATCTGGTCGCAATCTACCAACACTTTCTCCTATACAATCAATTAGCATCAGAACTTTCATACGACCACATTCAAGGGACGAACCTGCGCACGGAGCTCATATTCATCAGCATTCTCCGCCCTCATCTTCTCAACCCTCTCCTTCTGGTGGTGCGCCTCCTTGACATACGAGCCCTTCTCCTTCACGATACGCTTAAGCGCGTTGGTCTTGATAGTCAAGCTTCTCAATGACGACGACATGTTCTCTTATTGTTCGAAGACGCTGTTAACGTGCCGCGATATTGCCAGTTCCTCTTTGGGCTAGATGCAGATCACGTGCTGTGCCTGGTGCAGAACACACCCTCCAAAATTCGAGAAAGCTGCGTGTGATTGGAGACTCCAGTTTGCACAGCACAGCACAACTCGACAGCAGCAATGGTGCGTACAGTCGTCGGTTGGGGAGAGGGAGAGTGGGAGACGCGTCTTTGATGCTTTGAGGATGCGTTCGCCTTGATTTCCTGCCTCGTTTGACGGCGTATGCTGTTGGATGGGTCGATGGATTTCGGGTCGGGCTGCGCTCGAACTTCTCGGAAGACGCTCTCGGCTCCCCCCGTCTGCCTTCCCTGGGTTGAGGTGAAGATGGCTAATCGTTTGGCATTGACAGGGTATCGACATCAAGAGGCACCACGTCAAGAACGGTAACCGCACCGCCCCCAAGAGCGACAACGTTTACGTCAAGCTCTTGGTCAAGCTTTACCGCTTCCTTTCGCGTACGTAGCTACCCTTGTCATTTGACATACCGGGTTCTAAATGCTCTATTTGCAGGCCGTACCGACTCTTCCTTCAACCGCGTTGTTCTCAAGCGTCTCTTTATGTCCAAGGTCAACCGCCCTCCTATTTCCCTCTCCAAGATCGCCCGCTCCGCCGCCGGCAAGGAGGACCAGACTATTGTCTTGGTCGGTACCATCACTGACGATGTCCGTCTCCTCGAGGTCCCTAAGCTCACCATTGCTGCCCTCCGTTTCACCGCTACTGCCCGTGCTAGGATCTTGAAGGCCGGTGGTGAGTGTTTGACTCTTGACCAGCTCGCTATGCGTGCCCCCACTGGTTCCAACACCTTGTTGCTCCGTGGTCCTAAGAACTCCCGTGAGGCTGTCAAGCACTTCGGTATGGGTCCCCACAAGGGCAAGAAGCCTTTCGTCCGCTCCAAGGGCCGCAAGTTCGAGCGTGCTCGTGGTCGTCGTGCTTCCCGTGGTTTCAAGGTGTAAGCAGCTTTTTTGCTTGCTTTCATCCTGGTGCTGTCGCGAAAGGAAAATATTGGGCGGCGTTATCTGTTTTTTTCTTGGTCTGGTTATCTCATTGCTATATCGAAAAAAGCTGGTTTTGTGCGTCCACCTCTTCATTCATTCATCCCTCTTCCCGTGCCTCTATCGCGATCATCTCCTTTGTAATTTTCAACATCACCTCGAACCCTGCTTCCACTTTCTCGATTTTCTCACATTCCCGCTTCTCTTCGGCTTACCCCGATCCTTTCCTGCGCCATCACCGCCATGGCAACCCCGCCCTGCAGTAATGATAAACACCTCCACACAAAGACCCCCTAAAAAGCATACACCCCCTCTATACCAGTCAATGGAGGCATAATGCCATTGGGATTGCGAGGAGACTATATGGTTCAGTTCTCCTGTTGGCTTCTCATGAGTGTTGCATTAACAGGGGCCTGAACAGATACAGGATACCGAAGAACGAGATACCTTGGCGAAGAGCTTGGAGAGGCTACGGACCGAGTTGTTGGCTGGCACAGCCAGTGCTGAGTCCTTGTTGAAAAAGCTGGATAAGTATGCAGTCTCGGCACACTAATCTCTCAGCTTAGATGCTGATGTTTGCGTACAGGACCAATTACGAGATAAGACGGTTTAGGGATGTCTTACGGGTTAAAGCTATCACGGACACCACCAATGATCAGGTGGGTCCAGAAGGATGGTGTTTTTTATGAGCTTTCGTTGATAGAGACCCACAGGACTATACTCCACTCAAGACCAAACGATACCACCCCATCCGAGCCGGAAGTGGAGGCACACCCCTTTACTTACAGCACCACAGCCTCCTCCCATTCCAGCCCACAAGCACACCTACATCCCCTACTGTCTCCGACAACGATGATGATTCTGTGAGTCGGCCGAGTACGGCGTTGAGTACGCGATCTGCACCCGTGACATCCTCGCCTCTAACATCCTTGTACACGGACTCGGACGACGATGGAGCAGGTGAGGGAGATGAGGGCGAGGGCGAGGGGTGGGAAAGGAGTGATCCAACGTTTGGGAGGTTGAAGAGGATGTTGTCGAATCTTTGTGAGGAGGCGCAGGCGGCTGTTAGTGCCCCGACATCTCCTGCACCGGCTCCCCGTAATATGGGTAATGGGTTGGGGATCGAGATGCAGGTTTGTACACCTCGACGAGGTGGAGGGAAGGAGAGATATGGACAAGACGTGAAGATGACGATTGGGCATAAGTGGACGAAGAGCATGGATGGGAGTCCGGTTAAGCCTGCGCAGTTTACGCCGCCGTCGTCTGTCTCCTCAAACGCTTCAGCGGATGAGAGCGAGGACAACGACGACGACGCGGGTGAACCCACACCGATCAGGAAGAGACCCGGATTGGTACGGAACATGTCCAGCTCAACCCTCCTCCCCGTCGCAGAAGGCGGCCGAAAGATCTTTGAGGCAGCAGCAGAGGGTGTGGAGAAAGCTATTCTTGGACTCGACGAAGCGGTGATTGAACTACTCGACGTACGGAATGGACGAAACCAGGAGGTGGGTGAGGGAGAGGGGTTGAGGAGGGCGCCGAGGGGGTTGATGTTGTTGGCGGTTTTGGTACTTTTGGTGGGTGCGATGTGGAGGTATGCACTTGGTGCTGGTGAGCGGGGATGTGTTTGTGGACCTGCTGGAATGGAGGAGGGTGAGATGGCGTGACACTGCTCAAACCCGACGCCCAGGATGAGGAAACAGAGAGCGAGGGAGACAGTTTGATTTTGCAGACAGCTTGGCGTTCCATGGATAGCATACACTTAGGATTGAGATACCCCATACCCCCATGGACGAAGAACAATGGTAGTGTTTTGATTAATAATAATCATTGATGATATTAGTGATATAGCAATCCTAGTCATGCTAACGTAGCCATATGATAAAGAAGCGTAAGATGGGGCGCTGAACCAATGAATCGTCCCTCTCTCCCCTCGAGTCCGCCTCCTTTTCGTGGTGCGACGTCTATCACACATTCATTTTGTCTGTGCCGTGCGGGCGTCTGAAGTACGCGCAAGCATTCTTCTTCGTGGTATCAATGCTCGTGCTCGTGCCTCCTTTTGTCTTGTGTTGGCTATGTTTGGGTTTACCATAAGATGGCAGCAACACCAACAACAACCGCCAATGCCGCCGTCGCGTCCATAGTATCAACACCATTCGCTTTTTGTGCGCTGTTTGCGCTGATCTGGGATTGGCCGCTCGTTGTGCCATTTGTGCTCACTGTTGAATTGTGGGCGGTCGAGTTCGACCATGAGGTGCTGCTGGAATTAGACGCTGCGACAATTGCTGCGGTGGATGACGGAGAGGAAGAGGAAGATGAGATCGTCGCATTGGAGGCGGAGTGGGATTCGCCGGCGTGCGCGGCCACAAGTGCGGCGAGCGCAAGGAAGATGAGGGCGAAGAGGGTCGTGAAGGGTATTGATGCGCGCATGGTTTTGGCGTGTTGGTATCAAGGTATATGCGTCCTTTAAAGCGGTTTGAGAGAGCGTGTGTGCTTGCGACGCGGATGTATGCTGGTCGCGACCTGGGGTAGTTGAAGGAGAGAGACCGTGCGGTGGTGTGCGGTGAATGCGGGGCGTGTTTCGCGACGGTGCGACGATTGTCTTGGCGCTGCTGACACACGTACGGTACTTGGGTAACGTAGGAGCGGGTGTTCACTTTTTGAGTTTGCAAGGAGCGTGTTTGAATTGCAGGGCCGTTGAGTGGAGGGCGATTCTTTTTAGAGTTTTTGGGTCCGTGATGTGGCTTGAGCTATTCGTGCGCTTGGCAGGCCAGGGCGTCCCAGCAGGCGCAGTGCGGTGCTCAGTGGGGAGATAGACGTCCTTGTTATTCTTATTAAAATGAGAATTAACGTTCATTGTCCTCCGCTAAGTTCTACATACTCGTCCAAGAGGATCACACATCCCCGGGCCGCTCACCTCCACACGCGTCGCACTGTAACGTTCCACACGCATTTTCCAGCGTACACATCGGACACGTCCATGCCTTCGATGTCGTCTCTTCGCGCGTCAATACCGGAGCTTTGGCTGATGCTCTTGCGCTTTCTGTCGGTGCCATTCTTGAGTCTGGGGATGGAGTTTGTGGTGGTACAGCTGGATCAACCGATGCGGTCCTGATACCCGAAGGAGGTCTTGACATTGATGCCGAGGACTCAACTTCTCCGTTCCGCGGCCCTTCTGGGGTTGTCTCGTTTTTTCTTGGCCCTGGCTCTTCGGGTTCTGGTTTGGTGCAGGTTTCAGCCGCTTCCCACTCTCCCTCACTCATCCACTCCCGCATTTCCTGGTGTCGCTCACTCCACCGCAACACCGGCCCAACCCCTACGTTATACGTATTGTAGTTCTCCGTCGCACCCCGTACCACGCCCTTCCTAAACGTAATATTGATCCTTCCACCGGCGTTTTTTCGTTTCGGAATACTATGTAGCCAGTTCCGCTGCGTCTCGCCTTTCATGAGTATCATCTCTCCTCCCCTTAGCTCAAACGATATAGGCTGGAGGTTGTGCGTCGCATTCTTGTGCTTCAACAGAAACGTCCGTGTCGCACCGAGCGTCAACGATGCAATCGCAGGATTCGGCCCAAGGAACTGTTCGTCGTCCGAATGGTACGAAATCGAGTCCGTCCCATCTTTGTAATAATTCACCAAGATAAAGTTATAGTCATACCCCGTCACTCTCTCAACCTCCTCCTTCAACTCCAACAAACACGACGGTATGGGTCGTGGTTTGCATTTGTACCGTTTGCTTGTGGGTGGGAGTACGAGTTTGGTGTTTGCGTCCATAATTTGCCCGTCGGGGGTGAAGCGGGAGGTAGAGTCGATTCCGAAGACGCTGGTGTAGCGGGGTGTTGTGATGAGCATTTTGTGGAGGGAGTGTTGGTAGATCACCTTATACCACGGCAACTCCCGTCTCAAGAACTCAAACAGGGCGTCTGCGCCTTCGCGGCGCAAGAACGGACGGTGATACACACAGTCGAGATTTGGCTTGTGGTTTAGCAGAATAGGCGAGTCGGACGATATGGTAGACGTGATCTCGAAAGGAAGGGAGGCGATCGGGAAGGGGTACGTCGCATGTGTCGAGGGCGGACCAGGTGAGGAGCGAGGAGGGAGCACGATCTTCGCCTTCTTTGCCGTGGGAGAGAGAAAAGATTCGATGGAGCGTTTGGACATTGCGCCGGTCTTCAAAGGTCTTGAGCAACGGATCAGGCGGGTTCCTTTGGTGGTTAAGTGAGAGCTCGAGGTCGCGGTGTACTTTCTTCGCCACAGGGTGTACGACGCGGGGGAGGCTCGCCAATCGTGCATGCGCCGGCGGGATCGAACATCGCAGCCCGATCAAGGTCGTCGGAAACACTTTTCATACTCGAGATTCATTATTCAAACCTGGAAGGTGTTAGTTCCTCTTGCTAAATGTCTGTTATATGCCAGCTATGCATATGAAGGGTTCGCGATTTCGATTGCAGGCTCTCCAGCGAATATATCCCTCCCTCATGGGTATCGCTGGTGTTTCAAGATATACCGTCCCAGATACAAAGTCCAAAAACTCCCCTTCCTGCTCCTTCCTAACCCGTTTCACCCTACCCCTGTGATCAGCCCTTCTTCGCCATCAACCCACCCCACAAGACTACCACCCCCGCAACCCCCAACCCCACCAACCCCATCTCCAACGCCAACTCAGCAACAGGCCCCACCTTCATCCCTGCTCCACCCCACACAGCACCTGTAACCCTCCCCGTATACATACTCATCTGCACCATAATACTCGTCCGCGTGACCCACTCCGGCGGGAGATGTTTCGAGAGGAGGGATACGGGGATTGAGGTGAGGGTGTTGAACGCCAGCACCGTCATGAACCAGGTTATGAAGAATGGGGCATAGGTCACCTTACCCGTTTCATGCGTCGATAAGAAGATTGCCAGACCACCGATGCCGAACAAACTCATCCCAACCAAAATCCACCGATCTTGTACCCGTCTCGCCGCGAAAACATTCAATAACAAAAATGGAAAGGCTGCCAACCCGCCCAGCGCCATGAAATTCCCCGAGGAGAGCGGGGACCAGAGGAATTGCGGGGCGGAAGCGGCGTAGACGGGGATGAAGGCTTCCCAGGAGGAGAGGACGAAGAAGGCCATGCAGGCGTAAAAGGACATTAGAGCCATTGGGAATTTGACGCGGAGGGAGAGGGTGAAGGGGGTTAACGGCTCCGTTGGGGCGGCGGAGGTTAGGTCCGTTATCGCACCTTCCTTTTCCTTGTCGTTAGTTTGTGGTTCCGACGAAGGCGGAAGTGAGGTGGTGGATAGAGTTGACACGATCGACGGATCCTCTTCTTTGAAATATCTCCATGCGAAGAACCAGAAGACCAGCCACATAGCAGCGAGGATCCTAAACCAGTATTAGCAACAGACCTTCCATATCGGCAGATTTTCCTTACCATGCCTGGGCCGTATACCCCGTAAACACCTCATTCCCGAACCCAACCTTATACAACACCCCACCCAACCACGGCCCCAAAATCGTCCCAACCCCCTGTCCCACAACCAAACTCCCACTCAACGTCGTCCGTCTCCTCACCCCGACATACCTCCCGTCCGCAACAAACCGCTTCTGATACATAAAAAACACGAAACCTCCTCCGAACGCGAGTCGTCCCGCAAACATCATCCACAAACTATGCGCACGATACGCGCAGCCATAGAGGATATTCCCGACTAACATTGAGCCACAGCAGAGGTGAAGGGGGAAGGTGTAGTGTCCGCGACCGAGGCGGAGGACGGGGTATGTTAGGGCTACGGCGAGGAGGGGTGGGATTCCGATACAGAGGCCTGAGAAGGTGTTTGTGCCGCCGAGGTGGCGGGTGAAGGAGGAGAGGGAGGGGATTGTGATGTAGAAGGAGAGTTGGAGGAGGACGTTGGAGAGGAGGATGATGGTTAGTGAAGGGAGGTGGGGAAGTTTGAAGTCGGGGTCCAGAGACCTCTCCTCTGAGGGCCGGAGGGAGGTGATCAGCGACCGTAGACGGGAAGACATTGTGGGTTGTCGTCGGTGTAGAAGATGGAGGAGGGCGAGATGAGCATCTGGTGTTGAGCTTATTGAGGGGAGTCGCGCAACCGCCGCTGTCTTGAGCAGAAATGAAAGTACGGTTCGGGTGCGCGTAGCCGAGGGCTCGCCTACGCTGGACATATGCCCCACACTACGCGTGTCCAACTGCAGGCCAAGTACACCTCTTCGATGTCGCTGGCAATCGTCCTGTTCTTGGTAATCCTGCTCAATCAATGCGCTTGCAAGGGCAATGCGGAGCAGACGGTCTTCTCGCCGGATCTGATCGCTCGCCATGTCGAGGTCTGTGCAATTGCTTCATCCATCGATTGACGTGCTTAGCGATAGGATAGTACTCCGATATTGTAAATCACCACGACTCAGCAGTCCTCAAGACCGAAAGCGACTATGAAGGCGAGACACTTGCTTTCGTAACCCCGTGGAACGCGCATGGCTACGACATGGTACGCTGTATTGACATGTCACGTCGATCCTCGCTAATTCGGTATGCTGTACAGGTCAAACAGCACCACTTCACATACGTCTCTCCAGTTTGGTTCAACATCCGTGCACTCCCTGATGGCAGCTTCACGATCGAAGGTGAACACGATGTGGACAAACCGTGGATGGAGGAAGTTGGGACGCAGATTGTGCCGAGGTTTACGCATGCGGGGTGGGATCGGGCGGTGTTGGAGAGGGTTGTGAGGGAGGAGAGCGTGGCGGACATAATGGCTCAAAATATCGTTGATGTCGTTATGTAAGGTTCTGAGAATATGGAGCTCTGATGCGAGTGCTGATATCCCGGATCTTACAGGAAACATGGGTTCGACGGTATCGTGCTGGATATGCCCGTCGCGCATTACCTCGTCCACCTCATCGCCTCCCTCTCCTCCAAACTTCACGCTGCTTCCAAGATCCTAATCGTCGTTCTGGCACCATCGCCACCGCCTATTCCGTTACCAGGTGATGTAGCGGACAGGTACGTGTTGATGACATACGACTACTCAACCCTCGAACCCGGCCCCAATGCCCCGATATCCTGGGTCGAAGACGAACTCGAGCGTCTGGACCCCGAAGTCCGCAGCCGTACCCTCGTTGGTCTCAACATGTACGGCCGCCGCTGGAATCTCGACGCCTCTTCGGGTACCACGGTTGCGGGTGAACCAGTATTGGGTCGGGATGTAGTGAAATGGCTAGAAGAAGCCAAGCCGGAGATTGAATGGGATAAGGAGAGTGCGGAACATTGGTTCTACGTTCCGGGGGTGGGCGAGGTGTGGTATCCGAGTTTGAAGAGTTTGAAGGTGAGGAGCGAGGTCAGCGTGGAAGAGGGATGTGCCGGTGTTTCGTTTTGGGAGGTTGGGCAGGGATTGGATTATTTCTACTCGATGTTCTGAGTGCCTTGATCTTGTTATTCGAGAATCCTACTGCTTCCCGCACTGCTCCGACCTTGCTTGCCCGTGCAGTACGTGTCACGGGCCGCGTCGGTGAACTTCAGCAAGTCGGGTCGCCTGCGAAACTTCACCTCTGGAAACCAACGAACTTCAAAGTTCGGCGATCACAGTAATGGGATGAATGCCAACCGAACTGAGCAAGAGCAAACCATACAAGACCACGATAATGACACGCGTTATCTCACTGCGCAGTTGACGCTGGGTTTGACACGGCTTTATTCGCGAGTAGGGAGTCGGGGGATGCCGCATACACCCGGGGATCGACCGAGCGCAAAGCGTCAGTGCGTAGAAGGTCCTTCAACGGCGACTGAGGACGTGCTGATGTCACCGCCAACAAGTCGTGCGTCTCCGTATACCTCCACCACCCTCCTCGCGAACCGCTACCAAGTCACCGGCACAGCCGGCCAAGGCGCCTGGTCTCACACTCTCCTCGCTATCGACACATACTCCCCCTCCCATCCCACCGTCGCCATCAAAGTCATGAACCCGGGTCTCGAAAGAGCCGGGGCGCAGGAATTGAGGGTGTTGAGGGAGATTCACGGGGTGACTCTACCATATGGTGTTGAAAAGCCGGTTGTGAAGGCCTTTGGCGGGTTTGTGGCGGAGAGAGGGAGGTATTGTTTGGTGTTGGAGGCGTTGGGTGAGGCAGGGATGAGGGCGCCGGGGTGTACGTGTGGGAGTGGGGGTGGACAGGGGGTTGAGCATGAGAGCGTGGAGTGTCCCAGCGTGCATGCGTTCGTGAGGAAAGTTGCGGTGCAGTTGTTGCAGGAACTCGTGTTGCTGCATGAAGGGTGTGGAATGATTCATGCAGATATCAAACCGGAGAACGTTCTTCGTGTTCGGGACTCGAGTCCGACGTCAGCGAAGTTGAAGCTTATCGACTTTGGTAATGCGATCCGTATCGCAGACATCCCGGACTACTACGGTGACTATGAAGTTCAGAGTGCGCAGTGGCGGGCGCCGGAGGTTCTGCTTGGTGTTCCTTTCGGCCCGAAGGTTGATTGTTTCAGTGTTGGAGTGATCCTTGCCGAACTCCTCCTATCCGCATCGAACGAACAAGTCGAGGCGTTGTTCCCTCCAGCATCGAGTCGTGGTCAGTTGGTGCGTGCTTACACCTCCATGATCGGAGCACTACCAAAGCGGTTCTCAGAGGGCATGTACTGGAAGCCTGAATATGCTAATATCGGAAGTCACACACTACGAGCGATGTTGACACGATGTAAAGATACGCAGCTTGTTGACTTTATTTGTGGGTTGATGGAGGTGGATCCGGACAAGCGATTTTCGGCGCGGCAGGCGTTGGGGCATCCGTGGATTGTGGGGCCGTTGCTGGGAGTTTGGAGTATCGTTGGGGTTGAACCTCAGGTTCCTGTTCAAGGCGTTTCCGGCGATAAATCACATGAAAACGCCGCTACTGAGTATCGTCGCGTTGAAGCTCCTGCGAGCGTCTACTCTGAGAGTGCGCGTAATTCTACTACAGCGGTTGCACGTTCTGAGGACGTCGTCAGCGCGGTAGTGGCCGAGGCTTCTACGTTGGCGACACACCTGGCCTTACAGAGCAGTCACGAGGAACGTATTGCGAGCAGTGGCAGTATGGCGGCAGGTCATATGCCACCGGCAGAAACACGACTCATCACCCCTTTAAGTGTGGATTCTCCGCATACAGGGGGTATGGCTGGTATTCGCGATAACTGTACGGGTACTACGAATACTGCAGAATCCAGGCCAGTTGAGAGCACGGGGAGTACTACTGAACAGGTGGACGGGGTCAGCACACGGCCGTCTGTACCAACTGGTGCTCAGGAGCCACCGACACTTATGGAGAGTTCTGCATCAAGAGAAGCAGTTCTTGCTGAGACTATCCCAGAAGGTTCTGTTGTATCGATAGCACCTGTTGCCGCAAAGGACACGGCGGATTCGGGAGCACGGTCGGTTCCTGCCGCCAAACCTCTCGCAAAACCAAGAGGGCGACCAAGGAAGTCTATTCAGCAGCCACCGGTCATACCGGCCGTTTTCCAATCTCGAGAGGCAGATGCTACTGCGAGTATACCTGAAGGCTCTACGTTGTCGATAACGCCTGGCGGCAAGAAAGCCGCGGAGCCCGGTGCCCCCTTGGTCTCTGCGGAAAAGCCACAAGTGAAACCAAGAGGACGGCCAAGAAAGTCTATTGAAGGAAAGGGTAAGACGACCGCTTCGGCAAGCCTTCATGAACATAGGTCGAAAGCTCTCGTCGAGGGAAATGATCTTAATGCGGTTTCTGTGGATCACCAAGCAAAACCCAGAGGACGACCCAGGAAGTCTATCCAAGACGATATTAAAAAGATTCCTTCTACAAGTCTCGATAAGCCTGTGTCAAGAACTGCTGTTGGGGATCCTGATGGCAAGGCTAAATCTTCAACGACTAAACGGCCGGCGAAGGAGAAGAATTTGGATGGTGATGCCTCTTCCGGGCAACAAGCCAAGATGTTGGACATCAGTAACGACGAAGGGCCTGTGGATGGCCATTCTCATGAACATCCCCTTGCTCTCTTTGCCTCACCACAAGTTGTACAAAATGATGACAAGAGCGTGGGAGCCACCGAGGTAAATGCAGTTCGCAAACCGATTGCTTCAAGTACTTCTGCGGTTCCATTAACCCTCGAGCGTGCTCTGGATGAAGACTTTCTTGCGGCTCTGGAAAACCCAAGTTTTAAGGCACCACGAAAAAGGAAGAGTCTGCCTCTGTCGCGATCATTAGCCAAGAGCACGCCCGCAGCCAAAGACGAATACGCGACGCCAACAACTTCATCGCACAAGAAGGTTAGGTTCTCTAGTGACACGAAGCTCAAGAGCCCACTGTACCCGAAGTCGACGATGGCGAACGACCATTTCGACGAACTGATCTCTTACGAGGCGCACTCACGGAAAGGTCGTGGCGAGGCGGGGAAAGCAGAAGTTATTTGTGACGACGTGATCTTGATTGCAAGCATGAGCCCGGCTAAGAAAGCTCAATACGAGGAAGAAGCAGATGAGGAGGTTTCACTGGTGCTCGAGGAAGATGACGATGATGTGGTATTAATTTGATGGACAACGGACAAAATATGTTCAGGATCTGTTCAGGGTCGAGCGGTTATGGTATGGCGTGGTTTGGGGGACGGGGACAGGAATCGGCGTTTTCCAGGTTTCAACGGTATAATTATGCTGACATAATGAAGTATTTTAATTATCCTCCGGTGCGCTTACGCAAAGTGAACTCCAACCTGGTTGAACTCATACAAGAGCTTCAAGAACTCATCCTCCCCACACTTTCCAGCACGCTTCTCACCAAGACCAGTCTCCGTGAGAACCTTTTCCACCAACGCCTTGATCTCAAAGTTGTCCTCCACCATCCGCTCGTTCTGCGCACACCACGTCTTGTAGTTCTTCTCCATCATTCCCAATACTGAGGACTGCTTGAAGGAGGCAGACAATGTCTTGTTCTTACGGACGAAGCAGACACGGAGGAGGCCGTCCCACTCGTCGTAGTCGATTGGCGGTGGCGGGATTTTGGGCTCGATACGGACGACACTGGATTCGACTTGGGGTGGTGGTCTGAAGTTGTTCCTTCCGACCTTCATGATGTGCGTTACTCGTGCCCACATTTGGACGTTGACGCTGAGACGACAGTAAAGCGCATCTCCTGGTCGGGCGATAAGTCGTAGAGCGAACTCACGCTGGAACATGAGAATGGCAGCTCGGGGTGGAGGACGCTGTTGCAGGAGTTTGAAAACCAGGGGCGAGGAGATCTGGTATGGGGTATTTGAGATACAGACGTCGAAAGACGGCAGGGTGGTCTTGATGACATCTCCGAGCATGATCTCCAAACGCTTTTGCTCAGGCTTTCCTTGCACACGCTTTGTCAATTCGGCAGCCATTCGGGGATCCATTTCGACTGCGATGACTTTGCGCGCCTTCTCCAAGATACGGACTGTCAAGTTACCGGTACCGGGACCGACTTCGAGGACGGTATCTGAGGGCTTGAGGTCGGATTTGTCGACGATACCCTGGGCGACCAAGGGGTTCTTGAGGATATGCTGACCGAGGTCGTGGTTCATCTTGAAGATCTGATGGGTGCCCTGGCGCTCAGAGGACTGGGAAGCAGCCGCGTTCTTCTTTTCCCTGATCTTGCCCATTGTTATGAGTTATATGGAGTGACGATGGTAAGGTGGGAGTGGCGAGGGATCAGAGGGGTTGTAGTTCGATGAAGGCTAAGACGCCGGTAAGTTTGAGTCCAAACAAAGGGCATCTCCAATGGACATACCTGGTCAATTCCTCTTGATCTGACTGTCCTTTATTTTGAGTTTGTCCTTGCCGGTCGATTTTCTTCGAGAGGCCTATCGATACTGTACGCCACACTACTTCGTGGCTGGTGAGACGGTTCGGGGTGCTGCATGTGCGAGTTCCGAAATGTCGAGAAGGCGACAGACAACCTTAACCCCCACGAGCCATTCCATCACCAATTGCTTGCTCGATTTGATCAGCATCTCTCATTATGGCTACGGGGCGCCGAGACTTCTTGAGCATGGAGGCTCCGGCCAACTACGTCGCCGGTCTTGGTCGTGGTGCCACTGGATTTACGACGCGATCTGATATTGGTCCTGCGAAGGAAGGTCCGTCAGAGGAGGCTATCAAGGCGGCTCTTGCGCGGCGCGAAGCTGCTATCGCTGCGGGTGAAGTGGACGATGACGACGAGGATCGCTTCAAGGACCCCGAGAGCGCAGACATTGGATTGTTCTCGAGTGCGCCATACGATGCAGACGATCAGGAAGCGGACAACATCTACGCAGCTGTGGATGAAAAGCTAGCACGGCGGACGCAGAAACAGCGAGAAGCAAGGGAGGCCGAGGAGCGGGAGCAGGAACGCAAAGAAGGCTTGGGTGGGATTCAGAACCAATTCGCAGATTTGAAACGTGGTCTTGCGATGGTTACAGATGAGGAATGGGCAGCTCTTCCAGATGCGACAGACGCTACCGGCAAGAACCGTAAAGCGAGGCAGAAGCTTCGGGAACGCTTCTACGCCGTGTCCGACTCGGTCATCGCATCAGCACGCGACTCCACTGGTCTCGACACGTCTGTTTCAGCAGAGGCACCGGCACCGGCGGATAGCGCTGATGGAGCGATGACAAACTTCGTCGAGATTGGTGCCGCGCGTGATAAGGTGTTGTCTTTGAAGTTGGATCAAGCAGGTGCGGAGTCGGTGGCATCCGGTCTAAGCAGTACGATTGACCCCAAGGGATATCTCACTGGTTTGGGCAACTTGCAACTCAAGAGTGACGCGGAAATTGGTGACATCAAGAAGGCACGGCTACTATTGAAGTCGGTTATCTCCACCAACCCCAAGCACGCACCCGGATGGATCGCTGCAGCACGTCTCGAAGAGCTCGCTGGAAAGCAGGTACAGGCAAGGAATCTCATCGCCCAAGGTTGCGAGCTGTGTCCGACAAACGAAGATATCTGGCTTGAAGCTGTTCGACTGAATACAGAAGAGAATGCGAAGGTGATCTTGGCTGAAGCGGTTAGTCATATTCCACGGAGTGTGAAGCTATGGATGAAGGCGATGCAGTTGGAGAAGGAGGTACTTCCTAAGAAGCGTGTGCTGCGGAAGGCTTTGGAGTTGATCCCGCAGAGTGTCAAGCTGTGGAAGGAAGCAGTCAACTTGGAAGAGAACCCCGCCGATGCGCGTATCCTCTTAGCTCGTGCGACTGAGCTGATTCCTCTCTCAGTCGAGCTTTGGCTGGCACTTGCACGACTGGAAACGTACGAGAATGCAAGGAAGGTGCTGAATAAGGCCCGTTTGGCGGTCAAGACTAGCCATGAAATCTGGCTGGCAGCAGCTCGGTTGGAAGAGCAGAATAATAACCATGAGCGCGTGGAGATGATCATCAAGCGTGCCATCATGGAGCTGCAAAAGGAAGGTGCTGCGCTAGAACGTGAGCAGTGGTTGGCTGAGGCGGAGAAGTGTGATAGCGAGGGTGATGTCGTGACTGCACAGGCCATTGTCAACCAAACCCTGGGTCAAGGCCTCGAGGACGAAGACAGAGAGGCTCAATGGATGGATGATGCTACTGCGCTGGTTAGTAGAGGACGGTTCGCGACTGCGAGGGCGGTGTATGCTTATGCTCTGCGAGTGTACCCTGAAGAAGATTCATTGTGGCGTAAGGCTGCTGAGTTGGAAAAGAACCACGGTACACGTGAGGCTATGGAGGCTATTCTGGAGAAGGGTGTAGAAGCGTGTCCTCAAGCCGAGGTGTTGTGGTTGATGTACGCTAAAGAACGATGGCTTGCTGGCGATGTCGATAGTGCACGAAACATCTTGGTTAGGGCTTTCGAGCAGAATCCTAATGATGAAGATATCTGGCTTGCGGCTGTCAAGCTTGAGGCTGAGAATATGGAAGTCGAACGAGCAAGGATCTTGCTGGAACGTGCTCGACGCGAGGCTGGAACGGAACGAGTATGGAAAAAGAGCGTGGTGTTTGAGCGGCAGGTGGGCAATGCGGAAGCAGCACTCGATCTCGTCACTCAAGCGCTGTCCGAGTTTCCCACGTTTGACAAGCTATGGATGATGAAGGGTCAAATATACGAGGATGAAGGCAAAATACCGCAGGCACGAGAGGCATACTCTGCTGGGTGTAGGGTTGTACCGAAGAGTGTGCCATTGTGGATCCTGCATGCACGGTTGGAGGAGAATGCGGGTATGGTTATCAAGGCTCGTGCTATCCTTGACAGAGCGCGGTTGGCTGTGCCCAAAGATGACAAGTTATGGTGTGAAAGTGTACGGATTGAGCTGCGTGCGAACAACGCGCATCAAGCAAAAGCTCTGATGGCGAAAGCGTTGCAGGAGTGCCCTGCATCTGGTTTGCTGTGGACGGAAGCAATCTCCTTGGAGCCACGGTCTCAGCGGAAGACTCGTTCTGTCGATGCTTTGCGTAAATGTGAGGGTGATCCCGTTCTAATTACCACCGTGGCTCGTTTGTTCTGGATGGAGCGGAAGCTCGACAAAGCCCGAACGTGGTTTGATCGTGCACTCAAAGCTGCAGAATCTGATTATGGAGATGGGTTCGCGTGGTGGTATAAGTTCGAATTGCAGCATGGCACGGAGGAGCAGCGGCAAGCTGTGATTACACGGTGTGTCGCTGTTGAGCCTCATCATGGCGAGGTTTGGCAGATGGTTGCCAAGCAACCGAAAAACGCTGGCAAGTCCGTCGAAGAGATCTTGAAGTTAGTTGCGGAGACATTAGAATAGATCACACTTAGGCAAGGGTTGCGTAGGTCGCAGGAAATGCTTTCATTGCCGTATACATGATCTTGCGCTCGCGCTGCAGCTGTTCTATCTTCGAGCTCACTCGCTCTTTCTCCCACAGTCCACGCCATGTACGGACCCGGCTGCGCTGTCGACTGGTATTGGCTTCGTTGGAATAGGTACAGTAGAGACGCAGACAAAGACGCAACAGAATCATTCACTTTAAGCCCTGCCTATAGATGTACAGAAGTTTTCCGGCCTCTACCACAGGAAGGCTTAGTAACTGTTAACTGATAAAGCTCTAACAGCGCGGAATTTATCACGGCGTCCACCCTGGACCGGTATGGAGAAAGTCAGACATACGTAGACATAGCAAAATCAAGACTGCTCATTTCAAAAGAACCTGATTAACGCACAAACTCCACCCCATACGGTATACATATACGTCCAACATTGGAAACCTTAAAATACACTGTCTCATCCTGCGCTAATGCGAGCTCAAGGGATACTGCTCGTGGCTTGGCGGTCCGGTTCTTCATACTTACGATCAAACTCTTCACCTTGAACCTGCCCAGCAGTGTCGTTAATGGCTTCGTACTTCGCTTTCATCTTCTGCCATCGCGCCTCTTCATCATCGATCAAATTGTTAACCGCAGTTTTTTGACCCCGTGAGAAATACACGGGTTTGCGACCACGGTCCTTCGCAGCCTCTTCATCCACAACTACGTACCGTACGCCGCCTCCTGGGGCTTCAAACATGGCGTCTTGAAGTACTTGATCCATGATACGCCTGAGTGCACGCGCTCCGGTCTTCTTGACCAAAGCGCGGCGTGCAATTTGGGCCAGAGCGGGGGTTGTGAAGTACAACTCAACGAACGAGAGCGCAAATATTTGTTTGTATTGGGAGACCAGGGAGTTGTGAGGCTCAGTCAGGATATGCAAGAGCTGAGATAGAGAAAGTTTCGCAAGTGGGGCGAAGGTGGGTATGCGGCCAACAAACTCGGGGATGAATCCTGTAGGAAGAGTTAGCCAAGATATTTAGGACTTTTCCGGTGTACCCTGTACCAAATTTAATGAGATCTGTGGGCTCCAAGAGATCGAGCAGATTCTCCTTCGGCGTATCTGGGGCAAAAAGTACGCTCTTGTCATCGTCGCCGGCCTTCTCCTCAGACTCGAGATTCCTGTCACGCCGGATAGCGTTTCCGAAACTGCAGTCGTCTGTGAGCTTGTGCCGTGTGTGACTGCCGGTGCAACTTACCCGATACTGCCTTTATCCAAGCGTCTGGCAATCAACTCCTCCATTCCCACGAACGCTCCGCTCAAAATGAAAAGGATGTTGCTCGTATCAACCATGTAAATCTCACCCTTCTGTGAAGAGGTTGTACCCGAACCTAACCCTGCTGTAGTTCGTGGACGTTCCTTCCCAACTTTGTCCGTACATTCCACTATGGCTCCTTCGAGCATTTTCAGTAATGCTTGCTGAACACCTTCACCACTGACATCCTTCCCGTGTCTATCAGGGTGACGAGCAATCTTGTCCACTTCATCAAGGCAAATAATACCTGATTCGGCCCGGCGAACATCCCAGTCACAGCTGGCTAGAAGTCTCTCCACACACCTCTCCACATCGTCACCAATGTATCCCGCCTCGGTCAACCCTGTGCAATCACTGATGTATAGTGGCACGTCTAGAATCTTCGCAAGGGTTCTAAACAATTGTCAGTCGGTGGCAACTCGTAATACTAGGTATGCATACCGTGCGAGTAATGTCTTTCCGGATCCCGTTGGACCCAGAAGCAGAACGTTACTCTTTTCAATCGTCGGTGGCGGTAGCGAAGCACCCTCACGTTGTCCTGGAAAGTCTGATATGACGGGATGTTTGTTTACAGGCTCTGGATCTTCCATGGCGTCTGCTGCAGCGATGTCGGCCTGGGCTTGCAAGAAGCGAGTTCGGAGGTAATGATTGTATACTGCCACCGAGAGTATGCGCTTAGCGTTATCCTGACCAGTAACGTATCCATCTAGGGTACGTTTCATACTCCGGGGTGGCGGAGGTTGAGGTAATTGTCGAGGAGGGAGCCCAGCTGGCTGAGCCAGTGGGGCTGGGGCATAGGGAGGAATGTATCCCTTAAGCTTGTCCGACGTACGCGGAACGACGAACGTACGGCGCGAGGCATTTGGAAGGGATCCAAGTACGCAAGGCTGAGGAAACGGACGCTGAGAGAGCTTCAACATTGCCGTCAAATGGCTTGTTTGTTGACGAGATGGACAGTTGGGGAAGGGCAACGACTCGTGAATGTGCTGGGCGCGGCTTCGGGCCACTTACGCTGGGGGATGCGGGGGTAACGTACGTACAGTAAGGAACGACCTTGATTGCCGATAAGATACTCGAACCGAAGAATCGGAAAATATCATCGCAATTGTTCGACTAAGTACCTCCACCTCCTGCTACCAGTTGCTTTAACACGCGTAACGTACACTTCTACTCCCGCAGACAAGTCTGAATCTGAAAGATAGCCGTCTTCACACGCTCCCTTACATCTTGTGTATCATCCTCGGTCATGTTGTAAATCTTTGCCACAATGCCAATATCTCTTAGACACTGCACTGCATGTCTGGCGCTCACTGTATGTCTGTCAGTGTGTGTCCATAGGCATGAGTCAGCTTACACATACTGGTCTGCTCCACGGTCCGTTCACCGAGACTCGTGAGGTTGATGATTGTCCAAACACATCCAAGTCGTACAGCGCAGTCATTGTCATCAAGCCGCTGCCGAAGCGCTTCAAGTATCCGTTCGTCTTCCAGGATGAGGTTCCGGTGACTGTCGTTCCCTACGGCGATGTGTACCAGAATGAATATAGCTGGCTCGACGAGTTGATGAGGCGCTCCCGGCTGTAGCTTTTCAAGGATCAAACCGAGCAAGGATTTAGGCGATAGTACTGAGAACAAGAGATCCAGATTCTGAAAAGAGGTTAGCAATGACGTGGAATAGCTGGTTGAGTAGAACGCACCTCAGCACCGTCGGCCGTTAAATTTTGAAAGCAGTCGAGCGCCTGCTCTTGAATTGCTATATCGTCGTCGTTGATACGCTCCATGAAAATTTCCAACCCTAGGTTCTGTAGAACACTTTGCTTGACAGATGTCTTTTGTTTGTAGAAGAGATGCTTCAATGTCCAGATCCTATATGCAATGTAAGCGAAAGCACAACGAGGCCATGACATGCGAAACATACGCATTCAACCGCAATGCAGGTTCGTTGTCGTGGACCTGTGCCCGTAGTATTCTGAGAATCTCGTGTTCCATAATCGTCTAAACCAAAACGTCAGCCTGTCATCCAGTAAGGGCCCATCGGAACACATACCTTTCGCATGGGAGAAAACTCCAGAACCAGGTTGCACAACGCAGCACTTGCTGCCACTCTGACCTCCACAGACTCATCCTCAAGACACTTCATCATTGGCGGCACAAGAGCCACATCAGTCAACGTTGTGCGGAGAATGCAGACACTGCGCGACATACTCCGCACGCACTGACATGCTGCTGCTCGTACGGAAGCATTCGGATTCGATAGAGACGTAATGATGAAGGGCATGAAACCCTTGTCCGATACCTCCTTCCTGTAATCGTCTTTGAATAACGTAAGGGCAGCGACGGCGAGCAGTATTGATTCGGTGGCCTTCTCTTTGTCCGTCGCGGGCGTAGAATCTGACGATATTCTGGTCACCATCGTGGAAAGCTTTTTGATAGCATCCGCTTGAACGGCAGCTGTTTGAACGTCGACGCCGTCAGTAACAAGATGTGCTACAGTATATGTTAGTTAGCTGATACGCGCAGCTTCTCCGTATGCTTCTCACCTAATACAAGCGGAGCAGTCTCCGCGACGGACAAGTCTTCGTCATCAAATAACCTCACCAAGATAGGCACAACGACCAGAGCAATCTGCCCAGTATGCTTCTTAGGTATAGATCCTGCTCGATACATATACGATAGCACAGAAGCAGCACTCAGTCGCGTCATCGGCCGTGGTCCACGCACCAGACTGAGCAAGATAGGCACAACATCATGACCCAACCCGAGCATGACCGACAACCGCGGTGAACCCCGGATAATCGTACCCAGTGCCGTCAACGCCGTCTCCACGAGTTTGCTATGGATCAGAACACCGCTGCTGTCCCGTTTTTGACCTACGCTCCCACCCGTGAATGCCTCCTGCTCGATCACGGCGATCAAAGCATCAATGACACCCGCGTCTGCCAACGCGTACTTCTGGTCTTCTGTTTGGCAACACTTGTGGACCAGGTTCATGGATAGTTCGGCTTGTTGGACGGTGTAGGGCCTCAACGGTCTCGTGATGTGGAGGAATTTTGTGAGGATGCTGAGCATGGAGGGAGTAAAGAGAGATGCTCGAGGAGCGGCGGGAGTATCCATGAGTGTCGTAAGTACCCGAAGACATGCGATTTGGAGGTCTGGAGGCGATGTAGGCGCTGACAGTGCTGCATACACCGGCGGGAGAACATCCGCACCAAGCAAGTATTGTTGTACGGTATCGCCACCTAAACAGACGGTTAGCGAGAGCAATAGGTGCGGGTAGATATCTCTCGCCATGCGCAATTGAGCCGATAATAATGGCCGCCTGTATCTTAACCTCCGACGGTTCATCCTGCGACCCCAGCAGCGCAATCAACTCCGGCACAATGCCCGATGTCAAGCATTCCTCCTTCTTCTGCTGGTGCCCGATAACTTCGTTCTTTAGCTTCTTAAGCTGGGCGACCTTAGAGTCGTCGGCATTCACCATGGTAATTCTGACTTTCGAGGGGTGTCTGGGTGTACGTACGACGTACGAAAGCTTCACCCCGTTCTACTGCAGCCCGGGGTCTGCAGCATGACGTTGGGATGGAGAAGCTCGACGATAGCTGCGGCGTACATCGGCTGGGGACGGTTACGACTTGCAATGAGGATTTGAGAAAGCAATGAGTCAATTCGACGTGTCCGTCTAGCTATGTCTCTCTTGTTAAGCTAGGCGTCACAGCAGTCACGGTTACGATGGAAGAATATATATATGAAAGGCAACAACATAGCCTGATCACAGAAATGCAGAAAAGCGAATGCTTGTCGGCTGCAACGGACAGGTGTATGGACTCTGACAACTCTGAGTTAGCAATCATGCGGACGAGCTCCTGCCAGACCTGAGGTGGTCCGTAATCCGCAGCCTTCGCATCTCGTAAATGCTTCCAAGCCCGTGATGTTGAATACGCATTGACCTGTGTCCGAGCAAGAACATGCAGAAGGGTCATATTCTCCGTGATCTGCATGTCTCATTGTCGACGGATATGAAAGGGGTACAAGGTGACGAGCGACTTGACGATTGAGGTGGACGGAGGGAAGAGGACGACTCGAATTGGACAAGGATGGGACGGAAGGAGGAGGTGGGAGGTAGGTAGGGATGAAGGAAGAAAGCGAGAAGAATTCGAATTTTTGCAGGTAGGTAAGGTGGGGGTGTTCGGATATCGATCGCGGAGGGACCTAAAAGTTCCTGTAGGAGTAACCATATCCAACATCAGTACCCATATCAATGCCGCGCACTCTGATTAATCCCTCTCATCATGAGGGCTGCGGTCCCCGGGACTGCGATCACCTAAGGAGATGTTAGCAATCAGAATAACTTGAGTTGGTACAAAATCCTTACCAGCGGGCTCGTCCAACATCTTCACATCACCTTCCCTGTCATCCCTAGGAGACCTGGGCGACCTTCCACCCCTAGCACTCCTAGACCTAGACCTTCCCCTGTCTTCAGGGCTGTAGTCTCTCCTGGGCGACCTCGACCTGCTGCGAGAACGAGAACGCGCATGTCCGCGATCGCGCTCGTCGTCACCACCACGAGACCCGCGGCGGGGAAGAGGAGAGCGGGAAGAGTCGGGGAGTCCACGACGAGAACGACGAGGGGAACTGCGACGTCCGCGACCGTCCTGGCGCCAAGAGGAAGAAGGGTTATTACGAGCCCACTACAATTCATGTCAGGAGCAGTTCGAAAGTCAATTGAGTTACAGACATACCTCAACGTTCAGGACATCCCTTCCTAGCCTGCGACCGTGCATATCATTGTAGGCATCGTCCGCATCACGGTCATCCTCGTACTCGACGAAAGCAAACGCACGAGCCGAAGGGTGACGTGTAGCGGGGATGTCACAGCGAACGAGGCGACCGAAACGCTCAAATTCGAAGGCAAGGTCCCTGGCACGAACTCCGGGACCGAATCCAGTAACGTAGAGGGTGTTGCGAGGCATTGGTGATGTGTTGTGTTGGTTGAGGTAAAGTTCAAGGCGACCAACCACGACTCAAGTACGCCGGCTGCGGCCTGCACCGCCATGACGGGTCTCGCATGGAAGCATGTGCAAGATGATCGTAAATCGAAACATACAAGGGCACAAAATTGTAAGCGTTTTGAAGTCGTCCTGATAACGCAATGGCTCGGAATGTTGCTCATTTGTAGGGCACTGACACGTGACGGTTGAAAGATGATAGCGTTTCTCGACCTCGATCGAGTGTAAAAGACATAAAGCTAATATGAATTCGGGTATGTCAGAAAATGGTATCGATATAATACATCATCCAGAAAATGTCCTCTAGATCCTCATCGCCAGCTACTGCCTTCGTGGTTTACTCCACAGCGAGGACAATGGCGGTCCTCGTAGGAATGTAAACCTGCAAGTAGTTCGCGCGACCGTTCCATTCGAATGGAGTGGTGAAGAACTCGCTATTCGTGTCAATTCTGTTCAATCCTCCGAACTTCTCATCGTCTGTGCTCAAGACGATCTTGTATTTGCCGGGCTGTTGGATACCGACACGGTAATCCACGAAGCTACAAAATGCTCAGGTTAGCACATAGAGGAATTGAGAATGGTTACAAGTCTTACCTCTGGTTGGGGTGGAAGTTGAAGATGAAAAGCAATCCAGCCCTCTCAAACACGATGACCTTGTCGCCCTCGTGCTTCAAGGAAATGTAAGCCTGGGGGCTGTGTAGCCACCCAAACTTCTCCTCAGTCTTCTGCAGCGCCGCGTCGAACTCCCAAAGCTGGCCATACCTCAACAATTGGTCATCAACCAAGTTGAACTGACGCCTAGCATGCTGGAAGGAGGAGTTGTTTCCAGCACGGGGAAAGTCAAGCCACTCGGGATGTCCAAACTCATTACCTTCGAAACAAAGCCAGCCTTCACCGCCAAGAGCGTGGGTGATGAGCCGGATCATCTTGTGCAAGGCCATTCCGCGTTCGACGATAGGCGTGAACTCGCTGAGCTTGGACATGTTGGTGTACATCTCCTTGTCCATAAGCCAGAATGCAAGAGTCTTGTCGCCGACAAGTGCCTGGTCGTGCGATTCGGCATATGCGATGGTTTTCTCGCCATGCCTGCGGTTTGTCAAGGTGAAGCAGATGTTCCCCATGTCCCAGTCCTCGTCCTGCCCCTCCTTGAGCAGCTTGATCCACATGTCGGGCACGGCCATTGCTAGGCGGTAGTCAAACCCAACACCACCCAGAGGAACAGGTACACACAAAGCTGGCATACCCGACACATCCTCAGCGATGGTGATTATGTTCGGGTACAGGTTGTGCAACATCTCGTTTGCCATCATGAGGTACACGACGGCCTCCTCATCAACGCCGGGACCGAAGTACTCGTGGTAACCACCGCTGAAACCCGTGCCGATCCCGTGGTGAGTATACATCATACTTGTAACACCGTCAAAGCGGAAGCCGTCGAAACCGTACTCCTCAATCCAAAATCTGAGATTACTGAGAAGGAAGCGCAACACTTCGTGGCTACCGTAATTGAACAACCTCGAATCCCAGAGCTCGTGCCTGCCCTTAGCGCCTCCATGGAAATATTGATGGTCAGTTCCGTCGTATTCGTTGAGTCCATCATCGACGTTCTTGGAGGAGTGCGAGTGTACGACATCGAGGAGGACGGTGATACCGAGACGGTGAGCCTCATCGACGAGAGCCATGAGCTCCTCAGGCGTACCATACCGGGAACTTGCCGCGAAGAAGCTAGTGACCTGGTAACCGAAGGAGGCGTAGTAAGCATGCTCCATAATAGCCATGAGTTGAATAGTGTTATATCCCAAAGCTGCGATTCGAGGCAAGATGTTGTTCTTGAACTCGGTGTATGTAGTGACACGGTGTTCAGGGCTAGAAATACCAACGTGAGCCTCGTACACCCTCAAGCTTTCTGGTCTTGCGGGCTTCTTGTGCTTCCACTGGTACTTTTGGGGAGGGTTCCAGAACACTGCGTCGTACACCGGGCTCACAGACAAGTCTTGCACGACACGCTTAGACCAGGCAGGCAAGCGGTAGATCCTTGATCCATCCTCCTTGATCATTGTGATCTTTACCTTGGAGTTGTGGGGAATAGCGCATGCGCCCTTGACGGGTGGAATGGTGATCGACCACACACCGTAGTCATCCCGGGTCATGGGCTGAGAAGCAGGGTCCCAATTGTCTGGCAAAATTGTCAGCAATGATCATTATGAGAATTGAAACTTAAACGTACTGAAGTCTCCAACAAGAGATGCCTCCTTAGCTCCCGGAGCCCACTCCCTGTAGGTGACTGTCCCGTCCGACTTCACAATGAACCCGAACATCTCGTACCCACGGCTGAACTTTTCCAAACCACCTTCGCTCTGGTCAATGTTCTTGATCCATTTCTGGCATTCGTCATAGCGGTGACGGATGCTATCTGTGAACGGCTTGAGCCATGGATCAATGACCGTAATGGCCGTTCCATCGGTGGGGAGAGGACCAGAGTCTGACATGTTGTATGAGGCTGTTCGTCGATTGATCTGACTATAGCTGCTTGATCCGGATGTAATTGAGCTGCAATTCAGGGTGCGATTGGGGATGGTTGGGGTTTTATGCGGACGTTCAGTTCTCACTCTCCAACAGCAGCTCTACGCGGGGCCGCCCATGGGGGGGAGCCAATGACGCACGGCGCAGCGTCTAACCTTAAACCATCAGGGTGTGAGCCTGGCATCGGATGGCCTCCGAGGAGCAATTGTTGGGGGAAAAAATGCTGATTTTCAGAATGGATGCAGGTGTATCTATCTTCAGCTGGATGGACTTCTTTGCCTGGCTGTTACTGCTACAATGAGAAGGCATGGGTGGACAGTGGAGTATTATGGTATGACTTTATAATCCATCGACATCTTATCTTCGAGCTCAGGGAAAGCCCCTTTAAGTAAAATTACAGTTCGCTTCGACCATTTTGAGTTCCCTTCAACTCGTCCCCGGTCACATTCCTACACTTAACTTAAGCCCTGCCAGCAAGCTCCTTGGCAATGGTGGCAGCCTTAGCCTGGGCATCCTCAATAGCACCAACCATGTAGAAAGCACCCTCAGGCAAGTTGTCGTGCTTACCCTCGATGATCTCCTTGAAGGAACGGATGGTGTCCTTAAGAGAGACGAGCTTACCCTCAATACCAGTGAAAACCTCAGCGACAGCGAAGGGCTGGGACATGAACCTCTGAATCTTACGCGCACGCTCGACAGTCAACTTGTCGGCCTCAGACAACTCGTCCATACCCAAAATAGCAATGATGTCCTGGAGAGACTTGTAGTCCTGAAGCATACGCTGGGTCTGGGTAGCGACACGGTAGTGCTCCTCACCCAAGATACGGGGGTCCAACATACGGGACTTGGAGTCGAGGGGGTCGACAGCGGGGTAGATACCCAACTCGGAGATACCACGGGACAAGACAGTGGTGGCGTCCAAATGAGCGAAAGTAGTAGCGGGGGCAGGGTCAGTCAAATCGTCAGCAGGGACGTAGACGGCCTGGACGGAGGTAATGGAACCCTTCTTGGTGGTGGTAATACGCTCCTGCATCTGACCCATGTCGGTGGAGAGGGTGGGCTGGTAACCGACAGCGGAAGGAATACGACCCAAAAGGGCAGACACCTCAGAACCGGCCTGGGTGAAACGGAAAATGTTGTCAATGAAGAGCAACACATCCTGACCTTCCTCGTCACGGAAGTACTCAGCAATGGTCAAACCGGTCAAAGCGACACGGGCACGGGCACCAGGGGGCTCGTTCATCTGTCCGAAGACGAGAGCGGCCTTGGAGTCACCGTCAAGCTTGATGACACCGGTCTCAATCATTTCGTGGTACAAGTCGTTACCCTCACGAGTACGCTCACCGACACCACAGAAGACGGAGTAACCACCGTGAGCCTTGGCGACGTTGTTAATAAGCTCCTGAATGAAGACGGTCTTACCGACACCGGCACCACCGAAGAGACCAATCTTACCACCACGGGCGTAGGGGGCGAGAAGGTCGACGACCTTGATACCGGTCTCGAGAACCTCGGGAGCGGTGGACTGGTCAACGAACTCGGGGGCATCAGCGTGGATGGGGAGGTACTTGTCGGCCTTGATGGGTCCTCTCTCGTCGATGGGCTCACCAATGACGTTCAAGATACGGCCGAGGGTACCGGCACCAACGGGAACCATGATGGGGTTACCGGTGTCGACAACCTTGGCACCACGGACCAAACCCTCAGTACCGTCCATGGCAATGGTACGGACGGTGTTCTCTCCCAAGTGCTGGGCAACCTCGAGAACGAGGCGACCACCCTGGAAGTCCTGGACCTCGAGGGCGTTAAGAATAGGGGGAAGGGACTCGGAGTCGAACTGAACGTCGACGACGGCACTGAAAGATGATTATCAGTAATTGATCGAAATGGTGATAAAAAGAGATTGACGAACCCAATGATGGTCTTGACCTTACCGGCACTGACGGCCTTGGTCTCGGTGGCCATGGAGCGGGCTGCAATTGCTCGTTAGCATTGGATCAATGACAAGCTCTCTTCCATCTCCTCGAGGGTCGTGATGACGCCACGACAGAACGGGAAGAACGGGGCGAGAACGTACTCAAACGAGCATTGGCCTGGACGACCTTGATGGCCTGGGCACCAGTCCTGATGGCTCCGCGAGCAATCTGCATTTTTGTGATGTGTGGGTGGAGAGGGTTCGTGGTGGATCAAGAACTCGTCAGCGCCTGAGGATTTTCTGCGAGCACCGCGCCGCGGGCCAAAGGGGGAACTCGGGCATGACGAATGCATTCGTGGAAAGGTAGAGAATAGAAGAACAGCTAGTATTACTGCTATTGGACACAGATGGTATATATGGTATCATTGATCCCGTCCGACCCCCCCTCACCCCAACCAACCCCAGGCCCATCTCATGTGCTCAGGCCTGGGCCCGATCCGAGCCGTGGTCCCCCACCTTCATCTAGCATTGGGGACGCTTAACCAAACAGCTTCCACCACACACGCCGCAACCAATGCGACAAACGTAATCTTCCAATACATTCTATTCTGAATGTTCCAAATCCATGGTTCATCAATTGCCTTCTCCCTCTCAAAGATTGCTTGGCTGCCCAAACTTGGGCGACGTGCTGTCGAAGGCAAAACAGCCGAAGTAATGGACCCCGAACGTTGTGGCATTGACAGAGGAGTAGCTTCGTCATCCTCTGCGAGTTCCCATGGGTAGAGCTGTCTTGCACGACGCCCATACACCTGTCAATCCAGGGTTAGCTACTGCAATGAACTTCTTTCGCTCAATTATCCCCATACATACCTGAAAACAGAGTCCCTTCCATGCTCCATATACTTCCATGATACCAAACAACGTAAAAGGAACGGCGATACACCTATATCCTCGCGCTAACCCTACCAAGATACACACCAGGTTGATGACTAAGGAGATGATAGAGTTCACAGTTCCAACACCATAATGCCACCAAATCTTCTTCGGGCCAACGTTGACCGTAGCAAATTTGAGAAATCCAGGTAGCGATGATGTGTGCATCATATCATAGCAGCACACGCTTGCCTCGGCGAAGATGGTTGGGTGCGTCGACCCTCTCGCGTGGGACACGATTGCACGACGGAGGGATGACGGGATGTTGAGCTCCATTTCTCCTCCAGGAGTAAAGAAATAGGCGATGACTTTGTCTATCTCACTCCTGAACGGTTGGAACCTCGTATCCATACCTGTACCGGAAGCCGCCTGTACTCCCACCAATAAAGGACGGCTGGGTGTCGTCGGCGGAGATGGATAGACATCACTGGCTGTGAGAGCCGTCCCAGGCCGGTCATGTGCCGATGAAGGCGGGATCAAGGTCTGAGACGTACGTTTTCCCGTCAATTGGGGTACCGCTATCCTGCTCCTTCTCTTCTCTTCAACTCCACCCTCTGGCACCGGCGAACTCCTCGCCTGTTCTTCCGCACTCAATTTCTCCCATCGTTTCTTATAAGCCCGGAGCCAATTGTAAAACAGTAGGTTCTCCGCGCTGTGTTCCTTATGCACCAGATAGGCTTCGAAATCTCCGCAGGACATAGGGGAGCATCGCGTATTGTCCAGAAGCTGGTCAAGGCGAGGTGGTTCGGGTTTGCGTCGGAAAATCTCGAGAGGGTTACCGGCGTTCTCGAGTGGATTGACTCCTGGGGGCAGGCAAGAACGTGACTTTGTCTTTGCGGGTGTGGCCGTGGTGGAGTCGCCGGAACCCACATACTCAAGGTCTGGCACAGGCGCACTCATTGGTCGTAACGTCGTGAACTGGACGTGGAGGGTGACAGTTGGACTTGATCGATCGCCTTCTCGGCTCAGGGCGGGATGAATGCTTCTACAGCCAGTTTGCGACCGTATGCGATTGTGCGGCCGGCGGTGGTGTATCTGCGGCTTCCGCGTTGCGCACAACGCCTGACTGAGTACCGCGGCCGCACCGGATTCCGACTTATTGCGGATGCAGATGCCAAATCTACGTGTGAGGCTAAGGCCTAGGGTGACCTTCGAGAAGGGTGTTTCTGATAGCATAGCCCAACTGCTACGAGCGAGATCTGGATCGGTTCAGTGTTCAGTGTGCAGAAGTTATCATATTATATCGTAGTACCGTACATCTCCTCGGCTGTTGCGGTTCTTCCCTCACTGGTACCTCTAAACCCGTCTCCCTCTATCCCCTTGTGTTTTCTCATACCGCCGCCGAACCATCCTCGTCGCGCACCAAGAGTCCCTTGCCTGTAAGATAAGACTTGACATCACCAATGGGAACCTCTCTCCTGTGGAAAATACCCGCAGCCAACCCAGCATCCGCACCCGCCTGGTTGAAAACCTCCTCAAAGTGCTCGGGCTTACCAGCACCACTGGAGGCAATGACAGGGATCCGTACGGCGTCCTTGACATCCTTCACCAAAGCCAAGTCGAAACCAGAGTTCGTTCCGTCCTTGTCCATGCAGTTAAGCAAGATCTCACCGGCACCCATTGCCTCGACGGCAGTGACGAGTTGTCGGACGTCGACATCACGTCCTTCACGGCCACCCTTGATCGTGCACTGGTACCATGCCCACTCCTCACCGTTGGGTCCCTTGTCTTGAGGCTGGATACAGTGGTGGGTAGTCTCGCTGGGGTCCTTCACGTACACACGCTTAGGGTCGACGGACACAACCACGGCCTGAACACCGTATGCCCGTGCAATGCTCTCAATAGCAGTGGTTCCGTCCAGCTTCTTTCCGCGAGCGTAATACTGTTCTGCTGCCAAGACAGAGTCTGATCCAATAGAAACCTTGTCGGCACCAGACTTGAAGTACAGTTCTGCGACCTCGACGGCAGGGTGGAAAGTACCATCAGGATCAGTGATATCACGGATACCACCACCAATGGTCAGAGGTACGAAAACAGTCTCGGACGTCTTACGGAGAACCTCGAGCATAGGGGTGTCGGCCAAAGGCGTATCGCGGAAGGAGGTAATGTTCAAGAAGGTAACCTCATCAGCCCCATCCTGGTAGTAGCGCTTGGCAAGCTCGACGGGCTTACCGAGGTTACGGACCTCACCACCCTCAGTCTTCTCTCGTACATCATACTGATCACCCTTCGTCACGACCAGATCACCAGCATCGTTTGCTCGTACATCAAGACATGCGATGATACGCTTAGTCAATCCTCCCTCACTGTTTTCGTTGATCTCAGTGGCATTCCCAGAGATACTGCTCAACCCGTTACCCTCCAAGAACGCCTTCAATGTTCTCAATCCAGCAACACCACTCTTCTCGGGGTGGAACTGGGTAGCGTAAAGGTTGCCCTTAGCCACAGCGCCGATGAACTGCTCGTTTCCGTACGATCCAGTAGCAACATCCCATCCCTCCCACTCAGATTCCCGGTAAGGAACGGCATATGAGTGGACGTAGTAGTACTTGCTGTGAGGTCTCAGGCCGTAGACAGAGCGATTGGTCTTGCTCCGCACAGCAGCACTGTTCCATCCGATGTGAGGCACAGGCTTATCTGCACTGTCGAACTTCTTGGCCTTTCCTGGGATGAAACCCAATCCTGGTACGGACTCGCTCTCCTCCGATCCCTCGAACAACACCTGCAAACCGACACAGATACCCATGAATGGCCTGTCCGCCTTGATATACCTGCGAACAGCGTCCGCGTATCCCTTCTTCTCAAGCGTTTGCATCACATGTCCGAAGTTACCGACACCGGGAAAGAGAATGCGCTCTGCGTTATCGATGTCCTCTGCGGACTTGATCCATTCGAGCTTGTGGCCGAGGGACTCGACGGCATTGACGAGGGAGCGGATATTACCGGCTCCGAGATCGAGCAAGTGAATCGTCATTTTTGAACTGTTTATCGTGCTCAAAGATGCGTCTGATATCCGAACTTTGTTTCGCCGCGCCCGCAGCTGCCGTACGTCTTGACTCTTCTGTCAGGGAGATGAGGTCGGAGGGGATCCTCCTCAGATCACCAGGACAAGGCGGATGATATTGCTTTTAACATCTTTTGAGCAAGTTAGACCCCATTAAACCCTGTAAACGCGTCACTCCAACTGCCGGCTTTGCACGCCGGCGCAGGACAACCATCCCCGGAACAACCCCATAACGGTACCTCAGCCCGTATCGGTAACATACTTCTTGTCGGTTTGGCACGCTCAAGGCGCCATGGTGAACCAGTCGCCAGCACCTCCCAGTAACAGGGTCAGTACTCCCGTCAACGGCGCAAACGGAGCGACAAATTCCCCGGCGGTATCTGGTGTCGCAGGGACGCCAACCGCGAACAACAAGCCTGCGAGGCCGAAACCGAGGGTTGACGTGGAGTCGTTGGTGAATCAACTACAGACGTCGCTGGGCGAAGGATGGCAGCAGTATACGAAGACCGTGACGGACTTTATTACCGGGAAGGCGATACGTCCGGAGTTCGATCAGCAGATATGCGAACTTTTGGATAAGAAGCAGATCAAGTTGCATAACGAGATCATGATGGCGAATTTGGCGAATGTGATACGAGATGTACCGCCTATGACGGGGAATCATCCGACGGAGTGGAGCAAGAAAAGGAAGGAACCGCCGAGGAATAATGGTGGGAAAGGGGATGCCAAGTCCAAGCGGCTCAAGGAGGAGATCATGAGCTTGCCTCCGAGGGAACGACATCGTATCAGAGCGATCGGAAGAGTACGCGGCCAGGAGACACGCTCTTCGTGATATATGCTTACCGTCTCACAGGATGCACAACGACGACCGACGCCGCTTCCAAGTACGCTGTGGGAATCACGACAGGCGAAGGTGCCTAAGGTTCCCCAGACGAGAGATAAGCTTGGCACAGACACCACTTTCGCGCATGATATTCAACAGGGTTTTCAGGCCCCACTTGCGGCCGACGCGCTCGAAATCCCGGATCAAAACAACCTGAAGGACCGCGTTCAAGGTATCGCGCTGCAGCATGGATTACTAGGGGGCGTCGCAAAAGGCGTTCCGCAGGTTTTGTTGGCGGGTTTAGAGGTTTGTGATACTTTACATGACAATGAGGATCGCGCTGAAGCTTACACTTGAAGCGTCCAGAACCACCTGAAGGCAGTACTCGAGAGCACGATCACCCGAGTGAGAAAAACGCAGATGGACGGTGCACCATTACCTGAGGCCGCAGCTTCGGGATCTAGTAACTCTGGATCCGGATCGCGTCCATCGACTACTGCTGGCGAGCAGGAACTGCCGGCAGGGTCTGCAATCACGGTGGACGAACTGACGCTGTCCCTGGATTTGTACCCTGAGACACTTATTGAGGGATATCCCACGTTCGAGAGGATTAAGAGTGTGACTTTGGGAGACGCATACGCGTCATTGACACCGCCTCAGTCCGATGGTGATGAAGATCCCCGGAAGAAGATCGTTAGGGATGCGTATGAATTGGATGCAGCAGTGAAGCGTGATCCGACCTTGAAGGAAAGGATGGAATTGGCAGGCATATTGGATGAGATTCTGGCGTAATAAGACGGGAAGGAGGGAAAGAAGGGGAACAGGAACGGTACTTGCAATTGAACGGGGAGCACTTTTACGGAGTTTTTGGAGTTCTTGATGCACCTTGATTGCTCTAGCGACGGCGGTAAGGTTACGGGGTATAATTGAATTGCAATTCAAATTGAGTGAAATCAGAGAGTTGGTGGTGTGATGTCACCGCCGTCATCGCGCACCTCAGCCCGCGGAACCTGCTCAAGTGGCCCGCCGGTGACGTTGCGCGTGTTGATCCTTGGCAGCACGAAGCATATAAGGAGTCCATCCCTGCCCTCCTCCGACTCCCCATCAAGTCAACCAGACAAACAAATACCACTACCACTACTACTACAAAATGTCCGCCATCCAGCAGAACACCGCCGCCAACACCACCGACGTTTGCGAGGAGGTCAAGCCCGCCGTCGTCCACGAGACCGTCCAGCGCTCCGAGCGTGAGGAGGTCACTGAGGCCATTGACCGCGAGCACCACATCCAGCACTACCAGCAGCGTGTCCAGCCCATTGCTGACCGTCAGGTCGAGGCTGAGGTTCACATCCAGAATGTCGTCCCCGTCACTGAGCGCCGTGTGGAGGCCGAGATGGCTCCTGAGGCTGCCCGTGCCCTCGAGGCGCAGCAGGCTGCTTTCCACGACGAGCGTACCGTCCTCCCTACCCAGCGCGTCCAGGTAAATGCCGGTGCCGTCGCTACTGAGCACACCCACCACCACGTTCAGGAGGTTATCCAGCCCGTCATTGAGCGCGAGACCATCCAGAACAAGGTCATCGAGACCACCGTCCCCATTCACGAGACCATCCAGGAGGCTCCTGTCGTCCACAAGCCCACCGTCCAGCCCACCATGACCATGGAGGAGTTCAAGGCTGCTGGTGGTTCCCTCGAGGGCCGAGGTGAGGTCTGCCAGACCTTCACCGGCGAGGTCCCCCGCGTTGAGCCCAACGGTGGTGCCGAGAACAAGCTTCCCCACCACGGTATCCACGGTTCTTCCACCACTACCGACCGCGTGTAAGGAGTTGAGTTTTGTTGTTGCGATTGAGGATGGAATAATGGTATGAGTTGGGGCGATGGGAAGGTTTTTCCGGGAAAGTGAAGCTTTTGTACGATTATGAATACCACTATAGAATAGGGCACCCCTTCGGACTCTGGTTTAGTCCGACTTTAATGGAGTATTATTGTATCCTATGTCTTTTGTTCATCGTCGCGATGGAATGCCATCCAGTACCATCTCGGAACCCGTTGTAACCCTGCCCGGTATCAGTGAACAATGGTGGTGAGCGAACCAGGTGGGCCACAGGAGTTCGCGAAGACGATGAATGGTTCACCGCTGCCACCGAGATATTGAACATTTCATGCCCATCGCAGTTTGGGGTCGATTCCGAGCACGTCGCCTTCACTGATCCGCGCATCGAGTCGTGATGTCATCCATCTCCAACTTAGACTTCGAACCAAAAACAAAGCAGTACTTGAAGCACCTAATTCCCTTCGAACACCAAACAACCATCAATTGACCTCGAAACGAACAATGTGCCTTCGAGAAGTCCTCAACGACCACATCCCCGTCACCGGTACTGACGGCCCCCAGCCGGAGGAGACAATCGGATTCAACCTCAACCATCTCTGCATCCGTATCCGGGATCCGGAGGTTTCGCTGAAGTTTTATCGTGATGTACTTGGGCTTAGGAGGATTTTCACTGTTGATGGGAATGCGTATACGGTGTACTACCTTGGGTATCCGAAGGATGCGGGAAAGCACCAGAGTGGAGAGGAGTTGTTGAATGAACGTTTACATCGGTCTGGGTTGCTTGAGTTGATTCATGTTCATGTATGTACAAGCTTGCCACCTGCAGTAAACGTAGCTGACAATGGTACAGGGCTCTGAGAACGACAATTGGCCAGCATACACCCAGGACCACCCATACCGTCGCGGATTCTGTCACATCGGTATCACCGTTCCCGACATGCACGCCGCCATGGCACGTATGAAGGAGCACAATGTCAAGATCATCAAGGACATTGGCGAGCTCCCTACGTCGAAGATGTTTGGGTTGAAGGGTGCGGATGAGGGAGGAGTCGAGCTCGAACCGAGGTTTGCGGAGCCTGTGAGGAGGATTGCATTTGTTGAGGTAAGCAAAATCGAGGGTATTTTCCCGGGACGCACTCTAACTAGCTTTTAGGATCCCGATGGTTACTGGATTGAGTTGGTCCCCAACCACTCCGATGCTGCATTGAGGAAGCAGTAGACAATAGTTACAGGATGGAGGGGGCGTGAGAAGGAGATGAAGACGGAAGAAGACATTGCATTGGCATTGATTAGACCTCCATCACCGATCGAGTGGATTGTAACAAGGAGCATAATATTCAAATCAAATCATAACCAAAACTACCCCAGGGTATCATTATAAGACCTAGTACTAGCAAGATATCCATCCGTCCAGATTAATCGTACATCACACATCAAACTACTCCCTCGAGTTCATCCTCTCAACATGTGCCATCTCCATCTTCCCAATAGAAGCCATTTCAACATCACCATCCTTCAAGCTATTCTCACCACCCGCACCAGCAACCTTTGCCTCATCCCTAATATTGACGGTATTCTCGAACGCAGCACCGCGGTATTCAGGAGAAATCGCCGTCATGATAATCACAAACGCAAAAACACACCCAGCGAACAAAGCCTGGACTTTACCGTAGTTGGGGACGGCCTTGCCGTTGAGGGTGGTTTGGATGTGCTCGCCGAGACGGGCCTCGATGGTTGAGGAGGCGGAGGAAGCGGCGTTACCGAGTTGGTAGGAGATACCCACGAACGCGGCACGGAGGGAGAAGGAGGGTGAGATCTCGTTGAGGTGGACGGGGATGACGCCCCATGCACCCTGAACACAGAATTGGAGCCAGAATGCCCCGACGGCGAGGACGCGCCAGTCTTTGGGGAGGAACCAGAGGGGGATGAGTGCGCCTCCGCAGACACAGAGAACGATGATGGTGAGACGACGTCCGAAGGCTTGGGAGTAGTATCCTGCAAAGGTGCCACCGACGATAGCCCCGAAGTTGAAGATGCATGTGACGGCGGTGACGATATCGGGGGAGTACCCAAGTTGGACTTTGAGGAAGGTGGGGTAAAGGTCTTGGGTACCGTGGGACATGAAGTTGAATCCGGCCATGAGGAGGACGGCGTGGATGAGACGGATCCAGTGGTTCTTGAAGACGTATTTGAGTTCGGCGGAGAAGGCTTTTCCGCGTTCTTCGGAGGTTGGGATGTGTGCGCCCATCTCGACAAGCTTGTCGCGCTTGATCTTGTCTTCGTCGGGGAGCCAGGCGCGGAAGATGGCCACCAAAATAGCAGGACCGATGGAGAACCAGAAGATTGCGCGCCAGCCGTGGGGGGAGTTATCCACGATAGCGAGGTTGAGGGCGGCGGCGATGAGGTATCCCATTGCGTAGCCTTGTTGAAGAATTCCGGAAAACAAACCACGGCATTCGTGTGGGAGGTTCTCGAGGGCGACGGAGGCGGCACAGCCGTAGATTCCGCCGAGAGCGATTCCGTAGAGGGAGCGGATTGCGAGGAATGCGGAGAAGGATTTGCAGAAACCGGTGGCCATGGAAAGGAGGCCGAACAACACGATGTCGACGACCATGGGCCATTTGCGGCCCCACCTGTCTCCGGCGAGACCGAAGATGATGGCACCGACGGAACGGAACAACAAGGTCAAAGTGATGGCAAGCGTGATATCAGAGTTGGACTTGTTGAACGTCTTTGCGATCGAAGAGACATTGAGTGACACGGCGAAGAAATCGAAAGCATCGGCAGTCCAGGCCAACCACGAGGCGAGGAAAGTCAAGTACTGGGCCTTTGTGGGTTTAGCCAAGAGGGTGATTGGGTTCGCCGGCCATGATCTGGGAGCGTTGACAGGTTGCGGTGGGTGGTTGTCAGCGGTGACAGCCGGGTCGACGTCGTACTTGGACATGCCGGGATGATCTACAGGCTACAGGCTACGAGAACAGCGGACACATGTCCTTATAAGAAATGAGATCAGCCCCCCTCCCGGCAATTGCAATTCTCCACACGGTCAAGCGGGGAGTCGCGTATTTCCCCGGATCACCCGCTTGAACTAAGCTAAATAGCCGCTAGCCAATCACATCGCCTGATTAGTGCTCGGCTAATTGCCCTTCTAACCCTAGTCTACTCTTCCATCTCTGCAATTCTAACCCTTCTAATTGGAGTCAACCTCAACACCCCACTCGCCGTTCACGTCCCATCGGGATCCTCCTGCTGCTCGGGACACGTACTTGATGAACCTCAACGTTCCTTCATCGCGGAGAACCACCAGGAACTTGTTCCATCCTGCCACTTCTTCAACCAAAATCCCGCCGTCGTCGTCTTCGTTCTCCGCCGCAGCTTTGTAAATAGCCGGATCATCGTCTGCTTCGTCTCCGGTAGCCATGTAGATTTCGTACCCACCCACTTCACCTTCCTCGAATTTTGCCGATGGCGACAAACACAAAGTAGAGCACAACGTGGGGTTGGGGTGGACGTGAGGGGTGGCCAACGTGTAATCATGTCCGGGACGGAATCGTCTTGCGAGGACACACTCGGAGATGGGAAAGTAGGACGTGCACATCGCCAACCACTTTCGGAACTCCTTGCTTCCGTAGAGTTCAGTGCTGAGCTCTCCCATGGGTGTAGAAGCATCTTCGGTAAACAAGTAGCGGTGCTTGTGCGGTGGGACGGCGACCTTCCATTCCGAGGGGACGTCATTAGAGTGCTGCGGGACAGCCTGGTCGGCTTCCTCAAGCTTGGCCTTAAGGTCCTCGGCGTATTCCTTGTTGAGGAAAGATTGAATAGACAGCTTGCATTCATCCTCGAAAACTCCACGCAACTGTTTCATCGACTCGGGCTTCAACAAGACCGGGTTCATGTACTTGCCGAGGTACTCCCTCTCCGCATCAGTCAACTCGCACTTTTCGCTCTCCTCGTCATCGATCTTCTCCTCTTCGGACACAGCCTTGAGCTCGAGGCGAGGATGATCGAGTTCATCGCCTTCACCTTGCAGTTGCTCCAACGTCGACTTGAGCTTGTCCTCCTCCTCCTGGTTCTCGCCGTATCCAGGCTCGCCCTCCTGAGGAACGTGGAACCAGCCACTAATCGACATCCTAGGCTTTCCCTCCACACATACTTCTTCGACATCGTGGAACGACCGACCAGGCTGGACGGTAAACATGCAGAGCTGATTCCATTCGGGTGGGATGACGAGCGTGGGATCAGCAGCAGGGAAGCCAGGCTTCAAGGTCGGGTATAGACGGAGTGCGCCTCCCCATTCGGGCTTCCAACCCTTTTCGACGAGGTAGAGGATGTACGAGACGCGACGGGTACCGATGACGTCGTCGTGGTTCAGCAAGTGTGATCCATGAGTGTACGTGTTAATCGACATATCCGTCTTCGTCCCACTCAGCGGCCCACACTGCGTAACCTTCTGAATATACTCCCGAAACAGCGGAGAATACATCGCATCGCGTAATCGTCCAAGATTGGCGAGTTTAGCCTTTTCGTCATCGGGGAGTCCGGAGAGGTTTGCGAGGTCTCCGGTTTGGTTCACCTTGTAAATATCTGTTTCTTTGGAGGTGAAGACAAGGTTTTCTTCGATTTCGCGTTTGACGGCGGAGAGGAGGTCGTCGCTGATCAGGTTGGAGATTTTGCAGTGTTTGTAGGGGGAGGATACGGCGTATGCGTCACGGAGCTCGTTCTGCGTCTCCTCCTTCAACGTTTGCGGACCGAACGCTGAAGCGTAGCCGTCGTCCTCGGCTGAAACAGGAGCATTGGTACGCTGCTTCTTCTTGAGGGGCCCGTCTTCAATGGACATGGTTGATGCTGGATCGTCTACTCTTTGCTCCTCTCGACTCGGCATTCCCAAAAATCAGTGATCCGTTGAGGCGCAGTGCGTGTGGCGTGCACATAAGGTGTAGGACCCTTGAATACCTACCGGAAAAGGTTTATATCCCTCACGAACGTTCTTCACTGTTGCAATTGTACAGCCAGACATCATCAAGCTGGCGTCTTCTATTACCTCCACGATTCTGCACCTCTTCAAGTTGTCTGAAGTTTACTAACACCGGCTAATCGGCTTGCATCGTCATGCCGAATCTTGATGTGTCCGAGTTCAATATTGTTTGTTCCGTGCTGGGCGCTTTCATTGTTGTTTTTGGATTGTGTTCTTACGTTGTCAAGGAACGGGCTTTCGTGAGTGAGGCTCTTGTTGCCTTGTTGATTGGTGTTGCGTTTGGACCGATCGGGTCGGGGTGGATTGAGCCGGAGCGGTTTGGCGATGGGAATGCTGATGTTAAGAAGATTACCTTGGTTTGTCCAGATGAGAGCCCCCCCCTCAGATCATAGGGCTAACTGGAAATACAGGCATTCACTCGACTCGTCATCGGTGTTCAATTGGTCTTGGCAGGTGTGGAGTTGCCGTCCAAGTACATTTGGCGTGAGAGGTGGTCGTTGTTCGTGCTCTTGATTCCCATCATGACTACGATGTGGGTTATTTCGGCACTGTTCGTGTACCTATTGATTCCGAACCTTCACTATATCGAAGCTTTGGTTATCGCTGCGTGCGGTATGTGATGTCGTACATCCGGTGTTGACCCTCTTGACTGACAATACATACAGTCACCCCAACGGACCCTATCTTGGCAAACTCGATCGTTCGTGGTCGCTTTGCCGAAAAGTATGTCGCCCCCCACCTCCGTAACATCATCTCCGCCGAGTCCGGTGCCAACGACGGTTTCGGCTACCCCTTCCTCTTCCTCGCCACGTACCTCATCAAGTATGACTCCGGCAAGGCAATCGGCATGTGGTTCTACGAAACTTGGTGCTACAACATTTTGTTGTCCTGCGCATATGGTACCGTAATCGGATGGCTCGCAAAGGAAGTGCTTCATTTTAGTGAGAAAAAGTCGGAACCCATATTATTGGATCCACCTCCTGGTTTGGATCTATCCTACAAGTGTATGGCTCAAGCTAATCAAGTCCTCTGCTGGGGGGAGTAGGAAGTATATCGACAAGGAGTCATTTCTTGTGTTTGCCATCGCGCTTGCGTTGTTTACGTTTGGGACGGCTGGGTTGTTCGGAACTGACGACCTTCTTGCTTGTTTCGTAGCCGGAAGTATGTTGCACTACTCTTCTCGTTGGTATACGTGCTAACATATGGATAGACGTCTTTACGTGGGATGACTGGTTCCGTATTGAAACAGAAAAGGAGCACCTTCAGTCGACAATCGACATGTTGCTCAACATCTCGATTTTTGTCTATTTGGGTGCGATCATGCCGTGGTCCGATTTCAACAACCATGAAATTGGCACATCGGTCTGGCGCTTAATCGTCATGGGTATTTGTGTTTTGATCGCAAGACGTCTGCCCATCGTCTTAGCTCTTTACAAGTTCATGCCTACGACGATCAAGAATTTTAGGGAGGCGATGTTTGCTGGGTTCTTCGGGCCTATCGGCGTTGGTGCTGTATTCTACGCAGCCATCGCTTATGAGCAGTTTGAAGAATCTAAAGACGAGAGACAACATCGTTTGGCCGAGTTGGTCATCCCTGTCGTCTACTTCTTGGCCTTGTCGTCTATCGTAGTGCACGGCGTCACGATTCCAATCATCAAGCTTGGTCAGAGAATCCCCATCAGCAGTCTCGATTTCCGATCGATTTCCATCAGTCGCCCATCAACTTCGGCACCGAAGAACGACAGCGCCTTTGCGCGCATGAAGATTTTCAAGCCGGCAGACGTCGATGCTCGCCTGCAGGAAATGAAGGATCTTGAGGCCCGGGGAGTTCCGCCTCCTATGTTTGATCCCAAAGACGGCCCGGAGGAGGTTGCCCGGTCCGTTGGCTCGCAGTCTACCAACGATGAGAGTTCTGTTGATGCGTTCGCGGGTCGTGGACGTAGGATCACCATTCAGGATCCGAGAGATATGGCTGCCTTGGAGGATCAGAATAGGAAGGAGTCTGAAGTTGCCTTTCAGGAGGGTAATGATATCATTGTGGAGGACAGAGATGGATTCCATCAACGTGTCTACCATATGTAGGGGGGAGGAAGACTGGAGCGTGAGGAGTGAGAAGAGGAAGAACGAGACGAATCACCTGTATTATACCTTAATACACTCTGTATTTACCCATCGGCCTCGGTACCGAACTCCGGGCCTTATCTCGTCTTCTATGTCGGTCCGCCCCCACACTGACGTTTGCTTATCTCCCAGCCGACGCGCCGAAGCCTCCACAAAGCGGACCATGCGCCGAGATGATGGCAACCGCCGAGCCTTCCATAACACGGATGTCGCTGTGACGATGACTCTTATACCAACCACCATCACTGACAGAGCTGTTTACGACAGCATTCACTCCACTTCACCACCATGTCGTTAGCTGACGTTGCACGAACACTCCCTTCTCGGTGCCCTTCATGGGGTTCGCCTATCGATTACGCGTCGCATATCAACATGGAGCCCCTGGTGCGGTGGGTACATGCGCTCACGGGTGAATGCGTGTACGGGAATAGAGCTGCCTTGAGTTGGGCGTTAGGTAAGTCGATTGTTGTAGCAGAGTTCGCACGTTCTAACACGAGATAAAGGGGTACTTTCGCTGCTATCATGGCTATTCGCGCAGACACCACAGATCTACAGCAACTATAATGCACCGCATACAACCCACTTGGCTATTTCGCCTCTCTTATTACTATCCTGGACGCTTGGAGACGCATTCAACCTCATGGGATGCATCTTTAGCGGACAAGCTTTGCCTTTCCAGAAGTCGCTCGCCAGTTGGTATGTGCTTGTTGACGCCGTCCTTTGCGGGCAGTGGCTGTATGGGAGGTGGTTCCATGGATATACTGTGATTGAAGGCGTGGATTCATCCGATGTGGAGTATGAGGAGGAAGAGGGGGAGGCTGTTGCTCCCGATGGTCACAAGCCTCCTAATAGACCGGGAACTACACGAAGCGCCCGAAGTACACGAAGCATTCTTTCAGTTCACAGGCTCAGTTCGGTAGTTATCCTGGCTTTTGCCGTATTTGCTGGAGCTACGGATAGCTCTGCTACTACAACAACACTCGACGCCCCTGGCGAGGACACTCTCGCAGCTTCTTTTGCCTGGATTTGCACTGTGTTCTATCTATCATCACGTATTCCTCAGATCATTCGCAATACCGAACGTCGCTCAACAACCGGCCTGAGTCCTTTTCTGTTCTTGATGGCCCTTTTCGGTAACATGTTCTACACCTCGTCAATTCTCGCCAGCCCCTATGTTGCTGCTGGAGGAGAGGTGAGAAGAGAGTTCCTGATTGGAGAGTTGCCCTTCCTTATTGGAAGTGCTGGCTGTGTGGGGTTTGACGCATGGATTCTTGGACAGTGGCTTGTGTGGGATAAACAGTTCAAGGTGGTGCTGGAGAAGAGAGGGACTAGAGTTGAGAGTTCAGAGTACAGGCCTTTGATGGAGAGTAGATCGGAGTCGTACGGGTCTGTTTGAACAGTACTCGGAGGGAAAGCTAGAATTCGCAGAGGATGGGATGAGTGGGATACAAGAGTATAGACACTACGAGCGAGTACATTACTTGGCTACGTTAGACCTCCATAATCCACCTGATCAATTGCTTCTGAAGGCAAACAAGTTTTTACACGCTCTCCTCCAACGGCGGCATGAACTTCGAATTCCTCCGGGTCGCTGCATGTGGCTGCCAGTGCGGCCCGACGTCTCGGCAGAACACTTAAATACAGTCCATACTCCAACTCCGTTTTGCCAGCTGTCACCGAACTTCACTGACCGGTGTTACCAACCATGCCAAACGAATCGACGATTAAGAAGCTCCCTAACGAGCTTGTCACCGAGGTGGCTCTGTACCTGTCGGCGGCTGACCTTCTCAGTCTCGGAAGCACTTGTCGGGCAATGAGGGCTTTTGTCCGGGATGCAGACCTTTGGACGGTGAAAATAAAACGGGACTTTGGATGTGAGGGGCTTGAGTTCCAATGGGAGCAGAGTGATGACGGGGCGTATTCTTCAAGAGAGCGCCAAAGGAAGTATATGAAGCTGGAGGAGGGTGAGTGGATGAGCAGCTGCGCTGAGTGGGATTGCGCTTGGCTTAATGAAGGTAGCCAAAAATGGTATCTTGAAATGCTCGCTAGAAGCTAACACTTTGAATAGGCAATGGTCACTACTGGCGAATCGAGCATAATCCACGGAGTCCATTCGGTCGCTCTCTCAATCTCGGACATCGCTGGGTGTTTTGGCTCCATGCTCACACACGTCTCCGGATTCCTCCAGGTCGTTACGAAGTATCGTTTGGATTACAAGTTGTGCAGCCAAATCCTATGTTACGCTTCGTCTCATTCAAAATACAGGAAAAGCCCCCCGTCTCCGAGACTTTAGACGGAGAAGCTCAGATGTATGCGGATGAGATGATACGGTTCCCAATGGCAGAGGTTCAGTCAACGTATCTCAGGGCCCTATCAACTCCTGACTTTAGGGAAGTTACATGGCAATCGACGTTTCTGGTTCGAGGGTCTTCGGAGAAGGGCAAGGAATGGGGTGAAGTCGAGGTGGAGATCAAGGATACCAGCGACATGCCTAAGACCGGTGTCAACCTCGATTACGTGAAATTCAAGAGAGTGCATGTGGATGAGGATACAATAGATCCCGTCGCAGAAGGCGTGAATGAGCGGCCAATCATTCGAGATTATCCCAGACGTCGTCGGCGCGGAGACAGGACTCCCGAAGAGCCTGGATTGAAAAGCCTTTTTACTGGATTTTTCAGCAGGATTGGACACGGTTTATTCTAGAGTACAGCTCACAATCAGCATTGCTCTTCATCACGTCATCGATATAAGGTTCGCGACCCTGCATGAAGCGGCGGGACGCACAGCTGACCGTCGTCCTCTCCAACAAACATCATCGTCGAGCAAACAGCACGATGCTGTGCGATTAAGACGGTTGAGATTGCAATGATCCATCGAGATACAGAAGATCTGCGAACTATGACGCAACCCCTGCTAAGTACGGAGCAGCTGGTCGAGATTCGTGCTCGTCAACGGACGTTCGAAAACGCTTATGTCCGTACGGCGCTAGGAGAGTTCTCTTTCGGTTCGATGGTCTTCTGTTCTCCTCAGGATCTTCTGCTTATGTGGAGATAGCTCTTGTGATTCTTCGCATTTTCTCAAAGGAGTTCTATACAATAGGTGCTTTATATACCTGTAAGTCACTACCCTCTAGCCATACTGCAACGAATGCTTACATGAAGGTTGCAGTCTCAGGGTTCGTTTCCGTGCCTTCCTAGCTCTGGTTGTGGTCCCTAATGGCCATCTAGGTTCATCGTTCTAACTGCAGCCCTGTTTCGGCGAGGACGAAGTAATAGGGAATTCTTCGGGCCAGAGCAAGCAAAGCACTTTCGCACGAGCGGTGATGTTGTTCTCATGCTTAGTGCGCTTTACGGATGCTTGTACATAGGCAAGTTCGCGTGTTTTTGTCCGACAGTACGACAACTAACGTCCTACTAGCGCTTTTCGTCCTGATCTTGAGACTGTAGAATGTCACTTGTGGACAGTTAGTGTTAGTGTTCTCTCTCGCAAGGCACTCCCTTTACATGCACAGAACACGATACCAGGTTTGGGCATGCATCAGTACAGCTTTACTTACCTTTGTAATATGTGTTTTGGACTAGCATACATGAATTGCAGGAACCCTGGCGCTTACATGTACATGTGTTGTCAAGTCCCGAGCAGTTATCGAATTTGCCGGGAATTGATTTCCATAATCCCTCATGAAGGGGTGAACATGGTACATTAAACCCAAATCTGCCTAAGCAAACGCGTAATCCATGACAACGTGGGTTCATCTGGGATTAGTCATGAATTACGCAATCCGGCATGAATTATTATCGTTTCAGAAATCCCAGACAAAATCATGCATTACAATCCTAGACAAAATCAGAGAATATTGCCAATGCAGCAAAATACCTCAGGAAATCTTGGAGATAGTACATATTCACTGGAAAATCGAATGCTTCCTATACAGACACATTGTTATGTACTTGACCGAGAGGGGCCTCCTGCTATATATGTATAGACATGTCAACATGAGCCAGAGGGCCCCACCACTTCGGATATTTACAAAAATTCTAAGTCTCTACATGTATCCATCAGCAGCGAAGGTCAAGAAGGCCAGGCATAGAAGACATTTCCTTGTACATGACTGAGCAATTGCCAACGTGTTGAGTCATAGGGCCATGTTCAATGCTATTGTAGCCATTAGAATACCCAAAATCAATATCCTTACCTGGTGATCTTGCTCTTTTCGCTTAGCACTCCTGCTAACTCACCCATACTATTTCACATTTTTTCAGGACTCTCACGAGGATACTGCTTGACACAATCTAGGATTAGGCCCGATCTCGTCATGGCTTGTTCGGGATCAGATCGTGAATTATACCGATTTGTGTCCTGAATTATTCTGGATTATGCCGTATCAAATTGTGAATTAAGTCGATCCATATAGTGGTCTGGGTCCATATTCAGAATATGCATATCCAGAATATGACCATGCAGTTTCATTAAACCTGACCTAGTAATCCAAGTTTTTTGCATTCGTAGGGCTAGATTACACAAGCGCGCTCTTATGAGTTACACAAGCAGGTATGTGGGATCCACGAGCGCTGTACATTACAAGAGTCTCCAAGAATGCAGGATGTGGGACACTCCTGGATAACCTGACGTCGAGGGTGCCTAGTTCACCTGCACGACGTCGGCACAGGATTCTTGGCAGTAAACGCCGGTTTGACTGAGCATAAATGTCTAACAAGGACCTCTTCGTCGGTCATTTTGTTCAATTCTGACAATTGCGGCAGGTTCATCGCCGAGTCCGTGTTGCTGTTACGAGATGACGCGAAAATCTTGTGCGTGCAAGTACAGGCTTCCAGCCCCTGGTGGTGGGGTGTGCGGCGGTGCATGGTGCGCTCGCGCATGTGAATTACAAGCGCTGGGTCCGCGGCCATAAGAATGGAATTGGCTGATGGAACTTAGGCGACTTGGTTATTCCATGAGCCTGTATACACCCGATGAGAAGCTTTCAGAGCGATTCACTCCCCCCCTACGGTCGCGGTCGCGAGACTCATGAATCAGAAAATCCTGTTTAATCCAAGGTTTGATATCGTGGATGAATCCAAGATCGTATCATGGATTTCGGGATCCAAACCACGATTTATTCCGCATTATCCATAATGAAATCGGTTCCAGTCTGGAAAAGTTGCAAGAAAGTACAGTATTATCAGGGCAAAAAAGTGAGATTACGGGGTTAAGTTTTACCATGTATTTTATGATGAGTGGTTTAACAGAGCTACAATAGCAGCAACGTGAACCATATCAATTGTATGGCCGAATGTATAAATACGATTGATCGTAGGGAGTCTGTTGCAATGTGTACGAACACTGTCCATAGCGTAGGGCTCGAGAACTTGTATACATACGGATGGATCAATTGGTATGTATCATTATTCGCTTGACAGTTTCCAAGGATCTCATCAGAAACGCTCCTGTTGTACGGCTTGCTATAGGGCATTGATATCACTCATATATCTTTCATGCTGGAGTAACTGGGATTATTCCTGTAGCTTTCGCGTGGAATGCCAGATAGGTCCCCTTAAAACGGCCAAAGAGTTTGCGTAGAAGTATCAAGAATTGTCCCGAACAATTACAACGTACGCGTCACCTTGCATTCGTGAGAATCATGGATTACAAAATCCCGTTTCGGCCACAATTTGCTTTAGATTTCTGCCGGGATAGTAATCCACAATAAAGTGCGTAATTTAATGTTTAATCTCAGACAAACCCACAATCTTGACGTGGATTCCGCACTTACCTAAGAGAATTATGCTCAATCCATGACTTTTTCACTTTGTCAGGCCAAGGAATCTGAAGCCAAACCTCTTCAAGGATATGCGAAACAGCGCCTGGGATTATACTGAATCAATTCGTGGTTGTGCGAGATTGCCACATTTGATATTGGATTATGCCGATTGATGTCAAAGATTAGGACTATATGATGCAAATAGTCCTGGCTTTCATGACAAAATCGTCTGATGTCCATAACAAAAAGATCAAGGACCAAACCCGACCTAGGAAGCCCTGGTCCACGATTAGGGGTTGCCTCATAGAAAATCCCTGAATCAGTTAATCGCGGAAGGTTGGCGTTCCCTGACCATTCCATCGTCGATTACTCATGCGAGGGCGGTGTGCTATAGCTAGAGTCCCTACGAAACCCCCAAATTCTACCAAACACGATTATAAAACACGAACAAAATTATCCAGTATCACGCATAGAGTTATTTGAGTTAGTGAGATATTCTGGGCACAATCTGGATTGACAATTCGTCTTGAAAGTAGAATGTTTTACAATTTACCACCACTACACTGTTATACTATTCTACCTCATGATTGTACACTGCACAGATGTGACGCTCATTGGTCCCATCTATCACAGGTCATCATTCTAGGCCCATTGATATTATTATGAGATTCAAACGATACCGATAGCAGTTGACGGTACAGCCACTTCCAAATGTAAATGCCTGTTCCACCAGCAAGCAGCAGTTCCGTCTGGATTCTACTCACCCGAATAAGAGGAGACATCAAGCAAGAGTGTCGAGATTAAACAACCATCATGTTAACCTTTCAGCAACAGCGATCATGTGCTCAGTTTGGGTTGAGACGATACAAGCCAAAGCATCAGGAGAACAGATGGGAGAGAGCCAGGGACTCGTACATCGATAGGAGAGGACCAAGGAGGCGTAGGATTCGATGCTTTCGTCAGTCAGTCATGAGACACCCAGGGAGATTGAGACGTTGATGGTGGTGGGTTCCTGGTTGGTGCTGAGGACTTGGTGAAATTTGCCAGCGCATCAGCACTCAGTGCTCACATGTCACTCTCGAGAGGCGCAGGCCGAAGAACCGCCACTAAAGACCATTGATCCTTGTTGATCCATCAAAGACCCTTGATCTTTGATCCTCGTTGATCCATCAAAGACCCATGAAATTTAGCCAACCTCACGATCCAAACCCGGACACTAGGAATTCCACTCTACTTGAATACTTTCCGACTTTGTTCGTGTGTTTCGTACAGTTGAATGACTTATTCAAGTGCCTTTGCTGGAAGTGGAATATGTTATTCCATTCTTGTGCAATCACGAATCAGGTATTCGTGACAGTCGAATTCGGGGGGCTCGTAGGGAGTTTCATGGCGATTGCTACGTCTGAGTTGCTGCGATTATACTCCCAGATGTCAGATTAACAGGGTTGATATTACGTGTTGACACTGCTTTCACGCTCCAATTGATGAGACTTCCCCCAAACGGGCCTACAAAGCGAAAAACCATGGATTAAACACGATTTCGCTTTAGCAAAAGCGTAATCCACGTCAAGATTGTGGATTCGTCCATTACAATCCCGGATAAAATCGTGCATCACTGCCAAAGAAAAAGGTGCATCAAAGTACCTGAGTAAACTAAACACCTTAAGTTCCTTGAACTATTAGAATTCTCACAACATATCTCTTCTACCTGGTAATCTGGCTCTTTTGGCTTCAACTGCCCTATATTTTCACCCACGCTCCTTTGCATTTTTGGCACGATGTTTTCTGGGATTAACCCCAATTTCATCGTGAATCATACCAGTCTGTATCATGGATTACCATGGATCATGCCAAATAAGATCATGAATTATTCTGACCGAACTCACGGTTTGGATCCTGTTATCCATAACACGATCATGGATTAAGTGAGGTTTTGTAATCCATGATTTCTGCAGGCGTAGGGCATTCTGGCCATTTCAAATGCTTTACCCCAGAAATCGAGGATTGTGCCAGATATCATCGTGTGTATCATACTGACTCAGGAAACATATTCCTGAAAATCGTGGTTTGCCCGTTAAGGTCAAAGATTCTTACATACAAGAATTGCTGGAGAGTTCGATTACAAAGACAGGGAATTGTCCATTTACGCTCTACCTTTCCCACGGGTACGCGCGGTACTCAGGTGCCGTCAGCTGCCAGGTCTGCAGTAGGCTCGTACAATCAAAACAAAACACCATTACGTCCAACCATGGAGTCAAAAAGGCCATTGAAGCCGTCGCGGATACCCGGCCGTAAGGGAAACAAGCTGCTGAATGTTCGCCAGTCTCGCTCATCAATATCAGATAAGGCTGAGTCCGTGGTATCGGGGTGGGTGAACGGGATCAAGAACGCGTGGAAGAAAGCGAAGGGTGAATATGAGGAGTACATCGAATCAGCAACACAATCAGCAACAAAGAGGAGGGCTCCAGCCCCGGATATCCCAGAAGAGCGTCCAGCGAAGCGAATGGTTGTGAGCAAGCGCGCATCGCTGTCATCCCTGATCGAGAAACAGCCCCCGAGAACATCTACATCGACAGACGAAAAAGCGCAGACCACAGAAACATCATCAGGACGCGACCACGATAAACCATCAGAAGAGCGCCCAGTTGCGGAGCCTGTATCACGGAAACCGAAGATCCCAAACCGACACCGATCCAATTCCAAGGAAGTCGAAACTCAAACCGAACAGCCACGACGAGTGAAACTCGCGTCCCCAGTTCGTCCATCAGTACAGAATCAACGTGAAGACTATAGCTCGAAACGCCACCCAGCTGCTGTCCAAACGCAGGAAGCTCCGCAGCCGCAACAAGCAGTCGAACAGCCGAAAACCGCGCCTACTCCTGAGATGCAACAAGTCAATTACAGCCTGGGTATCCCTCCATCAGCCTCTTGGCGCAATAGTCTGAAGGTTGATGACTCAACGCCTCTACCTCATGTTCGAACACGATCACACGAAGACAATGGATCTACATTACGGCCACGAGAGACAACGCGCGACCTCATCGACAGCGAAAGCGGTTCGAAGTCCATTCAGAGGCTGGAGAAAGAGCTACGGGAGGCAAAAGCACGAATTGAAGCTCTAGAACGGAAGAAAAAAGCCGCAAGAGCCGAAGTTCTTGTGCAACCCGCGATTACATACCCACGCATTCATAAGCAACAGGAGCAGCCCCGGAGGTCGCCATCACCAAAACCGTGGCCGCCACAGCAAGACGCCGAAGCCGATAGAATCATCTTTGCAAGCAACAGTACTGCTCACGAACTTCCGGAAGTTACCGTGACTGGGTATGAGCAGACTGCTGAGGACAGTGACAACTACGAAGCTTTCTCGCCGGTTCAAATCACGGCGCCCATGTTTCTGACCCAGGACTTGCCGTCATTATTCGCGCCTCATCAACCCGAATTTGCACAAGATTAAAGTGAGAGGTGGTCTACAGTTGTGAAAAAGTATTGTCTAGAGGAAGGCGTGTTGGTGCGGAGGGCAGGATTCCGGCGTTTTTCATTGATGGGCTGTTCCAAATACTTAAATTATAGACGTATATCATAATACCACAAGTTGTCGCAATCTTTTCATACATTCCTTTGAGATGGCTCACGTGCACGACCCCACAGATGTCATGGCTGGTCCCGAGGGCTCAAGCGAACAACACCCCCGACCGTCGCAATTGCACCCAATTAAATTGCAATGGCCGAGGAACAGCATACATACCCGTCCATACAACTTATTGATGGAGAAAAGAACTTTACGTATGCCGAAGTGACTGCTCTGCCAGCAGACATACACTGACGGACTGCCAACAGTAATGACCTCCCTTCTTTTCTGAAGACGTCCGGCCTTGCCGATGCGGGCTTCAATTACAACATGGTTGCCGTCTTTGGAAGCCAATCGACCGGTAAATCAACGCTTCTTAACAAGCTATTCGGTACGGATTTCGCGACCATGGCAGAAGCGCAGCGAAGACAAACCACGAAGGGTATCTGGATGTCCCGTGGTGTTGACTCGCATTGTTTGGTGATGGACGTCGAAGGTACCGACGGTCGGGAGAGAGGTGACGATCAGGTGTGTTGGTAGGCAATACCACTCTCCAGGACACATGCTTACCGGCTCACAGGATTTCGAGCGAAAGTCAGCGTTGTTCTCCCTCGCTACAAGCGAAGTTATCATCGTCAATCTCTGGGAGCATCAAGTTGGTCTTTACCAGGGAGCCAACATGGGCCTCCTCAAGACAGTCCTCGAAGTAAACTTGCAGCTCTTCCAAAAGGAAAAGCGCGAGAGGTCGATGCTGTTCTTCGTCATCAGGGATCACGTCGGTGCAACTCCCCTCAAGAACCTTGCCGACACCTTGACCGCCGACTTGCAACGTCTGTGGGCGTCAATCTCTAAGCCGGAAGGTCTGGAGGAGTCCAAGATTGAGGACTACTTCAATATGGAGTTCACAACCTTGCCGCACAAAATCCTCATGCCGGAGAAGTTTGACGAGGAGGCAGCGCAGCTTCGGGAACGCTTCGTCACACCTACCAACTCTGGCTTCGTATTCCGCAAGGAATACCACAAGCGAATCCCTGCGGATGGATTGACACACTACACTTCGAGCATTTGGGACCAAATTGTGCACAACAAGGATCTCGACCTGCCCACCCAGCAGCAACTGCTCGCACAGTACCGCTGTGACGAGATCAGCAACGAGACTATCAACAAATTCGAGGATGCTCTTTTGCCTTTGCAGCAGGCCATGCAGTCGGGGAAGGTTCTCGAGGGGCTCGGCCCTCAGATGAGTATCATCCGCAAGAGCGCCTTGGAGTCTTTCGACCACGAAGCGTCAAGATACCACCGTGAGGTCTACGAGCGTAAGAGGGCTGACCTTGTCAAGCGCGTCGACGCTCGTCTGCACGTTCTCTTCCTGGCTCAGCTTGCCGCGCTTCACAAAGGCTCCCTCAGGCAGTTCAGCGACAAGGTCACAGCCGGCATTACCGGCAAGACCAACTATGACTTTGCTGCGCTCGTTCGCGATGCCAGTGAGTCCGCTATTGCTGCCTTCAGAACTGAAGCGGAGAGCTGCTGCATTGAGGGTACATCATGGACTTTTGACGAGGAGTTGCAGGTGTTGGCGAGGGAGATCGCAGCCGTTGCTTCTCGAATGCGATTGGAAGAAATGAAGCGTCTTGCGACTCGTTTGGAGAAGAAGATCAAGCAGGAGTTGGACGAGCCAATTCTTTTGGCATTCAAGCAGCCCAAGGAGGATATGTGGGACAAGGTCATGAACGCATTCGAGAAGACTCGTTCTGAAGCCGAGTTGACATTCCTATCTAAAGCTCGCAGCTTCAACTCGTCAGAGGAAGAGCAAGATGCCGGGGTTGGTGAATTGCGCAAGCATGCCTGGACGGTCTTGAGGTCACGAATCGATGAGGAGGCTACTGATGGCAACTTGTCGTCCAACCTGCGTGAGTACTTTGAGGACCGCTTCCGGTACGACGAGGATGGTGTTCCCAGGGTGTGGAAGCCCAGCGACGATATCGACAGCAAGTACAGGGATGCGCGTAATGAGACACTCAAGCTCATTCCGATTATCTCGACGATCCGGCTGTCAGACGGCTCTCAGCCTAGCGTGGACATTGCAGGGAGTGAAGACGGCGTGGAGCCGAAGGACCTGTTTCAGGTGCTTTCAGCCTCGCGTCAACGGGACATCTCGGACCGATTTAGGCGTGCTGCGGATGCTGTGTACGTGGAAGCAAAGAGGTCTACGATTTCGTCTGGTGCGAGCATTCCTATCTGGATGTACGGATTGATGGTGGCTCTTGGATGGAACGAGTTTATTGCGGTGTTGAGAAACCCAGTTTACTTTTTGTTCCTTGCGCTTCTCGCTGCTGGAGCTTACACCGTCTACTCATTGAACCTCGGCGGACCCATTGAGAGGGTGTCAAGGGCCATGATCGGACAGGTGGTGGACATCAGCAAAGAAAAACTACGTGAATGGATCGTGGAGACAAAAGAGGCAATCCCTGTTCCTATTCGCTCCGATGTACACAGCGTGCCGAAGCCTGTGCAAGTGGAGATGAAGGAACTCGATGAAGATGGGAAGAGGAAGCTTTAAAATGTCTGTATCCGGTCGAGCGCATGCTCCCTCCTTTAATAATAACAGTAATGAACCCATGTCTTTGAGCGATCTGACCCACATCTCCATAGCGGAGGGAAGAACAAGGGATGTGCAAGTGCCCGTTTCCTTGCAGGGACGCCCGTTACGGCTTTCTAGATCGCAGCGAGCTTCGTCCAGACCCCGGTGGCTGGCTTGACACAACCTGACAGCAACTGCTTCGAGGGAGCTTCTTTTTGGAATCGGGAATCGACCAAAGCGGCAGGGCGGCCTCCAGGGTGCACGGACCACCTGAGCGGGATGCATCTAGCCTGCTGCGCACGATCATGCACCGCGGCCGGCGGGAAACTCGATGTAAAGAAGTACTTGACTGTATGTGCCGGTCCCGTATCAACAGCCAGCTGAAAAAACTTCCGATCCAAGCAACCAGCCTCCCTCCCTTGTGCTCAGATCGATGGTTACGGTACCCTACTCAACGGCTCTCTCTCTTCCTCTGTTTCGCGGTGGCGGCGACGCCTGGCTCGAGCTCCCGCGGCGCTAATCTCAACGCGGCCTGTAAAGTGAACGTCCAACTTGCTTCACTTAGACGGCTCGGCCCAGAAGAAAGGCCTTTATATACCCCCGTGAATCCCCATCCTGTACTCCGAGTAGACTTCTATCCCATCGTCCACCTGTCATCATCGCCATGGTTCTCCTCCGCTTCCCTCTCGAGACCAACCAGTCATACAACGCTCCTTCCCTGGAAGCCCTCTCTATCTCGCAAAAGCCGAGGCTCACCAAGCTCCCACTCCCGGCATTCTCCCATCTCGTCGCACCAATCCAGACTTCTCCAACGGAAGAGGTGACAACATACACCTATGCCGCACCCGCAAACCCTACCACGCTCTCCTCCTCCGACCGTCCTCAACTGAAGGGCTTCCCATTCATGTCCTCCTTCTCCCTCCTCCCCACCACAAGCCACTACGAAACCCGCTCCTCCTTCGATGACGACGACAACGAGTCCATCTCCGGTCTTTCCGACTCCATGCCCGACACCCCCGCTGGCCTATCCGACTGCGGTTCCTCCATGTCCGAAGGCAGCGAACTCCTCACCCCGAGAAAGAAGAGCGTGACGTTCGCGTACAACAACCCAACGCCCGCATACACCTACAACCGCGACGACTATGACCGCTCATCCTTCCCCGTCTCTATCCTCAATGACGACGAGTGGCGTGAACTCCAAGGCTGGAGGAGAAAAATGAGGAGACAGTTTTTGCAGGAGGCGTCTGGTGAGAAGTGCTCTTTCGACTGGTTCGAAACGTAAGTGCTCCAATCATTGGATGAGCGTGAGAAGATGGTATACCATATGGTCATGGAGAATTGGAGGGGAGCGTGAAATCATATACATCACAAGGGCGAATCGGCGTTACTATTCTTATCTATTTGGGAGAGGACTTATATACTAGAGCACTAGCTATTATAGCGAGCAAGGCTGGCCTGCTCTTAATTTATCACATTTTGAACATTACATTTGTGCAATTCTCACGCAGGTTCCAGTTGCAGGGAACGCCAAAAAGACAGTCTCAAATTCCGTAATATCAATCAAAGCAATGACCCAAAACAAGTGTAACCTAGGAAGCAAAGTTCAATCACATCAACTCCCCATTCGTATTCGCCGCCTCAATCTCCTTCAACAACGCCGCATCATCATTCAACGCCTTAAACAACTTAATATTGAACTTTCCCGTACTCTCATCCACCAACCTCCTCGCCAACTTATCAATCGCAATAACACTCAACACAGTCTGCACGTACCCATCGATCAAATCATCGATGCTGATACCGAGGGAGTTAAAATCTTTGCGGTCCATGAGCAACAAGCGCTCCGTCTCGGTCGTGAAGCCACCGTCGGCGAGTTTGACAGAGAGGTTGGTACCGAGCATTTCCCAACTCGACCAATTCTTCTTACGTGCCTCTTCGAGATGGCCAACAAGCGGCTTCCTGGCGCGTCTGGCGTAGATAGCGACAGGTTTGAAACCTTCAGGTGTAGCCGTAATCATACACCTAATATCAGACACGAACGTCTGGTTCTTCTTGTCTGGCATGCTGCCAATATGGTACTGCAAGCCAGTTCTGGCCGTGGACGACCAGGAAGCGTTTCCGATGAGGGATTGCACGATGAGTTTGTCGTACTTTTGCGGTAAGGCCATGAACTCGTCCAACTCCTTTGCGTTAGTGATGGTCCAGACACCCTGACCTGCGTTCGAGTAAGGATTTTTGATGACTGCGAAGCCACCCCAAGAAGCAACACGCAATGGCACTTCATCCTTTCGGACATTATTGATGGTTTCTGGGACGAGAATTCGAAGTCCAGTGCCTGCCATCTCCGCGTTGAACAAGTCATAAGCAACGGAAGCCATAGCCTTGTTACGTCCACCAGCAAGACACGCAACAATCGGATTCAAAATCCGGGTCTTGGTACGAAGCGGGATACGCTTCCACGGTGCCGCAGTAACATACCGGAACGCTGCACGAATCGGCTTCCACACGCCCGGCTCTGGACGGACATACATGATTCCGTCTTCCCACTTGACAGGCGGATCATCATCCCACTCGTAAAACTCGACACACCAGACGTTCTCCTTTGTCATGTCTGCCAACACACTCGCGTAGCCTGTAGCCTCCATCTTGTTCTTGTCCCAGACAACAGCGAGATCACCCTCGATTTCATCCGGTCTTTCAGCGATCCAGGTGCGTGGCTTCTTCTGTGCCTCAGCACTTGGTGCAAAAGACTGGACCGGCGGACCTCCCTCATGCTCTGCCTCCTTCAATTGCGCTTCAGCGAGTTGGACACTAACAGCGTCCACCAGCTTCTGTGCCCCGAGCGTCGGCTCATCCGTCGCCGTCGCCGGACTCTTCTGATCTCCTCCACTATTATTCAAAGGCTTCACCAACCCAACACCCTGCAACACCCTCAGATACCCTCCATGCTCTTCCCATTCTGAGAGGAGTGGCATACTCTTCTGCCCAGAAGGACAGGAATTCGTCTCGACGACAATCATCTGTCGTGCACCGCTCTTTGTGGTGACGTTGAACAAATCGGCACCGGCCCAAGCGAATTCTCTTGGTTTGTAGGAGAGAACGCGTTTTAGCGCTTCTGGGTCTGTGTTTGGGTGGAGATGGCAGTAGCGAGCCACGATACGGTTCGACGATTGTGAGAGCTGGAAGAAGGAGGAGACGAGAGGGTGGATCTGTGCGTTTACTGTACGTGTATCGTTAGCATTCATCCACTAATCGGAAGAATTCACGTACAGCACTTGGTGTAGAAATGTCTATCCATCTCCCAGTCATCAGGCCTCACCTCGGCAGCATTATCCACCTTCCTCGCCGTCTTCAACTTGGGAAAGTCAGTCGGCATAGCAGGGAGATTGTAGCTGCTCGAGAAGGACGCGGAATTGTAGGAGCCGGGCTGCGTGTTGCCTCCGGTAGACGAAGCTTGGTCGGCTTCGGTAAGGTTGATCTCGGGCGGAGTTCCGCCTGATTCTCTCGTTGCACCGAGGAACGGTGAGAGCGGAAACATAGTTGCCATCGTTGATCGTATTGGTGGTGGTTATTGGGGTGTATGCGTTGTCGTCGCCGTTGCTGTCCTGGAGGTCCGGGGGTACGGGCGTGCCTTTTCATAGTGACGGTCTGTCCAGGTGACGCTGCGATCGCTGAGTATGTGTTGCGTGAGGGATTTGCATGTGAGCATGAATCGGATAGGCGCACGCACCAAGATAAGTTTGTTGTGAGCGGATTACGAGGAACGAAGAGGAGAGCAGACAGTTGCAAGGAGTCTACGAGTTCGTTTGGTAATATTTGGCAGCTTATATGCGGCGGGAAGGGCCGCGTTGTTGGCCCCGTAGCTGACGGTCAGCTGTATTGTCGGCTGGTCGGCAGCCCGCCGAAGCCCCGGTGAGGGACGCGTCACACAGAGCTCTTTGTCTATCTATAGAGGGATAAACAGCTCCTACTTGGATGCTAAGCCAAGGAGTCGCAGCAGACAACTGACGGCAGCCTCGCCAAGCCTCGACGATCGCGAGCATTCAAACGCCTGCGCGCTGTGACGAGTGCGAGTAAACAACTGTCGATCCGATTTAACATCCTCCGTTTCCCATCCAGATTGAACATTTGACTTTTGAGGTTTCGACCAATCATGTTCCCCATCTTCGGTGCTTCCCCGCGGTTCTGGGGTGCAGCCGAAGCCCAACAGATGAAGGTGAACACCACCCGTCCAATCACCGGCTGACCCGGTCCAACAATCTCCCGCTGTCATGCGCTCATCCTCCCGTCGGGGTCGTCCGTAACTCATCCGTGCTCAGCTGTGTAAAGCTCACCATCACCACCGCTGCTCGTACAGTATCTGCGCAATGTCTTGCAGAAGAGATGTACCATTGAGCGTCATTCAACGTGAGGCAGTCACGGCTCTTGGCGTTGCTGCGAATATGTCAGACAATGTTCATCGGTGAGCTCGTTTGCATCATCTCTGTGACAGAGCGGGTGTTAACAGCGTCCCTCCTCGCAGTCTGTTGGACCAAGCAATCACCGGACTCGCTCTCAACCACTTTCACGAAACTGCCTACGATAAGGAAAATTTCGAACGTAGTCGCCAAGCAAAGGCCATGTTCACTCTAGTGATATCGCTATGCAAGCAATGTCGCCATTTCACAGTCGAGCAGATTGAGAAATTGTCACCTGAGCCGGACTTTCAACATCTCATCAACGCGCTGACAAAGCTCACCGGCAACGTTTTTCATCTCCACAAACTCAATGATACCCTAACACTCGGTACCGGCGAAGCATTATCCCTGAAAACGTACAATCTGTGGGACATGGTCGTCACCGGCATCTTCGAAGAGCACGTCCGCATGGCCCCCCTCTACCGCTCCCTCTACGACCGTTCCCGCGCCTCCTCCCTCCCCCTCGTCCAGATGGTAGCAGCACACATCTCAACAACCCTCTCCATCTTCGAAGACCTCGAATCTAAAATCCGTCCAATTCCCGTGGCGAGCGGAATCGTCACTTTCCGCTCCGCCCACGAAGATTGGAGATTATGCGTGAAACGCCCTTACGGGAAAGTCACCGTCCACAAATCCTCCACCCGCAACCCAACTGAATCACTCTTACTCCTGCCCGTCCCGATCCACCTGAACCCAACCCCGCCTAACTCGCCCACGACATCTTTCCACCCACCCTCCACTATCAAATTCGGGGATTGCGTGCAAATCAAGCATCCGGCGGAAGAGGACATTCTTTTGCCGAGCCACGACAACTACCACACCATCTTCCGCATCATCCATGTCGACGAACCCTACCGCCACTGTGAACGCCCCATCGTCGAAGGCGACCGCATGTTCCTTAAAACTCGCTCCGGAAAATACGTTCGCTGGAAATGGTTCGGCTCCGGTCTCGAATTGAGCGAGAATCTGGATGACCAGGCGATCTGGGTCGTCAAAGCCGATGGGATGGAGCATGAGAAGACGAGTCCGGGGTCGAGTGCGGGGAGTTCGCGAAGGGGTAGTATTTTCGGGAGGACGAAGGAGGAGGAGAGGGAGAGGAGGAGGACGATGAGTCCGACGATGACGGGGTTGCAGAGGGTTGCCTCGTCGAAGAGTTTGTTGGAGAAGTTCCCGGCGTTTAGCAGGGATAGGCGTGGGACGATCTGACACATGCTTCAGAAAGGGATGTACGATACTTTTTGGATCAGGAGGCAAAGGTTTTGGAGTCTTTTGGCACGGCATGGATGGCGTTATCTCTCACTTTCGATACTGTTTGATTAAGGATTAGGAGTAGGAATACGGTCTCTCTAGGACTATTATCGTTTATGGTTTATACCTTACCCCCATCGACGTTTGTATCGTATCTCCAGGCGTTACACTCCTCGGACACTCCGGCCTTACCGGCACTGGTACCAACGGACTCCGTCGCCTCAAGCTTCCAGTCGCCTGTGTTCCCTTGTCGTGCAACACAAGCTCCTTCTTTGTCAACAGACTCGGTTTCCGTTCGGTGTCTGTCGAGTCTCGCTTGCCCATAATTCGTCGTCGGATCAGGGAAAACTCACGCTCCACGCCTGATTTCCATCCTGCTGTGTCGTCTTCTTCAACCTCCTCCTCTTCCTCCCGAACCGATTCCATCCCTTCCAAAGGAACTGCATCATCCCCCGTGCTCGAACTACCAAACACACTATCGACGGGCACAGATTGCGCACTCCCACTCCCACTCGCAGTATCGCCATCTCTCTCCTCAACACCCACCTCCATACTCCCTTTCATACTCTCGTCGTTTATGAAATCCATGTGTCGCGGAAACGCGCCCCCCCGATTTCGTATCGAGGTCATTGACATCAGGCGGCGGAGTTGTGCGAAGCGCTGTGAACTTTGGTCAGAGGACGCGGAGGAAAGTGTAAAAGAAAGGGATGGCGGTCGATCGTTGGAGGAGCCCGAAGTGATTGGGGAGAGGGCGTTGGGTGGGTGTCGATCGGCATCGTGTTTCATCCGTTTTTTTTGGGCTTTTTGAGCCTGTAAGCTGACCGTTAGCGTACGGTGCCGACTCTTAACGGAATTCGAATTACTTCTTTGAGCTCTGCTTTTTGTGCCCGGGCCTTTTGTAGGTTCTCTAGGAGGTATTCACGAGCGGGTCCGTAATCGTCCTTCTTCGCTCGCGACTTCTTGCTGGCTACAGAGGACTGATCCGCTCTGGAGGAGGGGAATTGATTCGATCCATGTCGTTGCATTCCTGTTAAGACCCCCCAGTGATTGTATCGTCCTGTTGATGTGAGGGTGAACGGTCAAGACGGTCATAATGGGAGAGAACAGAAGCGACGACCGGCCTGGTTGCGACGGGAGCGGGACGGACGACGCTGGGAACAAGGTCTGATAGGTGTGGCGGACCGTGACATCATGCTGGGGAATGATTGATGAGCAGAGAGATGTATTCAAACAAAGCAAAAATACGGAAAACCTCCACATAGATATCTCTATGACATACAAGATATCACATCCATCCTCCTCCAAAAACCTTCCTCTATGGTGTGATTGTAAAAACCTCTACTGCGCCTTAGCCTTCTTACCGCCAGCGCCCAATCCGTTCGCATTCTGGAAGAAGACGATCTCACCCTTATCAGCGACCCACTGGCACATTCTAGCGGACCTCCACAACGCCAAGAAGAAGTTGGTGTCGTCACGCATGTAGTGCTCGCCAATCACCTTGCGGATAGCATTGGTGGCCTCCTCACCGTGGTAGAAAGGGATACGGGAGATGTAGTGGTGAGCGACGTGGTACTCGATGATACCGTGGAAGATGTGACGGCCGATGAAGCCAAAGTCGCGGTCGATGGTAGCAGCGGCACCACGGGCAAAGTTCCAGGCCTTGCCACGGTAGTGGGGGAGGGAGGGGTCGGTGTGCTGAAGGAAGGTGATCATGACGAGCCAGTGGTTAACCCAGAGGTAAGGGACACCGTAGTAAAGTGCAACGTTAGCCCAGCCGAAAGTCTGGGCGGCAAAGTAGAGAGCGGTCAAAGTGAGACCAACACCGATGTCGGAAGCAACGATGGCCCAGAACTGCTCGGGACGATAGAGAGGAGAGTCAGGGTGGAAATGGTTAATCTTGTGCTTGGGAACATCGGGGTACTTGGGCCCAGCGGTGACGTCAGTGAAGAGGTACATCGGCCATCCGAACAACTGCTGCACAAGAACGTTGGAAAAGGTAGCCAAGGGAGTCTCCTCAACCAAGTGCAAGAAACCGTTCTCGTTGTGCTCCTCAGCGAACTCAGCGGGATTAGCGCCCTTGTTCGCAATCTTCTCAGACTTGGACTTGGGGACGAAAACCATGTCGCGGTCGAGGTTACCGGTGTTCTTGTGGTGAGTTCCGTGGGAGAACTTCCAGGAGAAGTAAGGAACAAGAAGGAAAGAGTGCAAAACCCAGCCAGTGGCATCGTTGATGGTCTTGGAGGGAGAGAAAGCCTGGTGACCACACTCGTGGGCCAAAACCCAGATACCGGTACCGACCATACCCTGAAGGATAGAGTAGACGGTCCACGCCAAAAACCTCAAAGCAGCGCTCTCCAAGCGGTAGATCTGGCTAGCCGCGAGACCGAGACAAATAATGTAAAAGAAGTCGCGAGCGACGAACATGTAGGAGTGAAGATTGCTGCGCTCGAAGCAGTGAGCGGGAATAGCCTCGTAAATCTCCTTCATGGTGAAAGTCGGGGGAGTCCACTCGCGACCGTAGGTATCGCGGTAAACCTCCTCAGACTTGGCCTCCGTAATGTCGACATCACGGTGAGCAATGTCACGCTCGTCCAACTGGTTGTCGGACATGAATCCGGTAGCGAAACCCATTGTGTCTTTCAGTGATCCCTAGTCGTGCGGTCGAAAAAGAGAGCGAGCCTGCTGAGCGTAAGGTTGTCGAAGCTGATCCTGGCGAAGAAGAGCGAACTGAATACGACAAGCTGGACGTGCTGCTGGGATGTATGCTGCTCGCTGGCGGACGTCTTCGCTGGTGTTGGGGCCCGCGGGTTAAATCTCTACGGTGTGCGCTTCTCAGGGGCAAAGGCTGCACGGGGGAGGGAGGCGAATTGCGGGACGAAGGATTCGTTGGGGAAGAACAGCGGTTGACGCCATCGCCACGTCTACGGAAAAGCTGGAAATAAATATCTCTAATGTTCTAGGGTATGTGTGTAGGTAGTTTTCTAATAGACATGCCTGTAATCCTACGGTATTGCAGCTGTGAAGTAGAGAGCTCGAGTCGAGGACCCGTCTCTTGACAAATCTCGCATCTGATAAATACGCTCCGATCTCCTCCGCCAAATCATCGCACGACGCCTCACACCTCACCCGGCTTGATCTCCACTTCATCGAACCAATCCGTCTGGTTATTGTAGACAAACTTCCTGCTCACAACCGCGTACGGCTTGGGCTCGAGGACATACAAGGTCTCCAAAGGAACCTCAAGGTCGATTATTTTCTGCACCCAAAAGTTAGCAACATTGCATCACCATCAGGCATCCCAAAGAACATACCGATTGCTCCAGATTCAAGAAGTACGCCAACAAAATCCTCACAATGACCCTGTGTCCAATCAGACACACATGATCCCTCATCCTCTCAATCTCCACAATGACGTTATTCAACCTATGAATCACATCCAAATAACTCTCTCCTCCAGGACCAGGGTAACGGTAATGCAACTTATCGCGCCGTCTTGCTTCGAATTCGTGTGGATACTGCTCCTTAATGGCGTCGTAGGTCATACCCTCACACTGACCCGCATTTATCTCATCCAGCAACCTAATGGACTTGATCGCAAAGATACTGTCATCAAAGTGCTCTCCAGTCTGGATCGAACGGTTGAGGTACGATGTCCAGACACTGTACGCCAACTCCTTCGGTGGCGCTTCATCGCGTATGGGACTTTCCACACCAGGCTGTAATCCAGAAATCCTCTTCTCCTTGTCCTTGGCCCAATCCTCCAACTGCTGCTCCCTAAACTTCAACCTCATGTGGTCGATGAACTTGGCGAGGGCAGTAGCGTACTTGTGTCCTCTTGCCGTCAGCTTTGCATTTCCACCGATCTTGCCGGCGACGTTGTCCTCACTTTCACCATGTCTCGTAATCCAGATCTGTCGTGCGGCAAGGTTGAAGTTCATGAGGTAGGCGATAGCTTGGCTCGCCAAGAATCCCTGGATGTTATGTGCGACGAGCTTCTTGCCGACGTTGATCATTTTGCAGTACTGGAGATTAAGAACTTCTTCTTCGTAGTCGCCGATGGTCTCGTATGCGCGTTCGTACATGATCACTCGCTTGCGAAAATCATCCAGCGCAGCGACAGGATCGCGATCCTTGTAGTCCGGTCCAGACAACTTGAGCTTCATGTTTGCCTCAAGAACGTTACGATCGGTACAGATACTCTCAATGAACAACGCCTTGAGATCAGACACCTGGTGAATGCGGTCCAAGATAATCTGACGACGCTCGCGAGTAGAGTTCGTAGCATCAAGGATACCAACCGTACCACCCTCATACACAACCCAATGAATCAACTCCTCCAACGTGTCCATCGCCAACTGCTCCCTCAACGCTCTCGCACTAGCATTCTGCGGATCAAAGAACTGGGCATCGTGCTCCGTCTTCTTCTTCTCCTGCGGCTTAATCCCCGGACTCGGAGGAACGTCCTTATCGTCCGTGGGCCCGTCACGATTAATACGCCGACGATTACCAACGTTGAATATCCGCGTATCGTGCTGAAGCCAGTTCATGTACCTCGCCAACTTCTTCACGATATAACTCTTTCCCCGTGCAGGTAGTCCAACCATGACAATCACCAACTTACTCCCAACATCGCGGTCCGAAATATGTCCGTACGGACTAACCTTACTCTTCGTCAACCCCGGGATATCGAGCGTCGTAGCCTGTGTCCTCTGCGGCTGGACCTGCTGCTCACCCGTCCCAAACGGATTCGGAACACCCCCATTACGCGGCGACGAAGGCCGCGAACTCGACGGCGTTTCCCAAGGCGTATCACTCGCAGCCCTCATCCCCGCCCCCGCCCCCGCCGATGGTACTTTAATATGCCTACTCAAACTCGTCTTCCGCAACAACGAGCGTATCTCGTCTGCCTTGCCAAGCGACGGCGGCGAACGAGCGAGCTCTGTGACTTGGTCGGCTTCTTCTTCACGATGTATATCTCGGCTTTTGCAGGATGATTCACCTGCTTGCATTGCTGTCCCTTTCGTTTCTGTGTGCTGTCGTGATCCGTTGGTTGCTCAGTCAGCCTTTTTCTGGCTGTAGATTGACGTCGGCGACTGGCGTCTAAAGAACTTCTCAGTCCTGCACCAGTCATACCCCAGGAAATCTCCGTCGCGACGTCTGGGTCTCCTCGACAAAAAGGAGATGGCAGTCCTGACGATATTGAAGTATGTCTTCCTATTACTACAACTCCTCAACCTTAAGAACGCTCTCTTCGCCTGGCACATCCGGTTCTGGTCGTTAGGGATCCACCACATCCTCTCTTACTACGTCCCCGCGCTCCGACCCAAAGCTCAGATCCTCCACTCTTCCTCCTCTTCTCGTCTTTTCGATGCATACACCTACAATTCCCAAGCAACATTGGGCGATATCGATTTTTACTTGCACAAGTCGAACTCGACATACGCTGCGGACTTGGACTGCGCCCGCTTCGATTTCCTGATGCACCACTTCCGCACATTCTTCTCCGACCCGCGGTTTAAAGGCGTATATATTCCCCTCGCTGGAATCTCCTTCGTTTTCAAAAAACAGATTGACCCGTTCGAGCGGTATCACATTAACACCCGTATCCTCACTTGGGACTCGAAGTGGTTGTTTTTGGAGTCGAGGTTTGTGGGGTTGGATGGGAGTGTAAGGGCTGTGGGTGTGAGCAAGTATGTGTTTAAGAAGGGGAGGAAGACGATTCCTATTCAGGATGTGTTGTCTACCTCGGGACTTGAGGTTGATGTTGAGGGTGAGAAGAGGAGGGAAGAGAAGTATAAGTATGCTGAGGCTCTTCTTGGTCTCGATGACTTGTTGGAGGATCAAAAGGAGAATGGGGCTGTTGAGGCCAATGGGTTCTCTGCTGAGAAGATTGCTGAGGGCGTCAGGGGCGAGAACGGCGTTGCGAAGAGGATTGTTGCTTGAATTGGTCGATAGAGGAGCATATACATCGGACAGTATTGTTATTGCGGGGTAGAAGCATATAGCAGAGCATACACGAGAAGGAAAGAATCAAATGCAATGTCTATGGCGACGGGGATCTCGCTAGTCGAACCCTCATCAAGAAGTAATACTAAAGGTGCCGGTCAAGCCAGGCTTTTCATGCATAGTCCATCGTCCATCCACTAATCATACACTCCTCATCCTTGCGTTGCAATTGTCATTAACAAGACAAATCAATCTTCAGACTCCCAAGGTTGTACGCAACACCAAAGTTCTGCTCAACCCCCGCAGCGCAATACGAACAATCCACATCCGAAAACCAATAATAATCAATCCCCCTACTCTTCAACTCACACCCCACACTCTTCCAGTAACTCTGGAGCTCACTGACCCCAGCCACCGCACTCTCGTGATTATCCCCACCCGTCGGCCATCCCGTTTCGCCGATCATGACAGGCTTACCCTGTGCAGCGTTAACTGTCGCGTCGTAGGACTGGAAGAATGTGTCACGGGCGGAGGAGATATCGGAGCCTTGCCAGTAGGGGTAGCCGTCCACGAGGAGGAAGTCCGACGCAGTTACCACTTCAGCGTTGGATCCGTCGACCCAGGCGGTCCAGGTATCTGTGTGGCCGACAGGGGTGGAGGATGCCCCACCGGGTCCTTGAACCATCCCGCGAACGTCATAGATTTGATGAGCGAGTTGAGAAGCAGAGACATCACCACGATACAAATCTTCGGAACCAACAGAAACTCCAACCAACCAATCACTCCCATACTGCTGCAAAGCCCCAAGCAACGCCTGTTTCTCCGTATCAAAATGCGTAGCATCCGTAGCCCACACACCCGCCATCAACTTCACCCCCGCAGCCTGTGCAGCCGGAACCGCGTTCGCGAGTGTATTGCAATCCGAACTCGCGTACAACCGGAGTGTATCGAAACCCCAGGATTTGATGGTGGACATTTCGTAGCCCCAGTCGGAGGAGGATTTGCATGATCCGTCGGCGTTGTTGGCGGAGACGGAGAAGCCGTTTACGGCGGCTTGGACGGAGGCTGCGGTCAGAGCTAGAGCTGTAAGAGCTGTTGAGAGGAGTTGCATTTTTGTAGCAAGTATAGGGTTTATATGTGGTGAATTGGGTATCCTTCGGGGATGTATGTGGCTTCTTATACCTCTCTGAGATCGAGATGGTTAGGTAAGATCACGGCTGATCATCGATGTCTTTCTAAGCAATTCAAAGATCGTCGACTCGTCCGGTGGATGCAAACTGGAAGTTAAGGGTGGGTGATGTCAAGGTGCAGGTTCAGAAAGATCATCCGGTGCCGTATAGGTAAGCCGGCTCACACCGTAAACAAAGATCATGGATTCCGGGTTCACCCCAAGCATACCCGTGCTTTTGTCGGTTTGAGAAACTCTGGCTCAGATATCACGTACTATGCTCACGGTAGACAGGGTTAAGTTATAATTACCTCTTCCTCATACGCCAGCTGGTTGTTACGCTGTTGATCGGTACCGTGGAAATTCGCACATCGTCGTCGACGACACCAGGGAAGGCCTTGAACCAAGCTGAGATGCTCTTGGGCCATCGCTCGGTTGAAATAGCCTTGACGCGGACCGGTTCCGTCGTGCCTTTGCTGTAACCTACGGGCAGCGGTCCGCATGCCTCATCCCGACCGCAACATTATCCATGACAAACGCCAAGTCCTTTTGCTTATAGGTAACCAGCTCATCGTATCGCTCCTGCTTAGTGTTCACGGCCAGTCTCTCACCGTTCCTTGCGATGTTATCAGCAAAAGCAACCCGCACATTCATCGCATCCCTCCTCCTCCTCTCCACCTTCCTCCTCCTTCTCACGTTACTCTCCACCAATCCCGACTTCGTGCCCTCATGGACCAACTCTCGACTATCATTTACCACACAAACATCCATACCGATGGAGACGGCACCGGAAAAGATGCTGGTAATCGCGCGATACGACGAGGACGTATCGTGGGTGCCACTGTACCTCGGCGATTTCCCATTCATTATCTACACGAAAGACGACCATGACAGTCTTCACAACATCGAGGGGAACTTTGGATCGGAGAATTCCGCTTTTCTGTACGTCTGTTTCCTTGTTATCTTGATTCTTCAAAGAAAGTACTGATCAGACATTCGTATGGCAGGAAGTTCATCATCGATCACTACGATAACCTACCGGAGTATACTCTCTTTCTCCACGCACACCGCGAATCGTGGCATACGGGAGGGAAGATCGACAAAATTATCCGGAATCTGGATTGGGATGCGAGAGGATACTTTAATCTCAGCCCAAGTCGGATGCATTGCTACTTGAGGTTGGCCTTCTCGACATTGTTACGAGCACCTCGGCTGATCCGTCATATATAGGCTCAACATGACAGAAGACGAAGGGGACAGACACTGGGGCTGGTGCGCAACCCAGGACAAGGAAAAACTCGACGGAAACGCCTACAAGCGACAAGCGGAACTTACACGCGTGTTCTACGAGACCTACATGTTACCCTACGTCGGAGGCTCCCTACCCCCCATGGTTCGAGGTGAGATATGTCTATCCCGGGTTCGATTTCGCAGTTTACTCACGAGTCATAACCTCCTAGCCACCTGCGGTGCCCAATTCCTCGCACACCGTTCCCGGATCCTCGCACGTCCCGTCTCCTTATACCAAGATATATACGACTGGTTACGGGATTGGCCATATGATCGGTATTGGTCTGGGCGTGTGATGGAGTATGCATGGCATGTCATTCTCGGCGAGGATCCAATGGAGGAGATCATGAAGCGGTGCAACATCACAGGAGGCAGACTCGGCTGCGACGAATTTGGTATCAAGTACTACTGAGGAAGCTTAAGCAGTGGCCATAGCATCGTGTAAAAGTATCATATACATCATGTATTAAAGAGTAAAGTACCGAACGTTAACCGTAAAGCAGAAAAGGTATCAAGAACAACGCCTACCACATGTCATATGGATCATGCGGTAACGGCTAGAAGAAAGTGTGGTAAAACGAAACCCATCCTATCGTATCAGCATCAATCACTCATCTTAGACGCGTAGTCCCAAAGCACCAGTAAGACCGCCGACAACACCACCGACAACAGCAGTAGCAGTGGCAGCAGTGTCAGAGACCACAGCGGCAGCGGTGGAAACAGTGTCAGCGACTACAGAGGTAGCGGTAGCAGCAGTGTCAGCGACAACGGAAGTAACAGCATCGACGGTGGTGTCAACGGTAATGGGCAATCCCAAAGCCGAAACGATGGCGTTAAGCTCAACCAAGCCGTTCGTGTTGCCACCGATAGTCAAGTCGTCGACGAGAGCGGTGATCAAGCCGTTAACAACATTAGCCTCAACGTTCGCGGTAGCGATCTGGCCGGTGGAGAGGTCGAGCAATCCGAGACAGACGTCAGCGCTAGTGGGAACGTTCAAGGCCTGCTCGAGCTGAGTCAAGGTGTTCTCCAAGGCAGTGATGTTAGCAGCGACAAGGGGAGCCTCGCCGAGCAGGTTCTGCAAAGCGGTAGAGTCACCGATGGAAACAGCGGCATCAATCTGAGCAATGGCGTTCTGGGAAGCGTTCAAAGCAGAGATGGCAGCGTTCACCTGAACGATAGAGCCGGAGGTGTCACAAGTAGTCTCAGTGGCGGCGGCAGAGTCGGTGGGAGTAGCGAGGATGTCACCAACAGCGGTCTCGACACCAGCAACAACACCAGTAGCAACAGAGGCGACGTCAGTGACAACAGTAGCAAGGTCGGAGGTAACGACAGCGAGAACATCAGTCACGACGGAAACGACATCGGTAACAACGGCAGTGGGGTCAGCGACGACACTGGAGAGAACAGAGTCGACGTCGCTGACAACAGACGCAACGAGCTCAGTAGCGGTGGGGATAGCTCCAGCGACAACGCTGCTCACAACATCACCGACAGCGGTAGTGACCTCGGGCAAAACGTCGGTCGCAACATCACCGAGGACGGACGTAGGGACGGCCAAGACGTCGGAAGCAACATCGGAAACAGCGCTGGCAACATCACCAACAGCGGAAGTAGCGTCAGGGACAACAGAGGAGAGGATGGAGTCAACGGCGGAGGTAGCGACGCCAACGGGCAGAATCGCAGCAGCGTCACTAGCAATGGCACCGACAGCGGAGGTAACTTCGGGCAAGACGGAAGTGACGACCTGGTCAACGATGCTGGCAACAGCGGAAGTAGCTCCGGGAACAACGTCGGAGGTGACATCGCCAAGGACATTAGCGAGGAGAGACTGGACATCGAGGATCAAAGCAGCCAGAAGGTCGTTGGCGTTGCTAACCAAGCTGTTAACAATGTCGACAGCGTCAGTCACGATAGCATCAGCGGTCTCACAGACAGCGGTAGCGCCGGGGGCACCGAGAGCAACGGTGGCGGAAGCAATGTTGTTGGCCTCAACACCCAGGGCAGACTCGATGCTCTGGAGGATAGGGATAGCGGTGGGCAGAGTAGTGATGGAAGCAGAGATCAAAGTAGCCTGAGCCAAAGCGACCTCAGCGCTGATGGAAGAAGTAGCAACAGCGATATTGGCCAACAAGAGGTCAGCGTTGGGGACGGCAGTAGCGAGCTGAGAGCAAGCACCAGCAACGACGTCAGTGGGGACGATGTCCGCGGGGATGGAGACGGTGGGAAGAGGAGTAGCCAAGATCTCGCTCAAGAGAGACTCAACATCGCTCACGACGGCGGTAGGGACAGCCAAGACGGAGGAGATGATAGAGCCGACGGCCTCAGTGGCAGAGGGAACAAGATCGGAGAGGGCGACAGACGCGGAGAGGATAGGGTCAAGGAGACCGGGAACTGCCGCAGCGAGAGAGACAGCGGTGCACTGGGTACCAAGAGCAACGCCAACATTGAGAACGTTCAAGACCTGGCCGTTAATGTTAACGGGGCAAGCAAGCGTAGGCTGAATAACGCCGTCAACGCTCAACTCCAATCCGTTAGGTCCAGAGATAACAGTGGGGATAACGCTCAGGAGAGGAATGTCACCGTTGGGGTCAATGAACTGCAAAGTGTTGTTGACAATAGCAGCAACCAAGCCGGACTCCAAGACGAGGTTACCGTTGGGGTCAATGGAGAGCAAGACACCACTGTTGTTGCCGGTCAAAGGCGCAAGGACGGGAAGGTCAGCGACGACGCTGAGAACGACGGGGAGTCCATCAATGGTGGCGTTGACCAAGAAAGATCTGGCAGTAGGCGTGGGGCCAGCGGGGACAGAGCTGTCCGAGGCACCCGAGGGAATACCAGAGGGAGCGACAGTGCCAGTGGGAGCAGTTCCGTCGGTAGGAGCAGCAGTGGAGGAAGCATCCGATCCAATACCACCCTGGAAGCCGCCGGGGTTACCAGAGGGTCCAGCAGCACCAGAAGAAGAAGGAGCAGCGGAAGCAGATCCAGTGTTCGCGGGGTCAGCAGCACCACCGTTACCAGTGGAAGAAGCAGCAGACGTAGCGGGAGCGCTGAAGTTACCAAAAGGAGCGGAAGAGAAGGCGGAAGGAGCCGCAGTAGAAGCCTGAAGACCTCCGGGGGCGCCGGTAGGAGCGACAGCGCCGGCTCCACCAGTGGAGGAGGTAGCATCAGGGGCAACAGCAGCACCGCCAGATGAGGTGGGGACCTCAGAAGAGGTAACAGTGGTAGTGACGGTCGTGTACTGGATGTACGTCGGGGCCACGGTCACATCAATGGTGATGTCGTTGTTGATGATGATCGTAGTAGGAGCGGGGACGTAGGAAGTCACGACAGAGGTGTCCGCAACAGGAGCGACCTGGAAGGCCTGAGTAGTCGGGGAAGGACCAGAGCCGACCTCGACGGTGATGGTGATGGGGTCAGACAAGGAGCCGCCGGGAAAGTACTGCCAAGGAGCGGTAGTGGTGGTCTCGATGGGGGAAGCATAGACGATCGCGGCGGGGACGTCAGAGATGGAGGTGGGCTGGGCGCCGAGGTCGTAGACGCCGGGGGAGGTGATCGAGGTGGTCTCCACGACCCAGTTGGTGGCGGTCACAGTGATTGTCTGAGCGGGGTCGGTAATGGTGATGGGGGACTGACCGCTGGGGTTGATAGTAGCCACAGGAGCGACCGCAGCACCACCGTCAGTGTAGACAGTGGTGGTGGAGGTGACAGTCGAGGGCGGGGGGCAGGTGGACGCGGTGACGGTCTCCGTCACGGTGGTGGTGGAGATAGAGGCGGGAAGGACGGAGGCAGTGCCATTGGTAGCAGTGCCATTGTTGGTGGCGAAGAACTGACGTTTCGCAAAGTTCAATGGAGAAGCATGGGCAAGGCCAGCCGAGAGCGAGAGCGCTCCGAGCAGGGATGAGCGGATGTGCATTGTCGAGAACCTACTATGCGATTGCCGACTGTCGAAAGCGAAAGGTGAAGCCGGAGAAGGTGGTCGAGGGTTGTAGCAGGTGCTGGATGAAGAACAATCGACGAGGGAGGGGGCACCTCCTTTTTATGCCCGGAGGACCCGACGAACGAGATGGTGAAGGGGGGATGAGGAGATCCGGGTTGACATTGCAATCGCGCCCTTCGGGAACCATCGTCCAAACAGATCTACACGAGAGATCCTAGTGCCAGAAGGCCTCAACAAACAAACCGCCACGCTCTCCATTAGCCATGAGCGATTCTCTCCAAGGGCGGGATCATCCGCCTCACCAGTCCATACCGCAACGAGGAACGGATCAGCTCCTTCGGCCGGAGCTGTTCCGTCTTCTCGAGGGGGGTCGAGCAACGTGGGACTTGTGCACGGACATTTGCGCAATGCACGGACCACTCTTCGTCAAACAGGCGCATGCTGACGTAAAGTGGTAACGGGTCAGCGCACGCTGGTGAGCCATTGGGTTTCGTGTTTGCGTGTTTGAGGAGGTTACTCGCGAGTTTGACCTGGGAGAGCAAGCGTGTGTCATCGAGGCCTAGGCTGCGGATTGCGCCAATGACCAGTGTGTGATGTGAGGAGATGCTCCGCAGTGTCGTAGTTCGTATGCCTCGGCGGAAGTGCTAACGAATTGCCCGGTGGAACTGTGTGCAGCTGTGCTTCTGCATGATTGGTTGCCTTCGCAGGTTTCTTACGCGCGTTAGAACATGAGGCAAGCCATTGGCCACTCGTCACCCCTCTTTCTCGTATTCATATGCATGTCGAGCATGTCGCAATGCTCAGAGAAGCCCATAAAGGCTCGTCGACATCGGATTCCTCGGACTGATCTGCTCTGCGCATCCTCCCAACGACAGACCCCTTCAGGAAGACAAACAACCCCTCCTCCTCTACCCTACGTTACAAGCGATAGGTTTCTGGTGGTTAGCCGTGTATATCTTCATGGCGTGAGTTCTGCAGTGCCGTTACCCGTCGAGCGCCGCTAGCGCCTCAATTTCGCGCTCGGACCACTTAGCCCCCAAGAGCAGCTTTCCGCGCTTCCGCTCGTGCACTAGTCGCAGGACTGAACAATCCACCTTGTAATTCTCCTAGGCGAAGGAGGGGGTGAAGCCTCCTAGGTCATTCATGCGAGTCGGCTGAACGGAGCTTGCAGGAGCAGATACATAGCCGATTCCATGCCGTCATCGACACTCTCTGATCCTCGTCAATCTCGTCAATTGAAGCCAAGCTGTGCGCTCGTATACGGTTCGAGTTTCCCTACTGCAACGGACATTGCCCGCTGTGGTCCTTCCCCAACACAATACCGCCCGCACGTTCTCGCACACGTTCCCTCACCCGCTCCAACGCGCGCCGCACTTGCACCCCGTAGCTGCCCGTACCCGCAGCGGCTCTAACGGCGGCCCTACGCGATATAGCCATGAAGATTCCAGCCCCCCTGGACTCTCGCTTATACCGTTAGCTGTAGTTACTAGAGAAGTAGCTTGCAATTGAGTCGGGGAGTTCCGACGGTAAGTGCCGGGAAGGGATCTACACCAAAATGAGAAGCGTTTGCAGTCACCACTTACTTACCCATGGCTACGCCTCCCTGATCTTCCACGCGTTTGCCATCGGGACACGCTCATCTCCTTACCCCTCCCTCTCCTCACGATCCAGCCTGAATCGTGAATTGACAGGTTCGTGACGGATAATAGCGTTTCCTTCATCCGGAAACTACGCAGCTCGAGACGAGGAAGTGAAATCCCTGGTGTCACTCTCGAGGAAGTTTGTGCGCAGCGCACCGGTCACCTCTACCGTACCCCAGACTCGGAGACTTTTAGAGTTAGAGTCTGGATCGAGCTCAAGTCTCGTACACTTACGTAACTTGTCTCCTTGAGACGCTTTTGGCCTACGTAAACTGCATCAGGGTGCTTCGCAACAATCGGTCGTCGCATGAGGGGGCCCAAACGCAAAAGTTCGAAAATCCATTTCCGCACGGACCAAGGCTGCATGCATCTCTCTGCCTCACACCAAACGGAATCTCAAATCCCAGATTGCCGATGCATGAGCCTCGCTCGTAACCGTCTTCGCGTAGAAGACGCCTCAAGCATCGAGAAACAGCGTACGCGCGTAAGCGCGTAGGCGCTGGATGCCAACATTTTCCTCGTACGGCGCTGATTACGTTATGAAACCTTTATTTGCAATTGGGGTTGGCCTCGGCGTGCATGTAGAGCCGAGAGAGGGTTGGAGACGATCGATTCGTCAATGGCGAATTGTGAAACAAGGACATCCGATGTTGCGAACTGCTCAGTACAGTTGCTAAGAATAGCTACAGTACGAGATAGCGTACGAGGGGCCACACACGTAGCCATCCGCAAAAAGAAACGAACGATGGGAGAGAATCACAATCAAAACGAGAGATTCTTGATATCCTAGAAACTAAAATGACTGTTGCACTCAACAAAGTCCAAACCTTGGTTAATCAATACGCCTTTGAACCTTGCCCAGAGTCAATTACCCAACTTCCATCCCAAAAAAAGAAAACGAAAACCAACCGACCAAACGATTACGCACCCATCACCACAGCTCCGACACGACCCCGAACACGTCTCACAACAGCGCCTGCCAGGTGAATCCCCTTCTCTGCCATCTCCGGACTCATCCTCGCCAAGAAGCGGAACAAGAACATCGCAAAGATGAGCATCAACACCGGCAACCAGAACAAGTACAACATTCTATCGCCTCCACCGCTCTTCCTCTGCGCACGGATCATCTCGGCTTGTTCCGGCGTAACCTCAACCTTCCTCGCTTCCCACCTCTTCCTGAGCCTCGTCCAGCGCGTGCCGGTAGATGACTGCGTAGCAACAGCAGCCTTCTCTTCGGCTCCACCAACGGATGACGGCCCAGCGGATTGCTCGCCCTCAGCACAGTGCTCAGAATACGGCGGCGGAGGTGCCTCGAATAGGTTCTTGATAGCAGGCGGAATAAACCACTGATCCCGACCCGCCTTTCCCTCCCTTCCACCCGCCCCATCCACGCTCGTAGAACTCGAAGTCCGCGACGCAGAAGGTCTAGGAATCTGAGCCAACAACGCATTGAGACCAGCCATAGAAGCCGGGAACTCATTCCACGCGTAATTGGCAGGTTGTCTGACAAAGTTTGGAATCCTCGCGGACTCAGGAAGCTGAGACCAGATCGCAGCGGAGGTAGAAGCGAGCATCTCTGCCAAGCTATGATGAAGGTTTTCCGAAGGGGGCGCAGTCGTAGAGGTCGTGGGGGGTTGTTCCGGGAGGGTGTGCGCATCCGAAACAATCCCTTCAACCTCGGTCTTTGGCGTGACCGGAGCGGATGACGAGATGCGGGTTTCGTAGTCAGCCAAGGTTGCCGGACCAGAACGTTTCCTGTGATGGTGTCTTAAAACTTGAACCTCGCTGTAGGACTTGGTTCTCGTAATACCGGCCGGGCGACCACGAGAGCTGACACGACTGGCACTCCTGCTACGCCTGCGGATAACCCAAACTTCTTCTTCCTCTTCTTCTTCAATGTCCTGCTCGTCCGAGTCATAGTCCGGCATGCCCTCCAACCACTCAAGACCACTAACGGAAACAGTGTCATCAGACTCCTCCTCGTCATCAACATGGGAGAAGACAGTGTAAGCACTCGACACGGACGAGCTCCTAGAGTGACTGGGCTGAGTAACAGGCACAGCCACAGGCGTACGTCCGGCAGTCAATGCCTCGACAACTGCTTCCCATCCACCAAGGCGAGCAAGCTTCAACGGAGTCAAACCACCACTCGTCACCGCGTTGACATCGGCACCGGCACCCAACAGCCGAGCAACAATACCACCATGACCAGTCGAGGCAGCAAAGTGAAGCGGGGTGTACCCATTCTTGTCACGTCCGTTCGTCTGCGCACCACGAGCCAACAAAGCAGCAACCAACCTCTGGTAACCACACATTGTCGCGAGGTGCAACATGTTGTGTCCAGCACGGTTACGGTGGTTCAGCCTAGCCGGGTGCGGGCTCGTGTCAAGATCAATCATGTCCAGACACCTCAACAAACACCCCTCGAGATCCTCACCATCCGTAACACCAAGTACACCATTCGCCAACATCGTCCTCAAGTTCTGCTGAATCTGTCCCTGAGAAGCACCCTGCATCTGTCCACCCTGCGCACCAACACCCACGATCCTCATCGCAATCTGACGCGCATCCTCCAATCGTCCAGTCATCTTCAACCCAACAACCTGCAACGCCAACTCCATCAACGCACGATCAGTCTCGTCAAAATAGGTAAAGACCCTCTGCGCCGTAGACGGCGTGTCCATCCCATTCGTCAACTGACCCATAATCTGCTTTCCGAAACCGACGACGACAGCACCCGGTGCACACGCAGGAGGCAACACGCAAACCAACGTAGTCGGAGACCAACACACTGTGCTCACGGCCGGCACTTCACCAAACATCACCGTCACACCAGGCACAAAGTTGTTACCCAAGACCGTGACTTCGATACCACCATGCGTAGGCCCCTCACACGGAATCAACCTCGATACCATGGGGAGTGGTACATGCTCCATACCATCCATCCCAAACTGTGCATTCGCAACATCAAACATGTTCATCTGATGAAGCTGCTCCTGCGGTGTCTGCATAACAGGCTGCATCTGCATCTGCGGGCTCGTGTGCGGAGGCAAAGATGCCGCAGGCGAGCTCATCCTGCTCGACGGCGCAGTGTTGGGGTAGTTTTCGAACAGCAGATTAGACAAGTCCAACGGAGGACGGTTCGCAGCAGACACGCTGTCGGGCGTGGGTGGACCAGTGTTCACCATGCTCGGCGCACCAGTGGACGTACCACTCATAGGGATATTCATAGCCTCGTGCTGCAACGGGCTCTTTTGCTCGTAGCCCGCCGGCAAGATCTGCGCCGATGTCGGAGTCGTAGGAATATTCAGCTTGGTCATCGCCAAGTTTGTGGGCAGCTTTGACGGACCAGCCATACTCTGCTGCGGTGATCTCTTCTTTCTCGTAGTTTTGATGGGTCCACCAGGTCCAGCCGTAGTCGATCCATTACTCAACGAGTTGCCCCTCTTCGTTCTCTTCGCCGCCGGGAGGGGAGGACTGGGTGCGGTGCTCGTCAAGGCGCTTGACATTATTTCCTCCATAAACGTGTTAGGATCCCTTGGACTTGTGCCTGCCGTGCTCGTTCCCTTGACCTTCGAAGTAGTTTTGTGGTCGTCGGTGATCATCACGATAGGACTGTTCGCTCTGGCGATGATAGTACCGGTAGGGTCGCGGATTAGGATCTTCATGATGAACCCAACCTTCTCCTTGTGGTGTCTGCAGTAACAGGTGATGCGGGTAGGAACAACGATCTGGCCGTGAGGGTCGAACTCGCAAAGCTCCGTGGTGTTGAACATGAGAATCTTTCGCTCCTCATCGGGCAAAATAGGTGGCTCGTCGCTTTGTACTGCGCCGTCTGCGTCGGTAGTAGGGTCAGGTCGAACCCTCTTGTATTCCTTCTTACGCTGCGCACGTTTTCTCTCTCTTTGTATACATCCCGCACAGATCGTAACTTCTCTTCCATCACTTGCACAAACAACCAATGCCTCCAAAACCGCGATATTCTCCGGTCGCCACCCCTTCGCTGGCTCCTTCATATTCCTGACCTTCAACTTCTCTTTTGCAATTGCGTATTCCGGAAGCTGAAGGTGAGTGTATCGAAGAGGCATCCCAGAAGAGGAACATAACTGCAACGTAATCTTGATTTGCGTCTCAACTCGCGACTTGGCGCCGTGGTCGGGGATACCGATGATGTTGAGAAGATAGTCGCGGTCGTCGGGCATGTTCGAGTTGACAATCCCAGGTTGAGCAAACATGATCGTGTCTAGCATGCCTGTTTCTGCTTGACCGAACATGTCGTTGTGTCCCATTTCCTTCTCCAAACATCCACTAGGTGCAGGGGCCGTGCCAAGCATGATATCCTCCATAGACACGGTCTGAACAGCCACCCCTTTCTGCATCTCCTCCTCCATTTTCAAACCAGCCGGAATCGAAGCCAAAAATGGTCCTGAAGCGCTCCATACCGCGTCGTTAGGTGCGCTAGGCATTTCGAGATTCTTCAATCCACCATTGAGTATCGGCCCGGGACTCGAGGCTGCTGACTCGAAATCGAAGTGCATTGAAAACTCTTCTGACGTAGTTACTGACCGTAATCCGTTCTCCAAGTGTTCGTCGATATTGTAAGAAGCTGGCGAGCCTGAGTCGGTGTCCGATGACTGTGACGACGGAATTGATGGCGGCACCTGTTGCATCAAGGCGGCAGGGTTGATGGTGTTTTCAGACATCGTAAAAACGATAGAAGTTGAAAAGAGCCGCCGTTTGTTCTACCACCGGGCTCTTATCGCACGCAGACCTGTCAACACACCCTTTTTTCGCGTAGCAATTTCGTTTGAAAGCGGAGGCAAACGGCCCGTTCCTCTACTGATGTAACTGAAGCTGAATGATACGAGCAAAAGCGAACTGATCGGGATGAATGCTCGTGGTAGCCCTCCTGAATGCTGGCGTCGAGGTTGTCTTTATTCCTTCCAGGGTTCTTTGAGCTGTGCAGTCTGGGAGTGAGACAAGGACACGTTCCCCGCCCTGGGTGTACGAGGGACGACGGCTACCAACATACATGAAGTATCAAACTCGGATGATTTCTGAGATCAAAAAGGTTAACTATCATTAAGATTGTAACGTTCGTAGAGTACCCGCTCATGCAAACCCTGGATGCAACTGCTCAAAGTTGTCTTTCACCGCCTGCAGCTGCCCTTCCTTCCCGAAACCTGCAAGCCATCAAACGTTATCTTCAATAAAACCTTGAAACTCTATTGCCAAGGTCCACATATCCCTCAAGCTTTCCCGTCGGGTGCGGTAACGAGTTCTCCCGTGTTTACTACATAAGCTGCTCCACCGGCGCCGCGGCCGAGCCCGAGCTGTTACTTTTTTTGAACACTCTGATAAAGTCCGTCCGTGTCTATTCATAGGCATACGATGCGATCCATTTTGGCCGGTAGACTCTCTCGAAGGGGTTTAACCGAGCCTATGTCAGTTCACGGCCTGAGCACCAATCAGCCAAGCTCTGCAATATGTGCTAGCTGTGTCATACCGTACACCTCCATTACGATCGCACAGTCCTCAAAGTGAGCGACTTATTTCAACCTCACTCTTGGATGACTTCACGGTGTGTTCCGTTCGAGACCATTAACCCCCACCCTCGTCCCATCACACCTCGTCTTCCATAATTGATGTACGCATGTCCATCGTGAACACTTACAATTACAAAGGTATCCGGTACCAGGCATCACACACCGGAGAAGTAATTTGGCAGATCTCGTATGCAACAAACGGACCGGTTGTTTAATCTCCCACATATCCGACGCAGATTGGCGCAGGCGAGGCGCCGGCGAGGCGCCGGTGCGTATGCCGAGAACTCCCAAACCTCTGAGCTCATCTCAAGAGGGTCGGGTATGGGATGTTGCAGAGGGTCTGGAGTATGCCGTTATCCTACGATTAGGGACGGACCCGTGGACGCCGAGGAGTTGGGGCCGGGAGATGAAGAGGTTGTTGCGATATGATCTTGGCGGTGCGGTACCGTACTTGCACTGCGGATGTTGAGTTGTGGTATTCGTGCTATGAGCCTTTTCTTTGTCATAATTACAAAGAATCCGGGGCAAGGATGATGCGGATGCGGATTCGGGGGATGTGGGAGGCTAGGGTACGAGTCGGGAGCATATCCGGAATGTTACACTGACTATGAGGAGTGAATGCGGAGGGGCATCATTGTTCCTTTCTATGCGCTAACTTCAATGGTTCGTGCCGTGATGGGAGACACGATTGTCTGTGCACAGGATGCTTCTGAGTTCTAGCTCACTTTCGAGACGTTGGTTTGACTGGGTCAGCAAGGCGTGGGAACAAAAGAGTCGACCCAGCGTCGCTCCCCAGCAAACGATTCGAGCATAGCTATGTCACATGAAGAGAAGTTATACAAACTGAATACAGACGAACATCATCCTTACATCGAAACTGCAATTTTCTCTCGGAGCGCTACAGCAGCTACCCCCGTTAAGCGAACCCAGGCAACCCTCCCGACCCCGAACACTCGGCAGATGCCCTCCCACAGCACGCCATACCAACAACAAACCCAAAGCTTCTGTACCAACCAAAGGAAATTCAGCAAAACCAAAACCAAACCCAGGAGCCGGAACCCTCCTCTGCATGGCGGTGCACTGCATAAGTATGCATCAAACCAGCAAAAACCGCTGCCAGTTCCCGTTTCCTCCCGATTCATCTCCAACCCACCAAGCTCCTCCTCCGTCCTCTGGCCTCTATTTCCTACCTGTAAAAGGATTTCGAAGGAGGGGTTGGTCGGGGATGAACGACCGTGGGGTTTGACGGCCGTTAGCTCCTGCGGGTGTGCACGTGTGCGATTACGACATCGCGGTGCAACGGCTCCCGCCGCGCCTTACAAATCGAAATCTCGAGAAGCAAAAAATTTCGAGATTCTACGAAAGACAACAACCCTATTATAACGAGATGAAGGTTCTTACGAAGGAACAGGAAGAGGGTACGTCCTACTCCACTACTCTGCCGTGTTTCGTCGCCGAGGATCACCCGAGGCATCGGTGGGTGCGGTGGCGAGGACGGCAGGGGTGGTAATGAATGAGGTGATCAGGATAGATGGCTGACGTGCTTTTTTTTCTTTTGTAGAACACTACCAAGCTGCCCTCAAGGCTGGTGCCAAGGGTGGGTTGGTCTGGACTGGTGTCGCGTTGGCTGGATGTGCTGTTGCGCAAAGATATGTTCCTTCGTTCAAGAACTGGACGTTGCCCCTGAAGGTATCCCCTACCACTCCTCCATCCGTCATCTCCTTCTTGCTAACATATCGGCAGGCATTCATCGTGACTTCCATCGGTACCGCCGGTGTCGTTATCGTTGGAGAGAAGGGCTCCCGCCAATACGAAATCTCTCAGTGGGGCGAACTCCCCCCCGAGGACAAGATCGACTACTCCAACCTCTCTTTCAGCCAAGCAACCCTCCGCTGGGCCATCGAGAACAAATACAAAATCGTGCTCGGAGCTTGGGTCCTCTCCATGGCCGGCTCCCTCGGTTTCGTCTGGCAAAACCGATACCTCTCCTCCTCGCAGAAACTCGTGCAAGCTCGTATGTATGCTCAGGGTCTCACTCTGGCTGTTTTGTTGGCGAGTGCGTCGATTGGGGTGAATGATTCGTATGAGGATAAGGGGCGGGACGTGACGATCCCTGACCCGGCGAATCCGGGGAAGACGATTACGATTCATGAGGGGAAGGAGAGTTATCCGGGGGAGAATGATTGGCAGGTTGCGGTTGCGCAGGAGGAGGCGAAGTTGAAGGCTCAGGGGAAGATGAATGAGAAGGGCCAATTGATTAACAAGGATGGATCTGTTAAGCAGTTGTAGACGCCTACTGTACGTGATCCGCGAGGTGGAGGCTCAAATGCCGGTGGTATGGGGCGTGTACGATAGGATTAGGGTGGTGTGATAGAGCATAGCTTAAGTACTTCTTTCATAAACACAAATTATTTCCTCTTCTCCATTTGTGTGTATGCGAAGTCATGCATCCCCTGCACCGCGGTAAACATATGACGGAAGGTGAACTCCAAGGATTTTGCAATTACAATTGGACGATATGTCTTCTCAACAAAGTCCACCGAATAAGGTGGTTGTTACTTGTACGTTGCTATCAATCCAGTCATGAGGATCACCTTGCTGACACAACCTACAGACTATGATCCGTCCAACTTATGGCCCTCGATCTCTCCACAACTACGGCGGCGCTTACCACTACGAAACCTCCATTGGAAAAGCGCAAATCGTCCCTTACGCTCCATACAGACACTCGATGTAGCACTACTCCCGTACACCTCCTCCTCAATCGACGAGCAACAACACCAAATCGCGGGAGTCGGGTTACTCGACAAACCCTACCTCAACATCTTCTTGGTGCAATGCGAGGATAACGACGTTTATCGAAGTACAGTTCGGACGAGCATCCGGAATTGGCTTAACGGGGTCCTGGCGAAGAAGAACCAGGAGTGGTTGATCGTCCATGTCGTACCCAACGCAATCGAAAGTCTAGCTACCACCAAATCACCACCCTCATCCGGAGCCCTTCTACGAATTAAGGGAAGCGTCTACGATAAGATCAGAGCCGACTTCAACTCCTCCAAAAAAGACCGCTGTATCCAACTTCGTCTCTCCCAATCCTCCGCTGACCTCGCCAGCTCCGGCACAGACGAAATCGAAATGTGGCAGGATCTCACGTCAAAGCTAAAGGAAGGGATACTTATCGCGTTTGATCAGCGCGTAACGCAGTATGAAGATGATGTTAGGAAGTTGGATGCGCAGCGTACTATGCCGGGGTGGAATTATAATACGTTTTTTGGGGTGAAGGAGGGGTTGGGACGGAGTTTTGAGGAGATGGGGCTGTCCGAGGATGGGTTGGTTGTGTATGATGAACTTGAAGCTTCTTTTTTCTTGAGTTTGAGCGATAAGGAGGGTGAGATGTGGGGGACGAGTGGGGGGTTGCCCGGGGTGGGGGATGATTCTGCCTCCGTCCTCGACACAGAGCGGAAGAAGTACAGGGATCTGATTTTGCAGAATACGATCACCACTTTTGATTTTAGATGTTACCTCTTTGCGCGACAGTTTGCGTTACTGGCAAAACTCGGAAACCCGATCGCACAACTCGTTCGCGCGAAGGACTTCATTGTCGGTGTGGGGAGGATGTTGTCTTGGGCGGGTATGTCAGATGCGTTTGTCGAGAGTTGGATATGGTGCGCCGCCTCCGAGATCCTCGAGGCCTGTGTCCCCATCTCCGGGGCCGGGATGGATGGTGGGAGAATCAGAGCACTCGCTGCGGCGAAAGGTGATTTAGTGGTGTTGAAGAGGACCCAAATCGACAAAATGGGACTGCGGGCGGGGCTTTTACCGGATGAGTGGCCTTGGGCGGGGATGGGTATGGTGGAGTTGGATGAGAAGGAGGGGGAGGAGGATAAATTTGGGGAGGTGAGTTGTGAAGAGTTACTTGAAGTCATCGAGGATCGGGATAAGTTCTTTGAGCTTTATCGCCGGACGAATCGGGAGGCGTTGGATGAGCTTCAGCGTGGGGGGAGGACGAATACCGCCGATAAAATACTGGCAGACACGGCCTGTACAGAGTTTTACCTCAAGAATTATGCGGAGGCAGCGAAGCTTTTGGAGAGGTTGCCGGGGGTGTATGAGAAGGAGGGATGGAGTAAGATCTCGGGGATGTTGTTGAGGAGGTATGCGACTTGCCTACAAAACATCGGGAAGGATGAGCAATACCTCTCGGTTTGTTTGAAGTTGTTGACGTATAAGTTGGAAAGGGAGGATGCGGTGCATTATCTGGAGGAGGTGAAGAGGTTGAGTAAGAGTGTGGAGGAGACTGTCGTTGCCCACCTCGAAGGGATTTTTGAGTTCACGATTCCGACACGGGCGAGGGGCAGGGAGGGGGAGGATGGGTTTGAGGTTGCGGTCCCGGTGAGGAACAGACTCGTGGATGGAGTTGAGATCGACAGTGTGGAGTTGGTGATGGTGGATGTCGAGACGAGGAAGACATCGATTACGTTTACATGCGGACGGCAGGATCTCGTGAATGGGAAGAATGAGATCGTGTTGTCGATGAATGTCAGTCAGGGGGGGGAGTACGAGGTTACGCGACTGGCGGTGGCGATCGGGAAGGTCGTTTTGTCAACGACGATGACGGAGGGGAATGGGAAGAAGCTGCGTTTGTATCCGTCGCCTCATACCCTGAGCGCCAGACTGGTGGCACCAAGACATGGTATGATCCTTCTCCTGTTCTGGATGAAATGCCGCTAACGGAAGGATCTTACAGTGCATCTCGACGCCCTGAATCGATGCGTAATCGAGCTACGGACTGGGAGGAATGATGTCCAGAGCGGGAAGATTAGTGTGCTGTGTCGGACGCCTGGGGTTAGGTTGTTGATGAAAGATGCAAGTGTTGTTCATGAAGGTCAGTCAGGAATTTTCTTTCTTTGAGACGTCTATGGACTGACAGATTTTACAGATTCTACGGCTGAGGTTGAGACTGATTTGTCTCAGCCAAACGTGATCTCGTTCGCCGCAGTCTCGGCGCAGCAAACTATCCGCTTCAGCTTCCCCTACGCCTACGATGTCGACCTCTCCTGCGTGACAGCGACAATCTCGGTTTCGTATACGACTCCCACGGGAACCTTCACTTCCACCTCCACCTCCACAATGGAAGCCCGTCTCCCTCTCGCCGTCAATGTGCATGACCTCTTCAAAGCACATACACTCTTTTCCAAATTTTCGATTTCGTGCGCGAATGGGCCGTTGAGGATTTTAGAGGCGGGGTTGGAGGAGAGTGAGGAATTTGCTGTGGGAAGTGCGCCGAGAAAGGGGACGGAGAGAGGCGATGTTGTGTTTGGGAGTCATAGTGCAAGTTATATGTTTCGGATTAGTAGGAGGGGGGATGCGAAGAAAGTGAGTGAGGCGCCGGCGCCCTTGAGCTTGAAGGTTAGGTTTAGGACGTTGGAGGATGAGCTTAGGTGGGCACGGAGACAATACCTGCGGAAGTTGTTGGGAGAAGCAGGGTTGGAGAAGGTTGCTCATCTGTTCGTGAATGCTCTGAATGAGGTTAGGGTTGATGACGGCAAGGCGACTGAGTGGGCTTTGATGGAGGAGGTGAAGGGTGAGGAGTGGCAATGGGCGGAATGGGATTTATTGATGAATGAAGTCGGGAAGGAGGAACGGGAGAGGCTCAAGGACGCATTGGAGACGTTCACGAAGGCCAGGATTGAGGTCACGGACGAGATGAAGGAGGGATTGCCAAATCTTGAGCGGACGATTGAGATTCCGGTGGATGTGCCGGAGCCTAGGGTCGTCTTTACGGCGTTGTTGGAGTTGAGGAATGAAGTGGATTTGGAGATTGGCGCGCCTGTTTCTGCCGAGTTGACGATTACCCGCGATTCATCATGGGGTTCAGACGAGGAGTTTGCCCGTGCGGCGATCGACTGTCTTTACGAAGTCCAGGTTGACTCTGAAGCCTGGCTACTTTCTGGGAAACGCAGAGCAGGGTTCCTGCTCGATGGAAAGAAGACTGAAACATTCTCACTGTTGTTGGTGCCGCTCAAGTCAGGGCATTTGATGTTGCCTACAGTGGATGTGATGGTGGTAAAACCTGAAGGAACGAGTTGTCAGGTTGATTTTACGCCGGCGGAGGTTAGAGTCCTGCCTACTGTACGGTCGACGAGCGTTGTTTTGGGAGGGGATGTTCAGATCCCCGTCGGAGCATAAATAGACGATGACGAGGCAAGAAAAGACGAAGCACAGCGCAGGATAGCAGATCGACAGAGCATATTTATTCCAAATATACCCTCAATCATGACCGGTGCATAAATGACGATTTCATTCGCAGTGATTAGAGTTCGTACTCCGATAAGTATCATTTGCGCTACTCTTCTACTACTGGGCCATGCTACAGCGATCAGCGCGTCCAGGAAACAACTCCTTCTACGACAACGACCAGACAGAGACATCCGATATACAGATCGACATTGACAGCTTATTTCGCCTTGTTGCATAGAAGGAAAACTCGAGGAAGGATCGACTGGTGATTGTTGAAGGAAGCGGACGAGGAGATGTCGAGCCGCAAAGATAAGGAAGGAAAGCACAGGGAGTCGCGGCACTCGCTGGCGGCGGGACTGAGGTATGTCATCTCTCTATATGGCGGTTTCAACGTCCCGCGATGGATCGTGTCGATATCGTGTCGATATCGTTCTGTACTGTTTTCGTAGCTGGACTCGACGCACGAGCCGCTTCTCATACAGAGCGCTTCGGACCTTGCGTACGCGACCTCGAGATTGCTCGAGAACCGCCGTTTGAAATGGACGGAAACGAAGAACTAACATGCCCTTCAGACGGCTCGGAATCCATACTAAATCGTCCGGCAAGTCACTCCGCGACTCCGTGATTGTCGCCGAAACGGCCTCCCTCGCAGACCGTTCTCTGGCAGCACCCTCAGACGACCGGGACCACAACGAAGATACACATTCACCTGCCCTCACTACACCCGGGATGACGATCGCGACGTCGGATAACGATAGTATACACTCCTCCAACTCGAGAAATTCGAGCCGGAAGAGTGTCATGTCGTCCATCCTCACACCAAGCAGAAAACGAATCTTCGGAAGCAAAGAACAACTACGAGACCTAAGTCGGGAGAGGACGGTGGATACGGCCATGTCTACATCTTCCTCTTCCCCAGAAGTCGGCAAAGACTGTTCCAGTTCTCGACAAGGCACGTCGTCCCTGGCACGACCAGACACGGAGGATGATATTGAGGTTAGTGGGTTGAGACCATCGAGACATACGTATATTCCATCACCGATGATACAAACGCCGCCCATGACGACGATACCGGGAACTGCGGCGCCGATGAGGAGGAATACTGAGACGCTGTTTACGAAGGTCCCGGTGTCGCCGGGGGTGGCTCCAGCGTCGGTGGATAGACAGCAGCTTGACAGAAAGGGGTCGATGATGGGTACTGCGCCGTTCAGACACGCGGAGACGGCGCCTACACCGAGCACGAGACCAGGACTCTCCACAAACCGGAGTTCAGTCGGTGACCGTGACCGTGAACGGGATCGCAATACCAACGCCAACACCAAACAACCAGACGAACTAAAACCATCAAGACAAGGCTCAGGCGCAACGAGTATCGCCGAAGACGCATTCCGCCGCGACTCAGACATCCTAGGGAACTACGTCCCCGGCAAGGAAGAAATCCTCCCTGCTCCATCGTGCGGCATGTACTGGTCCCGCCCTGGTCTTCTCAACCCTAACCCCAGTACCGGCCCCGTCCTCGGTCAACGCAATATCAATACTCGAAAACCTATCCGCGCACACACCGTCAACGTCGTCGGATCCTCCCTCTGGGTCTTCGGTGGTTGCGACCAAAGCACGTGTTTTAACAAAGTGGAGGTATTTGATGGGGATACGATGTCTTGGGGCACTCCGACGCTTATTGGTGATCTCCCGCCGCCGTGTCGGGCGCACACGGCTACGTTGGTGAACAAGACGCAGATCGTGGTATTTGGCGGCGGTGACGGACCGAGATATAACAATGATGTTTACACACTCGATACCACCACCCATCGATGGTCCAAACCGGAAATTGCGGAAGGTCCGGTACCGAGTCCCCGACGTGCACACACGGCGTGTTATCGAGCCAGTAAGAACGAGATCATCGTTTTCGGAGGCGGGGACGGGATTAAGGCTCTCAATGACCTATGGAGTCTGGAGTGTGGGGATATTTATGCTCCGATGCGGTGGACGTTGTTACACCCTGGTGGGAAAAGACCTATTAGTCGGGGTTACCATACTGCGAACTTGGTGGGGGAGAAGATGGTGGTGTTGGGTGGTAGTGACGGGCATGAGTGTTTTTCGGATTGTCATGTCCTTGATCTCGGGAGTATGATATGGCACCGAGTCCACATATCCCCATCACCCTCGCCCGAACTCGCATTCCCCCGACTCTCACACACCAGCACACAAGTCGGTAGCTACCTCTTCATCATCGGCGGCCACGACGGCTCGAAATACTCCTCCGACGTACTCCTCTTCAACCTCGTCACTCTCTCATGGGAAAAACGGCGTCTACACGGACACCTCCCCGCGGGCCGTGGGTATCATACGTGTGCGTTGTATGATAGTAGGTTGTTTGTCATTGGGGGGTTCGATGGGCATGATGTTTTTGATGAGGTTTTTGTGTTGGAGTTGGCGGGGTTTGCGTATTTGCCGCAGATTAATCGGTTTAGTGTTGAGTTGTGATGTGTGTCATTCATTGACAGCCGTTGTCACGCCGAGCAAGGGAGAAAGAGTGATCAGTGAGAAGTGATTGAGTCATGGACTGCAATTGAGAAATGGGTGCGAGGACACGGGCGAAGCGGTTTGGAGCATTACATGGCAATTTGGACTGGGATGCGTTACTGTTTAGAATTGCGATTTTGGATACCACAGCTGCGGGCGTAGATCGACTTTGTGATGTGAGAAGGCGTTTCGCTATAGCAATTGCAAGAAATTTACTTAAGCTTGACCAGAGGATTTCGACCATCAATTCATACAGTTAGTTACATTATTCTAGAACAAGGGCCAAAGTACGACTGCTGGACCTCGGCCGGTTAAAGGAAGGACAACATCGTACGCAACACCGGCCCGTCCGGACCGGAAGACTTGCGAGTGGGTCGTCATAGAAATAACTCGATCCTGCTTACCTAACTCTGACCTCTGAACAATGTAAGCAAAGTGCGGTCACAGTCGGCGACGAACTCACCAAGCTCCTCGAAGCCATCGGCTGATGTTACCTTTGTGGCGCGGCTGAATTCTCGGCTTCCATGTCGGTAAAAGGACGGCCTGAGGGAACCTGACGGGAAAAGGAGGGGGACGGAAGATATTGCGTCCGGTTATTCGATACTGTCGTTAACGTTCCTTCCCAGCTGGGGACTTGCCCCTTCTTCGTCCAATCCTCGATCTCTGGGATCTCCAACAACGAAAAGAGAACCGAAATAACACCGATCTTTCCCCCCGGGACGCCCTCCGATGTAACATGTTTTATGAACAGAGCGGGGAAAACACGCAGCCATCCTTGCCGATGAGAAATCTGATTGGGTCAAATAAGCCGAGACAAAAAAAATAGCTACGACTCTACACCACCTAACCCCGTGGGGTTGCTTCCCCGCCTCTCTAACCCTGGTCCATGGGACATCTGATCCAATTCCCACTATAAGATGACCCCCTCCCTCATGCCCCCGTAGCTACCTCCAGCCTTCCCAACCAACAACAACAATCAACAGACAAAATGCCCGGCGGCGCAGTAGGCGGCGTCTCCGTCGTAAACTACGACTACGAACAAGGAAAATCCTCTCGTGCGATCCTCATCGGTCTCTTCGCCGCCTTTGGTGGTATCCTCTTCGGTTATGACACCGGTACCATTTCTGGTATCATCGCCATGAAACCCTGGCTCGCGCAATTCGGTAAAGCGACGGGCAACCCGGCGGACCCGTATGCCATCACCTCATCGCAGCAATCCGGGATCGTGTCAATCCTCAGTGCCGGAACGTTCTTTGGAGCGCTTCTGGCTGCGGTGGTGGCTGATTGGATTGGGAGGAAGTTGGGGATTATTGTTAGTTGTTTGGTTTTCGCGTTTGGGGTTGCGTTGCAGACTGCCGCGAGTGGTATCCCCCTCTTCCTCGCTGGACGATTCTTTGCCGGGTTCGGCGTGGGATTGATCTCGACATTCGTCCCGATGTACCAATCCGAGGCCGCACCCAAAGCTCTCCGAGGTGCCATCGTCGCATGCTACCAACTCGCCATCACGATCGGTCTCCTCATGGCCGCACTCGCAAACCAAGGTCAACACAATAAATCAGGCTCGTCATCCTACCGTGTCGTCATCGCAATCCAATTCGCCTGGGCACTCATCCTCGGTGGGGGAATGATGTTTCTACCCGAGACACCCAGATTCTGGATCAAGAAAGATCGTCTCGAGAAAGCCGGAAACTCACTCTCGCGTCTCCGTGGTCTTCCCGCCACCGATCCCGCAATCCAAGCCGAGTTGGCCGAGATCAAGGCGAATCATGATTATGAGATGTCTTTCGGTGAGGGATCCTGGCTCGATTGCTTTAGGGGTGGGATGGCGAAGCGGACTTGGACGGGGATATGGTTACAAGGATTCCAGCAACTGACGGGTGTAAACTTCATCTTCTACTACGGTACGACATTCTTCCAACAAGCCCACTTCCAAAACGCATTCCTCGCTTCCCTCATCACCACCCTCGTCAACGTCTGCTCCACCTTTCCCGGCATCTACGGCGTCGAACGATTTGGACGACGTAAACTCCTCCTCATCGGTGCAGCCGGTATGGCGATTTGCGAATTCATCGTGGCGATTGTGGGGACTGCGACGGGGATGGGGAGTACGACTGCGAATGATGTGTTGATTGCGTTCGTGTGTGTTTATATTTTCTTTTTTGCGAGTACGTGGGGGCCGATTGCGTGGGTCGTCATTGGGGAGATTTTCCCGTTGAAGATTAGGGCAAAGGGCATTGCGTTGTCTGCTGCTTCCAACTGGGTACGTCTCCCGTCATTTGCCTCTCCTTCCTTAATCTCTTCGTCGTGTGACAAATTTGCTAATACTGGGTTGCTATAGTTATGGAACTGGGGCATCGGCTACATGACCCCCTACCTCGTAAACCCCGGCCCCGGCAACGCCGGCCTCGAGGTCAAAGTCTTCTTCCTCTGGGGCGCAACATGTACCATGTGTTTCGTATTCGCCTACTTTTTCATCTACGAAACAAAGGGATTATCACTCGAGCAGGTCGACGAATTGTATGAGAAGAGGACGGCGAGGACGAGTGAGGGGTTTGTGCCGACGGTTGAGTTTGCGAGGCATGAGGATGTTGGGGTGGGTGGGGGGAAGGATGTTGCGGAGATGGTGGAGTATGCGGGGAAGGGAGCGCATGGGAATGTGCATGAGATGGTGTAGTCGCGTCGAGTGGATGTGATGTGAGAAGTGGGAAGAGGGGAGGGAGGTGTATGATATTGAGTTGGGTACGGTGAATATTTTGGTTACTTCGTTTAATATCTTATTGCTATAATGTCACTCTCTCTTAACTGTTCAATCTTTACTCTTGCCAACAACTCTACCGTACAAAGCGGTGGGACACCCGTGGGAAAAGCAGTGTCCGTTTACATGAGTTTCTACAAACATAAGCTACGAACTTTCAAACTCCCTTGGCAACGACATCTGCTTTTCAGCAGCTGCTACTACTAAGGAACTCAGAGAGTCAACCCCGCCCGTGCTTTACAGCATCTGGACTTGCGAGAACTCGTCACCATACCACTATCCACCTTTTCAGAACCTTCTCCCACAGTTTATTGGCACGACGACACCCGCCATGGTTTTGGCGCTGAGGACTAGTCATGACTCATTGTGGGGGTACACAAACCAAACAACAAACTTACCGGGCATATAGGCCCTAAACGTTTGGACTCGTTTGAGGCAGTGCGGGTACTGGTTAGGTAGTGTGTGCACACAGTGTTAGCCAACGCTGGAGCGCCCGAGAGAGACCCGTTACAGGTACTGCCTTGCCGTTGAGGGCTTGACGCGATATCCACACTGCGGGCCACGACTTACCGCCCATTTGAGGTGCGGACTTGAAGGGAGCTAGTGTGGTATCGCCTCGGACTTGAGCCATTACAGCCCGGGGAGGATGGACGAGGTTCATGGAGGTGTTCCTCATCCGACCAAACAAAGAACAACAAAAGACAAACGCCCACTCTCACTCTCCCACAACATCCACCCATCAACATCCCCTCTTCGCCGCCTTCTCAACCTCCGCATTCGCCGCCGCCATCATGGCCATCATCCGCTCATGCATGGCATTAGCCTTGTTCACCTCCTCCATCCTTTGATGCGCCGCAACAAGAGCATTCTGCTCCTCCATCAACAACATTGATTGGCGGAGCTTCTCTTGCACTCTCTTCTCTTCGGCTTCCTCAGCGAGGCGACGACGGTTCGCCTCAGCCTCCACCTGGGCTTGGCGCATCTTCTCCTGATTCTCCATCCTCTCACGCCTCTCATGCTCCTCGCGCCTGCGCTTCTCCTCTCGCCTGCGCCCTTCCTCACGTGCCGCTTCTTCGCGGACACGCTCCTCCTGTCTGCGAAGCTGAAGTTCACGCTCGTAATCGTCACGGTGTTTCTTTTGCGCTTCGAGACGCACCCTCTCCTCCTCCCTCAACTGCTGCCTTGCGGCACGCACCTCCTCCACGTGAAGCCTCTCCTGTTCAGCAACAGAGGTGTACCCCGAATCATTACTGATCCGGTTAACGTTCTCCGACTGACTCTCTACCTCCTTCGAGGAAACCATGTTAGCATGCCTGTCCTGCTCAAGATTGTAAACCCTAACGTACCTTCTCCCTCACTTCATAGACGTGCTGAATCTCGACTGGGGCGCTATGGCAGACAAAAGTGAGAAGAACCTCCTTTGTCTTGGCCCAGAAGGACTTCTTGCTGGCGGAAACGGTGCTGTTGTAGACGGGAGACATTGTTGTAAGTGTTGTAAGCTTGTTGTTTGCTTGTAAAGGAGGATAACCACAGCGAAGTTCTTGACGATGTTGGTTGGGGAGAAGTTGGGAAGAGAGAGAAAATTCTCTCTTTAAAGACGTTTCGGCGCTATTGTCGAGCTATCGCCATCCTCTTCCTGTTATTGGTCGTGATGTAAGTCGTCCTAATCCGGTGCCCATGGACGCGTCTGTCTGTGCGAAATTGCCGGATCCGGTCCGCGCGCGTTTCGATGGCGGCGAGCGCAAATCTGTGCTAATGACGAATCAATAAAGTATCAGGAAGAACTCAAACGGCTTGAAAAGCTGAGAGAGTGTCCACGGTACGGTAGGCGTTCGGCGCGATGGCAGGCCTGCAACTTTCACACGGTTTGGGCGAGGATTCGGGAGCACGAGCAGCTACGCGTGTGGAAAAAGAGTCACTAAAGTCACGCATCTATGGATCAAGGCATATTTTAGGTTTAAATAGCAGTAGGCTTTGTATCGGCGGTGCAACTGGCTTGGTATTGCGCCGAGCGGCTGTTTGTTCGCTGTTTCTGTTCGTCTACCGGATCAGCACGATTGATTTACAGATGCTAAAGAAGAGATCTAAAGAATCTGTCCGTCTCCTTTTTAAAGCCTCATGGTGAACCAGAAAACTCCGAAAAGAGGAAAGATAGAGAGCTCCGTTCTCACAAACAGTGCTCAACGACTACCAGCAAAGTACTTGTCTAAATCACTAAGAGTTCCAGGGGGGGGGAGAGGCGGAACTCCGTGGAAGACAGCGTGGAAACATGAATGAATCCAGGATACCACGGACATCTTTCGATGCAGTCGATTCTCGAGCCATGGTACCGCAACAGCGTCACTTCCTCATCGCGAGTCGTATCACCACATATAAAGCACAGACAAAGGCTACTTGCCCAAACATAAACATACTATTAGGATTCATCACCGCCAAAAAACCGGGATCGTGTCTTGACGGGTACTTCCTCGCCCACGTTATGAGCCCCGAAAGAGACCGGAACCATAACTCCTATACTTCCAAGGAGGAACGGTTGATATTCAGAAGGGAATTCCAAGATTTCTCCTGGGGCGCCCCACCACGATGTGCTTCGCCAGTACCTGTGCGGTAGTTGGCTTGGATGGAGTTCGAGGACGGAGGATGGAAGGGAACAAGAACTGAATTTTTTTGGTTCGGCGCTAAGGCCGGATTCGCCACCTGCTGCCTGCATATGTGAGGCCTAAGGTGTGATGCATGTCCGACCATTAGGTTCGCGGTGGCCTTTCGTTTTGACATGAGAGCGCCTATGAAAACCGTCGGATACGGAGTCCAAGCTGGTCTGTTGCTGATGTTGCTAAGATTTAGACAATAGAAATCACAGAACCCTCTTTATGTATATTAACCCTCGGGCATTTCTATCCCAATGACTGCTGCGTATCGTGAGAAAACAGTTAAGGCTCTTTTATCGAGGTCAACGATTACTACGAATGTCTATCTCAATCATGGTACTACATATAGAAATCACAGAACCCTCTTTATGTATATTAACCCTCGGGCATTTCTATCCCAATGACTGCTGCGTATCGTGAGAAAACAGTTAAGGCTCTTTTATCGAGGTCAACGATTACTACGAATGTCTATCTCAATCATGGTACTACATATTAAGCAACAGAACTGCTTACTCGCCTATGCGCTCCCGAGATGGCGGTCTGCTTCATCAGTTCTGTCACTGTAGTGTTTGGGAGTGATGGGAACGAAGGAAGGAGCGGCGCCCCCTACTTATAGTCGAAGGGAAAATCACCCTCGCGCTAAAGCGTAGCGCCGTATTAGCGTGGTTAAACTGGCGAGTCACCGTGGGTCTTCGAGGTGCGCGCGCACAAGGCCTCTGTGTTACGAGTGGCGCAGCACGTTAACAACGCGTTTTATGATACCTGGTATTTCTTCTCCTCCTTCTCCACACCAACTTCCACCTCCGCCGCCATCTCTACCACCAGTTCTGCCCGTACCTCCACTTCTTGCTTCCCCTCCACGTCTACATCCACACCCACCTCACCCATTTTCTCCACAAGCGCGTGTTCATCCCACCTTCAGCCTCACCTCCACTCCTACTCCCGACTGCTCAGCTTCAACATCATCTTCTTCATCGACGGGGACCGCGTGCAGCGCGGACGCTCAATTTAACTCCACAAGGGCGCTTTCCCCAACAATCAGCTCCTTCTTCAGCACCTCCACGTCAACGTCCAGCGTAACGGACATCTCCATTCCATTCTCCTCGTCGTCCGCGTCCAGCGCAGAAGACCGGTTCTGATCCATGTTGAGAACACGCTTGTCGCCAAAGTCAGGCCGGAACAACGGGACATAGTCGCGGGACCGGTCGTTTTTACGTTTGGGGTGGGGATTGATCCGGGGACCCGGAAGTCTATTCACCCTTGCCTCCCACCATCGGCATAACCCATCGTTCAAAATGCGTTGTTCTCGCAGGCGGCACAACTCAGCCTCAGCATTGAGGAGTCCTTTCGTAAGGGCTGCCGAGTATGGCGATCCTGTACGGCATGACTTGAGGAACGGCTAAACTTGGGAAGGGCTATCAGCGGACAGACCAAGGATCGTTGGTGGAGGTACCGTACTTGAATGGTGGTTTAGTCAATCTGTCCGCGGGTGGACTGATGCCGGATGGAATCGATATGAGGCGCTGGATTACTTGTCTCTTGGGTAACCCTATGCGGGATCTGCTGATTGAAGGACGTTCATGGACTGATCGATTGACTGCACCTGGATGGCCACGAACCGCTTCCCACGTTATGAGTCATTCAACGATAAGGATTACTACAATTTATTCACTATATAGTGTTTTGACTGCGAACATCAGTAAGCTTCTGAGCTGTCATGACTAAGAAGTAGGCGTCAAGGCTCGCACGCCCAGCTACCATCTCTTCATATGCAGCGTGGACAAGGTCGTCAACCTCGTCTGTTGTCTTGATCTCGTCAGTGGTTCCCGATTCAGCGAGAGCTACTAGCAGCGGCGTTGTCACAGTTGCCACATTCTCGGCAAACTCTTCTAATGCCACTTGATCTTTCTCCAAACTGGTACCAAAGTGAAAGTTGAACCTCCTAACCTTGACGTTTTCGAAACTCGAAGAGTGAAGAACATCCGGGATCTTTTGAGCACTGTCGATCGAACGACCAAGGACGCGGGGCGCAGCGTTGGTCAGCCTGGCCCATTTGTTGAAGGATTCGTTCCCGCTGCCCTTGCCTGTTACAATCAGCTCAACCCATTGCATCCAACCTCCAGGGGTAAGGATATCGAATATGTTATCCAAAACGCCGGGGTAATCTTGTTCCGTCAGACCACAGGTGAGAAGACGGAGATGAACGATTTCGTACTGTTTACGGAGAAATGCGGGCAATTCCTTCGTAGGAAGAGCCGGGGCTTCGGAGAGGTGGATGTTCGGAGCGGTATGCTTGGGGAACTGCTTCGAGGAAGGATCAATACCGTCGAGTTGGGTGTCGGCTGAAACCTCCTTGGCCAGCTCCTCAAGCCAGATACCCGTGCCTGTCCCGACGTCGAGGATGCTATTGGCCTGGCCGAGAGGAATATGAGGTTCGAGAGGGGTGTCTTGGTAACGGAGAATGAGGAAGTGTTGCTTGTTCAGGCGAGAGGTCTCGGCGAGGTCTCGCGGAAGAGCATACCCAGGTGTGTTATTCTCATTGCGGCAAGGAGCATGGGCGGCATGATTCTTTGTCTCCGTCATAGTGGTAGTCAATGTGGTTTCGGGTAGGGCTGCTCGACATGGTCAGCTCGTTCCTCTTTTACATTCAACATCGGTCGTGACATGACTGCCACGATTCTTGAATCTCGCCGTCGGACAGCTACGTGCCTCCGATCTCCGTGGGCGGCCCTTAGCAAGAGGCAACAAATAACCGAAGGCCACTTACCGAAGCTGGGGTTTAGAGACTGGCAAGGAATCCGGAATACTTGACACCAAAAGCATCTATAGGTCGTGTGCTTTCGTACAATGGGACTTCGGGGCGATCCGAGGACCGTGTAAAGACATCGAGATCAGCGAAAATTTCGCACGAGCGGCCCCAGTAATGATCTACAGATATCGCCGTACGCATGCCGGCAAGAACGTTTAATCACGAGAGGTCATCCACGGCTTTGTCATCAACCCAGTCATCGCTGAACGTATATATGATCGTTACACCGTTCGCGCAGTACCGCGTGCCGTCGCTTGGCCTGCGGGGAGATGCCGGCGGCGCACGAGGACTGCCCCGGACGCGGACCGCAACGACCAGAATAGCAACGGTACAGAAGCGCGACAACAGAATAAGGTTCGGTGCAGAAACGAGATTGATCCTGTTCAACTCCGAGCGTGCTTATTTCCCGTTAACGGGGCTGTGCAACCATGTAGTGCTTGGCAATCCGTACCCGACAATTGGTGAAGTATATACAGACGTGAGTCGCCGCACCGTACTTAGCGACCAGATCGGGACCTCCAGAGTACATTGGTTGATTTCGACATGACGCTCGTTTCCTTGTCATTCGTTGTTACTTGTGAGTATCTTCCACCCTTCCTCGAGTATTGTGCTGACCCGTCTCAGGCCTCCTCAGTTTGCTCCTCTGCGTCTCCGCCCAGGTCCAATATTGCTCGTCCAGTAACGTCTGTATCGCCCTTGAGACACATGAGAACTCCTCTACCAACGCTGCGGACCTTTACTTCCAGATCTCCGCCCAGAAGTCTCAAGGATGGGCTGCCATGGGAATTGGAGATGGGATGAAGGGTGCTCTGATGTTCATCCTGTACCCTGACGGTACCGATCAAGGGGTCACAGTGAGTGTACGCACCGCTACAGGGCACGTCGAGCCTTCGGACGTCACCAGTAACGTTCCCGCCATCGCCGTCACGAATACGAGCGTCACTTCAGACCGCTTCATGGCCAACATCGTTTGCTACAACTGCGCGAGCTGGACTGGCACGAAGTTGGATGTCACTTCTACGTCTCAACCATGGATCTGGTCGGTCGGCGGATCGAATCAGAAGCTCGTCAGTACCGACGTGAACGCACAGATTACGCAGCATGCGTCATACGGACAATTTACGCTGGACATGGGTCAGAGCAATGTAGCCGCTGCCGACCCGTCCTCGAGCAGCACTGGCACCTCGAGCAGCACTGGCACCTCGAGCAGCACTGGCACCTCGAGCAGCACTGGCACCTCGAGCATTACTGGCACCACGACAGGCACGGCAACGGGCTCGTCGTCCTCGGCGAGAGCATCTGCCTCGTCTACGTCTGCATCCTCCGCTCCGGTTGGTCCCCAAGTCAACCTTGGCGATACCGCTGCCTCCAACACTGGTGCGACAGCAGGTACCTCCGGCTCATCTGATCATCATGGTGCCATCGTCGCTCACGCAGTTTTCATGCTCGCGGCATTCTTCGTTCTCTTTCCCTCCGGCGTGGTCCTCCTCCGCGTTTCCCAGCCGTGGAGTTTCGTCGCGCACTGGACGATGCAGGTCATCGCTACCCTGGCGGCCATCATCGGGGCTGTAATCATGATCTGGTACTCCTTGCAGGATCCGGAGTACAAGTCATTCAAGAACAAGCATCAGATCCTGGGGTTGGTAATCTTGTGTGCACTGATCCCGCAGGTCGTCATGGGCTGGGTTCATCACTTGAACTACAAGAAATACCAGACGCGTACGGCGCCGAGTCACCTGCACATGTGGCTCGGAAGGACCGTTTTGATCCTTGCAGTCCTCAATGCAGGATGGGGATACCGTCTTAGGGAGAATAACAAAGGCGCTATCGCAGTGTGGGTCGTGGGAGCCATCGTGATATTGATGCTGGGTCTTTTGTGTGGACGCCATGCTCGTCTGAGGGCAGCGTTGAATGCGCCGGTGTGGAGAGCTGGGTTTACAGTTGCCTCTGCGGAGACTCTTCCAGGGAATAAGGAGGCAGAACGCGTGGTTGCGGTTGAGCGTGATTCAGGATGATCTCGCGATACGGGCGGTTTCATTGAGGAGTTTATATAGGATTTCACACATATATATTCCGACTTAGCAGTGCAGATCAACTATGGCCAACTCGTTATGAAGCAGATTTATCTGACTAACGTCGTCCTCGGGACACTTCACTCCTTCACTGACGTCGTCCTTCACCTATCCACTAACGTAGATCCATACCACCTCTGCCTAATCTCGAACAACGTCCCCAAATCATGCTCATTCCTCCGAACCCTGAAACACTTCCATGCATTCCCATTCGGTCTCTCCTTCCTCTCCAGCTTTCCATGAATATCCAACACCCGATGTTCCAGCATATTCGGTGTTAAAACATCCGGAATCATGACCATGGTTGTATCAGCACTGGGGTAAACCTCTTGCCCTTCAGGTGCGGAGAAGGTGAGTGCATACGTGAGCGGATCAATCGCAGTCAGCGTAACCTCTTTCCTCACACGCATAGTATCCATCGTCTTTCTCTTCCCACCAATCCGCATCTCCCCCTTCTTCGAAGTAAATATTCGATCATAAACCCATACATCGCCGACAACCCCATTACTCCCCCTTACTACATCCCCCAACTTAACACCCTTCGCATCCCCAGCCAGCGCCGGATTGTCCAAGCGCTGTTTCTGGCCCCAGTAGGATTCGGATTGAGAGTCTTTCCAGGAGTCGTATAGGCCGTCGGCGCAAGCAGCGTTTGTGACGAGGGCGGAGCGGAGGAAGGAAGGGGCGTAGGCGCCTGAGGAGAGACATGCGGTGAAGTCATCGATGGCTTCAGTCAAGAATGAGTTGTATTGGAGGAAATCGGAGCGAAGCTCGGCTCCTGAGGATTCGGTCTGCTCTTCGGCGTCTTCAGGGTAGACTTTGTCGATGTCCGGTAGTAGCTCTAAACATTCTTGTCGTGCTGATGCGGGAAGCTGGTTCCATACTTCTTGAGTGAAAAGACTGTGTATGTTCATATCGAGGAGAAGACTTCGGCGGTCCGTTAACAGACGTGTCGTATCCCACGAGTCAGGATTGTTCGTCTTAGCGGCCGATGGAGGTGACAGGATTGGTTTTGTGACCAGGATCCGAGCCGACGTGAGCTTGTTGGTGTTTTGATGCTCGTCGTCGTTAGGGGACGAGCCCCTTGAGGTACCGTCTGAATCCCCTTCGTTCCCTCTAATCTCAACATCGATTGAGGAAGAGAACCCACTTTGCGCAGGCGGAGACAATGACACAAGGTCATTCGGCATGGACTCCATTGTCCTCGTCCTCACCACCGTTCGTCGCGGGTGCTTAGATCTCTGTGCATCTTCATCACTTGCTGCCTCGGCGTCTGGCTGAAGAGTACTCGTGCTTCCTCTTCGGGGGGTAGGGATGGTTTCAATGTTGTACTCCACGTCGGCGGCCAACTCATCCTCTCCGATCCCCTTATTTCGCCGTCGAGGCGTCTTCCTCTTCACTTCCCCCGCAACGACCTCGTCTTCTTCACCTCCACCAAACTTCCGCCTCCTCGATTTGTGCGGTCCCACCTCCGGCGCACTCGTCTCCTCAGACTCCGTCGTCCGCTGTTCAAGTGGATGACCACGACGACGTGGCGGATTGGGCGAGAAGACCTCGTCCTCTTGATCTCCCGTCACCTTTTGTCTCCTGGATTTGCGCGGTCCCACCTCCGGCGCACTCGTCCCCTCAGACCCCGTCACGCGCTTTTTCGGCGGACGACCACAACGACGTGGCATAATGGGAGTGACGACCGCAATATCATCTTCAGCGTCGTTGTTCCCTGCGACCAACTCGTCCTCTACATCTTCATCCACATGTCGGGAACTAGATGTACGCAACGTACGAGACGGACGACCGCGGCGACGTGGTGCGTCTTTGGAGTCGACAACATCACGCTTCTTTGGCAGTCTTCCAACTTTACGTGTACCGGCATCGTCCTCGCCAACTTTGACATTAGCCGGTCTCCCGCGCTTCCGCTTCACCACCCCCTCCTCGCCGCCTGGCTCGGTTGAGGGTTGGAGCTCCACCTTTGCGTACTTGGCTTTCATCTTCGCGGTTAAAGGTTTGATGATGACTTCAGCTTTCGGACGACTTGTACCGATGTCGACGACGTCTGGGTTCGTATGTCGTGATCGGCCACGTCGAGGAATTGTCGACACGGTGGTGTCATCGTGCTTTGACGCAGATGGTTCCCGTTCCTTGGAGGAGGACCTTCGAGGGTTCTCTTCCAGCTGTGGTGTGTGCTTTACCGTTCGCGTAACCGGTACCGTTCTCTTACCCGCCCTTCCACGTGCACGCCCACTCGCATCTTTGCCGATCCGCGCTTCTTCCTGATGGTTCTTGCGCGTTTGCTCCACGACAAGATCTGACTTCCTTGCCGATGTCGCAAATGGTTGTTTCGCGTCCTTCAACTGCGTTCCGACACGCGACACGCCGCCCTCCACACGGCGCCGCTTCGAAGGATGTGGAGATCGGGTATCGACATGATCCGCTGCCTGTTTTCTAGTGCGAAGCATGGTCGCTCGTTACAGCTGATCGTCTTTTGAGAGTTGAAAGCTGGATCAATTACGATTGTTTTGGTCGGTATCGGTTCGGACGCGGAGAGCCGACGTACGACCAGGGCGCTCCAACGCTGGCAGGCGGGGGCAAGAGCGCGCGTCACGGCGACAACCCAGGAATGCCTGGGAAGGGTCCTGATCTGCTATTGACGGGTACGGGAGGCATTTTCAACCCGTCAAAGTCAGGGTAGTGAGCATGGGTAGCAGTGACTGTATCTGAATGGGGTGTCAGGTAGGCAACCGCCAGTACGTTCGAATTCACGGCATCCTGGTGTTTCTGGTTATACTTTATGTGAACACTGATGTGCCTTCATCACATGTTCACCAGCGTCGGACAACTCCTGAACCGGACATATCTCAATCTTGCTGTGCTATATTGAAAGCTTCCAGTGCTCTGTCTACACGGCCAACTTTGCGTTGCCTCTGACGGGTACCGGTAACCGGTGGGCAGGCGCGTCGGAACATCATCGTCCCGCATTCCGACGACTCAACTGTTAAGGCGAACCGAGACGAACGCTCCAAATACACCAGCCCACGACGTAACGTATTTCAGTCTTAAATGTCGTGCTCTTGATGGAAATCCTCGACTTGCACCCATCGGGATCTGTCGAAACGCCTCGACCACCCTCGCCGATGACAAAAGTTCTACGTGGGGTTCTTGAAGGAGGATGAATATTTTCGGTACCTTAGGAGTGCAGAAGGTGATAAGCATTCGATGAAGATTATAGATGGAAGCGTAAGATATTCCTTCTAAGGGTGCCGGCTCGTCTTGTTTACGAGTCCACGACTGCTGCGCAGAAGTCTCAGAGGGCGGCTGAGCAGTTCAAGATGCAGTCAAAGGACCGTTGATCAGGCAAGAGGAGAGAGGAAGGCAAGGAGTAGGAAGCTTAAGAACAAGCATGCTATGAAGAACCAAAGGAGTGATTTTGTAATGCAATACCCACACTTTAACAACAGTGACAGCAGTATCGATGCAACTACGAGAATTGTACAACAATCAGTCACCCCAACCCACACGGAATAGACCCTCGAATCCAAGAAGTCACCGTCTCACAAACCAGAAACGCAACTCACAACAACAATCGAGCGCCCTCAGCGATCAATTCAATCAACGGAACTTCCCGTCGTCGACCCTCACCTCAATCTGCTGAGGTGCATCGTCACTCCTCGCCGTCCGAGTCCTAACCAACTCCTCATGTTCGTCCGGGTGACTCATGTGGCCAGCTTTGATAATGCTCCGATGATCCTTAAACACAAACTCGTAAATCGCACACCCAAAAAGCGTAGCCGGGATAGGCGTCAACGCCGCAATAGCACTGTACGGATGCGGAAACGCCTCGCCTCCCCAAATCATGGCGGTCAAGATACGCGCACCAAGGTCACGAGCGGGGTTGGCGGAGAAGGTGTCGATGGCGAAACCCCACACTGCGACGGCGTAGATGAGGCCGATTGCATAGGGTGCTGAGGCGGGGGAGATGAATGGGTTGGATGGGTCGAGGACAGCCCAGACGAGGATGGCGATGTAGGAGTCCACCATCCATTCGTTGAGGAAGACGTAGCCGAGGTTGGTCTGCGCGGGTCCAGGGTGAGCACAGAAGAGGGTGTTGACGCCCTGAGGTCCGATCTTCGCAATACCCTTCTCCTCGATCGCGGCTATGTATGCCTGGATCTGCTCGTGGTATTGGGCGTAGCAACTCAACGCAGCCATGAAGCATCCGAAGATCTGGGCGAAGATGTAGTACGGGACCTTCTTCCACGGAAACCCTTGGTAGACGGCGAAGGCGATAGTGAAAGCGGGGTTGAGGTGACCACCGGATGTGGCTCCAGCGATCATGACGGCAAAAGCGACGCCGATAGCGAAACAGATTCCGATGCAAAGGATAGAGCCAAGAGTACCCCCGGATCCGGTGAGAACGTCGAGGTTGAAGACAATGGAGGTGGAAACACCAGCGTAGACGTAGAAGTAGCAACCGACAGCTTCGGCGAACATCTCTCTAAACCATCGAGGGCGCTTATCTTCGAAAGCCAATCTCCATTGGGATACGGCGGGAGGCAAGACGACGTCGGGTTTGGAGACGGGTTCGGCGAGGACGTCGGTCGTACCGAGCTCCATCTGACCTGTGTGAAGGCGGCGGAGCTCGATCGTCTCACCGGGAGCGGCATAGGTGGTTGTGTGAGAGGTACCTTCGTTGTCCGGCATGGTAGCTGTTGATCCGTATGTAGGCGTTGAAGAGGTGCGGTGACAAATCAAAGAGCGCAAGCGCCTGGAGGCTCTTTATACCTCATCTCGTCCGCCACTGGACATGACAGAGGCAATACGAAGCGACAAAGCTCGAGCGGGGTCCAATTGCGGGGTTTCTTCGCTCGTTTGTTCACACATGCCTCCGCTGTACGCATCACGCGGATGGTCGTTGACCCCAACAAGTTTAAAGTTATTCGTATCGAATATGCAACCGGCGAACATGTTGTACCGAACCGCGGTAGCTACTCAAGCGGACTTTCGGTATGGTCTGGAGCCGGGCCGCAAAAAGTGGGGGCCGTCGCGGAAGCATGTCCTGCGCCTTGGGCATCAGCTTTCATCTTGCGCTTGACAGCGATCCGCGTCCGCTGACAAGCACTTTGCGAGGCTGGGTTTCGTCTTCATGGAATTCACTCGCTCTAAGAACTGACTTTCGATGTGTATTATACCGTCCGTTATCAACCTTGTGTAGTTGAAGAGGGACACCTACCCGGCGTCGACGCTGACCGTTTTCACGCCCATAGACAGTTGACCTCCCCGTCACATTACGGCTGGATTGCTCATCCGTACGCTCAATTGCATTTTTACCTGCTCTTAGAAATACGTGAAGCAGCTGTCATACGCACCTGGAGCTGCGTGAGTGTTTCCAGGCTTTCGACCTCGCTGAAGGGCCCCGTTGCGGGGGTGCACGTGAGTGCCCCGCGACGTCAGGCTGCGCGAAAGTCAGAAATATTACACAGACAGGCGAGTACAACTGTCTCGCCCTCGTTCAATGCTTAAGACCATCCAGTACTTCTACCGCGCCAGCTGCTGCTCCCTCTCCTTCGACATTCAACCTTAACCTTCTCCGTCCATCGCAGATCACCGCCTATGGCCATGCGACAGATGCTTTCGCTACGCATACTCACGAAAGGTGTTCGATCAGTGCGTCGTATTACGGCTCACAACTACACCTGTAGGTCTCCCTCAGCTTGGTCCCGCTTCAACTCCACCTCTACCTCCAATACAATGTACCCGGACGCAAGTCCCCGGATTAGTTCCTCACATGGTCCACAATTGTTCCGGTCAAAAGCCCAAGTTGATAGTGAAACAAAAAGGTAGAACAGAAGTTTTCCATCCTGCACCCTCCGTCTACGCCTAACCAGTCTTCGCCCAAGCAATGGTTGCTCCGAGACGATCCCCCGATTCGTAAAATAATAGCTGCTGGCCGCCAAAGTTGACAATCTCCGGGGCAGCCACACGGCCAACATCGTCGCCGCTGCCGCTGGCCTTGTGGAGCAGGATCGGTTTCGAGCCGACGTTGCGCAGGGTCTTGTCGATTGTGCGGGCATAGCTCTTGCCGTTCGACGCGTGATAGATCACGTAAAGCTCTCCCTGCCACTCCCAGAGGTTGCCTCCCGATACGTCGGACCCTTCTTCGGAGCCAGGTTCGACAACGTAATCGGGATCGACCGTCCACTTGCGCCCGTCTTTAGACTCCGCGAGGCGAATGCGACGCTTGTCGTCTCGCTCGTTCCCCATGTAGAACATGCCGTACGTGTAGCCGGATGCTGGGTTAGGGTTAGGGTTAGGGTTAGGGTTAGGGTTAGGGTTAGGGTTAGGGTTAGGGTTAGGGTTAGGGTTAGGGTTAGGGTTAGGGTTAGGGTTAGGGTTAGGGTTAGGGTTAGGGTTAGGGTTAGGGTTAGGGTTAGGGTTAGGGTTAGGGTT